AACATGTTCTATTTTCAGTATAATGGCCCCATAAGAGCAGAAACAGGTGGTGAAGATGAGAGGTGAAGAGTTAATCTCTGGAGATAGGAGGTGAAGAGTTAATCTCTGGAGATAGGAGGTGAAGAGTTAATCTTTGGAGATAGGAGGTGAAGAGTTAATCTCTTGATGAGATAGATGCAGCAATAGAATGTAAAGAAAGAAGCAATCGGCCTCAGGGACAATAACAACAACAGTAAAGACTGTTAACTACATATGTTTGGTAAGTATTTCTGTCTTTTGATAAATCACTGGTGGGGAGCTTGGTTATTGCAAAAGAGCCAACATGTTTAATTATATACACAATAATCATGATGCATGATTAACGTGGCTAATAATGCTAAAAGCACAGCCACTCACACTGTATTTTTGTATTGTATTCTTTGTACAAATGAATAATTTAATAAATAAAAAAATAAAAAAATGCATGATTATGGGGTCTTTGTATACCTTATTTTTATTCTGTGGGTACCTCATTCCCAAATTGACACATTCTCTCCTGTAAAGTATAGTAATAAAAGATACTTCACATTTGAAACTGCTCCTCCACCACGGACAAATGATTTAAACCTTATTTTTTACAAAAAAGGAAGAAGACCCAATACATCTAGATGTCATTTACAACTAGAGTTATAATGTAAATACATGTATTATCAAGTCACCATATTGAGTCATTAAAAAGTTAAAAAAGAAATGGTAGAAATTGATATTCTGACACTGTTTTCATTAGGATGTTCAATAGTGACCAATATGTTGGAGAGACTTTAAGGAGAAAGCAGTGATATAAGTATATTGCATCTAGGACACAGAGGTTTAGAGAAATGTTTTCTGTCAACGTATGCTCTTGTGTTTTGTGTTACATTGTCAAAAAGAGTCACTTGTCATTAAATCAACCATGAAATGTTTAAAATCATTTGAAAAATATATATTTTCATCAAATATGTTTTCAATTTTGCTATTCGAGTTGCAGGTTTTTTTAATAAAATAATAGAAAAACATCCTTATTAATACATCTTTAGTACTAAGCATGCAGAAAAACATTGTTTATTACATATAGTCTCAGTGAAGTGATCACATGTACATGTTTTACTGTACATGCATTTATTTCCTATATATTCACTTAACCCTAAATTAATCTTATCTAAAGTTAAAGAAAATGACATGCACATATGAGTTGCATGTATAACATACATAAGTACCATTACATAAGTGAAGTGACACATTGCCATTATAAATATGAATTTTCTGATTTAAACAGATGTGAGATTAGTATTATGAATTATTATAAGATTAAGGCAGACCAAGTACAATGTTATGGCTTTAATGTAGGCTTACAAACATGGACACATAAGTTCAAAAGTCATCCAGATAAACCTACCTTAACAGACTGATTAAGTAAAAATAATCTTAACTACTTAAATACCCTTTACAAGAGGTTGATCATGCCATCTGTACTCTTACATAAGAAATAGATTTCTTCTAGCCTATTTCTATTATCTAATCAGACTGCATAGTCAGAAAACTGATCTTATACTTCATTTTTGGTTACATCTATGTATTGTTAGCATCTTATGAGCTTAAAAACAGCAAAATCATTTGAACATTGTCAGAGGGTAGTGTGACCAGCTTATAGTGCTGCAGGGTAACTGCTGAGATATTTCTCACTGACTTCCACTCCAGTGGATTAGACCTGCATTGATTGTGGAACTGCTTGTCTGATCACTTGCACACTGCAGCAAAATCTGGATTGGCTTATTTTTGGCTCTCAATTTGTTATTATTTGGAATTTAAATTGATTAAAATAACAAATATGTTTGTGCATTATTCGTAAGTGGATACACTGTACTGGACAACAGGATGTTTAAAACAATAAGTGTAAGTATTTTAAACACACAGAGCTTCATATTATACAAATCAGAGCTTATATCATTTTATTTTATTATTTATAGTTGATAGATTAATAAAGTATGAAGAGATGTTGGTACTCAATTTAAGACTTCTATAACATGAGCTTGCATACTAGCCATAATGTACTTTCATTATATGAATTGATTGACAGCATTGATTGACCATTTAAATGAGCAGGAAATATCTACAGATGGAACTTTTTGCATATGGATGTCAGATCTCTGCTTAAGAAATGATCTATAAAAAATTGAAATAAACATTTCCTTGTGTATTTGTAGTAATTAAAGTACCCCCTCCCTCCCTTACATTTGCATTGTTGAGCATGTTGACAGCCGGTAGAGACTATGTACTTAGTGTCACATGTGAATACTGGATCATGGACTTTGGTTGCTGAATATAATTAACATGTACAATATGCTGTACATGTACTTTTAAACCTGTTAAAGACCGCACTTATCTGAATACATTGAACGGGAACATCTTGCATGTGAACACCTAGGGATAGTGCCCAAATATGGAAGTTAATGCCATTATTTTTCCTTATCGTCATCCCTGACAGGGATATCCACGTATCTACTGGAAATGGCTATGGTTTCACTTCCCCTTCTCCTCTATTCATAATGAAAATTCAAAATTGGTTCAAAATTCAAAATGGCTAAAATTCAATATTTTACATGTTATTTACCCCTCTCTCAATTCAATCAACTTATACAACTGTTGACATCTTGACACCATCCCTGGTTCCATTTTTGAGATATCCCACTCTCATTTTATGAGAACATTTTAATCTGAAAACCTCATTATATGATTACTTATTGATTTAGTTTATTTCACCTTTGACATATTTGAAAATACTTTTAGCCATTTCTAACAGTATTCAATACTGATTACTGAATTATGTTAACCCGAGTCAAATTATTTTTTTAATAATTGTTTGTTTATTTATTTAGTGTTACTGCTCACTGGTATAAGATAATTAATTACATATAAAATATTGTTATTTTCAATAACTCAGATGCGAGTAGGTAAACCAGTTCCATTTAACTTGAATATCATCAGTTTTAGTGGTTCAATCATATCACCCTTATGTCAGTATGTATCTAAGAGTTATGCAAATTAAAATATGTCCAGTAAAAGAAAATGTTATATGTCCAATACAAGAAAAGATATTTCACTTTTAGTGATTATATAACATGGGGTCTATGGGGAATCTCCCCAAACTTGAAGTCACATTTTCAAAAAAAAAGAATTTTCAAAGTTGATAAACAATTTTCGAAACCATACTTCTACGAGGGGTGATCAATAAGTAATGGACGCTTTTTTACACGGATGCTTTTTATAGACCAATTCCTTCGATTTTCTTACCAGTGATACATCATTCAATTGTCTATCAACTCTGAAGATTTGAAAACAAAACATGTAATATATTTTGATATATCTTTATTTCCGTGAAAGAGGTATAGGTACCCCGGGACCAGCATTTCGTCAAATATTTTGAAGCTATTTTAGCTTGTTTAACATGCAACGCAGTTGAATGCAGGCTGAACAAAACAAACCGTTATGGTCATGAATTACCCCATTTTGTTATGCCATAGTTGATTTTGTATATTTTGTCATTACTATGTGGTATTCATGCCACATTCATTCTACATGGCCCTCTTCATAGGTTCCATCAAGAGCTACATGTACATAATTCCTCATCCTCTTAACTCAAGATTGTTAGACAAGGCTGAATCCATTCTCTGACATGGTAGCAAGATGCAGTAGCACGGGTTGTTTCATTTCATCAATGTCAATAAACTTGCGTCCCTTCTCTATAGAAATAAGTAGTATAGGAATAAATAAGTCACATGTGGGAAGATCTGGACAATATGGTGCATTGACCAAGGGCTCAATTTTGAGGTCCAGGGATATTTTTTTCTGAACATTTTGAGATCTGTTGGCAGGTGCATTGTCCATATGGAGTAGGGTGTTTCCTTCTCTCACCAACCCCTTCCACAATGCTTCCTCAAACTGACCTGCCAACCCCGACCATACAACACTCTGACATCACAATACTTACTGTTTGTGTGTTACCAGTCAGCAAAATATTTCAAACAACACAATACTTGTTGCATATAAAAAAGTTTAAATCTAACTGAAATTTGTAAAACTGGCTAAAAACTGAATATGTGACGTAAATGTCGGTCCCGGGGTACCTGTACCTCCTTCACGGAAATAAGGATATATCAGCATGTATTACATATTTTGTCTTCAAATCTTCAAAATTGATAGATAATTGAATGATGTTTCACTGGTAGGAAAATCAGAGGGATTGGTCCATAAAAAGTATCTGTGTAAAAAAGCGTCCATTACTTATTGATCACCCCTCGTAGATGAAGTTTTACATGTAGATTTCAAATATGACATCACTTTGACTGAATCTTGAATATATTATGACGTAAATCAACATTATATATACTTCCATCTACTCTATTGATAGTTCATTTATGATTTAGTCACTGGCGTAATATTTAACTTATTAAAATACCACCAGCTGTTGTCAGCCTTATGAGACACTGGTCTTTCAGTATATCCATGTACAAAGTCAAAATCAGCGTTTAAATCACACTGGAGGTAAAAATTAGAGGTAAACATGCAAGCACTGAGACGACAGAGTTTGTTCATGTGTTAATCAGCTCCCTTTGGCAATTAGCACATTTTTGTACAAGTGTGGTATTAGCAAAATTATCCTGTATTAATATACCAGTATACACATGGTACATGCATTGTCCAGTTTACTGTTTAATAACTCCATTGTGTATGATATTATACTTTGAATTCTATACTTAAGACCAGGCTATTGTAGTTGCATATTCAAATCTGGCATTGAATAAACAATCAAAACAAGAGTTGATACAGATTTTATTTGATTTACTCATTGTGAGCTGACAGGGGAAAGGTGTATATATTCAACCTGTGGCACTTACATTATATTCATTTAAGCATGTTCATTGTGATTATGCATTATTTAGAGAACTTTAAATCTGTATGAGTGAGGTTTATTTTGGTTCTTTTCACAGAGAAGTGTCAACAGAAAGGTAGGAAAATGTTGTTACATATTGAGTTAATATTGTTAGAATTATTAAAATATTTATTTTTAAAACCTTTATGATTATCTTAAAGATACTCTTAAGTTAAGTCTTTACATTATTTATTTTATACAGAGTGTGGTTATTGAAATTATATTGACTGAGTTCAGTAACAAGATGGAGATTAATGATAGATACAATATAGCATAAACATGTACATTTGTATTACTATTGTTAGACATAGGACTGATTTATACAATGCTTTAAGGTAGTTCTGCACTTTGCCAAAACAAATTGAATTTTTGGGGGAAATGGTTCTATACTATAGCAAAGGTGCAAAAAATTGATGAATGCTTTAGGTTTAGGTCTCATATATTTTCTGATATCACACTTTCGAAAAATGATTTTTTTTAGTTTATATGAATGTATAAATGTATTTGATGAAGTATACCCAGTAATGGCATTTTTGATTTTTTTTTGACAAAATCACACAAAATATTGAAAATGTTTTTTTTGAGAAGCAATTCTAGTAATAGGAAATGATTTTCATTTTCTTAAAAATAACCATTATATTAAACTATATCCAGTATACAAAAATTAAAAAACCCTTTCAGTCAGTTTTGGAGATAAAACATCCTCATATCTCCATACTCAACATGGTGGATTAGAATATTTTCTAATGCTTTCAAATTATGTACACTTTATTTTTGGTGTTCATGTGTACATATTTTGATTTTGAACCTGTATACTTCCATAATGTGATATATCCACAAAGAAATGTAACATCAACCATGTCGTTAACCATTGAAAATTATTATCATGAAAATGTCATCGCAATTCTCAATGTGAAGTTTTGTTTGTAAATCAGTGAGCCTTGAGTATGTAGAAATGCATGTCTTAATTCTACCTCCTTGAAAAGAAAAATGTGAGTCTTGAAAAGAATCACCATTTTGCCAAAAAGAGTTTTAATACAGTAATAGCATAATGTCAAAGGTTCATATTGTGAGTTATTAGAGTATGGCTTGAATTTGACTGCTCTTATACTCTTTGACCAACTCTATATCAAATCAGAATGTGTCTTAAGGAAATCATTACACATTTGCCTATAGCTAACTCACATTCATTTCAAATTCAATCTCCCCTAATGATAAAGGCCATAAAAGCTACGTTTGGAATCGTTGATTCATTGAATACAATACTAAATAATTTGTAGTCAGAGGCTAGAGTGCTTGGCTGTTATAAACCAGGGTAATGTTTTATCTGAGGAATGACATGTCTTTAAGAGTTATTTCTCTTTTATTGGACACTTTAATGGTATTTGGCTCTTTGATGGTCACATTAAATAACACATTAAACATAAAATGAAGAATGGATGTTTAATTGGAAACATGTACAAGATATGTTTTACTCTGGGACTTTTTGGGTATTACTTGCACCTGTTTATGGCTTATGGGCCTTAAATTTTCAAAATTTGGGTCCGATTTTTGGTTTTAGGGGCTTTAAAACAAGAGCGGACATTTTTTCTGACTTGAAATGTAGGCCCCCTTGTTAGCTTCTAGATTCAACAGTAGGTATGTTGCACATTTTCAAAACTTGCTCACATATACATAAACTTTTCACCATTCTGAGCTTATATCATAGTTCATTTTTGATATCTTCTTCTACAACTAAGTGATGATTTTACATGGAAAAGTTTAACCTTCTGGAAAATTTACATTTTTTGCATTCATGAAGGATACACTTTTCAAGATTCAAGTATGCAGAAAATGTCTTATTTTTTCATTATAAATGCGTGTGAACAGATTTCGGGTAAACAAATACATGTGGTTGATTTTTAACATAAAAACATTTAACCGAAAACATAAGTCAATAGAAACTCCATTCATGTCAAATGCCATTCTTATAATTAGGAATGACACCATTCAGAAGTGTAGTCAAGATAAACATCCTCAAATCATACATTTTTAAATGGTCTATTGTGCCACATGTATTTTTGATGTCCTACTAGTAATCTTTGGCAAATATTTCTTTATTGTGTCATCATGGTAGTGTTATACACTGAAAATATACTGAGGATATCCATTTCTGTATGACAGTCAAATGAGTGAAGAATTTGCTCCGTTTGTCTAATCACCAGCATACTAGATGAATAATGATTTGAATTGATCAACCCATGTAGTAAAATGATTATAGAAACAAAATGCAAGTTGCATCTTACAGCAAAACCTGTAGATTTGAACACCTTCACATGTAATATATTTTTTGCTCAAATAATTTCTGTGAATCACTGTTTTTATGATATCTAAACTTTGGGAAAAAATATTGAATGGTCTTCATTTGTATTATTTGACTTTATTTGAATTCTAGCTTTTCAAATCCCTGGATTGTCATTAAGCAATAAGGTCAATAGACTAGGTGCAAGTACAAAAAATCTTGATTTAAGCCATTAAATATTCAAAATTCAGTCATAGCGATGTTATATTTGAAATCTACATGTAAAAGTACATCTAGAAATATGGTTTCAAAAATTGTTTATCAAGTTTGAAAATTTAATTATTTTTGAAAGTGTGACTTCTAGTTCGGGTTGATTCTCCATAGAACCCATGTTACAAAATCACAAAAAGTGAAATATATTTTCTTGTATTGGTCAGATAACATTTTCATTTACTGGACATATTTTGATTTGCATAACTATCAGACACATAAGGGTTATGTGAAAATTGAACCCCTAAAACAGATGTAATTTAAGTTAAAGGGAACTTTCTACTATACCCGCCATGCTATCTGACCCGAACGAGCCACCTGGTGGTGAAACTGATAACTACCTACTCGCATTTGCGTTATTGAACTCTAAATATTTATGGAGAATCAGTTCACATTTCTTCAAAATCCAGAATCTTGTGAATATAAAAATCTTGCATGATTTACTTTCTTATCTGAAAAGAATTATCTGGTCCCAATGGCATTCATATTAGACAGGTTTTACTGTACAATTTAAAATATTTTATTTCATTTTTATTTACCATAATATTAACATAAAATTGATCAAAGATAAGGTGACTAGAATACTCTATTCTATTTCATGAAAATGTTTTATAAAATATATCTGAAAAGGTTAAAAGGTAACAAGTTAAGTATTTTTGATAGTAAAGAGATCCTAAATCCATTCAGTTACACTTCTTTGAAATTATGAAATTAATGCATTAACTTGACAGACATCAAAAAGTGTATTCTTATTTCAAAAACTCACGAAGTGTGCATCAAGTTGTATTTTCATGTTATTTATTAGTCTTAGGGATCAGGTCAAAGTCCTTACTTCTGTTAAAATACATAATTGTGCAGGTTAAGGGAGGGGTGGACAACATCGCTTTTCTGCATTCCTAGGGTTTGTCTATAAATCAACATCGAAGGTTTCATTTTGAGAGGGAAGGGTGGGCTTATGTCAAAATTACATACATAGTATTTGACAGATGTTGGTTTATTAATCCAATCCCTTGATAAAATCATAACATTATGTTTTGGAGTTTATGTATTATGAATTTTATTATTTGTCAATACATTTCAGTCATCAAGCATGTGGTTGAAAGTGCTGGTGGTGGCAGCGGGAGTGTACATTGGCCTTACCCTCACGGACAACATTGACTCAGGTAGAAAGGGTTGAAGGTTTTTAGCAGGGAAGGAGGGTGGAGATTTAGTTGTTTTCAGAATAATCATCTTAAAGGCAGAATCAGATCTATAGGGAGTGACAAAATTGCAAGCAATATGTACATTTACCAATGTATTCCTTACAAGCTCAAATATAATATCTCCCAAAAGATTCATGATATGTTATCAATTGGTGAAGTTATTAAGATTCAAAGTGCAAAAATGGGGGGAAATATTTAAATTCTCCCAAATAATAAGAATGGTAACCATACTTATAGACAAATGATAGCATTATTGTAAAAATCTTTAGTTTTCCTCAAATAAAGTACATACTTGGGAGTATTTTTAGAAAATAGATATGACAAGGAATGATATGAGCCCAAAATATTCCTAAGTAAAATTGAAACAATTTTTCATCAAGATGAAGCACCAAAGTAAGGAAAATAATTGCTAGATCTGATTCAACCTTTAAGCAATTTCTTGTTTATGCAATTTGTAATTGTATTATATAAATACATGTAGTTGACAGGTTGATAGTTAGTAATTTAATTTTATCATTATTTTATTGATAGATATTGTAACAACCATCATTAGTTTGTCATTGTCAAATATTTTAACTTTCAGAGTTAATCCGTGGGAAAAATGTGATCATCACCGGGGCTTCCACTGGGATAGGGGAGCAAATGGCATACCACTATGCTCGGTTAGGGGCCAAACTGCTTATCACTGCTAGGAGAGAACATGTATTACAGAAAGTAAGAACTTATCAATGTAAGAGAGGAAATGGGAACATGACATGAGGCCTAGATTTTTTCCTGACCAAATTAATTAATAGGCCAAGTTTATTTTCTTGCAAAGCAATACTGTGCTTCTTCAGAATGTGATCAACTGACAGTGATTGAGTCCAACCAAGGACCTATAAGAGCAGGATAAGAACTTGTTGGAAAGTTCATTCTCTCACCCAAACACCCAGAACCAACAGATTTCCCCATCCATAAGGAAAATGTTGATAAAGTCTATATGTTACTGCTTCCTAATTGTAACTGGATTTCAACTGCCAGCCCCAAAATGTAATTGATTGATTTGTAGGCGTGCATCAATATATTGTCCATATTAGTTCATATTCATGCTGATGTTACTATATTTAGGATGCAGAAATATCCTTGTCTCAGCATATCTTTTATAGTGTCACAATAGCCCATCATGAATTGTTATTGATATCATATAATTTCCATTATTGGATAGTAGTCTGTGTTATAAAAAGCATGAAATGAAAATCTCCAAATGTCACGCATCTATAAAAATTCTATAGGAAAATAAAACACGTTGTTTTAACCTCTCAGTAGTAAGGCGCCATTAGTATTCAGTTTATTAGGATCTTAATTCAACCAACAACCTTGAGAATCAGAGATGAAAGTGATATCACAGTGATTGATGATTGGCTCTATGTTTTATGTTTATTTCCTTTTAGATACATACACATATACAATACATGAGAATGATGAGTGGGTGACACTTTAAAAAGTGTATATTCCCAACAAAACCTTTACAATAAAAGTTGTGTGTTGTCATACCTGTTAAAATGCAGTTGATTTTCAAACAATTGATTTTCTGTGTGGTTTTTGTTGTTCTTACTTCCCCATAAAAGTGGTTTAATATCAATATTTTTTGATATCATATAGCAAAACACCTCATTACAAACAACAGTCAGATCAATGAGGAAAATGGATTAAAGGTGCAACTTAGACCATAGACAAGTTGATTAAGATATTTTTGTTATCTTTTAAGTATCTAAATTATACATTTAAACTAAAAAGCCCGATGAAACTCCTGATTCAAAATCTCACCTATTTTTAAAAGGGCCATCAGTTTTACGGTTGAAAATCACTTGTTGGAGTGATTATTGAATATTACTTGAAATTGTATATGTGCAGATTGGTAAGGATATCAGTAAGGTCGAGAATTTTTGGACGAATATCTTCCAAACAGAATGGCTGGTACTTGAGTTGTTGGGAAATAACATATTTGCCACAAGCTTATAAAGACAAGTTGAAAATCTGATCCAAGTACCTGTAATACTCTTTCTATTTTTACATGATGAATTATATTCATTTCCTTCAGGTAATAGAGCGCTGTAAGGAGATCGGGGGGCCAGAGGGGGAGTTTCATTATTTTGTTGCTGATATGGCAGACCTTTCAGCTACAAAACTTCTTATAGAGGTAAGCATTGAAAAGTATGAGCTAAAGTCATCTATGGTCTGGATTTTATCCAGTAATGCTAGAGCTGATTAGGTTTTGGCATGAACCTTTTTCTCTGAGGGTCCATTATTTTGGCCATGATTTCTTACGCAAGTAAGCCATTTTGACTAAAGTCAGAGTGTAATGTAATGTAATAGTATGCGGATTTAATTTTCATTAAAACTCTTAGTAGTATTTGTAGCTGATTTCAGCTGTATCATATTTTAGACACCCTGGTAGGTATTGGTAAGAGTAGTACTTTTAGAAATGTGTCAGTTTTCTTTTGTTTATCCCTAATATAACTAAAGACAGTGTTTTTTCTCTATTTATCAACATATTTTGATTAGGAATTCATTTGAATTGAAACTGGACTTAAAATGAATAAATATAATTCCTTGTTTATTTTAGCATGCTGAGTCTGTACTTGGAGGTATAGACTACCTGGTGTTGAACCATATTGCTCTTTCCCCTGTGGCACCCTGGGTAGGGTCAGATAAGAACCTGACCCTAGTGGACACATTGTACACCGTCAACACTAAATCTTACATCCATCTCACATCTCATGCCCTCCCTCTGCTGGAACAGTCTAGGGGACATATAGTCGCAGTTTCATCACTTGCTGGTAGGTGGCACCACTTAGGTTGTAACCATATTTGAAGACCACTACTATCGACCTGATGCCTATTGTAGTATGTGTAAGAAAATAGATCAGCTACCATGTTATTAAAAAATCAGCTGACCCAGACCAAAAATATCTGGCTGTGAGCATCTCTGGAAGAGATAGATTATACCCATAATTCACTCAATACCCTAATCGATGTATTTAGTGCCCACCCCCTAATAAGCGCCCACCCTGTTTCGCAAAGTTCAAGATTTATGGGTCTTGTGAAGGAATATACTATTGTAATAATTTTGATCATCATTTAACCAAGAAAGCTTCTGCACCGGTTTTCTGTGCACTTCAAAAGGTCATGAAATTTCTAGTTTCTTTTTAACAATTCTTGACTTTTACACGATTTATGATTTACACAAAAAAGATAACCTATCATCAAATTAAAAACATAAGGTATAACTTTAAATCAAGGAGAACAATTCAGTCACTTCGTGGAGCTCCTCGGGAATATCTACAGTGATGTTTAGTTAGATTCTTGGTTCATTTTAGCGATCTTTACCTTAAACTCAATGCATATTATTATTGTAAAAATATGCTGTTAGTTCGTTCTGATGTTGCAAATAAGCCATTCTTGACATATGTGGACACTTATTAGAAAGGCTTGAAGGAGGTATTTTGAATTTTCTAAATCCCCGGGCGCTAATTACAGAGAATACGGTACATGCATAAGTTTTCAAGATACATGTATTGATATTTGTTTTTCAGGTAAAGTGCCTCATCCTTATATCATCTCATACTCATCTTCAAAATTTGCCTTAGATGGTTTCTTTAGTGGATTACGAATAGAGTTTTCGCTAAGAAAAATAGATGTCTCTGTCACACTGTGCCTGCTAGGATTTGTAGGTATGTTTAGAGCTAACTGTACTTTTATTTAAGAAATTATATATTGTTTGTTTGGTTTTCAATTTCTAGCTGGATCCCATGAGTGTGTTGACAGGTGGTGCTGTTTCACATGTTATATCTCTTGTATTACTAATATAAGATCACACCCCCTCACCCCCACAAAAAAAAGAAAAAAGCAATTTTGTAAAATTTGTTCAACCCCTGTACCCCCATGTTTATTTGAGTTCATATATGCATTTACAAATATTTCCAGGAACAGAAAATGCAGTACAGCAGCTAAGAAATTATGGGTTCAAAGGAATAGTTGACTATGTACCCATGTCAACTCCGTCCAGTGCCGCACTTGCCATTGTAAAAGGAGGAGCCGACAGGGCTCGGGAAGTTTATTATCCATTCATGCAGGTGCGATCAATGACTCTCCTTAGAGATATAATACCTGGGACTTTAGCTCAAATTATAGGACTTGTTTTTAGTCATTGATATAGCTTTAAGAAATTGTAAAATTATGAGCCTGGCATCAATTTTTAAAAACAGCATTATATTATGGATCTGCAAATCAATTGTTCTCTAATTACAGAGTATTTGTAAAACAGATATGCAACTTCATGATGCTAAGAGGAATAGACCCAAGGTCTGATAAAAGGATGTGTTATGACATGTGCTATTTTACCTTCGTAGTCAGCTTTAGGGGTCCGGCGATTGCTCGAGTGCTCTGTAATGATACAAGCATATTGATAATCAACTTGAAAAACACTCAAAATACCTTAAAGGACAACTGAAATAGCTTTTCTCAACTTGCAGCTACAAAAATGCGGTTTTCTCCATTGTAAGCCCAACGTAGAGTTCTTGCGATAGCCATTATAAAATAAATGTTAGATAACTGCTAACGGTGATAGATAACGAAATAAAACTAACTGATCAATCAAATTGGCCCCCACGTGATTAGTAACGTCATATACAAAATATAGCTTTGGTTTATTGGTTCCTTAGTAATCACAATGTCACGGCAACCATAGGATTGTTGTGTAAACAAATAACAAAACATTTTGGCATTATGACGTCATGATCTAATGGACCAAAACGGGCCACGTGGGGACCAGTGAGAGATCACGTGGGGGCCTATAACGTCACAACCAATTCGAATATTGCTTATTAAGCAGCTAAAACAATCGTTAGAGTGAAATGCATGTATGTTGAATTAAAGACTAATCTAAGACTAATCAACTTATGGTATGGGATAGTTGGGGTTTGTTTTCCTTATGACCGGTGTGCTCTTAAACATTTCTTTTCTTGTTCTTGCTGGGTTCTGTCACAATTTTTGATTCTTTCACTTTGGTGTATAGATACTGCAGGTGTATACAGTATGATAAAGGGTTTTAAGTGGAAGCGTGATACTTTTTGACTCAAATGATATTCTGATCCAATGCATGAGGGTTCATACTTGTAACTGGCATATTAACATCCTCCAAATGCATCGGTGTAGACGTCATCCACTCTGCTCTGAAGGAACAGAGAGGATGCTGTCTGGACCCCTGGATTTGGAGGATGCACTCTTAGTTTGTGCTTCATTTTTGAGGGATCAGCTTTTTTTCACTAAAACATCACATTTTGACAACATGGATTTATCATTCAAAGTGTTTCCAAATCAGGCAATATATGTTGCAGTATATGTTTTGCAGTATCTATTCATGACATATTTAATATCAATCATTCTAACAGTTATATCATCTGATCATATTGTTTCTCTTTTTTGATTTTGTGCCCACTTAAGTCATCTTGACGGTGTCACACTTTAACACTAAAATTGGTAGTAATATCATTATTTAGTATCAAGCGTCATATGTATGTAAATATATGAGTGTACAATTTACTACCTCTAAATGAATAACTGAACATTTAAAAAATATAGTGCCAAAGATTTTTATTTTATTCAGAGACAATGATTTATGTTTTGGGTCTGAAACTGCAAAATAGCTGCAAGGTGATTAGAGGCAATGCATAATAATAAGACCAGTTTCTATATCATATTAAGTTTTGGTAAAAATACCAGTAAATCGGCACTATTTTTTCAAAATGGCTACCAGATTTGATTCTAAGAATTATATTTGCAGTTATAAATAAGGCTGTTTCATGTCTCTGTATAAGTGTCATACATGGATAGGGCTGATTGAAATATAATATCACAATTGACACAAACTGACATACACACACAGAGTGGATTCTATTGTGTGTTATTCAAATTTCATATTAATTAAGATAGCCTTAGTCTGATGACTTTCTGACATGTTCGTGCTGTGCATGATATGAATATGCCCACTTACTTGTCCAAGTTAAGTGACAGCGCACAAATATGTTTTATAATATTACTTAATTTTCTCTACATGTTAATATGAATGTAACTCTCTTTTATTTAAGACGTAAATAAATTAATTATACATACATACATACAATAGAGTGTAAGATGTTATAAAACCTTTTTAAGCGCTTGCAAATGTTTCATGTACAATTTTGAAGTTGTTAAGGATATATAATGTGGAAATGTTAAAATTCATTAGAATTGAAAAAGGAGATGTCTACCTTTCAAAATTATTGTTGAACAACCTTAAAAATTCCATGGGCTTTTTCTTGAAACCCTATGGAAAATCTAAGCATTATCTTAAAATAAAGTAAAGAACTGTTAGACTTTTTGGAAATAGACATGTGAGCAAAGAAACTGTTAAATGTTTGCATTTTTAGAAGTTTTCTTGTTAATGCACAGTATTGAAATGTGAAATGAAATTGATTCGACCCAAAGAATTATATTATTTAGTAATCTACTGTCTGATAAAGATATAAAATAATGGAACCAGGTTTATTTTGGCACTATTTAATTTGGCAATTTAGACTCTCGAAAGGTTTTAATTTGATGTACTTATGTAATCCGCATTTCAATTAGCAATTAAGAATTTAATGGAAATTCATGTTGGGAATATGGACTCTTAATCAGCAATTCAATATGGGTACCAAATTAAAACTGGTTACATTATTTCCAGGCCCGCAGCCAGAAGATGAGCGGAGGGAGTGGCCACTCCCCCTAGCCAGAAATTCATTCAAAATCAAGCTGTTTTTCACCATTCTGAGCACTTTTCGCATGATTTTTTGCCAAAACTGTCAAAAAGCTCCCCCCTTGGCAAAAACTTCTCCCTTGGTAAAACCGCTCCCCCCGGTAAATGCAGACTACAGGCCTGATATCATAATATGGTTGAAGGCGATATCTTGTTTTTATAGCACACTATATTTTTTTTATTACTTTATGTAGAATAAGAAGGGGATACTTTAGAATTCATAGATGACAAATCTGTTTGGGTACAAATAGACTTCTAGAGGTTCATTTTTACATGAAGGTCGGGTCATCTATGAATTCTGGCGTATTTCCTCCTCTTTTGTAAACATTACATCCAATTTCATTTTTGACGAAAATGAATAAATAATACATATTTTACAAACGTACAAAAATACATGTAGTATATATTATATATATATACACAGGGTTAAGGTTTTTGGGAAACGTCTTGTTTTATCATGGCATTATCAAAATCTACTTGATCATAGCGAAAATAATATCTAAAATGTGGTCAAAACATTTGATTTATATAATTTCCATTCATGTATGGTATATAAAATATGAATAAATACATGTAGTAGAAATAATTGATCTATGTGAGCAAGTTGTCAATAATTACATAATATCAATAATAATATCTTCTCTTGAAATAAAATGAGTTGAGTGAAATGAAGAGAATATTTTACCACAAAATCCTTCAGATTCAAAAAAGATATTAACACATTTGCAGTTATTTCAAAGATGACTTCTAGCAAAGGATTCTGAAGTACAATTCTGCAATAGAAATGTAGCTTCACTGGCATTTGTACAGAAGTTACTAGCACACTAATTTTAAAATTAAAGAATCAATTTGAGCAATTGTCAGCTTTCTATCTATTAATTTGGATACTGCCTAACATTTAATCATCCCCCCCGCATCCAGTCTCATAATATACCACAATACCATAAATGTAGATCAGTCATGTAAGAGATTTAATACATATACATATTTAAATCTTGAAATATATATATATTATAATGTACAACAAATGATATACCAGCTATAGCCTACATTAAAAGTCACAGTCTTTCTGTTTACTTAATTACAACAATGTATTTATACAAAAATAGTAATGGCATTTGTGCATGCAATTTCTACAATTATCTGGGATTAAAATACTTGTACTTGAGTGTGTTAATCCACATAATGTGAACTATGTACAATAATTATAAAGGCACGGAATGCTTCATCATGTTACTCAGCTCTAACAATATACACGTACAATAAATATGTCACTATCACCTGCTACGCGTTACAAAAGTAAATATATGTAACGATTTGTTACATATTGCCAACATCTGTCAACATCTACACTGAAGTCCACATGTCAGTCATAAAAAATGTTGAACAATCACATTTTTGTAGACGTTGATTTTAGTAAGATTACTTCCAACGTTTTATATGCTTTGCTGCCATTCTAATAATTGAAAATAAGAAATTAAAACTAGGATATGCTATTTTGTTATCGAGAAAATATTTATCATATTTGCTTCAAAAATAAGTGATTCCAAGAACTGTGATATTTTAGGTAATGACTTGTGAGTCATTTTTTCTGTGTTTGTTGGTACATTTGTATATTAATAGGTCATTTGTTTTATAAAAGTTGATTTCAAAAGTATACAGTATAGAAACGTTAAAGCTTAAATATTGATCAAAGTATATTCAGCAGCGTTAACCTCTGCACACAAATGTTAATTTCACCACTGGAATATGACTCCTGTAGATTTAATTAATAATGTAAAAACAATTAATAAAGCTTATTCTAAACCAGCTGGGGTTTAGATAAATCACAATCCTTAAACAATAACAAACACTGCAAGAAAATATACTTTAAATCAGTTTAATTTGGCAGTGTTTTGGGATATTTTCCATTTTAAATTAAAAAGCATTGACAGTTTTTAATTAAGCATAATTTTGTGAATTTGCATCATAGGTTAACATAACATAACAATTTGTGATCTTTTACAGAATTGGCAAAGTGGCTATAAAGTGGGCGCCAAATTAAAGCAATTTACAGTAGATTACTTCAAGTCTGTCAAATGTTGGTATTAACGCCCTTTGTCAACGTTTGAATTAACAATAACAAATTTAACTTTATCGACACCCTCTCCTCTTTAAAATCTGTTAAAGTCTATGCGTCATTAAAATTTCCACTCTTACAGTAACATCTGAGCCAATAGAAACAGGATAACAAGTAGGTTGTCTTGTGACAATATGATATGTGATACGCCTTTAGATTTGATTATGGTCCTGCGTGACAAGCACAAGTAATTTCTAACTGATATTGTATAGCATATAATTCTACCTTATTATAGGTGTGACACTCGCCTTATGACAACACCTTTCACAAACAATATACAATTAATCAAGGGCCTGTATTAACAATTATGGGCATATTATGGACATACTGCTAACACCTTGTTGCGCAAAGTATAAGAAAGCGAAAACTCATCTAAATGTAATAAAACTGTTTTAGTCTCATTATAATTTGTTGTCACGGTAACTTATATTGCCCAAAATCTCTTGTTACATCTTTACAGGTGTTCATTTTCTGAATATCATTTTTAAATACAATAGTAATAATTTGTTTTAATTTTTACATGTTATCTTAAAAATATCTTTTTTTTCATTCCTTCTGAGAACTTATAGAAGGAGACCGTGTAATGTTCACTTCATCATTTATGGATTCTGGGTCTTGTTTAATCTCACCGTTTTTATCATCAATACAACCTTCAGCTTTTCCATTGTTCACTTCAATGTCCTTAACAGGTACATCTTTGAATCGTTCCAATAGATCAGCAACAAGGTTGTTCAGGTCTGTCTCATCAGTAGCCTTATCATCATCTTTATACTCTTTTACACTGCTTTCTGTTTCTTTCATGGTAAACCTATGGGCCTGGTTAGTACCCTACAATAGTTTACAATGTTAATTGAATTCTGTTACTATTTTCACAGGTTAAAGGCAGATCTGCATGAAACAAACAACAAGCTATGAGTGTGTGAATATTTATTTGATAATTTGGAAGAACGACAAGTTCCCACTCTTGTTTTATATTCCAAGAATTGTAATAGGTGTTATCATGAGGTGGGAATGTCATATTTTGATAAAATTAAAAAAAATTCTTTAAAATATTTTTTGGTAAAGTGCAGGTGCTAGTAAAGCGCAAGAGCATATATATTAATTCCTCTCAGTGGTGTAGCGTGGGTATTTTGTGAGTGTACGCAACACTGATCGAAACGAACAAGCTTTGAAGTGAAAGGGGTGGTGGTTTCTCCCTTCAAGGCAATTTGAAAATGAGATTGCATTTGAAGCGTTCTAGAGTATTTTGAAATACAAGATTCCGACTAATATAGACTAATAAAATGTAAACTACATGTATTTGCAATTTTTATCAATTTTTAAAGTGTGGGGCAATTCAATATGAAAATCAACTGTTCTCTAAATTTTGAAAGTATGCCATGGTATTTTATGCGTATATGATGCTACGCCATTGACTCCAATACTTTACAAAGAAAGATGTAATCTGACATTTTCGTTAACTTCGTATTTAATTAGAACTGGCTTCCAACAGAACTCCTGTAGAAGAATGATTAGAATGAACAATAACAAGACGTGGCTTATTTTAAGTTGAAATATAAATTTGTATGAAATTCTTGATATTTCTTGGCAAAATGTTCTGCACTTTACCAAAATTAGTTGTTCCAATCCTAAGGTAATTTCCAGTTTGTTTTCAGGTAACATTGTGATTTCTGTTCTGATACTAATTACTGTTATGAAGCTTAGTGTAAGCTTTCACACATTCACGATCTATTGTACAGACAGTGGGGTGTCAAATGGCAACATACACTAACATAACTACCAATACACAGAATATATTATTAACAAATGCTCACTGTGTGACACAAAAATAGCATAAGATTATCAAAGCGTTTTAAAAAATATTCAGAAACTAGTGTCTCAAAAGTTTTGTACTGGTTCTACTGAATTGTAAACATATAATAAATTTTGCTGAGGGAATCAATCAAAAGTAACTTAAAGGGTTAACTGAGTGTGGAAAAATAATTGGCTTCTCCATAATTGTGATCTATAGTTCTAAACATGTCGGACACACCCTGTTATGTGACACATCATTATTTCAAACACAAGAATTGTATTGTATAATATTTCAAGTAATACCACCCTTACCTCTATGCAATGTACAACAATGTTTCCAGCTGTGACTTCACTATGTAACACCTTGTTCTCATGGCAACTAGTGAGACAATTCTGAATCTGTGTCCTCAAACTGTTTATCTTGCTTGTGTCTAGGGTGTTGCCGGAGTTCAGAAAGTTTTCTAGGGACATTCCATCCTTCTCGATTTTTACCTCATTTATGTCTGAAGACAAGATAGAATACTATGCGGAAAAGTTTGGCAAGTTAACAATAAATATCATCCCAATTAAAAAGACGTTTTTTGACAGAAGATGACTGTTTTTCCTGTCTCTATATATCAACATGTGAGATGGATGCATTTTTGATATTGTTTTTATCACCAGACTTCACTTTAGTTTCTACATACTTACACCATAAACAATTTAAGTCACATCACTTTTAAATCTGAGTGAGTCCTTACAATTAAAATACAAAGTTATTAACATGCAAAATGTCACCATCTTCCATTCGTTGCAGACATCAAACACTGATTGCTGAACACCATCCACAAAAAGATTGGAAACTATAAAAATATGTCACCACTTGCGATGGTCACATAAGTGATGACACAACTGCAAACTTAAACTATATGTAAACACTACAATAACTTCAATATCTGCCACCAACCTGCAGCTCCCACATTCACATCAAGGGCTGGCAGTGATCTACACTTAGATCTGCGGAGTCCTTGAGAGCGCCTTAGGGAGGAGCGGGGAGTCACATCCTGGCGATTATGCCCCAGTGAGAAGCAAGCATATAGGACAGGATTTAAAGCAGCATTCAAAGGGAGCACAAGGGCAGCCAACCATACTATGATGTCCTCATGGAACTTTAGACCTGCAAATTTTACATTAAAATTGAGAAGTAGGCATCACAATCCTGTTTTCTACCACTTCAACCTTTGCATCCAAAACTGTTTTTGACAGTTAGATATCTCTTTGGTGAAAATGGTGAAAATAATTTCCTTTTTTCCTCAAAGCAGTAAAAATCTAATTCTTTTCTTTTAGACACATAGTTCCTCTTCCAAACAAAATCTTCCCAGTGTAGATAAGTTGATAAATGTCAGGGATGTGTGCACAATAAGCAAGCAATACTCTCGCAACATAAAATTGAATTTTATCATACTCCAACAAGTTAACAATTGTCTTATGTTATATATCTGTTAAAATGTTATATATTGTTATAATCTTATATCTGTTAAAATGAATGTTTACAAGTACATACCTGCCAGCTGGAATATGACGCAGATGAAGATGGCCAGAGAGACAAGGCAGTCAGTCAGCACAATCACCAGCATCTGTAGTGAGAGGACATACTCACTCCTCACATGCCTGTTGACCTCACTGTACTTAATCTTGCAGGCTTTGATTAGGACAGCTGTGTAGCAGACGAAGGCAATGATAGTGGAGCTCCCCAAAAGGGTCATGAACACACCAAGGGTATACTCGAATGCGGGACTATGGAGAGGTCCAAGACCTTGACTCACTAGAGGTAAAGCAACGCACATTTTGTTGTCTCCATACAAACCATCGAAGTATGCAATCGGGAGGGCAGGTATGATTCCGAAAGCAAGGCTGAAGATCCATGCTATCCCCATAGTGACGTGCATTGCTTTGGGGCTCCATTTATCAATATGTGCGGGGATAACAGTGACAACCATCCTCTCAAGAGTGATGACAATGATACTGAACAGAGACATAATGATGCCCACAGTGGAAATGACACCAATACTGATGCACAGAATACTGCTACGCCAAGCTGGGCTGACGTAAGGGAACATGTCACGATAGTACAGATCCACCGCAGCAATGATGAGTGTATAGATGCTTATAAGGAGGTTAGCAAGAGCCATGTGGAACACAAGGATGACTGGAGGGATGGACAACTCCTTGCGAACAATCCTCATACTTATGACATAAACATTACCAAGTACACCAACCAGCCCAAGTATCCAACATACAATTTCAAGCACTCTTGAGGATGGGTCATTAAATCTCCGAACAAGGTCAGAACAATCTGGAACCTCGGATGGTTCCTTTGTAGCCATACATTGAACCTCTTTGTTGGTAAACTCACAGCAGAAGGCATTGTGGTCCACAACACTGAAACAAATAAGAAAAAATAAGAAAACACAACACTGTATGATGCATAGAATCTCACCTAAAATACCTTGATGCTATTGCAGAGATATTTCTCAATAGAGTATAACATGCCACTGGGCTGAGTTTTCATTGAGGTATTGAGGTCAATCATGACTCTAAAGCAATGAACATGGAATTAATACATTCATATATTAAATGCATATGACTGCTTTGGATCAAGCTATGACATTTTGTTTGTGTTTTAGCCACGATTAAAGAATTTTCAAATTATCAATGAAGTTATTTATAACAAATGATTGTTTAAAAAATTTTAAACTGCAAGAAAATAAAAATGTTGGAATGACATGAAAGAAAATTGAAAAAGAACAGGGAAATAAGCTATTGAACTTGGAACAACCTTGCAGAAGTAAGACACACCATGGAAAGAAACCATAAACAACTCACATTTTCTTCAGGGCAGTAAGGTCCTCAAACAAACCACCAGATATAGAGAGTAAGGGGTTGTTGTCAAGATACCTGTGAACAACAAAACATTGAATATAGAAATGACGGTGCTGTATGAAATCTGTATATAAAGTGAGATTTGTACAAAAGACAGTCACAAAAATATGCATTTGTAGTGCATTATGCCCAAGATGCCCATTACATGTTCCTGACCATCATTTCCCATGGTATTACCATGGTATATCATGGTTGATGACATTTCATGGCATTTCATTGTATGGTGTGACAATCAAATACCATGGTCATACTATGGCATTTCATTGCCAAAATCATAACTCTCATTTATCATGGTTTTATCATTGAATTTCATGATTGGTGGTATTTCATAGCATTTTATTGTCAAACCTGAGCATCAAATACCATGTTCATACCATGGTATTTCATTGCCATAATCATAACTATGATTTATCATGGCATATCATTGCATTTCGTGGTTGATTGTATTTCATACCATTTCATTGTCAAACATGACCATCAAATACCATGGTTATACCATGATATTTGATGGTTTCACAGGTTGTTGTTTTCATTCATTTAGCCGGTTGTGAGAAATCTAGTGAAACCCCTGCATATTGACATGGTATACCATGGTATATCATGATAATTAAATGGTACCACTGCATATCATGCTTGAGTGTCTAGACCATGATATCACTGCATTGATGGTATTTGACCATGAACTACTGTGAAACGGTGGCATTTTTTATATACAAAATTACTTGTTAATTGACATGATATTAGTTTAGAAAATTTATTCGTATACCATGGTATATCATGATCATTAATGGCACCATTGCATTTCAAAGTTAACAGGGTTTTTTTCGACTGTGATATCACTGGATTTGATGGTTTCTGACCATTAAATACTGCGAAACGGCAATATTTTTTCAATGGAAAACTCATGGAAAGCAGTTAACCATGAAATGCAATGGTGCCATTTAACAATCAAGATCGGCCATGATATTACCATGGTATTTCATGACCATAGACCATGGAATGACCATGGTCATACCATGGAATGATCATGGTCATACCATGGAATGACCATGGTCCATTTCAACATTGACAGGTTATTCTGTTGATTTCATAAGTATTTTGGCAATGCTGTGGCCATGATTTAGTCTCAAGATATTGTAAAATGTATATGAGCAATTATAATGGTACATCATTGATTGTCTGGGAGGGGGACCTTGCCCCTTTAAATGAGATTAGTATAGCTTTAAAAGATGAAATATGAATTAACTTACAATTCTTCCAAAAGGCTGAGTTGTGAAAATGCATCCCTGTGTATACTCTCTATTCTGTTGGATGACAAATCACTACAATAAGAACGTAATATTATATTTAAATACAGTTGATAACAAGTGGCATTATCTTTCATTTTCTACTCATGTGATCCTGTCATTTTTCCGAAACTGAGAAATATCAACAGTTATGTTTGAAAAGTCTTGAAACTAAGTACTATGTTCACTGTACAATTTTGAACTCAATCATCAGCTTCCTTTGCCAGATTTAATTGCCAATTGTTTTATTTTCAAAACCTCTATAATTATACATTATCATTTTTGCAATAGAGTAAAGCACATGGGCTCACATTCTGATACTCATAGCATCTTTCTGTTTCACCTCAGGGCTGAGAAGAAATGAGATGTCATGGTTTATCATGATGATGGGCTCATATTTGTACTTACATTTTCTTCACTTTGATGAAGCTTTTCAGACTTGTTTCATCTAGATGTGATATGATGTTGCCTGTCAGATTTCTAAAAAGATCAAATATAATAGTACCCATCACAAACCAACAAACAATCAATAAACAAAACATTCAGCATAAACAAACAAAACGATGTCTGGAGAAAAATTACATATGACTATTTACAGGACTATATCAGATGACCAGATGTATGTGATTTGTATGACATCAAGTATAATCATTTTTCTTTTGGAGGCAGCCTATTAAAGTTTTTATTTGAGATAGTTATTTATCAAATTAAATAGAACTTTGCTAGTATTACATGTACATTTGGTTTGATTTTCACATTATTTACATAATCTATCTTCAGGTTTTGTACCATAATATCTACCTGTTTCAATTTCTAGTTTGTGATTTGATAGACTTAACCTAGTAAAGCAGTTTCTTTCCTCAATATTTTAATGCAATAAATAGTTTTCAAAAACATTAGACTTTTTGAATGTAATATACTATACATAGTAAGTTCGCATTTTGTTATTTTATCTTGGGTTTTGACCAGGAGATATTTTGGATTTCCATATTTTATAGTAATTTTATTTCTATATTTTATTAGAATGTTTGGTTAACTTTTTTCGGTTAACTTTGTTTATATAGAGGTTTGATTGTCTTGTGTTTTCTATTGTTGCCCTTAGTGAATTCTCAATGCACCAATTAATGCTTTGTTGCAGCGTTGCTAGCTGCTTTTCAATATATGCAATTGGAACACTGGAAAATAATGATACTTACAACAATTCAATGTCCCTTGGGTCTTTAAATGAAGGGACTTGTGATATAATTCCATCTGTGCAAATAACGGCTGTTGGAGAACAATCACAAATTGTAGTATTACATGAGACACCAGACAGTGATTCTACTGTTGCATCACTGGTGGGCAATGTTTCCATAGTGAAATTCATAGCTGGATCTGCTGAAAATAGAAATCATACTTCTGATTATGAATTGTAATCTGCAATCTGGTGGAACTTCTCAGATGAGGAAAAAGTCTGAAAATCATATTTCATATTCTGTTAAAGTGGCAACAAGGCCTGTAGAGAGGAAAATTGAAAACATTCACTTTTCCTGAGCTATCAGGGTAACATTTGGCTTAAGGTCTTCTTTGTCAGACCTATTTCCTTAAATGTATGGACATGCTTATCTATTTCAGCTTTTAGAAGTGTAAATAAATGCAGATATTTCAGCTGAAATAAGGTTCATTCAGGGGGGTTATTTATTGATAATGAAAATAGATGTTAGCATTGCTGAAATATCTAAACTTCGATATATTTGACTCTAAGGTCCATGATCGTTGGATACGTCTCTGCACTAAATGATAACATGATAAATGTCTAAAGATAACTGTTATTCTATTTTGACAAAAATAATACAAAGGATAGGTATCGATATGGTGAACTGAATTCAACAATGTTTTTCTCTTTAGCCAATCATTGAAAACATTCTGTAAAAGAACAAAATCCTTTATGTAATGTTGACTGATTGAAAACAATTTAATGCAAAAAGTATTTATATATATTTTATACAACTGTTTTTATTAACATTTTTTGTTTTTGGTGCAATTGTTTCTTGTTCCTTTCTACCAATTCTTGAGAATGAAATAAAATGTCTTTCCGAACCTTTTTGGAACAAAATAGCATATACAACATTTTCTTAGACCTCTCAATATTATAGTTATACAAAGGAAATGTTGGTTGATTTAACAAAAAGTATTCAAAACCCCCCAAAATGGATAAAAATTAGGATAAACCTTTTATTTCATTAACAAGACACTTTTTTAAAATCAACCAAAATTTACTTTGTACAATTACAATATTGAGAGACCTAAACACGTTTTGTTTATGTTGTTTTGTTCCAATGAGGTTCGGAAAGATGTTTCATTTCATTCCGAACACATAATACCAAGAACAAAAGAACTGTCTGATGAGTTTTCTAAAACGATATAGAGAAAAGTGTATATATTTTTTTCAAATTATATTGTTACCATTCAAAAGATGACCATTAAATTGACGATATGTGTAAAATTTTTAGAATTTTTTGATGACTGGTTTAAGAGAAACGTGTGTTCAAAAAATTCACCATATCGATACCAATCCTTTAGATAGCAATTGAGGTAACATGTAAGCCAAAGAGGATATCATACTTCTATGGTTCATATAATCAAAAACATTCTTCTGTTAAATGTTGGTGAGGCAGTCACCTCTCCTGGTTCATAGCAGCTAGCATTTTTAATATAATCATAAATCATAAGCAAAATGAATTGCTCATAAACCCGTAATATAAGATTCACTGTACGCAGAAGTATGGATGACAGCTAGAACATGATAATAACAAAAGCAGGATGTTAAGCTCTCATATGTTAGCTAGCAAAACTGATTTCCTTTGACAATTAATGAAACATGTTTAGAACTTGATAGCATCCTGTTTCCAACTGGTTATTACCTGGGGTTACCTGATGCTCATGACTTTTTATACCTGAGGTGTCAAATGACACACGACAAGGGTGAGAGGCTCCTGAAGCTTTAAGAATTCTTATATTCATCATTCAATGATTTTGCTGATAAAGTATGCTTGATGTCAAAACAATGTATTTTAAAAATCATGGTGTTTTTTGTTACCTATGGGTTTAATACTTTTCTGGATAGCTCAGAATATGCTGTAATACTTGTACTTTAAACTAGATCAGATATTACAAAATTGTAAGCAACATTCTCAATTTGTCAACTAGAAAAACTCCATAAAGTAGCAAATCCCAATGAACAAATGACAAAACATATTTTTCATTATATTATAAGTTATTGAATGATTTGAAGTGCAATACAGGATATATTGTGCTTGAGAAAATCCAAAATGGCTGCCTTAACATTTACCCAGAATGCCGAAAAACTAATCAGGTCTGAAAATGTGAAATTGATCCGTCAAATGGTTATCCTGAAAATGAGTAGACAAGACTTTACAGACACAATTTTGAGCTTTGATAATGATTGTTACACTGAATCTGTTCATTAATTACCCTTATACTTTTGCTGTCATTGCGTGTATTTACATCATATCATAAAAATTGTCCTTAATCAGGTAATGTTGCTGATCACAAACTAATATTTAATCAGACTGGAATTATGTTGAAGCAGATGACCCAGAGTGTTGCAACCATCCCAGGTTATGAGCAATAAAAATGTTATCATGCTACTAGTCTGCATGGCATCATAGAGCATTTTGGATAATCAATCATTTATTATATTTTTCTCTTATATCTGGATAGGACACTCCAGTAACTCATACTCATACATGTGACCTCATTTGATATACAATTCAAATTGATCACTATTATAGCTACTTTCATTATTACAATAACAATATTTTTATTTGTCTTGAAATAATGCGAAATTAAGCGGCTAAATAATGTATATATACTGTATGTATAAATACTTATAACTTTTATTTACATTTACATCTTGTATCATAACATGATTACATTAGTCACAACTCCTCACTAAAACTACTAACTAAAACTAGATATTTTATAAAAATACACGATTAATATATTTACTGAAAGCATACAAGAGAGGCAAAATATTTTAAAGTGTGATGCACAAATTATGCTGATTATTCTAAATTGTTAAATGAATGGTAGATAAAACCAAGATTTAGGAGTTGATCATTTGAAATTATATTCAAAAATAAATTGTTACTAATGTAAGTAAAATGCAACATATTATAAATGGCCAAAATGCATTTAATTGTTCCTGACAAGTAAAGTAAAAAAATATTTGAAAATATTTGAAAACCGCCATTCATTAGAATTTTAGAGTACCGAGTTCCAAATTTTTTAAATGGTCTTATCTTTTTCTTATGCTTTCTTCAGCAAAAAAGTTTCAGTTTTTTTTATTTTAAAATCAATGTAATTAAAATAATAAGCTGCAAGAAACCCAGTAGGCAACAGAAGTCATATGCTGTGGTGTTATAGTAATGAAGTATAACTATTTAATTATACTTCTAATTTGTTATAGTTTCAAAGAAAGCACTTTTTGAAGTGATATTATTTATAATCCAAAAACATATCTATTCTAGCTACAAGACCCTGTGAAGAATGAAATTCATATTACATGTACATATGTTTTTAAATAGATTATTCGAAGCATGCAGCACTGGGATGTCGTTCAAGACTTTATACATCAACCCAGCAATAAAATATAAATATTATAAATATCAGGCCCATAGCCAGCTATTGCCTGCTAAGGGGGGGGGGGGGGTACTTTTCAAAAAGTTCAGGGAGGGGGGGTCCACACTTAACAAATTTGGCCAATTGAAAAGTGCTCGGAATGGTGAAAAAGTGCACGAATTTTATAGTTTTTGGCGCTCGAACCTTCTCCCACATACCATAGTGACAATTTTTTCCCTGATATAATAAAAATCTACCTGTTCCTGTTGCCTCTGTTGTAAGATTCTGCGGGCTTTGTGGACTAACACATTGCGACAAAAGCATCAGCATCACAAGTGCATCCCTGAACGTCTTCACTAATCCCATCTTTTAAAATCCAATTTCAATCAATTCTCATATTTTTATATAATCAATAAATAAATTCCTGATTATACTGAGAAATTATCATTTGAGAAGATTCTCCAGTGCTCAATTCCCCAACTGCTGTAAAATACTCATTGACAGTTCTCTGAACTGGGTGTGTTTATATAGCTTGCAGATAATAATTAACAGGGCGTTATATTGCATGGTTTACTAATAAAGGTAAATATACACAGTGGCATGTAATCAGAGGAGGCATGACAGGTTAGGATTTCTACCAAGAATTTTTTTGTTCAATTTGAGTTAGTTATAATGGCACTATGTCTTCATGCTACAGCATAGGAGAAATGATCAAGTTTTATAAGGCCTTAAATTATTTTACTTCATACTTTTGAAACTCAGAAAGTGAAGACGAAGCTCTCTTTTAAGAAGTGAAGTTGAATGAATGCAAAGGGTAAATTTTGCTGCACTTTGGTACAAAAAATAAAAAATATTGCACAAAAACATAAAATATCAATTAAGCAATAACAAAAAACCTAATGTGAGTGATTTCTATTTACCTAAAATAATAATAGCTATTGAAAACATTCTGTTCTTGATCATGAAACATAATTATAAATTATACAATAAATTAATATTTAGGCCTCCTCGTGCATTTGAAATATCAAACTTTAAAATCTTGTTGTAGTCTGTTTTAAGGGAATTTGCAAATGGAAGGCCAATCATTAATTATTTCATCCAATCAGCTTGCTTGGAGGACAGTTTGCAATTTGCATCCCTCCCACAGAGATCATCTTTGCATGGAGATAGGTTCAGCTTTGAATTCTGGGATATTTCCTCCTGTTTTCACCACAAAATGAATTAGCCATACTACTAGTGCCATCTATCAATACAGCAGAATTTATTCAATACTAGCATGGGCTTTCAATTAGACTAGTTGAAAGTCCATGATATTAGTAAAGCCATGATATGTTACTTGATCATCAATTGAATTTAGTTCAGTTTTCTGAAAAATTCAGTTTTCTGAAAATTCACATCCCAAATAACTCAGATGCGAGTAGGTAGTTACCACTTTCACCACCAGTGGCTCATTCGATGATTTGGGTCAGATAGCATGGCGGGTATAGTAGAAAGTTACCCTTTAACTGAAATACTCATCAGTTTTAGTAGTTCAATTTTCATATCACCCTTATGTTATGCAAATTGAAATATGTCCAGTAAAAGAAAATATTATCTGTCCAATACAAGAAAAGGTATTTCACTTTTTGTGATTTTATAACATATGGGGAATTTCCCCGAACCAGAAGTCACATTTTCAAGATTAAAGAACAGGTCCATTTAACAGACTCTTGGCCCACTTAGATTTTTTCTGAAAAACTCATTCTTCCATTTACTTTTAAATCCGATTGCAAGTTGTAGATAAACCTTTGTTCTTGAGATGTGCAATTTCTAAAAGTGGCATAAGTTTTCCGTTTCTTTGAAAAATTGGCAGTAAGAACCCCTATCACAAGACTGTCTGAATATGGGTACACCATGTTTACCATCAAAATAATATTTTTATTTGAATTTTTAATGACGTAAATTAAGATTATTTCCACTCGTCTATTCAGTTTAAAAAAAACACTTACTACACATAAGCAATTTTATCTATTGTGAAAGTCAATTGATGGTGAGGGTTACAGATCATCAATAATTTAAAGATACATGTATCCCACAGATACTGCATCAAATAGCAAAAGCCATAGGTACCGTATTCTTTGTTATTACTGCCCACCCCCTAATAAGCACCCACCCCACTTTGAGAGGGTGATAATAGAACACTGCACTAAACTGCTATAAACATGACATATTTGTAATTTGATCGAGGGGCTCTGTTGGGGATTTCTTCAATCACTGTCAACATTGTCTAGTTAGATTCTTGCAAGATCTAACTGACCCGAACGAGCCACCTGGCAGTGAAACTGGTAACTACCTACACGCATCTGAGTTATTTTTTAGATTTGAATTTGTGAAATTTTTAAACTACCGTATTTGCCGTAATTGGCGCCCATGTTCCTATTAGTGCCCCCCCAGACTTTATATTCATACATGTTGAAGATAATAAAAAGGAAATTGTGTAAACCATTAATGTTATTCATTCTGGAGCAACTCAATAGGCAGTAAACCTTCCCTTTGGGCACAATAATAATTTGAAGTGCAAGGATTTAGTTGTTGAAACCTTTTGCTGTGATCAAAGTCCATTCATGTATGATACCAAATATCATGATATCATCAAATCATAAAGTTTCCTGCTTATAAGCTTATCCGCACCAAGTGTTTAGGGGTAGCACATATCTGATAATTTTTTTCCAATTTTTATATCTTTATATTTAGACTGTATGACCATAACTTAGTACCCAACACAGCTTGGTTTAAAGATTTAAGCCCTGGACTCAGAACAATGTGGATTGACCATTCCTTGAAGGTGTTGCTTTCCAAAATTTGCATGAGATGCGGAGCATCCATTGTTAATTTTAGGAAACAACGCCTGCTAAAAGGAATGGTCACATAATGCATTGAGTCTTGGGCTTAAATTTTTTTACACATACCAAAGTATTTTCTAAAAAATCATCTAAGATACAAAATCAATAAAAGAACATATGCAGTGGCAGATCCAGGAACCAACAAATGTTCAGCCAGAGAAAAAAATTTTTTTGCGCCCCTAAAACCGAAAAGAGCCCATTTATGACCAAAAAGGTCTGGGCCCACCCAAGGCCCCCCCCCCCAGATCCGCCAGTGATATGAACACATGTGAATTATCTATAAAATATCTGTATACTGGATACTTTGAAGATGTCTGTGCCCCCTCCCCAGGCCCGTAGCCAGGGGAAGCGGCCCGTAGCCAGGGGGAGTGGAGGGAGCGGCCACTCCCCCCTCCACCGGCCAGAAATTCTTACAAAATCATGCAGTTTTTCACCATTCTGAGCACTTTTCACATGTTTTTTGCCAAAAACTGTCAAAAAAGCTCCTCTCTATGAACAAAAAATAATATAATACTAGCCTGCCAGGCATCATGGTGGTTCAAGAAAACACCTCTACATGCAACCCACATTTCTTCAGAATGCTGTACAAGTGACACCTGGTCTTGCAAGGCCATACGAAGTAAATACTTTGTTAAATGTGCATGAGTCAGAGACATATAAAACAAATGTCATGGGAGTGTTTTATATGTCTCTGAGTCGGGGCATGAGTATATAGTAAGTCATACAAGGAAAATAAAGTACAAACTCATAAAAACACAAACTTGCCATCTTGTTTAGTACACAAACACGTAAATAAAAGGAGGGTATGATATAATATAGGTCCATGGATATACCAAGGACATACCGACTTGCAGTGACTGTCTATGTCTATGGCAATAATCTGCAAAAGGCTAATTAGCCCATATAAAGCAGATAGAATTTAACAGTGATAGAATTTAAATAGAATATAATTTAAAACAAAAAACATACAATGCAAGTTTCAACCCAGTTGTACTTAGGGTATATTTTGACAAACATTATCAAACAGGGGCATAGCCAGCAAATGTCATGGGAGTGGGAATTACATTATTATGTTTACGACTGTACAGGTCTGTAGCCAAGGGGTGGTGGTAGCCAGGGGCGGATCTGTGAACCAACAAGGGGGGGGGGCAAATTTCGGGTCAGGGAAAAAACTTCCACCCTTGAGCGGAAAATATTTTACGCCCCTAAACCCCAAAAGTGGGCCTACATTTTGAAATTTTGAGGACCACTTTCCTCAAAATTTACCCTGAAATTAAAAAATAAGGCCTTTAAAGGCCCAGTTATGACCAAAAAGGCCCATTTTTTGGCCGGGCCCCCAGACCCTCCCATCACCCCAGATCCGCAAGTGGGAGCGGAAGGAGTGGTCGCTCCCCCCAGCCAGACATTCTTTCAAAATCATGCTCTTTTCCACCATTCTAATCTGAACCCTTTTCGCATGATTTTCTAGCCAAAACTGTCGAAAAGCTTCCCCTTGGAAGCTGGCTTGGGCCTGCAATAATTCTGCAATGCCTATCTCAAATTTCGTCCTTCCACGAAAAGGGACGTTAAACAGAGGATCTATTTATCATGATCTGAATATGTACTACACAAGTGTCAACGTCTTGAAATCACTGAAATCTGTGAATCAATCAACCAATGAATGATCATCTATTTTGAAGTAAATTGGCGGGAAAACTTTGATTGACAAGCACGTGTTCTAGAAGAGTTGATTAAAAAGGGGACGGAGGAAAAATCAATCCAGGCCCGTCGTATCAATTTCGATGAATTTGTTAAGAATCAAATTAATTTACATTTTTTATAAATGGCATAGCTTTCATTAATTAAATTAATATAAATTTTGTGAAAGAGAACAAGTTAATCAATTCGTAATATCATCCTCACACCCCTTGTGTGTTTCCTATCCTGTTGCCCATATAAACATGCGCATCTTTCCAGTTATCCGGAGTGAAAGTTGTGTCAGAATTTTCAGACTGCTGGTTAGATCGTCTATAAATCATGGTAAGCCAATTTTACTTCAATAATTGTTTGTTCATATACTCTATTCGACAACTCATACAATTTCACAGTGGATTACATTCATGTTTCCAAGGAAAACGATGGATCTTTTGCAGATTTCGAGGCAGACATTTCTCATTACAAAATCTGGCTTGCTTTCCGTGTTCTAAATTTAGCTGATTCTGTACATTTGTTCAGCTCGTATTTCACCTGATCGCATAGTCTACCGTTAATCACGATTTACCAAATGTATTTGAATGTGTTTTATAAATTGACTGAATTGATTTTCTATGCCTCTGATCACAACAACGGGCAATTTTTTAATTTTTGTGTGATGCTCTTAGGCCTGAAAGGGGGGGGGGTCACTGAATGGTCCCGTTTTCATCAATTTTAGTTTTAAAGAAATTGCCCTAACAGCAAGTTTGATTATTTCATGGACCCCAATCCCCAATTCTCTCAACAGTATTTTCATTTTTTATGTTTGAATCAGAATAACTAATGATAGGCCATTATTGTGACATTCTACACTGTTCGTTGGACAGAATGTCAGTACAAATGCAATCACCTTTGGTTCTTGCTTTTTATGACATTCAACTCTGCTGAAATTCACCATATTGAGTGGCATATCATAATTTATTCCTAAAGAAAGTTCAGTGAGGCAAATTAGAGTGTGGTGTCAAATTACTACAGAAGTTGATTTTGAACTGTGAAGTGCAGACATGACTTCAAATTAAATCACCTAAAAGTCAAGTGACATTCTTCATTTCCTCCAAGCAAAGGCTAGATGTATCGCATCAGTCATGCATGAAATGGAATTGTGGCCTATGGTGTGATCATGGATGGACTTGAAAATCTAGAGAAGTCTCCACAGTCTATCATTCTTTCTAAATAATTTATTAATTTCATGAATATTTCCTGCTGTTTTCAGTCCACTCCAGATATTTCCCCTTCCAGCAGTCCTGCATCTACAAGTGGTACATACCCTCCAAAATTTGGGACAGTTATCCCAAATAGGATATTTGTAGGAGGAATACCCCCAAACGTAAGTACCTTGAGCATTACACCAACAATTACATGGGGCAGTTTTTTTTTATCTTGATTGAACTTCTTTTATCGTAGAGTAGCCTTTAATTTGTTATTTTTCCAAATGTTGACATTGTTAGATTGATGCATTAATAAATCGAGAAATTGCTTTGCAGTGAACAGCAAAGGAGATCTTCAATCTATTTTTATGTCACAACTGCAAGCTTGGTGCTCTCGCCATAACCATGGTCATGAGTTTGAAACTTGTGAGCTCCTCGCCTTTTAATTTTATCAATAATCTGCAAAAGGTTAATTTAGTAATGAGGCCATTTGAAGCAGATGTATAATTTAACAGTATAAATAGACATATAATCCTTAAAATCGCAAATTTTATACTTGATATACATGTCATGTCTAGAACATTTGATATTAAGCTTATCTATATTGTCTGTGATCAAAGATGAAAGTTATTAAGTTGCAGAAATGTCCAAATTTTATAGAACTGAAAAAGGGACTTTTGCCATTTTAAAATATTTTCTGAAGCAATTGATCTGGTCCATTTTGGTCCTCTCTCAGAAATACTATCTAGTATCTAGTATGATGGAAATTTTTCAAAAATAGAACAAACCAAATAATGCATGACTTTGAAATAATAAACATTTTCATCAATATTACAACTATCCCAGTAATTTTGGAGAAACCTTCATGTAAATGTGGTAAAAATAAGATGACCTTTACGATAGTAGTACATGATGTGCCCCATTTTCAATAACTATATATTGGATCAGAACTGGCTGCCTAGAAAATTCCTGCAGAAGAATGATTGATTTTAGCCATTGCACCGGATCTATATTTTTTTGTTCAAAATAAAGTGTTCAAAATTCTTGATATTTCTTAGTAAAATATCATGCTCAGGCTCCTTCCGAAAAAATACCTGTTCTTCAACTCCTCTAGCTTTGATGAATGTGAGAGGTTGCACCTGTTATATATGTTTTCTCTAGGTTACTTGATTGCATATTATTAGTAAACGAGGAATTAGGTGTAGCCAGGGGTGCGAATAGAACCATCTCTAGATATAGAAGAAGAGCTTTAAAATGCTTTTCATACGAAGCTTCTAGGTCAATTTTGAAGGAAGTTGCATCAATTTTTGTAAAATTCAAAACAAGTTTTAAAAAATTGGTAACTATCTTTAGATCATATCATACATTTTATTTTATTTAGACCACTGAACAAGATCTGAAACAGTATTTCTCAAGCTTCGGGGCAGTTAAAGATTCCAAAATAATAGCTGATAGAGCAGGTGTATCAAAGGGGTAAGTTGATTCAATTGTTTTTAGTATTCTGTACTTTAAAGCCAACAAAATTATTCAAGCTCAGTTATAGTATACATCATTCAGCTTTTGATCATGGCATTCAGACATTGAATAATGTCCTGTTTCCTTAGCTTATCAATCTGTTGACATAAGTAAAACATTTTTAGGGTGATTATCAGGTCCAAATATTTAGAATCTAATGGTAAAGAGATATTCCTGGCTTATCTGAATATAGCAGGTAACAACTTTAAACATACAGTACATGCTTTCCAATATGCTTGTTATAAAACTGAGAATGCTTCCCTTAGCTGCTAGGATGGCATGTTGAAAAGATCAGCCTAAATTACTGCTAAAATATTGCAAGTTTTTTACCTGATGGGAATTCTGACAGGAAACTGATGAGTGCAACATCTGATATATGGTGCATCATTAGGGACGAGTTTCCTACTGATTTTTGAAATTAATCCAATAAAGAAGATGATTCTCAGTGAAGTAGAGATACATTTTATCTAAAAATACAAGATAATCATTATAAACCTGCCATATACTCAGAGGGGGAACTTTAGACTAGTTTTTGCATGTCTTGTTTGTCAATAAATAAGCACAAATGGCATTCTCTACTCTCCCAAGATTTTTCATCAAATAGATGCAAAATTCTCATTTCACAATTTTGACAAATATTTTCCATATGGGTTAACTAGATGCATACCCATTTTCAAAATTTCAAGTGGGTGCATCACCTATTTACTTAATTGCTAGGAAGAGCAGGGGACCATCATAAAAATGCTGCAACGTGAACGACATTTCTTTCTTTATTTCTACTTGTTAATGCAAGATTATTTTTCTTGAAAGTAAAATGTACCTTACTATCTTCAAATATATAATTACAGGTCTGCATAATTTTGATGTATACAGTTTTTTGGTGAAATTTGCTGAGATAAACATGGGATATCAATAGACTAGATTCTCTGAAGTCTGTTGGATATAGACTAGGGGAGGTTTAATGGGGCTCATACTAATATAAAATCAGTCTCATTTTGGAAATGTTATGAAAAAGTCACTAAATGTCTTTCCTCCTGCAGTCCTGAAGAATTTCCAAAAAATGATTTTGGATCCTGCTGTAGCTTCAAACTTTGTTGTCTCATATCATCGATTTGTTCACAAGCATTGTTTAATGTTTTATGATTTTTGTTCCAGCTATGGTTTCATCACTTTTGAAACTCAGGAGGATGCTGAGAAGATAATAAAGAAAGAGGTGAGTTCTTGTCACAATACTATTGTGACCAAACTCTGGCTGAAAATTACATGAGTTTCTGATACCCAGACCCTATGTCATTTTCATGTGATTTCTATTATGTAATTTCAAATGCTAAAACCCTTTGATTCTCTCAATTTTGTTTGATGGACTGGTTATAGTCTAGGCATTGCTGAGTCACTGACCCTATCTTGTTTCCAGTGTCTGTTCACACCTACTATGCCAGTCATTTATCTGTAAGATGTTTCCAAAACTATTGACAAAGTTTATCAGCAGCCATCTTGTCTATTATCTCATATTTAGAAGAATGAAATATTAGCATATCTTTCATATAATCATTTTTTATATCAAAAAATTACAATTCTCCATTTCGCTGTTCGCTCTTTGAATCAGAACGTTCGCATATATGGTGCATATATGTACTCAAAAAGGACAAAATTTGATTGGTCAATATTTTTCAACGATGCATTTCGTGTAGCTATTTGTGAGACCCGAAAGTTCTAAATCAAATTAATTACGCAATTTTGTTTTTACACCCGCAAGCTAAATAAAAAAATGACACCATCGGAATTCTTCTTCTTTGTCATTGAATTAATAGTCAGTATACCAGATTTAATCAATAAAAGATTATACAATTAACAACAAAATTCGGAAACGAGTATGTAAGATTTGCTTTCGAACCACTAAACTTGACCTAGATAATAGCGACGTGTCTTCTTTGGTCAAATGCTCAGTTGTTTGTGGGTTTTCAACGTAACTCTATAATGTAATATGAAGATGAGTACTTTTATTCAGTTGTTGCATCGATGTTACAGTTTGTAGTGCAGTAATATTGGCATGAACGTGTTGAAAGTCGAATGGAATTGCTTTTTCCAATATGGCGACTAGTCACGTGACTTCTTCTCTTCCGGAATATACTCCCATTTTCAATCATTGTTTTCACCCCGTTAGGAGCCAATAAAATGAAAAAAAATATATGTTATATAAAGATTATTAAAAGACTAATTGTTTCTGATAGTTTGTTTTCTCCGATCGCATGGAGATTCGATCGAAAATATCGCTTGAAAAATGGGTATGAAAATCCCCATGTTAAACCAACGGGGAAAAACAAGGTAGAAAAATTTTGTTCCCCCGCGAACTGCATCATGGGAAATATTTTGACCTTATAAGGAAAAACTTTCGCGCCATCTTTATTAGAGATTCAATACTACCGAATCCGCGATTTTAAGAATTGTAACCTCTTGTCTTTTCTCATGCTTCATTTAGCAGCCTTATCTTATAAAAATTGTTAAATTGATTTAATTCCCATCTTATACACGTTTATAGGGGGACAACCTCATATTTAAGGACAGAAAACTAAACATTGGAACAGCTGTTAGGAAACAGGTGAGTAGATGGCTTTGCATTAGATCTGTGTTGCCCTCTCCAGTTTGTCCTCTCAAACACAATTGAATTAGCATTGGGCAAGTAGACAGTGTGGAGTCAGATATGACAGTTAATTCTTTTTATCGTACCTAACAAGAGTTACGATATCTGTGCTTTCATTAACGCCGTCCCATAATGGAGAGGACCCGGTTTTTACTATAGGGACCCCAAACAATGAAAATGAGGGGTCACTTGGACGCAGTGCAGGTCATATCAAAAAAATCAACTCTTTTATTTGGTCAAAATCCGCTAAATAAACAAAGGATATTCTATTTCTAAAAGAAATAGAATTTTCTTTCGAAGTTTCTTTCCCGGAAGTTGATTTCTGATCAAAATAGTATGAGGTATGTGATTGGACAATCACTAGTAGTTGATTTCCGAGCGGTAATCGGTATGAGACCTATGATTGGCCGAGATTATTGATCGCGCATGCGTCTTAATAATTTTAACTAATCAAATTGCTGGATTTGCTGCGCATGCGCAAAAAACTGAACCAAAAAATGGAACCTCACGGAGATTGCTCCTAATGAAACTTTCTGAGCGATCAAAATCAATAGCAAATTGCTTTGAAATACGCGAAGAAAAATGGTATTTAATGGTTGAAAATTAGTTATCTCTTTCTAATGAAGGTATCTGCATCATTTAATGACCTACTAGACGTGTGTAGTACACTGATCTGGGCCAAAAAATAACAAAACTGATGCAAACTTTTCATCAACTTTTTTCGTTCAGTGCAAAAATGTGACTTTGAATTCCCGGGAACCTTTTTTCATGGGGACGCACTTTTTTGAGGGGGGACGCAATTTTGGAAAATCAATCCGTCCCAGGGAAGCAGTTTTGGACAAGCCTACTGAAAGCACTGGATATTGTAGTCAGCTTGGCGGGCGGGCGGCGTCTCACTTTTCAGCTTGTCTACAAACCATTTGAGGGATTCATCTGAAATTTTCAGGGATGTTTCTACATATCAAAGTCAAGAACTGATTAGTTTTTGGGCATTCTGGGTAAATTTTAAGGTGGCCATTTTGGATTTTCCGTCCTAAAATCTTCACTTTCAAGACTTGTCTACAGGTTTTCAGCCAAACCATTTGAGGGATTCATCTGAAATTTTCAGGGATGTTTCTACATATCAACGTCAAGAACTGATTAGTTTTTGGGCATCCTGGGTAAATTTTAAGGTGGCCATTTTGGATTTTCCGTCCTAAAATCTTTACTTTCAAGACTTGTCTACAGGTTTCCAGCCAAACCTTTTGAGGGATTCATCTGAAATTTTCAGGGATGTTTCTACATATCAACGTCAAGAACTGATTAGTTTTTGGGCATTCTGGTTAAATTTTAAGGTGGCCATTTTGGATTTTCTGTCCTAAAATCTTCACTTTCAAGACTTGTCTACAGATTTTCAGCCAAACCATTTGAGGGATTCATCTGAAATTTTCAGGGATGTTTCTACATATCAACGTCAAGAACTGATTGGTTTTTGGGCATTCTGGGTAAATTTTAAGGTGGCCATTTTGGATTTTCTGTCCTAAAATCTTCACTTTCAAGACTAGTCTACAGGTTTCCAGCCAATCCATTTGAGGGATTCATCTGAAATTTTCAGGGATGTTTCTACATATCAACGTCAAGAACTGATTAGTTTTTGGGCATTCTGGTTAAATTTTAAGGTGGCCATTTTGGATTTTCTGTCCTAAAATCTTCACTTTCAAGACTTGTCTACAGATTTTCAGCCAAACCATTTGAGGGATTCATCTGAAATTTTCAGGGATGTTTCTACATATCAACGTCAAGAACTGATTGGTTTTTGGGCATTCTGGGTAAATTTTAAGGTGGCCATTTTAGATTTTCTGTCCTAAAATCTTCACTTTCAAGACTAGTCTACAGGTTTCCAGCCAAACCATTTGAGGGATTCATCTGAAATTTTCAGGGATGTTTCTACATATCAACGTCAAGAACTGATTAGTTTTTGGGCATTCTGGTTAAATTTGAAGGTGGCCATTTTGGATTTTCTGTCCTAAAATCTTCACTTTCAAGACTTGTCTACAGATTTTCAGCCAAACCATTTGAGGGATTCATCTGAAATTTTCAGGGATGTTTCTACATATCAACGTCAAGAACTGATTGGTTTTTGGGCATTCTGGGTAAATTTTTAAGGTGGCCATTTTGGATTTTCTGTCCTAAAATCTTCACTTTCAAGACTAGTCTACAGGTTTCCAGCCAAACCATTTGAGGGATTCATCTGAAATTTTCAGGGATGTTTCTACGTATCAACGTCAAGAACTGATTAGTTTTTGGGCATTCTGGGTAAATGTGGGGAGGATATTGTGATGACATACTCTCGAAAACTAATATGCGGAGGATATTGTGACGATAAACTCTGCTTGTTGATTTACCGCTATATTGAACTCTTTGACAATAATATTATACACTAGTATACTTCTAGTAAGTGTAGGATAATAAGAACATCCTATGATTTTTTCAGAATATCATTTTAATCTACACTGTGATATATGCACTCATTCGCTACGCTCTCTCTGTGCAATGATATTCCTCAAAAACATAGGATAACCTAGAAGTATCAGAAAATACAGTCTTACATCAAACCTATGTGACCCCTAAGCCATCCTCCTAAGCAGGTGTCCAGGGTAGGTACCTCCTTCTTTCCCCCTGCTATAACCAATTTGGAAGCACCCGATAAAACTGAATCACGTGATCTAATTATGCGCCGATGACGTATACATGATTGCTGTCGCAATGTTGCGACAGTGAATCAAATTGCGAGTTCTTAATCGGGGAAATGCTAACTGCTTATCGCAGGGGGTAAAAAGAAAGAAGTATTCTGGATTTTGAAGCCCTGTGATCGGAGGATGCCCCTAAGCACATTGACTTACATTTGGAGGTATAGTAGATAAGGCAAGGTGATAATAAGAGAAGGGTCGGTTACGGTTCGGTTCGATTAACCGCGGTTTTTGGCCTCACGGTTCTACTGGGACCGTCTGATCACCAAGAACCGAGTCCAGAACGGTTCCATCATTCCCGGGGAAATACTTTATTTTCGTGCAGTGTAACATGAATACCAATTTTTTGCGCAAATAATTTCAGCTCTATTTCATCTTAATAGCGAATGAAAGAACCATTTAAACGACAATTGAACAACTTAAACGATCCATACGGTAATAAAATTGTCTCCTTGGGTATTTCATTGTGCTTCCACGTCTCGAGGGAACATAAATCTATTTGCGAGCGCAAGGAGGATTGGCTCCCAGGATCGAAACTCGATATTTTCCAACAATGAAAACGTCGAAATGTCGTTATTTTCTGAAATTAAAACCGACTATAAATTCAAAATAAACAGTTCAAAAGATTCGAACCAATATCTCGATCATTTCTTGTGAGTTTTGGAATTTTTCGTTTGGAAATAAGACCAAAATTCACGATTTAAATGTTGAAGTGAACAAAATGGCGGCTGTTTGAATTCGAATTTTGTATTACGACATACCCATATATGGGACAGAATATCGGTGGTGCACTCTGGGAGCCAATCCTCCTTGTGCGAGCGTGAATTAATTTCGCGTGTTTTAAAAATGGCGGACAGTTTTTGAAGTCTTAGGAAAAGAGCTAGTAAAACCGTAATAGAGCCTTTCCCCGCGATGCCTAAGTTGGATGCTTGGAAGTATTCGGTTTCTACGATGAGAATATGTCTACCCTATGTCGGTTGTGCAACACAACATTGAAGTACGCTGCAGGTTTCCAATTTTTGTGATTGAAACTTTTTGTAATTTTTTTTTAATTTTAAAAATTAAGACTGCAATCTTTATTAGACTTCAATTCATTCCCTATCTTGTAACTGCCTTCTATTACCCACTCATAGTAACTGTACATTTTTATGAATGATATTTACACTTTTTCATGTGTCCTACCCCAGGTCCTACGTCAGGTTGAGAATTTGGGTAAACACCCCCCTAGCCCACTGCACTGTTATTCCCAACTGAAGGACATCTGGGCTCTCCATATAATTTAAGTTTTCAGGAAACACATCTGCCGTGAGGAAACATATTGAAAGGTCTTACCCAACCAGACCCAATTTAAAAAGGAATCCCTCCCATCTAATACGGGGCAAGCAACTTGTTGAGAGCCACATACAAATTGTTCAATTCTAGTTATTTAATTCCATAAATATTCAATGATTATCAGCTATCATCATTCCATATTGATCATTTATAAGATTGAAAATAAAATAATATCCCCTAATAATACAAAATAAAAGTGAAACACCTTTTTATGTTGCCATATTTGTGGCACCAATTGCAATTTATGAGGCCCACCTTATTAAGTATATGATTGAAGAACCGACCGAACCGAGAGACAAGAACGGAGAATCGTACCGAACCGAACCGTGACCGACCCTTCTCTAGTGATAATGGATGGATTGATTCTTGGCATCATGAATAAAAACAAGGAAAAAGAATTAATGAATGTGAAAATTCATCAAATTAAAAAATATTCTTAATCAGAATCATGTTTATTATCTTTTGTTTCAGCAAAGTTTTCCTCGATATGACCCCACTTTAAGTCCTGGTGTGATGGTTGCTAATGGGGTCCCTTACACTTACCAGAATGGTATGGCCATATTCCACTCACCGGATGGTGGTTATCCAGTTGCACAACCTCAGGTAGATATTAAATCTTTGTCTCATGCTCATAGGCATAAAATTGTTTCCTTTGTTTTGTCTTAGGAGGACAATCATGTGCCTATTCATATTCAAGCTCATATTCTAAGTTACTGAGGTGACTAGATGTTTGTGCATGTTACTGAATTCTAACTGATGAAGTCAGAAATGTCCAGTTGAGTGGGTCCAGTGATCTCTCCATATTGAAGCAACTGTACACAATTGAGGAGTTGGAAAACCAGCTTGCATTCTAAGATCGTGAAGAATTGAAATATTATGACCATTTTGGAATTTCTTAGTTAAGATGCATTCTGGAGAGAATACTGTGTAACTCAAGAAGCATCCACCCCCACATCTACCCACTAGGTTCTATTGTTTACTCTTATGTTTGTATTTTAGACAGCCCACTACGTGATGCAAGCTGCAGGCCTACAGGGTGTTCCACAAATGTATCTCCCTCAGTCCCCATATCAAACTCAGGTAAGTCTCTGCATGTCGTTGATTTACTCACACTCTTAACATTAACACAGGGTTGAAATAGATTTTAGTTTCATCTCTGGTGAAAAATAAATAAATCAAAACTTTTCAAAAAATGATCTTGAAGTTATAATGAAGTTGTTCAGACTAAGGATTTGAGACTATGTCAATGAGTTTATCAACAAGCTTTTGCTAAAAGTACATCTTGGTACTGACCAATGATTTTAATTTAATTTTAACCCAGGTAACTCCTGTCATGGAATATTATATCATACTATTTTCAAAGCTATATGTCTAGAAGATACTGGATGGTGGATGCCATGCCAGAACAAATGGGTATAGAATTTAAAAGCTTCCATTTTATCAAAGTTATTTGTATAATTGGGTCAAATATTCCATGTGGAGCTACATCCAAAGATCTTCAACTGTTTATACTGTGGTTCATATAGGTCAGGGCAAGATATTTCTGGATACAAAGAAAACAAAAAATGTTCAGTGTTACCTGATGGGATTCCCTTACAGATGTTTTCACTCATCTGGCTCTCATATTCATAAAATATTTTGAAAAACTAGGTGAAATATGCCGTAAATTTTAGACTTAGAGGAATTGAGATGGAGTTATGATATTTGATATTTCCTGAAAAGATAATATGTTTTGTGAATACTAAGAGCCAAAAGGATACCTGTACTTTATAGGCTGATATGATGCTTGATGCGAAAGGAAACATTGGGAGAATTTGTTGCACATGGTAATTCGGTAGAAACTCTGAATCACATTGTATTTAAGGTAGATTTCAACAGTTTTTTAACATGGTGTCTGGGTGTACACAAAGTACATTGTATATTTTTGTCTGTTGAAACAATTCTGTCTCACATGAAGATAGGATCCGGATAGTCATGGCCCATTGCTTAGTTATGCCTGTCTTCAAATGAGACAAGGTGAAATATATGACTGATAGACATGGATTATGCACTTAGCCAGAATACAAGGGTTCTATTGGAAGAGCAGGGAGAATATCACAAGAATTTTTTCGTAGACTACAAAACTTTTTCCAAACTACAATGTATGTCAAAATGTCAAAAATTAACTTCTTGATTGATGTTTACATATGAATTTCAAACTTGGTATAGTCGTGTGTGCAACCCCCTTATCCACCTCACTACCAGCATATAAGACCTTGTGGGGGGGGGGTTGTAATGTGTGGGGGTCACAAGGGTTTGAAACTAGACTAAATGGTGTATGGTATTTTTCATATGTATAGATGTTAGGCTGTTTTCAATTGAGGGCAGTTTCAACTGGGTTCAAAAGCTATTTTCAATTGGGTGCAGACATCATTGTTTCATTTCTTTGAAGTTCAGTAAATAATTATCTTGGGTTAATGTGACCTTTCCAAGACTTTACACAATTATTCTGTTGTCTTAAAGGAATACCTGGCATCAGGTAGATCAGATAGTGCTTGTAGTATTGTTAGATAATCAACCAAAATCTCCTGATAAACTGATAATGATGTTTTGTTTGATGATTTAACTTCTATCTTATGTCTGTTCTACTGTTGCTCTTGGGCAAAATTCTCTGTGAATCAAACAATTTCAAAGTTAAAGTAGATAATTCTTGAAATGGAAATAAGGATATCATACAAATCCTCCCAACAAACTTTGGTTTTGAACTGTCAAAACATTAGAATAAATAACTGAATTGGTTTTTGATGATAAGCTTTACACTTCAACTAAATTCCTCTCATTTATAATGTGATTAAGCAGATAGGTATTGTTTTACAATGTAGACTCATGTTATCATATGGCTATATTTGGCAACTGGGACCTGCTGCTTAAAGGCTATACTGTTTCATCTAGTAGATAAACAAACAGGCATTATTTCTCTCAGAGCTATCAAATGGCCAAACAAGCAGATATATTGCAAACTTTCAGGTAGGGCTCCTTCTAGACTACCTGAGCCAGATACTGTTTCATGTTCAGTAGTGTGTGACTTTATTTTTCCAGTCTGATGATTTTGAGTACCTGATGTAAAGGTTATTAGTACTTACAGGAATATCTTTGAATGTTGACCCCTCATCACGTACTATCTTTGAGAAACTTTAACAAAATCATAGTAGTTAATAAAATTGATGACTGATAGAGCAAGCCACGTGTGTTTAATTGATATTAATCTTGATTCAGTAAGCCACACATGTTAAAATATAACCTCCAATAAAAATGAGTGATATTGTCAAACTGGATTATATCACAACACTTGGATATAACCTATCTACAAGCCCTTGTAAGCCCATCCTACTACATACCTCCCCTGTGTAAGAAGGTGTGTAGTAAGGTAGTGGGAGGGGGTCATAGTATCTTGTAGCTAGACCACTTGGATACTTCTGTTCTGATATTGTATCATGTTAACAAGATCAAGGAGTTTGAGGTTTTCTTTGACATGAGTGCCATCCCATGAATATAAGGTTCATCAACATTTTCTGTTAGCACTCTGTTTTTCTGGCAAATTACCTGAAACATAAACTTTGTAGTAACCATGTCAGGTTCTCTCCCACAAACCTAAGTGAGATAAGTCTAAGATAGCTTGATGCATTTTTTGTGGCATATAAAAACCACCAATTCAAAAACAGCTGCAGAGATAAGATGATGCTGGACCTTTATATGCCTATGAGGACTGGCGAATACATATGTAAACATTTCCTCACAAAGCACATGGCTTTTTGGGTTAACCCTTTGCAGATTGCGATCATGATCAAGTGCTGGATTATATTTCATTACAAGCCTTACCCCAACCTAGAAAATCTTGAATTCTCTTGAGAACTATCAACACTTTTATAATCTTATCTAAAGCTTGAGAAACTGGTGAAATAAAGCATCAAAGCTATCCGTTATGTCCAACTAGTGTAATATTCTAGACTATTCCAGTGGAAACATTGCGTAGGGGCAAATTTGGATTTCTGGGCCCTCTAGGTTTTTATCTAATCTTATCTATTCAAGGAATTGTAATCTGATTTATTTTATAAGTGTTAACACAGATGGATCTCAATCAGATTTCGTTAATATTGTGTGGTGAAGTAAATTTTGTTGTGGTAGACTCTCAGTTTTTGATTCCCCACATGTTGATAAATATTATTATTGTACAGGTATCAATTTATATCATCGATCCTTTTTGATTCTTCTTTTAAAGTAATTGGATATTTTGTTGAATTTCAACTTGGGTATTTTATTATGCATAGAGATAGCAGCAATATATGGGGAAACACTTAAGCATCATCGCATTTATGTGCATTTTATATACATTAGAAAAAACTATTCTCCAATGCAGAAACAAGGGCCTGTTTTGATTGTTTTATTTTGACACTATTTTTTTCTTGATGTTCCACTTAGGACTTTTTTTTCTACTTTGGACGTGATCTACTTGGATGTGTTCCACTTGACAATTTGTATACTTGAACTGTTTTCTTAAGTGAGTTCAAAATTCTCATGTTTGCAATTTAGACCAAAATTGGTCAAAATATGCCTATTTTCATGAATTTTCTCATTTTCATATGGGTGCAATAGATTTTCAGGTTGGTACAAGCCTGTTTTTAAATCTCAGGTGGGTGCTGCACCCACTTGCTTTAATGCTTGGGAGTTCACTGCAATATATTCATTTCTATGCAATCACTCTTTATCGTATTGACAATCCTTTTTTTATTTCTTATTTTTGATTATTTTATGATAAGGATTATGGTTTCCATGATTCAAGTATTTCACTTTTAGTTGTAGTACAAGTATGCATGTATGAAAAACTATATATTTTTAAAATTACAAATATAAATGCTTCTTTCTCAAAGGTTCAAACAAAAGTTGAGTTAATGGTGTGGCATATTCTCCACAATTTTCAGAAGTTCAGCCAATTGAACTGTTTGGCACAAATAGCCCAAGAATGGCCATTCAAGAAATAGCCAATTTAGGCTAATTATTGTGAGCATCAGTTAGTAAAAAATCATCTTGATATCTCTATGTTTTTCAAATAGAGCTCTCGAAGATTCAGTGATTTTTAAAAGAAATTCTCATTTTTTAGGAAACCAATGACATTTTCTAAACTGCAATGATTTATAATATTTATTTTTCTTCATAATTCAGCCCACTAAGAACACCATATCAAATATATATCTCTTATTTCTGCCACATTATACAGCCAAATTGAAATGAACCAGGATGCCATATATTTTCACGGGAAAATAAAATAATCATCAGGGATGATTGTTTGTCAGTTTAATCTTTGTTTGATGCAAGTCATGCATTTACTTAACTGCGTTTTACTCTCTGAAATGTTTAAAACACAAGAAGTTAGATGTTTTCCAATAGCCAAGGTCTAAAAGTCAATTAGGTGAAGTATTCCTTCAGACCAGAATGTCCTGACACGAGAACATGAAATATGATTGAGACCATTAGCTGTGGAAGATGTATGGAAATTCTGGCATCCTATTTCTGTAGGTCATAGCTACACCAGGTGTTGCCTATCCCAATATACGCCATACCTTAGGGACCAACTCAATATATCAAATGATTTTCTCACAAATTGTGATATTCAATATTTTTTGTTGAAGCAATCAGTAGCATTCACTGGTGATCCACTCGATTACGCTGGAACCGTTTCGGTAACAAAATGTCGGAATGTCTAAGGCACCGTTTCGGTAACCAGCATAATCAAGCGGATCCCCAGTGAACATTGGGGATTTTTAACCCCAAAGGCAGTGCTAAACAATTTTTAATGTGAACCCGAAATACAGTAACATAACTGTTAACAGGGAACGCTCTCAGGATTTACCAAAACTGTTCCTTGTATCTTATTCATATTGATTTAAGATCTTTCAAATGAGATATTAGCTTCAGTCATAACAATAAGATGTACAGTGTAACCAATTTTCCATGTTCCTTGTAAACGGGTCAATTTTCAAGTTTTCCCTAAAACAGTGTTGTTCCCAGTTGACAGGTGTTCCATACAGAGTGTCTATTAACATGCAAGTCAATGGAAAAATATTTGGTTCTTTTGAAAGCTGTTCCATGTTGACAGGCATTCCTTACAGAGAGGGGTTCCCCCAGACAGATTTAACTGTTACAGTTCAATTGAACAACACCAAAAAGCAGAATTTGACAGTTGATATCATAATATTTGAACATAATCACACTTCCCAATATAAAAAACATCCCAGTTAATGGACAGTGGCTTTTTAGTCCTACTGTATTTCTAAACGTGATGATATGCAAAAACCAGAGAAGCAGAAGTTTCTTAGCACTTTAAATGTTTTCTTGGGATCCTTGTTTTGCACCAAGACTGTTGTATCTCACCATTTCTCTCCTACTGTTCCATTTACCTTGGCCAGAGTATGCTTGGAGAATAGATGCAAGATTTTTGAGATGTTCCCATGCCCCCTACAGTTGCTGACTATGTTACATGGTGGCACCTGAGCCTAGCTAGCATCTTGTTACATAGTTCTTCTAGATTCCTCACTTTGTATTTATGATCAAGCAAAATAAACAATATTATTAGACCTTTAAAAAACTAAATGTTAACAGTTTTTGACTTGGTTAAATGTAAATAAGAAAAATTGTGGCATCAACCTTTCAGAATAATGTAAGTCAAAGCAAGGTTGAATGGATATGCAAAGCTGCATCATACTAAGGTTTAGCATCATGTGTTTTGTTCAATTTTTATGATTTTGGTCAATTTTGAGTTGTTCAACTGGGTAGACAATGTATGTGGTAATTCAGGTTCTGTGATATGGTTGTTGGAGAACAAATCAAATACATGTAACTATAATTTGTGACCTTGAGGCATTTGTCAAATTCAAACAGAACAGTTTTTTTTCTTTTAGGTGAATTGATGGCATTGGAGTTACCCTGCTTCCAGTTTTTGCTTATTGGACATTACGCATGAACTCCATTTTCTTAAGATTATATTATTATCCATCTTGACCAATCAAGGTATTTCATACTTGTCTAACTGAAGGGGATGTTATGCAGTAAAATTAATATAATGAGAAATTGCACATCGTCTCTCACCTCTATTAAGTTGGTTCTATTTTTTGTTGTTAATTTATAGGGAGGTTGATGTATTGAACCATATGGCTTGACGGAGTCAGACTTGAGAGTGTCCAGTGTGACATCAGAGTATTCTGACATCACTACCTATTGTCATATGATGAGTAAGTGGATGCCATGGGTTGATGTTACAGTTCCAATTAACTTTACCGTTTCAGGCTTTATTCAGAATTTTAATGTGTTGTTTAATTTGGTTATTAGGGTCCTGTTCCGCTTCACAGTAAATCTCAGAAGATGCATGTCTCTTTTTTATGCATGACTTGTTTTTTTCCTGTTGGTTGGTTGGTTGGTTACACCACTGTTGGGCTGTGGGATCTTAAACCACCAAGAAAACTTATCAAATCCTAAATGCACTCAATCATCAGTGGATCAACGCTGAGCCAACCACTGAATATATCAGTCTTTAAGTTAGCTGCTTATTGAAGAGTAAGCCGAAGCCAGTAGAAGTGTGTGCCCAGATTCAACCATCTATAGGCCTCCACAACCCATGGACCTCAGGAGGGCACTCGACTGACCATTTTTATGTTGTTAGATTTATAAGGAGTTCATATTGGATGCATATATCAACGTTGATTCCACTCTTAGTGGCGGATTTCATGTCTTTTGCATCCAGTTTGGACACCACTGTATTGTTGTTGGTTATACTACCATGTTGTTGCTTGGATAATGGTAGAAGTTTTAGTCATGATTTAATTATTTATAAACACATACTTTTGCTTGTTAATTACTTCAGCTTGCAATTTTCCATGCATTTTGACTAGTTTTCTTCAAATTTTGTTAATCCTAAAGTTAATATTTTGTTACATTTTCTTAACATTTTTTTTCTTTCCAAAACATGAATTAGTCTAACTTTCTAAAATTGTGCAATAAAATCATGTGAACTTCTACTATTATCCCATATTGAGTTAATGTTGTAAAACATCACAACCTTTCCAGTTTCAACTTTAAATTGGTACATCACAATTCAATCTTTCCAATAATATATCGAATAAGCTGTGAGAAAATTACACTGTAGTTGATTCTTTGATACTGTATTTCACAAAAATGTGGCATCATATATAGGCAGTGGGAGGGGGACACTTCTTTGAGGGCCATATGATGTTTATATAACCTAGAAATTCAAAACAATCTTGGATACTGTGACACCTCTTATTCTTTAAGTCAAATGTTGTGTGATACCACAATAAATATTGTATCATGTTTTTCTTTTTTTCTTAAAATACCAGCATGAAATTTGTGAGTTTGATGATAGTGAAAAATTCTTGAACTGTGAACCAGGTGGTGATATTTTGCCAAGTAGATTTGTTTATTTTCCAGTAAAATGCACAAGATAGATTAAAGAGATAATCTGCAATTGTTGTATTCTTATCACAACTAGACTATGTACTCATTGGCATTTTCTTTTCTTACTTGTTTACACATCTCCAGCATTACATGTTGAATTATGACAACTTTTAGCTGCGCCATTTGGTCCATTTTTCAATCTCTGACATATATTTGTCTGTTTTACTTTCTAATCAATCATTTTTTTAAAACAAATCAGGTCAAAATTTATTCTATATTTGACTGATCAAAGCATTGATTTTCAAATGCTACAAGCAGCGTAGATTTAGCTTGTATTCGCGAAATGCAACTTTCTTCTATTGGCTACCAGATTAACCTACTATTTTGTGGGCAACTCATTTAAATATGAATACTACCCGTCACTATTCCTTCATATTTAAATGAATTGGTCATAAAATAGTAGGTTAATCTGGTAGCCGACAGTAAAAATTTGCATTTCGCAAATTCAAGCTTAGCTCCACATCTCAGATTCTTAAAAGTAAGGTTGAAAAGAGAAATTGCATGGTGCCAGGCTATAACCTCAGTATTGACATTATTTTACACATGATATCCCAAATCAGATAATTGGTGAATGGCTGGGGGTACTATAATACTGGGATTGTAACTCGGATGAAGAACAAATATGCATTTGAGATTTATTGAATAGAAAATGCCAAATGACCATATAAAATGTCTCAATTGACTATACAATGTGTCCCAATGTTTCATGACAAGATAAATGTTGCTTATTGTTGTGTTACTTTAAGTTAAGTTGAGAGTTTCTTATGTTGCTTTGTTTTAGACTGCTGGTACGGCCCCTCAGTGGCCCGTAGCCCCACAGACTGCATCGACCCAGTGGAGATGGGCCCCACAGGTCAGTAATTCATTTATCTGTAGAATACCTTCATCAGGAGAACACTCCTAAGTCCTGTTAGTCAGTATAAAATGAACCTATGTAAGTGAAACGCTTCTCGAGTAGAATACTACAGTGCTGGGGTAGTGGTATTTCAAAAAATTGTGGCAACCTTAGATTATTCAAAATTCTCACGTATTTTATTAGGGAATTTGAACAGAATTTACTGTTTTATAGATGCCTCATCCTTTCCCTAAAGCAAAATAATGTTAAACATAGAATTTAATTACTCTTGGCTCTGGTATATGACTCTGTATGAACTCTCTTAGGTAATTATTATATGGTAAGTGTAAAAAGTAAATATTGCACCTACGGACATGAGATTGTACACAGAAAGGTAATAAATGAGGTGTTATAGTGGAGATATGGGCCAAAAAGATACAAGAGAGTACTAGCATAACATCACTTTACCTGAGGGTATATTAAGGGTATACTGATTATCCCAATGAACGAAGTTCGGTAGGGATATAGTGAAGCCCTCCGTCCGTCCGTCATTTTTTCGCAAAAATCATAAATTTTTCATTCTAAACCAAAGTAATTATTAATATTATTGTTTGAAATTTTGGTAGTATATTCGCAACATCTATCTATTTCACATATATTTCATGTTTTTCATCCTGACCCCCAGGAGCCATGTATGGGGATTTTTCTGATCGAGCCTCATAAAATTCAAAATGGCCGTCTAATGTACGGTTTCGCAATAATTTTTCGATCCCTTCAAAGTATGGCTATATAATAATCAAATTGAAGGAATTTTGGAGTAGATCACAATTATGGTATTATTTTTCAGATTTGTACCTGGTAAAATTCAAAATGGCTGCTTTGCAGGAATTCGCAATTCTAAAATCTAAATTTTTCAATTTTAACCAAAGTAATGAGTATAATTGATTGGATTTTCGGTAATTGATATTTTATTCGTTGGGATTTGCTACTGCGCGGAGTTGCCGTTATCTAGTTATTTACTGAATAGTTTTGTTCTCTATTATGCAATAGTGAGCAGTGATGCCAACTCTCTGTTACAAGATCATTTGTACCACCCAAAATAAAAAATCCTCTATACTTAATAGGCCCTCTAATTTTACCGACCCACTCTACTTTTCAGTTTGTTAAAATGTTGAGAACCCAATGAACATGTTTTTGAAGGGGTTATATGTTCAATTTATGGGTTTGTTTACAGATATTTTAGGCAACATTATAGTTAGAGTTGTGGACTACTCTTTTTGTCTACAAGTGCAGTGCAGACTTTCATCTAAATTAAATATTGAATCCAGAACTTTGCACTCATTGTAATATGCTCTACTAACTGAGGGAGGCGAGCATATCATATAGTATGTTCAAGATTACCTCTATCATAGGGGTTACCACCGGGGTGTGATAGCCAAGAAATATGGGAAGCATGAAAATCTTACAGACCCTATACAACTAGTTCTAGCTCATGGTATTACCCAGCACTGAAGCATGGATATCAACTTATCAAGATTAAAGGTTATTCCTGAAATGTGTTGTTGATAAACAAAGTAGGATAGTTAACAGCAATTAAAACTCCAGGTAAACATGTAGCCGATCTTGTAATTAGATGACTCCCAATTAATTTAATGAATATCTATAGGCTCACTTGCTTCTAAATCTTCTATTGTACACTTCTCCTGGAAGTTTATGGAGTTTTCCAATCACTTAAAAATTGTTCTTTTGGATTTTTCAAATAAGGTAAAATAACGATTGTTGATTTAATTACAATGATGATTACAGGATTACTTGATAAACATCAAATGAAATTCATTATTCTTAACTGGGTTTTGCACAGGTGATAATGGGTTTTAGTTTCTTAGACACTATCTGTATACATGTGCTTCCTCTGGTTTACCTGTTACCAAGGTGTCTGTTTGACCTTCCTGAATTTCCACTAACTGCCAACATTTCAGCAAGTCTACAATTTAAAGTGCAGGTGAAACATTGAAGATTGTCAGATTGTTAAATAAAGCAAAAATTCTAATAAAGTTTTTTGTTGTATATACTAGTAGGTGCAACATTGCACAAAGTTTTAAAATGACTAACTTATAAGATCTATTGGCTATGATTGCCATCTCTTCTAGATATAATTAACAAATTAATGTGTCCTTGATTTGACCTTAAATTCTGTACAGTAAAACATGTAAAATGGAACACTTATTAAAGGGAAATGCTTAAAATTCCCATGAACCATTACAATATTGTAAAATGAACATCTCAAAGTGGAACACCTCCCAAGTGGAATACTAGTTTAGGTACCAAAGTTGTTCCACACATACAGGTTTTACTGTACACAAAAAGGTTTTCTCATCAGTTCAGTTTTGCATTTATTTTTATTTTGATATTTTCATCTGCAGTAAAACTGTTATGATTTTCATAATGACTACCTCCTGGTAGGGATTATCTATGCAGGAGTGATAAGGAAGAGTCAACATCAGGTATCATGGACAGTCTAGAAATGAAATAGGAGAAGTGTTTAGTGTGGACCACAAGGGAGCAATTAGCTATTAACATTTTCTGCTTGGAAAAAAGTTAAGGTGAAAATGATACCTGATGTTTGGATCTTGACATCTGAGATATACCCTTCCAAATTATGTCTGCCAATGTGCAGTGCTCTTTCTGAACATTGTACACAATTCATGTCACAATTTACTATGGAACCAATGGAGTCATCTTGCCGTCCTTCTTATAAAGTAAATTAAAGTAATTTTGAATAAGCATACCAACTAAACTTTGCCGAAGTATGTATGATAAGGGACCAGATCACAAGGAAGAATGTTTTGCATGAGCCTTCTTGGTTTAGACTATGTTGGCTTAGAAAGAGAATTCCATCCAAGAATGTTCTCATTCACCCCCCCCCCCCCCAAATTACACATCAACATAATATCTCAAGGGTGGCTCTGGAAATTGACAGGAGAGGAAATTTTAGGCCATTTTTCAAAAACTGAGGTCTGTTTAGAAAATGAGGCCATTTAGGCCAATGGTGAGAAAATAAGGGATTTTTTTGCTTCTAGCTTTGGACCACTGATCTTTTGGACTCCATGAAAGGCTAATGTGACTCTCATCTTCATTTGGATTCCCACTTTCATCATCTGTAACCTGTTCACATAAGGTGTCCAGAAAAATGCTTTTTATGTTATGTTTATGTTTGTTTATATCACTGGCTTGTAAATTCACAAAATGTGAAATTCTGTCATGTGATCCATTCTATTTTGAGTGAACCATAAAAGAAACAAACTCTGAAGTTTCAAAATTCTTCATAAAATCAATAAACAAAAATTATAGGACATGATGATAACCCAGGTAGAAAAAAGAATGTTTATACTACTTGGTACTCGTCCATGTTGAATGTTTATACAGGAGATAATACTGCAGTTTGGAATGAAAACACTACCTGGAGATAGGCTCTGAAGAACACTGGCGTTCCTGCCTCTTGGAAAATGTCAAAATATCCTATCTTATTTCTGGCTATCTCCCAGTTGTAAATAAAGCGAGGGGTCATTTCTTTTTGACTTTGTGGGTTGAGGTGTAACCATTTAAGGTACTGCATGCTGATTCACCTGGTTCCCTCACATACTGTGTAGCTTCTCATTTATCATCTATCATTAGACATGTGCCACATACAGGGCATAAAATACATTGAAAATCCTGCTGATAGTCAAGATTATGATTTTGGTTTATATTTGGGATAGGATTACAGTCTGGTGTTGATAAACTTATTTACAATACTGAATTAATTAATAACTAAATACAATCTTCTATTACTATACAGTATACATGGCATCAAGTTCAGACTTTTTGTATCTTCAATTCATTTGCTTCGCTGAACTCCTCCAGTGCTCTTCCCAATTGAAACTCAGAGATACAGCCTGTTAGATTTTGCCTCCAATAATTCAGTAGACCTTTAGTAAATTTTCAAAATCTAAACTTTTGCCCTTAATCTTTAGGGTAAGGTTGTGTGATTCTTGACAGTTTATAAAAATGTTGGCGATCCTAAAATATAGTGGTAAGTTCTGTATGTTAATTTTTTGTAATTGCAGAGTCCTCCAATGGCCCAGAACCCATACATCTACCAACAGTTGCCAACTATCCCCCAGGAGATGGCAATGCAGATGGCGTATGCACCACCCCAGCAATACGGCCATACCCCCCAGGAAATGGAGGCTGCTATGATGGAGGCTACCCCACAAGAGGTGATGACCTTCTATAATTAGTGTGTGACTGATCTATCACAGGGTTGGGCAAATCTAGTAAACATTATGTGCAGTCAGCGCAGATCTTATCCTCCTAGCCCATGTACTATCAGAGCTCCTGTATCTGATATCTTTCCATGTACTTGTAAATATTTGTAAATATTTTTTACCACAATCATGAGCTTTGATGGCTCAGTTGAAACTTTACAAGTCTACTGTACACTGTAATCATATTAATTTACTGCAGTTAAATTATTCAAGAATGACTTCCCTCAAAGTTTGGCGTTTTGTCTTTGTCATGAATTTCCATTTTCAAGATCTTTTCTTTCGATATATTTACAAAATCAAAAGTCTAGCCTATTAATATGACAATAAATAGTTACAGTAAATTACTTGTGAGTTTCATGTGTCAAAACACTCAAAATGCTATTGCATTATAAACAGTCAAATCAGATGTATATATTTCATAGACTGTATTTATGACATAATATATGTACAACTCTTAAATGTGCGCCAAATCTGCACCTTTTTTTTATTATTTGTATTTATCAGCATATATTTATTTCCACTTAGTATAAGATAGATTAAGTTATTGTTAGGTCTAAGTTATTTAATTTATGTTGTAATTTAATTTATTATGATTTTAGTCATGTGCAATCTATGTTAATTAAGTGCAATCTGTTGGAGTGAGAATCTCATTAAAATGTTAGGAATCAGAGGGATGAACTAACTAAGGTAGGGATAAGTGATTGGCAGATATTTGATTTCATGCTCAGTAATAGAGTTATCTCTAGATTGATACATCAGGTGCTACCTGTGTGTGAGATTGTGTGCTTTCAATTAGGGATGAATTAATATGCATCCTAAAGATTACCTCAAAGATGGCCAAGTTATAATAGAGAGGAATAAAGCTAACTCTTATACAATATACAGTATGTACAAAGTACAAATGTTTTTTCTTTTTGCTTTTTCTTCATGTTCTTTCCAATCCTGAATGATTCAGTTGATTTTAAATCACAAGAGAATACTTTCGTATGATACAGGAACATTTTTCATGAAACCAAAAATGTATATAAAAGTTGATATTTTGATATTATGTGCCATCTATTTAACCATTATTAAACTATTTGACTCAACATTGAATCAGCAATAAGTGACCACAATTTTTCTGATAATCTTGAATTATGAAAACCAGTAAAAAAGTGAGGTATTTTTTTTTTGTAACTAATATTGTTTTGTAGCAAAATAACATGTTTTTAAGGTTTCACCTGGTTGTTATGTCATGTTTTCAGCTGCTCATTAGCTTGCACCACACACTCTCTACTAACCTTTAAATTTGGTTGCTTACTTGTGTTTTGTCTAGTGGCACTGCACCATATAGAAGTCCCTTGCATAATACCTGCTTTGTATAGAATCTAGCACTGTGTTAGGGAGAAGGGAGTTGAGCCATTTGCCATTTGGTTATATACTTAGTTTGCATTGGATGCCTTGCTGTACCTGCTAACTTATGTTGCTTTTGCCAGAGCTGGGAGAAATGTGGATCATTTTGAACTAGCATTATTTTTGAGATGAAAGGTTATTGCAGTTGCACATATAAAGTGCTATGAATAGAAGAACTAATTCAAACATTTCTCTCAGCTCTGACCAGATCAGTGATAATGCCATTCAGTTTGCAAACATATGTACACATATTTGGTGAACATGTTAATTGTTTGATATTTCACTGAATGCTGCTTATATTAATTGCTCTGCTTCTATGCTTGGCTAGACTTATGTACTGATATTCTAGATGTGTTTATTGTCTAGGGCAGTATGGAACGGTCTACCCCACATCATGTTAGTGTTAGCATCACGGGGGATAACAACAGAAAGCCACCACTGATGCCCAACACTCCAAGCTCTGTAGTTGGTGTCAGTCTCCAGCAAGCCACTTCTACTTGCCGTCCTGTCACCTTCATACAGGCCCCACTCAACCATCAGCCAACCACCACTATACTAACCAAACCTGTGCCCCGCTTTGTCACCAAGAATGTCAATGGTACCCTGATCAATGTGCTAGCTAAGCCTGGAGAATGCACCCAGGCTCTAATGTCCCCACAGAGTCCCGAGTCCTGCCTCCGCAATGCTGGCAATCCTCTCACGCCTCCACCCACCCCTGAATGCTGCATAAATCGCCACTGAGCCAGCATGTGTTTCTCTTTGTAGCCTAGTTCTAGTGTCGCGTAGTTCTAGTGTAGAGATATTAACTGTACTTATAATAAAACGTTAGAAAGCATGGATCTCCAAAGGGTGGTGGACATAGACTATTGGATGCACTCACTGTAAAACACTATTTAATAATTAAAAGTTGAAGTCAAACGTGTGTACTTTCCAGTTGAATTTGCTGAGGCGTTTGTAACTTTTGTATACATTTTGTTCTTATAGTTGTTTATGAATATCTGATATATATATCTTGGTAAAATGTAGTTGACTTTCGATACTATTTATTATTTGTACGCCTAATATATTGTTAAAAGCATAAATTAATGACAAATATTTATGGAAAGTAAGAAAGGATAGAGGGAGTTAGTGGTAGCTTTCTAAAGACACTGCAGAATCTGAAGCCTGAAAGGCACTGTACAAAATAACTAAAAACCATAAAAATATGAAAAAGCCAAAAAAACAAAGACAATGTAAGTGTATATAGTGCCAAGGTCCTTCTAGGCAATTTATTACGGGTGATCTTTTAACAACGTAATATTTTAGTGTCTGCAATGGCCAGAGAGTATGAAAAAACGGTAGATTTTAACAACTACAAAGCATGGAGAGAAATAGCATCCTGTGATATTCTACCAATAATTCTGCTGAATTTTAAACTGACTAGGAGGACCTGTAAAACCCCTGCCACAGCTGAATATTTAATCCAACCAGAACGTATGTCTCGTCTGTATATTTTATATAAAAATTGATGTGGCAGGGGTTATTGAGATAAACTACTGATCAAAGTGCGACTGCTAAATAAAAACTGCTGAGTATGTAGTTAACCATGTAAACATACAACTCCATCTACAATTGTAGAAATATGAAACTAAAATGTACATCTTTATTTGTAGGTGTAAAACCACTTTGGAATGCCAATTTTTATTGTAAATGAATTAAACCAATTGTCTGTTGAACTTTGACTTGTTAAAGGTGCTCTGTTAACGTATACAATATTTTTGTTATCGGTTGATGATACATTGTTGAAAATACATTAGTATCTGTTGTTATGTTGCCAAAATATTCAAATAATGTCAATCATTGTTGTTAAAAACTTGTCAGTGTTAATGCGTGGTGCTTCAATCATAAATATGCAATCAAATTTGTTTGTTAAATTATCAATTTTGTTAGTCTCAAATATTTTGATACAGTATTAGGTTAAATTGAAACTGCAATAATGTAAAGGATGCCAATGGTTACAAGTGCCTTAAAAAGGGAGGTTTAATAGAAGTCGCACTCAAGGTGTATTATATTTTCATATATATATCTGTACATACATAGCATGTAAGGTATATTCAGCCATAATCAGTAAAGTAAATGTGCTTGTCTTGTCCAAAATGTTCACATTACATGGCATAAGATATAGTCCCACCTCACATATCTATCTAACATTTTAACCCCTAAAAACAGCTAACTAGGTGTGTTAAGCTCTCAACAAGTTATCTAATGAAAACGTTGCAATTTTTTGTGAGAACTCATCTGTTCAAAGCCTCATGTTTTATGCCATGTAGTTGAGAATGTACTTTAGTAGACCAGCAGCTTATATTTTGTTGTATGTAATTCTACATGTTGATCATTATATGTAAAATATTTTGTACATAGAGAATACTTTATGAAAGAATCACTGTGGATGTATTTGTTCTGGTTGCCATGGTGTTCCTTTCTGGTGCAGTTTTGAACAGAAGTCTGTTACTATAGTTTGTATACCCATTGAGCAACATGGGAATGGAAGAGAATGCCTCAAGGTTACAGCCAAGCAAACATATCCACATATTGTAGTTGAAGAATGAAGCAATATGGGTAGTCATATCTTAAGTCTATCATATTAAGAAAAAAAGATGGGCATCATTGATTGCGATGCCATCTATGTATAAAATTGCAAGTTATAAGACTCTTTGATCAGGTAGCATATAAAATATTTCTGTGATATGACTTTTCAGTTTGCTCTATCGGCTACAACATGAAACCTCTAATATATAATAATGATCGGTAATTGAGAAGTAATTTATATTAAGTAATTTAATTATCTTCATTTATACATTATCCTATCTATATACAAATCAAATTTTTACTGTTTAGGTTCAGATCTTTTAGCATATGTTTGTAATTTTGTTCACTGGACATTGTTCCACAATTATATTATTATTTCACTATGATCTATTTTAGCTGATTGTCATTAACTTAATTTTTGTATAATTTCATAATAGAATTAAACTTTTAAGAAATGGTAGTTTTAGAGCTGGGTATTGTATTGAAGATCTTCCAAGTGAATTGTGACAAATGAAGTGCCACAACTTGGTAGACCTTAATAACTTATCGACCAGTCTCTGTAGTACATTTTAAAGAAGCAGTGTGAACAATGTCTGTCTGTCGTCTGTATTTGTCTGTAAAAATCAAAAGAAACATTAGTTAAGGATCTGTGTATAGTTAAGGTATGTATTGTCCTGTCAAGCTCGGATAAACATAAATAAATCTATGTCTAACTGTATATGAGTTTGTTTGTCTTTTCCATTTGTGATGTGTCAAGGTCACCCTCAAGGTCAAACATGTGCTTTGGAGTAGTAATATGGAGCAGTCATAGGTCAAGTATTGAAAGTTTATCAGTGTTAAATGAGAAATTTTATCAGCCATCAGTACCTCTTATATCAACTGGCCACCACTTTTGTCTGAAAAATCCCTTTTAGAGATATACCTCAAGAATTGTCACTCCATTTTGCATTTACAAATTGTTACTAGAAAAGTATCATAATTGCGAAGTATTGAACCAACCTCAGGGTTTTGAAGCCCAAACAAACATCCGAAATGGTTGTCCCTAATAGATAACTTGTATTGACAAAGGTTGAACAAAGCCAGACAAAAATCTAAAAAGACCATGATATTTGAAGAAATCTTTTTGGCCATAACTTGGGAATTATTGGTGGATTTCTGCAAAATGACATATTTGGTTTGTTTTTAGAGGAAAAATCTTGAGGATTATTGGACTTACTATCACTTAGGCTAGTATTGGTTTAAAAACAGGAAATGTAAGTTCAATAATTATCCAGTTATGTCTAAAAATATCCTAGATTTCTGTTTTTACTCCACTGGCTGACATTTATCATATTTTAATCAGCAGATTGGTTTGCAACCTGCAGTTCTGAGTGTGATTAGAAAATAATTTACCAGATACACGAGATATGACAGGTGATCCAAGAGGAATGTTGTCTTCACAATCTACTAACCAGATGTTTCGAATCTCATAACAGCACGTGACAAGTATCCTTCCTCCCAGTAAGATACCTTATAGATTTATTTGCAGTTATGTCTGTATGTGTATTTCTTTCTTCCTTTGGTAACTTTTTTAAAACGTCTATCTTTTGGAATATCATGAAATTATTCAGGTTTAGAAATACAATGTAGAGTTGTATTTCTAATGTACTATTGCAATATGTGCCAAGGGGAAAATTCCAAAAATGGTTACAGAACAGCAATTTAGGGCAAAAACTTCATTTCTTCTTTGAAGAAATATCAACGGACATTTGAACACCTATTTTCTCAATAAAATACGTTCGTTTTCAAGCTTTGAATAGTTCGATGCTTGAAGCAAAATGTGGTGCTCGTTAAATACTTACTTGAGCTTTCAAAAGAAAGCAAATGCCGACCATTATAAAAACGCACCTGTATTAGGATCAAAACTTCAGGAAACACCCCTTTAAGCCCCCAAGATTAAACTAGTTGTGCTTTGAGAATAATTTTTGAAAATATTGTCATTAGGATAAAAGCTAGAATTCCCCAAAAAGCTGGATTCCAATATTTGAGAGTAAAGACGAGAAAAATAATTATATTCCGCTCGATGAAATATAACTATAAAAGCTCATCAAGAATGGACAATCTTGCACGTGCTTATGCAATAATCTTAAATTTAGGTTTTGAGATCATCAAATACTAAACATTTAAACAATTTGTTTTCTCCACTCCATTGGATAAATCCCAGCAACAGTTACGGTTTTGACCGATTTAATTTTTATTTCGCATGTAGCACCTTGTGCGCAATTAGTTCATTTCTGCAGTTATAAATTGACTATTATTCTCTTATTTTTTTCAACACAAAATAGGATGTCTGTTATGCTTTAAATCATTGTTTAATATCAATATAGACGTGTCGCAAAAAGCTCGCGCACGCATTGTTACACATTTTGTGGCGTAATCCAGAGGATCCTCGCTTTTAACATGATAGAATGTGACGTTTTTGAGAAAAATGTACACACATGAAAATCCTTTCGTCCTCCACATTTACCTCTATATCTCAAAACATTTTAGACGAATAACTCTGATATCATATATATATTGTTAATGGGCTAGGAGCATCATAAAACACGAATCAATTGATATTTTAGGTGAAATAAATATACGTGTTGCCATGCTTGAAAATAGGCGAATGGCGTAAATTAGCCCTATTTTAATGAATTTTGAAAACCTTTCGTCCTCCACTTTTCCACATACAACAGAAAACAAATACTTTTGTGAACAAAATCAACTATTTATTAATAAACTAGAGTTTAGGAGCAAAATAATCATGTATGATTTATTAAAAATTGATCTCGTATTTTTTGTTTAATGTACACCTGAAAAGTTGAAGGTACCAAAAAATGAGCAAAAAAGGTCGCTGTCAACAGATTCTATTTTTCAGACTCTATGACGTCACAATATGGGACGCTTACTAAAATTCATCCTTTGAAATAAAACTTCCATCTACCTTTATCAAGACGAAAAATAAGTATAATAGTCATATATTGTTTGAGTTATGAGCGTTTAAAGACGAAAAATAATTCAAAATGTAACGTGTCAACATGGGATATTTGCCAGATGTTTTGGTAAAAAACTCTTTTTTAAAAACGAACGCGCAAAAAATGTGAGCGGAGTGTAGTTGATCTAAAATCTTCATCGAAACAGCTTTAAAATGATATATAACTTTAATTAGAATATTATCTTATAATCCGGGGAATCAAAGTTACATTCACGCGATACGCTTAAAAAACAAATGCGCCACCTTTTTGCGATACGTCATAAGAAATAATGCATGAGACGTCAAAAAATAACAATAGGGGCCTACTGAATAATCTGAACAAAACGCCCACCTGAAGCTACGTTCACACCAACGGCGCTTTGATGGCGCTTTAATGCGACGTGCAAAAGCCGCCAGAAAAAAATTGGGCCCTTCAAAAATTTTGGGCGAAAAAAGGCCTTGAGACCCCAAAAAGTGGGCCTTTTTGGTCATTACTGCGCCTTTTAAGGTCTTATTTTTATTTTCAGGCCAAATTTTGAAAAAATGGGCCTCAAAATTTGGGCCCACTTTTGGGGTTTAGGGGTCCTGAAATTTGGACCCCCCTTGTTGGTTCCCAGATCCGCCCCTGTACAATATGTAATAAATTGTAATATTGTAAACGTTCTGCTGTGTAATTCTTTGTGTGCTTAAGGTGGTAAAAACTGATCGTTAAAGTACTATGCAATAACATGAATAAAACAAATCTTAAAAGTATTTGGAAGTTGTTTTCGTGCTTTTTGATTAATATTCATTGGACACTCATAATTTATTATTGTTCTTTTTCCGAATTATGAATGATTCAAAACAAGCTGCAATTTGCGCGTTTTTAGTATTCTTATCTTCATGATTGGCTTACCATGTTTATTGCTTAGACCTATCAACTTATTGATAAATGCTGATCTAATGAGATGCATTGAGTCGTTCTAGTACATTAACAATCCAATAATTGCTCCTATGATTCTCTAAACAAAGAGAAGGGGTTAAGAGAACGTACGTCCGTAAAGGCAATAACCTGATAACTCTTAAACACTTTCTAATGGCAATTTGGCGGCCGTTTTTATTTCTGGTACTTTTACGTTGCTGCTATAGAGGGTGTCCCGAAAGTATGGGACCCCCACCCTAGGCAGACATATACCAATGTCTCCAATGGATGTGCCATATGTCATTTTAAAGCATATCCATTTACATTGATTTGCATGGAAAAGAGACACTCAAATAATACACACACAGATAAGACTTAGATGCAGCGACTTAAACCAAGATCTACATCTCAACCATGTAAAGGACAGCCCCAAATGTGAATGCGGAAACCCAATAGAAAGTGCCGAACACTATTTCAAAGAATGTACTTTATACCAAAGACACAAAACAATTCTACCTAGGACAACATTGACAGAACTTATCCATGGAAATGCAAGGAAAACAGATGAAGAAAACAAAGCCACATTCACTGCTGTTCACAATTACATAAGAGTTACAAAAAGATTCTCTAACAAGTAGTTTTTCCTCCTTTCACTCTCTCATTTCTTCCCAAGCCTCCCATCCTGCACAAATAAATAAAACTGTAATAATTCTCTAGGACAACCAAAGGAGAGGACTTAGAATAGGCGAAAGCCTCTTGTCCGATCCATTTCGTCCAATTGTATTAATATAATGTATGTAAAACTTATAGACGAATAAAATATTTTTAATAATAATAATAACATTGATTTGCAAAGTATCACATCCTCCTAAGCAGGTATCCAGAATCCGTACCTCCTTCTAAAAAGAAAGAATATGTTCTGGATTTTGAAGCCCTGTGATCGGAGGATGAAAGTATCATGGTTCACCGTCATCTTTTTCAAACATATTATACAATAATCCTAGTATAATACGCCATGTTTTATCGTCAAGGCCTGTAGGATGGCAAAACAGACAAAAATCAATAATATCGGAACACACTTATACATGTAACTAAAAAGTAGTGGAGCGATATTGTTGAAATTTTATATTTTATTTGAATACTAATACTTGGAAAATTATTACGCTTTCTAGTGAGAATTTGGCTATTAGGCTCGACCATTCCGAAAATGGTGGCCACGCCTTGCTTGGCGTTGCTGTTATTATATCTAGGCCTAGTTTAAGATGCGATAAAGCGTCTCCAATAAGAATCAAATCGTTTGTCATAAATCATACCTGACATAAAAAAAACCAAGGCCAAACGCGTCGATAACGATTTGTGTTTGCGAGTGTACTACCTGATTGCGCATAAAGAAATAAAGAAATAACGCTTGTTGTCCCAAGAACGAGTCCAATAATTTGAAATATTTCATGATTAAAAACTTCAACTGAAAAATGGCATAAATCATTTACATCACGTGTGTACATCTAGACTAATGAAAAGAAGAAAAATCTTCTTTACTTTATATTATTGCTAAACACCTATGTTTTTTTAGAGATACATGAATTAATGAATCATTTTTGTCCGATTGTGGGCAGTAAAAAATAAATGATTTAAAGCTGATCCTTAAATTATTTCACGATATCTATCCATCTATGAGTTGACCTATTTTTGGAAAAAAGTTGGGTACCATATGTCTTTTATGATTTTTTGCCTACACACTCTTATTTAAACAAGGGCTACCGACTTACAAACAAAATTGCCTGACGACGTCAAAGGAGAACCTCAAGATTTGCAATCGCTGACTTGCTGACACACATAAAGGTAATTTTTGAAGATTTTTTATATTGATTTTCTTTATTTCTGGATACATTTATATTTCAATTTCTATTTATGTGTTTTTACACTAACAATTTAAAGTAATGATTTGTCACGTAGGCCTTGAGTTATTTTCTAAAGTGATAATTATGTCCAGGTGAATTCAAAGTAGGCCTACCTTTTTAACTATTCAAAAAAGACCTTTTCAATCTGATTTATAAATCAACAATTTCTTATTTTATATATCCTTCAGCTAAATACATGAAATACACTCAACAAATTAACACTTTTAATATAAATCAGAACTTGAACCAACATTTACTGTTAGATTGCTTGAATCTCGGTGACCATTAAAACAAAACTTGATTGTTTTTGTCACATTGTAATAAATGTTGCTTACTTGGCCATGTGATCTTATTCATACTTTGCCATAGACCTGTAGATAGAAACGATTGACTAATGTGTAAAAATCAATTTGAAATAATTAAAGAGACCACGGCTACTCGCACGTCTCATCAATCGCGAAAGTTGTGAAATGTTATATACAGGGTGAGCCAAAAAGGGTAATTCTGAGAGATTTTGATAACTCAGTCGTTCAGATTTTTAACTCATATTCGGCTCATGTTCAATGCTCTTTCATTGAGGCCCGTAGCCAGCTTTTGCCCCAAAGGGGGGGGGGTGACTTTAATTTCTGAAAAATTCCAGGGGGTTCATCAAGCGAAAACTGCTCAACATGATGATAAACTGCATGTTAAGGGGAGGGGGTGCCCGGACTACCCCAACCCTGAGCTACGGGCCCAATGCCGATCTCGTCTTTCTGGAAGCAAACTTGAACCTAGGATGAAGAAAAATCCTAGTTCATTGTAGTTTGAACTCAAATCTCCTTTTTCAACTCTCTGATAGTTCAGGGTTGTTAGTGTAGACATTGCTTTGCGATAGCCCCAAAGATATAGTGACTGTTGGAAAAATTCAATTCACTTTATTTAATTAAAAGTCAATCATGCACTCTTTCACACAATACATGAAAACGATTTTCATTAGATTTTCAGCAATCATGTTTTAGTTGTAAACCAGAAGCAATTTAGTGTTTGGCCAAAACTGGAAGCAAACTTGAACCTAGGATGAAGAAAAATCCTAGTTCATTGTAGTTTGAACTCAAATCTCCTTTTTCAACTCTCTGATAGTTCAGGGTTGTTAGTGTAGACATTGCTTTGCGATAGCCCCAAAGATATAGTGACTGTTGGAAAAATTCAATTCACTTTATTTAATTAAAAGTCAATCATGCACTCTTTCACACAATACATGAAAACGATTTTCATTAGATTTTCAGCAATCATGTTTTAGTTGTAAACCAGAAGCAATTTAGTGTTTGGCCAAACCCCAACGTACCTTTTTTAGAACTCAATATCCATCCTTTCTTCGACAATAGCACCCATAATCTTTGTTACATTTAGGTCAGGGTTGTTCCCAGTATACTGAAATGAAGTATATTTTTGTCCAAATACCAAGTTTTGAAATTCCTGTAACTTTTAACCATTTGGGGTTTGAACCACGATACTTGGAAAATCAATGTAACTTTGGATGAGCTTTAAAATGATATATGACACATACTACGGAGACATTGGTATATGTCTGCCTAGGAGGGGGGATACTTTCGGGACACCCTGTAGTTGTGTGATTTTAATTAGTTGAAAGTTTTGGAAGTTGTAACATTTGTATATATAATACATGTCATGCCAGTCTTGAGTTCTTGATTACTTGATTGAGTTCTATTTAATTACAGGGTGGGCCAAAAAAACAATACCCAACTTCAAATCAAGATAAAAATAGTTATGTTCAATATGGTACACTGAAATTCATAAATAATATGTTAAGTCACAAATGATGCAAAGAAACAAGCATGTATTCACCTAACAAAATAATATTCTATAAATAAAAAGTTTACATAATTCCATTGATTTACTGTTTTCTCCCTAAAATCTAGAAACCTTAAATAGCAACCCAGCCTCCCAAATGAGTATAATAAAACTTAACTATTGATTTTATGACATAGTGGTATATGCCAAATTGTTTGAAAAAGTGTTACCTTTAAAATTTTATATAAGTCAATGTACCATATTGAATGTAACTATTATTATTCTGATTTAAAGTTGGGTATTGTTTTTGGCCCACCCTGTATATCTATGTAACTATACAGTAGTTACCGTTCATTATACATTAGTGTCCAAGAAATAAATGTCGTCAATTAATAATCTGATGTATTTTTAAATGTCGCAGATTATTTTAAATTCCGAAAAATGTCGATTATTTGAAAGTGTGACCTTAGAGGTCTTTAAGTTCTTAAACTATATGAAACATTGCGACCATCACACCCGATTTAAAAGGCTTTATTCATAGCGAAAGTAACCGATAAAAACAACATTTCTAGAAAATGTGTAGGTTTCTCAACCTCCAGGGAGTTTTTATTCATAGTTTTCCACTCTTCAATAACTATGACCACTCGAGTGACTCGGCATACTATCAACCATTAACAAAAGCCGATACAAGTTTTACTTAATATATCTGTAATGTCAAAATCAATTCTATGATCTTTTTTAAATCCATTGTAGCTTTCTACTATGACTGCAGCAAAACTAACAATAGCTGTTTTGATTGGTTTGGTGGTGGTGGCAATGGCGGTGGCCGAGAGGAAAACGAATGTTTGTGACGAGGGATCACAAGAACTCCAAGACTGCACGGATTTTACAGAAGGAAGAAGATGCGGAAACTTTTTCGACAGTGTAAATGAAGCAAAACAAGCTGCACATTTCAGCAATTGTTGCAGTGGTGACGTCCAGTACTCTGTGTATAAGATGTTGTGTGAAAAGAAAGAGGCAAAAGAAGATTAATAACATAATGCACTAAACTACGACAGTAGTATGTAGATGACATACATTATTGTAATAATAAAGCCTCGACCGAAATATATTTTAGCCTGTTTTTATTTCAATAAAGTAGTGACATGAATACGCGTCACTGTAACACCAGTTATATGAAAGGCATATGCAGGTGTTTGAAGTGTTGACTGAGTTTGTAGTCTATAGCCTTAAGTATTTTAAACTTCAGAGGTATTTGACCATTGTCTTGAGATAGTAATCATCCTTGGCTTCTTCGAAAGGTGTCGTGCCATTCCATTTGTAGCTTTTTACGTGAATCACTTTTTCAACTGTGTATCCATAGTAATGTTCATCCAAATCCTAAAAATATAATAAAAATATGAGCGTCTTACCCAATACAGCCTCATCCCGAATTCTCAATGCCTGTTTGAAAATATCGAATGAGATCAAGGTACTCATTGTCGTGATAATTGCACACGTAGGCCTACAGTAATGGCCTGAAGTGTAGAAGATAATCTGAAGACGCCCATTAAAGATGAATGATTCATATGATGTATCTTAAACTATGCCATGTATTATATATTTTAAAGATAAATCATTTCCTTACATTCAATATACCACCATCGGATTGAAATTTTTTAGTTTTTAGTGCGGAGTTAGAGGCTAGAATTGACACCAGAGTGTCACGAGCGACAAAAAATAAAAAAAATAAAATTCAAGAATTTCCCTTCATATTGCAGTCACAGCTCAATCGATATGCTTGACCGAATCATTACACACTTGATACAGTTAATTCAAAAGATAAGTGTTATTGGTGACTTTTGCACTAAACTTGTATAAATGTATCTCTATTTGTTTCTCAAATAGGTATTCTGCCATATCCAGCTCCTGATCATCCAGAATATTCATCTTTAAACTGGGGTATTGCTAATTGGTCCACCATGTAGGTAGGCCTACTGATTTACACTCTCTGACTAGCAACTCTCCAATTGAAGCATGTTTTAGCAGCTTAAGATTTTTAGTGTTCAGTCAGTTTTTTAACTTGAAAATCATAAACCAAACCAAATGTTTTTCAAAGGGAATGAAATTTTATGTCTTACCATTGTCACCTGATGGGCGTTCACAGAAAGTATTCCCCTGCATCCCTTCGTTTTAGCAAGTTTTAGTACTTCCTCTTCGATCATGTGTAGTAAAACCATATTCTCTCTGTGGGGGAGCATGGTGTCTGTTGATATCATGAATGAATCTAACCAATCACCTCCCATTTGAAGAAGTTTCTCACGGACTGGCAAGTCTACGTCTTCTAATATTGCACCAACAGCTTCTTTTAAAAACAGTGGTTTTGCAGTTGATCTATAATTTTAAAAGTTAGGTAGGTCCGTTTATTTGTGAACTAATGAAAGCCCATGGTGAAACTCAGCACAACGACATATTCATTAACATAATACTTTCACCAAAATAATTACATAGGACTGTGCATGCTCATCGTGAGTAAGAATTAAATGAAGCAGAGAATGAAAGTAGGAGAAAGTGTACAAATGTAAAAAGATGAAACCACATGAATCAAACATTGAATCTTTTCAATCAATATGTATTTTGCGTTTTGTACATTGGGAGCAGAATTGTCTTTCACTCGAATGAGCTATTCTCTCATCTCCCTTTAAGCAAGATTTAGGCAAGAAAATTAGGCCAGTTATTAATTAGGTAGCACAACCAAAATGAAAATGTAACGATGACCTTCCATTGCTTACCGTATGTCAAGGATCAATGCAGCAGCGACAATTTTGTTAGTTTCGTTGTCTCGAACAACGAGAGACAAATCTTCTTCTATCAGTTCCTTCCAAACACTCTTCACGAGGAGCTCTAGGTCTTCAAACGTTGAATCAACGAGAACATCAAGGTCAACTTTCGTCGAGAATGACTTTGCAACCAATGGGATTACATCCTCGTTATCGTCTGCAGAAGTCATAGGCATTATGGTGTACCTCTTTGATTTTGATTGAAAGTCATTCACACCCTCATCGTTTCGTTTGATTCGCTCGACGACATCTCCTATAGTCCCTGACTCCAGGAAATCTGCAAAATCGATGCTGTACCCGGCAATTTTGAGCTTTACTATTGTTGATATAGCATTTAATGAATTTCCCCCTATTTTAAAGAAGTTCATATTGAGGTACGAGCCCGATGGTTGAAGTAACAATTCGCCAGAAATGACATCAATCACTCCACGCTCTATGGCAGATAAAGTCTGATCGAATGTAGGGTTGTCTGGGTTATTCACTTGGACGGCATGGTAATGCTCGACTAGCTGTTTCCGATCTAATTTTCCCGTCTCTTTCATGAGTGGAAGCTCTAATATGTGATACACCTTAGGAAGCATATATGGTGGTAGGTTTGAAATAAGTGTTTCAAGAAGTTTATCATCTTCATTTTCTTTGGTTTTTGTCGTGTAAAACAATACCAATTGCTCATTGCAAAGTAAAACTACCGAAAAGTCAATGTTTTCTATCGACCTGGCGCATCTTTCAATTTCCTTTGTATTAATTCTATGACCTCTGAGCTTAATTTGAGAATCTCTTCTCCCCTCGTACCAAAGAACACCATTTTTAAACGAGCAAAAGTCACCAGTTCTATACAGCGTGGAATGTACTGCTGCGTTCTTTCCCGATCCAAACAGGTGATTTGGGACGAAAGAATTATTTTTCAAAGAATCTACGTAGCCATTTGTAACACTAATACCACTCACATATAGCTCTCCTACGATATTGCACCCCACTGGATTTTTATTGTCGTCAAGAAGGTATGTAATACAGTTTGCGATAGGCACGCCAATCGGAACGCTGTCCCGTTCTTTCCCCATAACATTTTTCAATTCTTCAACATTGTTAAATACTATAAACGTTACGTCTCCGAGCGTTTCTGTGCTTCCATATAAGTTAGCTAGTTTGATATCGTTGGACAATGCGTTGAAAAAATCTACAGCGACATCGAAAGGTAACTTTTCCCCACTTGATATTACCAGGCGCATACTTGATTTTAGTTTATTCTCTGACATGCTCTGATAAAGAACTATGCTTTTCAACAAAGATGGAACCGTTGTAATTCTGGTAACCCTTTCTTTCACGAGAATTTTCAATAATGTTTCCGTATTTTGTACTTCACCTTTCTGTAGGATAACAATAGGAACACCCTGTAGTAAACTACCAAAGATTTCAGTCAAGGAGTCCACAAATAGTAGAGATGTTTTGTGACAACCTATATCATCATCATCGAAAGGAAATTCCCGCCATTGCCACATCAGTCGATTCATTATATTTCTGTGTGTCAACTTCACTCCTTTCGGCGTCCCGGTGCTACCTGATGTGTATAACACACTTGCAAGCTCAGACTTGCGCCCGTTAGTTATGTGTTCATCATTCGTCCCCGGGTTATCACCAATCAGGCTATCGTACGCTACGATTCCCAGTTCTCTCTTTGATTGAAGAATCGCGTCTTTAATATTCTCCGTCTCCGATTCATTGACTGTAACAACGCAAATGGGGTCAGTTTCAGCGAACATTGTTATCAGCCTTTGGCTAGGTATACCTGGATCAAGTGGCAGGTATGCTGCGCCACTTTTTAATATTCCAAACAGGGCACATATTCTTTGTATACTTGGTGGTATCATGATACAAACAATAGGGGATTCTTGCTTCGCATAGCGTTCTCCTTGACCGGATAGCAATCGCGTTGCTATTTCATCCGATGCTGCATCTAACTCCTCAAATGAATACGTTGATTCCCCCTCCTTTAGGGCTGTTTTGTTGAGAACTTTTTGAGCTCTTATGAAGTTGGAGAAGTATTCATGCACAGTTTGCGATGTTACTTCTTCTTCTTGGCCGTGGATGATACATTCCTCCATTTTAGTCTTTTGGGTGACTAGACACTGAAATTACTTAAAACGTCCATTTGACAAGTATCGAGTTTGTTACATGCAACTGTGACTGTCTCTACAGTTATGCAAGCCTCTAACAATTGAATTCTGAAAAATATGAATGAGTTCCAAAGTTAGTCAGGGTCTACTAGTATTTTGACATTAATTCCAAATACGTCCATTTTACAAGTGAGCTTATCACATTGTATCCCACAGTGCAGTAAAGAAAACCTCAAAAGACATTCTGAAAAACATGAAAGTGTTATACAAAGTTTGTCCGGGTTTATTGTAGCTTTAATTCGAAATAGGTCTACTTTCTTACAATTTCTCTTTGTGTGATTGAATTAATATATTCGACAACAATATTTTGTGTTTGAACTAGTTTCAAATGAAAAAATATTACCTTTAAAACCCCCATATAAAGTTTAGAGGTTGTAACTATTAAAGTCTTAATACAGTATGTTTGCTGTGATATAACAATATATTGTTATTGCATTTAATTGATGAAAATGAATTTTATTGATGATATTCGTCAAAAAACTCATTTTTATTGTTTATAAGCCCTTGATACTTATATACATCATTTAAACCAATTTGGCTTGTATTTGTAGTCTTGCCCAATGTTATCAAAGTGTGACATGTAAAACTTTTTTCAATTCCAAAAAGTTACTTTTGAAGGACTTTTTGAAAAATGATGGGAAATTTGAGTATTTGAGAAATGAAAAGCTGACAACTTTTTTTAAAGTCATGACAAATAGTAAATGAATGATGAAAATATATTTTCAATTTTACATGGGGACTTTAATACATTTACTATTGCTCAAAATATGGAAGAAGTACAATGAAACAAATAGAACATTGCAAGCATTCCAAAACATTATTGAATCGATTTTGATTTCCGTGAACACGGTGAAAACGGAATAACAAATTGATAATGGGATTGAATGACGGAAGTAACAAATTTTGCTTTACAAGTCCATTAATCTTCATCAAAGAGAATCTGCCTGCTTTAATGGGCATTTACATGTGTCCAGGCATTTTTACTTGATTATTGAAAAAATTAAATAAAACCCACTGAATGGTAAAATAGCTATTTTGTTTGATGGCAGTAGATAAAAAGCATGCCTACTTTTCAGTTAGCTAATCAAATGATTACAAATGAGGATTGACTCTGTATAATATGCATTCATAAATGCTACGAAACATGTTGCATGGACGAACAGTGAAGAAGGTATTGTCTGTACGAAGACTTATCTCATCGAACGAAATTTGAGGGATGAAGAAAACGCCTCCGTTCGTCTGTCTGTCCCTGCAATAACTCAAATAACGTCAGCCAAATATCGTGTATGTTTTATACTGAAGCCTGCGTCGTGTGTGTTCATCGATTGCGTTAAGATTTTTCAAACTACATGAAAAATATGTTTGACATCAGCCCTTTAATACTTTCTCTATGCACATACCATTTGTCTGATATTTTGTATCCTCCAACACACTGGTTGAATTAGCATTGCTGATGCATCATTTGTTTAAGATTTGCCTGAAAGTGCCCTTACGGGTTAACTCTTAAATGACAGACAACCAAAACATCAGACAAAATGTTGTTATTTTTGTGGTGGATTTAGGTTTTGCTCACCGATATTTTGGATCCTCCAAACATTAAGATTTCATCAATGCTCAAAAATGATTTCAAACAATTTTTTCAGAAATGAGACTAATCCGATGTAGTATTTAAACAGAGTTACATGTATATAAAGTCTCAATTATATCTAATTTGTTAGTGAATTGAATATGCTGAGCATGTGTTGGAGGACACAAAGCATATGGACATTATAAAACGTGTTATTTGTTAATGAGTATGAAATATCAAGCAACCCATTTTGAGAGCTGGTCGGAAAGAGATTTTATTAACCAGTTTGAAGTTATTGACAGACGAGGTGCATAATTTGTAATGTTGTCCGAGTTTCTATATATATCAACCTTTTAAGCTGTTTTTAAGATTTAATAAGCAATATTTTTATTATAATTCGCATGGTCATGGTAAACAGTTGATATCACGATAGCATACATATTATGTCGTTGGTATCAATACACATGGCGCAGGACTTGGTAGAATAACAGAATTCATGGAATTTAAAAATATCAATTATCGTGCCCATAAGTACAACCCCATTTCGAAAATGATTGTCGGTTTCAAAATGGCTGCCATTTCAGTGTCAATTTTACAGTATTTAAGCTACATTTTATAAAACTGTATTATTAACATGTCTTTATTTAATTCATAATTAAAATTTAAAAAACACGGCGCCATCTTGTAAATTTGGCATATAGGCGGACATTTTGAAAAACGGCGGCTATTCTTTTGTCCGTAATTTTTCGTTTTTCTGGAACTGGAGTAGTGCAGCGATTTTGTTGAAATTTTATATGTGAATACTAAGAAGCGTATAACAATTTAGCTAATGGGGGCCACTTTGAAAAATAGTGGCAATTTTAATGTGTTCTCTGTTTTTTTGCTATAACCGGAAAAGTAATGTTTAATGATAATTTGACTAATATAGGCAGCTTTTTCCAAAAATGTTGGTCATCATGTATTCTGATGTTGAGGTTTCCATAATCTCCCGCTCCTGGGCATATCTTCCCACTTCAATGAATGGAAAAAAGATGGCAGCACTGGGTTTCATTCATTTTTCATCTATTTAGAATTTTAACTATATTTTTTGAAAAAATGAGAAATCTCTCCTGGGTATAGGATAACGCAATTATGTATGGTCGGTTCGGAAATGGGGTTTATCCCTTCGTTTCCTCAAGTAGATATACACATCTTCCTCTATATAAACCCATCTCCAAAACATCCAAGTACATAACCCTTATTTATTATCACGTGTGTACGACAACCTGAGACTAAAATAAATATTTTACTTACTTACATTTGGTCACGGACTTTCTCTTGAAAGCCCATGATATGGTATATTTGTCGACTTTTTAATTTATACTCATTAAGGCTAAAGTTATTGCAATACTTTGAGAAAATATTGAGCGATACATGACATAATGAAAAATGGGCCCTTGTCCTTGTCGAATCGAGCATCTATAGCTATAAATCTATGAACATTTTAAATCACTTACCTTTCTAATTTGCTAGCCTTTTGTGTTTGAAAGAGTCCTGGAGTGCAACAGATAGTTAAATTCTGAACTTTGAAACAGTACTGTATTAGAAGGTTGTTATAGGATAGCTTGTACTTACACTCGTAGCATGCCGAGTTAATGATAAATAACAATTCACATGATAATCACATTCACCATGAGAATTAAAGTGCAATACACTTTGGAAATAAAACAAATGTGTTAAAACCACTTGGAAGTCAAAGTTGGGCACTGAGCGACGATCATAACTGTTAATAGTAACGAATGTGTTATTTCAAGCTTAGCAAACCACTACACATGTTATTAGAGATATTTCGCAACGTACTTATGTGTTTATAAATTCCAATAAATATGTTTATAACTTATAAAAATGTGTGTACTCTATACGTCATCATTTGTAACGCAGCTCTATCCAAAAAACGTTGTTTATAAGTGAGTAAATTATCTCGTATAGACATTATTGGTAGCGAATCTTCGTGATGCTTGGAATGAAGTCATATATTACTATGCAACCCACCTTATAAACAAGAATTTTGGTAAAAAGAACATTAAAATTGATCGATGAAATAAATATTTCTATAAAGTATAAGTAAATCTTTTTGCCAAATTTTGCCAAATTTTAATTCACGTATTTTTATAACTTAATAAGTAAGTAATAAATAAGTTTTCGCAACTCCAGTATACAGGTTAAGCACTCACTTATGACGTATAACTTATTTATCCCATGGTTAGAAGGATATAGATCGAATATCACGTGAAAATATATTTGATATGTGGATCAAGATATCATATTTCAGCATCGAATCACTTTTGAAACCATCGAATATCACCTTTTAAAAAGTGATATTTGATGGTTTCGATTTCTATAAAAAAAACAAACGTTAAAAAATTCAATTTTATTTTCAATTTTTTCAATTTTTAATTTCTATAAAAAGACAAAAATTCAAAAAAAATTCAAAAAATGTTTTAAAAATATATCTTTTCAATTTGTTTCGCTGATAATGATTTCCCATTGGATAAACGGACAATCCTACGGTTTTTCATTATTATAGGAATATCTTACGGTTTTGAAAAAATATAATTTATATCCATATATGAATGAGTGGATATTGATATCTTCATGAGTGAGCGCAACGAATGAGTGAAGATATTGATATCCATGAGTGGATATAATTGAGATATTTTTGAAAATCCATAGGATTATCCGTTTATCCCCTGGGAATTCATCATCAGCGAAAAAAGTTGAAAAATTTTGAAAAACATTTTTTTTTGAATTTGATGCAATAATTTTTTTTAAAATTCGAAACCACCGAATATCACTTTTTAAACCAACGAACTAACAAAGATCACTATTCGTAGCTATAGAGACGTCTAAAATTAGTAGCTACCAGGAAGGTTTTACGGACCAAAATTCAAAGCTACAATTTCCCCTATTCCAAGTATAATTGCAAAGACCACCATTTAACTTTTCATGGTTTTATTTTATATGGTTCCAGGAGTTCAAATCACGGGCATACCTCACCTGAAACATGAATGTTCTGCAAGTCAAGTCTGCATTCTGCAACATCATCCACGGCTCATTCAGACCTTCAGCTCCTCCTCCACGATTCAATTTATCGAATGTTGAAATGATTTTCGTTACATTTGCTTTTCTTTACGTGTTGACATACCATCAAGTCCCTTGCTTACAGTGCTAAGTGGATGATATCATCCATCTTAATCACTTGTAATATATTGACAATTTTGGCAGAAGTGCTCAAATTTCAATATAACCAATAACAAACGAATCAATATGTATTATACATACCTCAATCTACAAAAGGCATCAGAAAAACCCTCAGACAAGGCAATGCCCTGTATATTGTATATACAAGTAGCCTAACTGTGATGTATGAAGGCCCTCGTTGCCTTGTTATTGTTGGCCTGGTTGTAGCTTATCTTACTCTGCATGTTATCAAATATATTCATGGAGCACTCTGTATGTAAATCCCTGCTAATGGAGCTGTATCGGATTCCATATAGATAGCTTCTAATCCGGTCTATAATTGTAAGATGAGCTTTAGGAAATGTTAAAGCAGATATCGATCCTGGATCATCCTCGTGAGGCAACAATTACCCCGTTACTTGTTACTTAGACAGCCGAATGTCATTTTTACTTATTCGGGTAATAAAAAGTAAATTGAAGTAGGCAGATGAATCAGGAGACGAGATGAGAAGTACAGTAAAACTTGTCTTAGTGAACACCTCTCTCTCGTGAACAAATGTCTCTAGCGGACACTCTTTCTTCGCAATCCACTGCCTTCTGTATATATTACCATCTCTTTAGTGAACACGTACCAAGAATGTACGTTTTTCTCGGCAAAATGTTCAATATACACAAGTTTTACTATATGAGTCGAAATACTAGTAAGACCCTACACGTTAATTGCTTGTTTATCAGGTATTAATTTTTGAAATTAAAAAACAGTTTTTATTAGGGAGATTTGGAATGAGACAAGCAAAGCTAAACTTGTACATTAATTTAATTTGTAAGGGACTCAAATGTTGTTTTAACCTCATCACTAGCCATGCATTCATTATTGAATGCCAACATATATTTGAGAAGCAACAACAAACAAATATTATTTTACAAAACATAATTAGCAGTTTATTTATGTTTCAAATTAAAAACCAACTCAATGAAGTTCACAATGATTATAATCAAATGTATGTAAATAATCATAGGTCTCTTAAAATTGTCTTGAAAACAACTATCAGCTATTGTACTTCAATCATATAAAAAGTCACGATTGCTAGGTTGACTATGTGTAATCCACCATTTCCAAGTTTTAAAGAGTGGTTTTAAAGAGTGATGGACCCTTTTCTCTGAAAATAAATATTCTAGGTCAAGTAGTTTACAACTTAGTTCATATGACTGTGTTAACGTAACTTTAGAGCTTCCGATGTTGTTAAAAGTGGTACATTGTCAAAAAATGGTAAAATAGCGCGATTAACATAATTAATTCGAGACAGAATTTAATTATAGCAATTGATAAAACACATTGTCTGGATGTAGAGTCGATATACCTTGAAATATCTATTATATGAACTTTTTGCATTCTTTGTCTGTACATGATATCCAAATACAGAAACTGCCGGATGCCCAACGGGCACCCTTGTGAATCTTTTTGGCAGCCATTTTGAATTAACAAACATTTTCACATTCAAATCAGCCGATAAGATCATTAAACTAGCATGAAATCAATGAATCAAACGAATCTAAATATGATGAACAACAGTATGTTAACTTGTTAAGTTCCCAAACTATTTCTGAACAAAAAAGTTTGTTAGAATAGGCATGAAAAGTTGAAAACTAAATCATGTAATATTTGACAACAATCGTTCTAATCCGGGTCGCCCCTTTAACTAAAAGCGGCAACTTTGATGAGAGTGTTACGCGAGACTTACTTTTCGATTCACATCTGAGTTCTCCACATCTGATATATTTTCTGAAAGTTGTTGTCCAAGCGTCTCAGGGAGAAGCAAAGATGCAACCCCAGCAATTAATCCAAATATGCCAAATATCATAGAGGGGAGCGCTATCCACGTGGAGCTCTGGAATTTATAGCCTATTCAATTTTATCCTTTTATAGTTTTTATACTTATTTAGAACAAGAGTCCGAAAATACATATACTATCAATCAAATAGTACTGAGTAACATGTCATGGATGGGATTCATTTTTAGTTTGGTTTATATTCTTGCACAAGTAACAAATATCATAACTCCATTCTATAGCTTCAGAAATTCAACAAACAAAAATGACATTACCAGTAGTCCTATTTGGGGAGATACCATTCCACCCACTCTGCCTGAGGTTGAGCCGGCCCCCACCCCGACATTACGAACAACAGTAGGAAACAGCTCAGCAGAGTAGAGGTAGATGACCACAATTCCCCCAGACGCTCCTAGCTTGCCGAGAATGGAAAACGCCGTAACTACCATTGCTAGGTCTGAAAAGATTAAATAGAGAACACGACTTCCAAATATACTTCAATAATGGCTACATCAAACCACTTTTCACTATTTTGTCTTTAAGTAAATTTAAACGTTCATAAATGTACAAGCAATGTCCAAAGAATGGAAAAATATATCTCAGGTAATATCAAGATGTTAAGATATCAAACAAAAACAAAGTATTCTTGAAATATGTGAGAATCTTTTTGCAAAGATGAAATCTTAAGATTGGCCAATAGAATGTATTGCTCATAAAAGATTAGCAATACGTCTACCTGGAAAGAAAAGTAACGGGATACAAATCAAGCACATCAATCCCCCAAAGATCAGTACAAAAACTAGGCAGATTCTTCTTCCAACTTTATCCATCATAACCACACATATTCCCCACACTGGAATTTCAAGTGCAGCGTTCAGAAATGTATTGAAGTAAGGATCTCCAGCCAGTGTGGACGCATTCAAAGATAACCCATAGTAGCAAATGTATATTGCCAACCAGGCAAGGCACACAATTAGTGTTCGTTTCCGCATTACAGGAGTCACGAAAAGATCCGAAGTTTTCCCTTGAACCACCTTCTGGAAGCGTAAATTGACATTAAGATTTCCCCTAAGATTTCTGACCAGCAACTAAATATTAGAACCAATCGTTTCTATACTTATTGTTTGTGTTTTCCGAATGCTCCTGTTATGCTTTCTTTAACTTGTAATGATTTGATGCCTACTTTGTCGTTTGTAATAAAGGAAACATTGCTTGGGAATTCTCGTTTGTTGATTGATGCTATTTTGCATAAAATATCTTTAGCCTCTTCAATTCGTCCTTTGGTAACCAACCAGCGGGGAGATTCGGGAAGAATACTAGAAGCATAAGAACTAAATAAAAATACAATTGAATTCAACATCTGTCAATTTTGTAATACACAGGGTGACCCCAAAAAAATGCAACCCTCCATTTCTTCAATAATTTTCTTAAATGGAGATAAATTGCTCTGAAATTTCACACACAAGGACTTCATTCAATGTTGGATCCTCTGACAAAGTTTTAATAATCATAGTCTTATATTGATAGAGTTATGGTTGTTTCAAAATATGCTCCAGATATCGTCAATTTCGCTAAAAACAAACTTGCAATGTTCAAGGAAAACTGTTCATAACACTGATGCATTCTTCCCCATGGGTATGGCTTAAATCTTTGCAGCCATTGCTTGTTGGAGTTCTGCAATTGCTGTAGGGTTATTTCCATACACATTATCCTTTAAATAACCCCATATATAGAAGTCAGGGGCATAGAGTTCAAGACTGTGGGATGACCATGGGTTCTCCATCCTAGGAGAGATATCTTCTCAAAGAAATGACTAGTGAGCCAGGCTATGCTATCATTAGAAGTGTGAGGAGTAGCTCCATCCTTCTAGAACCACTGTTGTTGTCTATTGAAGCCTGTATGTCATTTTAGAACTGTCTAGAACTTCCTGGGAAGGCCAATATTGCGCTGTGTGTTAACAGTAACAGTGTTGCCATTATCAACCTCAAACCCAAAAGGGCTGAGGATTTCATGTTTGGAAATTGGCAGCCCAAGCTGTGCATTTAACAGAATGAAGGGGCATTTGAAGCACTACATCTGGAATTTGTGATCCCAGAACACATTATTTCTTGAGTTTACATGTTTAGAAAGAAGGGAGTGTGATTCATCCGAAAACCCAACATTGGAAATGGACGACATTTGGAGCATATTTTGGAATGACCATAACTCTATCAATATATGACTATGCTTATTGAAACTTGACAAGAGGATCCCACATTGAATGAAGTCCTTGTGTGCCAAATTTCAGAGCAATTAACCTCCATTTAAGAAAAATATTGAAGAAATGGAGGGTTGCATTTTTTGGGGTCACCCTGTATTATATATGTAACAGAATGGGTGCGTGCTTTTCAAACAGATCTTTAAACAGAATTTGACACTCTAATGTTACTGTTTTGTCATTTTTGCGAAATTCTTGATGTTTTTTCTTAATGAATGCCATGACGTCCCCAACCCGTCGTTATGTCATTCATGTCAGTCAATGCTTTGTGTAGTTGGGTCGCTTTCTGTGGATCCTGGGATCTAACACTGCCATTTGCGTATTTTCACTTTAACTTCTAAGCTATTGTAAAACAATGACACATGACTAGTTATAATACTTACAAAACGAATAAAAGGAAGACTATCCTAGGTGCGGCAAGAACTAGCTGGAGTCTAAAGTGGTCCCTGATACCAAAAGCAATAAGCGCCAGGAGCATGAACCCAGTAGCAAACCAAAGCTGCATGGCGACCTTAGATCGGTATCTTGAACCGACCAGTTCCATAACTACAGGAAATTACAACTAGTTCTAACAAGGTATTAACATGCATCATGCCATCACCTCTCATTTGTTACAGACGCCAATAGCAGAACGCCAACCGCCGTCACAAAAAATGAAGACTATAACAATGAAGAGATGCGATTACCATGTCATCTTTATCTTAAACAATATTTCTATCGACCTTAGCCTATGGTATGAACTGAAACATACTGATACTCATCACATCTCTCTGTTTTCAACTTGAAAGGAATATAGAAGGCCGTGGTTTCTCATGATGGAACTGAAATGCCAATTGAGTTATTTTCGATGCACTTCACTGCATTATATATTATAGCATAAATTCTGCTTGCCTCTATCAAAAAATGTTAATAACAAAGCTTTTGTAGCCCACCATGACGTGATTTAAGCATTTGCAATTGATTTAAGCCTAACACGGGATGTATATTCCGCCGAGTAAGCCACAAAATTAAGTGCTTTAAAGTATTAAGTTGAAGCAAAAAACTTTCTAAACATTGTCATACATACCAAGAACGAAAGCAACCATGTTGCATGGAATACAGAAGACTCCAACAAGAAAGCGACACACCAAAAACAACTCGTAGTACGGCATGAAGGCAGCTATCAAAGCAAATATAAACTCGCCAATGTAACATGTTATAAGTGTCTTCTTTCTTCCAAACCTGAAACAAGATACTATTGTTAGTCTCAAGTCTTCAATATGGGCAGTGTAGACGACTTTGTGATATACATGATGCTGGTTCTATATATTTGGGATTTCAAGAGAGGGTAGTTGGTAACAACATTTTCAAAATCTATGCAAATATATCCAAAGAATTAAGATATATGATAAAAAATATACAGTCGAAGTTTGATAAGATTTAAGAAACACCTGTTGTATTACAAGAGAATTCCCATATTAATTTTCCAATAGTGTATTAGGACTTAATCGACAACCTATAAGTTGACAAGATGACTCGCCTGTCAGAGGTCGCTCCAGCTCCATATGAACCGAAAAACATTCCACCTATGAAGCATGTTGAAACAAATGGAGCCATCCATGCGTCATCACAAACTAAGTCCCACTAGAAATACAGAAGTAAAACATATAAATTATTACATTAGGTGTATATTTTGAGAGCCATCATTAATGAAACAAAGGTGCGCCGAGTGGGGCAATTAGGGGCATACATATGGAACCCGTAAAATGGGGTGATTTTCATCGGTCTTCTTTGGTCATCTCCGTGTCTAGTATTAGATAGGTATAAAACCCAAAACCTATGATACATTTCATCTATATACAGGGTGGGTCAAAAAACAATACCCACGTTTAAAGATGAATGATTTATATCATATATGTTAAGCCATGCCATGTATTATACATCGTTTTAAAGATAAATCATTTCCTAGCAAAATGACACCATCAATTGAAAAACCGTTGTTCTCGTGGAGTTAGAGACTAGAATTGACACCAGAGCGACCAAAAATCAAAAAATGAAAATCTCCAAATTTCCCTCCATATTGCAGTCACAGTTGATTGACTGAATTATCATAAATTTATTTAAGAGTAATACACAATTGATCATTAATTAAATACATATGAGTATTATTGCTGAATTTTTCACTATACTTGTATAAATGTCGCCACCCTCTTTTGAAGGTGCCAAAGTTCAAATTTCCCTCCATTTTCCACAATGTGGAAATCCGCAGTGAATAATTATTTGGTCGCTCATGACACCCCTGATGTCAATTTTAGCCTCTAACTCCACAAGAAAACAACGGTTTTTCAATTAGATGGTGTCACATTGTTAGGAAATGATTTTAATCTTTAAAATGATAGGCCTATACAAAATATGGCATGGTTTAACGTTATATCATACGATATTCATCCTTAAACTTGGGTATTGTTTTTTTGGCTCACCCCATATATATTACCTGACTGACTATAGTTGATGTATAGACACTTTGATCATACACCCAATGCCGACACCTCGTGGTTGATGTATTTGTCTTAAAAACATGCAATGTTCTGTTCCAAGAAGAAAAATCTTCTTGTGAGTATTGTGTATAGTTGATATGATCATACACAAAACATTTACTATATTCTTGTTCCCCATTCTGCAGAGTCTCTATAGGAATGCTAATCTCTTTTTGGAGGTATTGGCTTAGGTTAGCCAAAGCGTCCACCTTACACCAATGATTTTGGTTGCCAACCACAAAGTTACTTGACATAGACTGCCAACCTACTGGCATTACACCTGAAACATAAAATGGCTGTTTGACATAGATGTAGATTCAAAACTAGCTATAGATACAAACCTATTGCATTACACCAAGTGGCCAAGTAATGGCTTTTTTATTTCGCTTCTTTTGATACCAATAACTAAGACTGGCTAAAACGAATACCTTTAATTTTCCCCGCATTAACACGATTAGCAATTTTTAGCAGACATATATAACCACCTTAATGTGCCTTACCAAGACCTAACATTAGAAACAGGAGCCATTGGAATAATCCAAAATCGCCTATGTACGCAAACACCTCATCAAAATGAATTGCAGTCGTATCTCCATTTGTGTTCTTTTCATCAGTCAGGTTGCTGCAATCAATGAACACACTTTTGATATCTATTTGTTGCTCCAAAACCAATTAGCCTGAGTAACAATTAGGTTATTATACTGTCTTACCAGTTCTCTGCTTTAAGTAGACTTATCGAGTATGTTGAACCAGTTACCATATTTAAGTTTCCTTCAAAATAAACCCTTGTCTTTGTAAAGGGATTTATTTCATATTTACAGAATATGTTTACTCTCAGCTGTAAACGCTCGATTTAAAACCAATCAATCCTGTTTCTTTGCCATATTATATACATTTAAGTTATACCAGACATCTCAAATATATCCAATTTGTCTTGTCCCGAGTCTGCATAAATCGGACTGAATATTATATATATATGTATATATAGCCACTATATCCGTGGTCTGAACAAGATGTTAAGTAAATGGCCAGGATTTACTTACATACTTACCAATACTAGCCAGCAGTTAAAGTGGCATTAACACAGCATGCAGAAACCTTTTACATGTTTTAGTTGAGAAAATGAGTGTCAATAGAATGATGATGTTGATTCTGATTTGATAACATTACGAGTTCTGCTGGATACAAAGTTCATTGAATAGTGCTTTCATGAATAGGGGGCAATTTTGAATGGAGGTCTTCGAATTTTAAAAAGGTTTTGCTCGCACAAGTTATTTTTCCATAAAATGCATTTTGAAAAGGTAAATTTTGTAATTCAAATAAGCTTTTTTACTTTACTTATATCTATATAATATATGTACCGTATGTACTTGGCCAAAACATCAAACAATGCTGTGCTTGTGGTATTTCATAACTTCACACTGGGCTTTTAACAGATTATCGAAGGGTCAAAAACACGTATTGTTACTTTTTCTTGAACGAGCAGATTAATCCCGTCCACCCATTTTCCGATCAGTTTTTTCTCATGTGCCATGTGATACTTTTTCAATACCATTTTCTGGCTGGATATAATTTCGAGACGTCGTGAGTACCTTACTATATTAACTTATAAAATGTTGATAGAGACACACATTTTGAGCACCGACTACAATAATTGAAATTTACTAAAAACTGTTTCACTACATTTTTTCACTGGGGATTCCATCGTATATGTGTCTTTTAACTCTCTATTCCACATATTTCATGATATTATTGTGATATTCCGAGTTAAGGAGTACTTGCATCGTTGATTTATTCTTTAATTACTAATATGGGCGTTTTTGGTCAACCGGGTACAGGGTGACCCAAAAACGTAACCCATTATTTCCAATTGAGAAAACAGTGATGTGCATAAACAGTATATTGTATCTAATATTATATTATGATTTTGAGATTAAGAGTAATCATGTTTTCATCCAGGTATGCTTTAATGTGAAATCGTCCAAATTGAAATCAAAAATACACTTTTCTAAAATTGGGATTTCTGTCTTAGCCCTTATTTTAGTAATTTCTCGTTTGTTTTCACACATATTATCAATGAGATATGTCGTATCTACCCATATTTCTAAAATAATTTGGTCAAATATGATGAAATGACTTGCGGTCAATCATAAGAAAGACCGATTACATTTTGAGTGGTTTTGAGTCAGAGCATGTCTCCATGGAAAACATGATATCTGTATTAAGTTGTTGATGTAAGTACACCGATGCTGTTTCATTTATCTCAAACACTCTATCACATAAAAATCATGAAGATTCTTTCACAAATCTAGAAAGCTATTCTAAAACTAGATGGTGACATTCACCCATGTATTCAATCATATTTACTTGAAAGTATGCTTCTCTGGTAAATCCGCATCTTCCTCGAATGCTGAGTTAGCAAAATAAACATCAGCTGAAGCAGAATCTAAGCCATTAACATTATAATTAGGCAGACTAGCAACTTTTTTTACGTCAACGACATTAACTCCTACTTTAACTCTGGCCTCATCATATGTGGGTGATATCTCTTTATTTGTGTAATAATTTTCCATATTTTCATATATCACCCTCTCTACAATTCCTCTTTCAAATTGTTTGATACTACCTGAGCTGACCTCGGACACATAATATATTCGAGATGACTTCAACATAAAGTTATAAAGTAACCTATCATAGAATGTGTTATAAAGTTATTCAATGCAAATTATATTAAGTAGTAATAAAACTTTCGCATTATTTAGTAACGGGACAGGTTAACACTTAATGTCCAACTTGTTGGCATTTATACCTAGCCTACTAGCCGTGAGAACTATATTATAGGGTAACCAGTATAACGATATCTCAAGTTTCAGTATTACAAACCGTTCGAAGATGGCGGACAACAGTCACTGAATCACTTTAGAAATGTACTTTTACAATTGGATTTATAATTGTCTTGAACCAAAAGAGTTTGGTGTCAGGCCAGTGACATTAGATCATCTATCCAGGAAAAAGTTAAAAATAAATAAAAAACGGTCGCCCTCCGGCTTATTCCTATTTTTACGAGCAGTGTGGGTCGCTGTGGAATTATCAATTTGAGTTAATTTTTTCTAGTTTCGATGTAGTAATTACATGCCATTATAGCCATTCATTAGACTGCGTCAGACTGGTCGTATGGTCACCGAATGGGTATGGTTCTCATGCGATCGTCTTGAGTCTGCTTGTGTATTTGTCAAAAACTTGTGGCCGCAGCAGAAACGCCCGAGAGCGATCTTGCGTCATCATTTCATCTACCTTTACGGCGACCTTATAATTGCCTTTAGTCGTGGAAATGCTATGTGCACGACCACCGCAGCAATGAGGATGATGCGATTTGAGCAAACTGATGATCGAAAGATTTGGTCTAGTTTTTAGATATTTATATATAAACGTATATTATATAACGCAAATTCACATTCCTTGCTGTTTCCCGCCCGTGATACCGTAAACTACATTGGGAGTTTATGTAGATTACATTTCACTGCCAATTGTTCACTGTTTAGGATGTTGTTACAGACATTACATATAAAAAATATCCAGATCTTTCTGAAAACATGAAAACCTCAGTTTGCTCAAATTTCACCACTCTTGTGTTGTACCTTACCCCTCGCGTTGAACTGTCACGCTTAATTTGGTACACACCCTGTGATTAGCGACAGAGAGCAAAATGTAAGTGCACTCTTGTACACCATCTTTAATTTCTTAATATAACGGAAACTACTGACATCGTAATGGTTACGACAATGTGAGCTTTTCACTTCAAGTTTTATGACAGTTTCAAGTTCAAGTTTTAAAATTGTTTTATGATTTCCATTCAATGGTCATAGCTAGGTAATAATCAACTAGTTGAGATTTCTTATTTTTTAATTTATTAATATGATCGAAATCTCGTATAGATACTGTACTCAGGTCTGCATCATTTTGCCTTTAATGCGTCTTGTAAAATACGTCAAATAGTGCATCCGACTGAGTTTGGCTAATAGGTTTATTACATGTAGCATTTCGCGTTAAGTCTTAAGATAAAAATCGCCATTTTCACAGAAAGATTCAAGTTGATCAAATCTCAACAAGTACACTCATGTGGGATAGTATTGCTAGACTCTATTTCAATAGTAAAACAGGGATATATTAAAACCATCCTCCTAAGCAGGTATCCAGAATCCGTACCTCCTTCCCCCGGTAAAAAGAAAGAATATATTCTGGATTTTGAAGCCCTGTGATCGGAGGATGATTAAAACTTACTAAGGCATTTAGCAATGTTGATTGGTTACAGATTCAAGATATGTATTTCACCTCTCATAGTACAAAATTTTAATAACTTCCTCCTGTTGAAGCTCCACTGTTTTAAATATGTTGGTAGATATTTTTGCTTGTTGAGCATCACACAACATGACCGTTTATCATTCATTTGGGAATACGCAGGGGTCATTTTTCAAAACAATTCTTTTATATTTAAAAGTTTCTTTTGAATAGATAATAAATGAGTAAAAATATCATAAATTCTTTTACACTAAGAACATTTATACGATTTCAACTGAAAAATAAGACCAAAATGGACTCCAAACTCACAGTGGGTACTCATTTAACACTGTTTATTTTTTTTAATTCACTGTTAAAGTCTAACGATTCAAATTAGTCTATCTTAGTTGCAATTACATCAATGACTATTTCTGAATTTGTTGAGCATCGCACAACTTAACATATTTTTATTAATTTGAGATTTAAGCAGGGGTCTAATTTACAAAATCATCAATTGTAAAAAACATAATAACAAAAATATGATTATATGATGAACTATTCACTCTTAAAAATTATTAGTTGGATTTCCTTATATTGAGAAATTGTACTACTCATTTTAAGTAAAAATTACTTAAAAATAATCTTGAACTACTAAATAATTTTTAAGTAATTTTTAAGTAATTCATTATGGTGAATTTACTAATGCAAGGAGAGAAATTGAAATACTTACTGTAGTAATTGTAATACTCATTTACATAATTAAGCAATTAAAAAACTCAAAATGACAAGTTACACCTGAGTAAAATGAAGTAAAACTAAGTATTTAACTTTAAGTAATTTTTATACTTGGGAAATACTTGGGAAATACTCAAGTAATTCATTTTTAAGAGTGTTAGAGAACCTGAGTGTTAAGAAAAACTTTGACCTTGACCTTAGAAGGTATTTGAACATTTGCAAAGTTCACATCTTATGTTTTTATTTTTATTTGTCTCCATTGACTTAACATGGGGATATCATCAGATTTTAAAATATGATGAAATCCCCATGTTAAGTTAATTTTATAGAAAATTAACTTAACAAAATTAAATTGGATTTATACCTAATTTATGATTGATACTTGACAGATTCTTTACTAATACTTTAAGTGTTAGAAACAAAATAATAAAATTCAGAATTGATTTTATTCAATTGTTTTGGGAGGGGTACTATTTGATGATTTCTCGACACTTAATTATTAATTCCAATGTTTTCTGGTAGGAGGGTGCACGGGGTACAATGCTATTCAGTGATTTCTATGCACTTCTAAAGTGTTGAGTTAATTAGAAAAAATAATAAAAGTTCCCTCTTCCGTTTTAGTGAGGGGGTGCAATAGGGAGTGCAGTCGCATCCAACACATCACCATCCCCCATTTCAACTGGCCTACATACATTTATGTACGCTCCAACATTCAAATTTTATTGCCAATAAGATCATGAATCAAGATAAAACAAGATCATGAATCAAAATAGGCGTGACAATAAGTGCAACCCTGGAGAACTCCAGTGATAAAGATGATTAAATTGCCAAATCAGCCTCAAGGGCCCTGGGTGCAATAACAACTAAAGCTAAGGCCACTGGCGGAATGGACTTTAAAGTGTTCTCTAAGCTTTATGATTCCCTCGTCCAACCAGTGATAAACTATGGCAGTGCTATTGTTGGCCTCAGGGAGCATAGATGTCTCAATAATCTCCAAAATCGTGCTGGTAAAACATTCCTGGGAGTTAGCCCTAAAACCAGTAATGAAGCAGTCCGTGGGGACCTTGGATGGAGTCCCCTAATTGATAAACAAAGAGTGGAATGCGCTCGACAATACCTGAGGTTACATAACATGGACAATAATAGATTGAATCATAAGGTACATAGATGGTCATTAAAAAACAAAAGAAGTTGGGACTATCACACTAAAGCTATGCTGACTAAAAATGGCATTTTTATTGATCATAATATTTTCTTGCATATAAAATCAACTGTAAAACGTTTACAGGACAGTTTCAATGCAAAAGACCCCTTCTTAAGAAACATTTGGGATGATACAAATAATTTACAGAATGGCAATAAGCTTCGAACATACAGATTGTTTAAATATGGAGTAGTTAATGAACCATATGTGTCTGAATACATTCCAAGGCATCACAGAACCATTCTTGCTAGACTGAGAACAGGTAGCCTCCCACTTCACATTGAGACAGGTCGTTGGTCAAATACAGCACTAAATGATCGTACATGTAAATTATGTGATGGTAACTTTGTTGAAGATGAAATTCATTTTGCTGTCCAATGTAAACATTATTCCAACTTGAGAACACAATTTTATAGAACTGTAACTGATATTTTAACACCACATATAAGAACAAACACTGACAATGAGTTACTTTTATTTATAAGCCTAATGCATTCAAGATCAATTCAGAGACAGTGGGCTGCTCTGTTATACAAAATGTTCATGAAAAGGCAATTTGACCTGGAACGGTTGACTGCAGTATAATAATTTGCCATATTATTCCTATGTATTGTATTTATTGCAGTGAGGGCCTAACCTCCACACCATTTTGTAGTCAAGAATCTAGTCATTATCTCACAAGATGTAAATCATTTATCATCACTTATAGATGGAATTATTAATATTTATCAATCTATGCATTAACGTACTTGTAGATGAATTGTAGTTTTATTGTTGAATGTCATATCTATTTAAACACTGTTATTATTGACCTTTAAAGTCCAGTGTCTCATAAGCCGACATCGGCTGGTGGTTTTTAGAATATGTATTTATTTGTACCAAATGTAAACCAGTGACACTATAATAAACTATTTTAATAAATAAATAAATTAAAAAACATGGATTACACAATATCAAATAAATAGTATTCTTTTACTTGTCAAATCCTGAAGAACAACATAGATGTACAATGAAGGTGTACTAATTATGTCATTTATTTTTAAGAATTTTAATAAAAAATACAAACGGACAGATGGTCTCATTTTAATTTAACTTTATATCATGCTAACTACATTTACAACCGATTTATTAGTAGATCATCAGTTGTAAACTTAAAAAATATCAAGATTAAATATTTTCAAATTTTTATGGACCCCTTCTAGACCCTACATTAATAAGTAAACGGTAATGTTGACAGGTGCTCAACAGGTGGAAACGTATGTAGGAATATATTTTTTATCATTTAAACATATCAAAACAATTGGTGGATCAACGAAAAACAAGATGATGTTAAAAGAAAGTGAACTAAATGGAACAATTATTTTTAATCATTTGGAATGCAAAATATAGTCATACAGATGATGTTATTTTCAATTAAACAGATAAAATCAATAACTCATGCTAATGACCTTTCCAAAAAACGATTCATAAGTAGATCCGTTATAAAGTTTAAAATTATCAAAATCTTATATTTTTTATTTTATTGTGGACCCCTGTTAAAACCCTCAAAAACAGGTAAACGGTAATGTTGACAGGTCCTCAACAAGTGAAAACGTCACTAAGTTCTGGGAATTTATCTGTCATTTCATTATCTCTCAACCAATTTTCAAGGTACATGGGAATTGTGATTTGTGGTCGGATAAAACAGTCTCATTGTCATCTTATGTGTGTATGTATATATTTATTGCCCTTTATATAAAGGAGATACATGTATGCAAATTGTGTAAATGTTAAATTGAAAATAATCACTATTTACAAACAAACAATATTTTATTTATATTTACTGACGACGACGCCTAGCTACCGCGTAAACGCACGCCGCCGACCAAGATTGGCCTAGTACCTAATTGTAACGCGATTATAAAAAGTCACTATATTTTACAAACACTCATTGTTTTGTTGTTGTTGTTTTGGACTGGCGACGACGCCTAGCTACCGCGTAGATGCACGCCGCAGGCCTAGAAGACCTGTTACCTAACACTCTTGAGATTAACAAAACAATGACATTATGGAACTGCATTTTCTACAAACTTAAAACGAAGACAAAGCGTATCATCGTACCTTCCCCAAGGTCGGCACTGCAGTACATTATGAAAGTATGAGATGCTTTGACTATCTTGTAAGCTAGTAAAAGATATACAATTGTAAATTTAAAAAAATGGTGGTGTTGCCATATGGTGCAATTCTAAATTAATGTGTACAGTAAATGATCATAAATATAAATACAAGCATGTGAGTTACACTAAAACGTATATATCTTATGTCACAATGGATAATTACTATAGCAACATGACAAATGGCGTAGCGGGTCAAGTAAAATAAAAATGAATTCAAATTTTGCTTGATCCAAAAGTATGGTTAATTAATGATTAATTAATGCTAAAGCATCATATGAGAGGTCATATGTTTGATTCCGATAAGGGACTGATTTCAACGGCTTGAGCAAATCTTCGAGGGATACCAAAGGGAGGTTTGGAACACGTCTTTATGGACTAGGTTTGTCAACAACGCATTTGCGTCCAGGCTAATGGAAACAATTATAAATGAAATGATCCTCTCAGCAATTAAGAATACTTCTGAATAAATGATTTCAAGAGTACTGTTCTGCCTCTAGTACGAGTAGTTTGAAGCAACCATCTAGGCAAGATGAATATATTTGGCAGGAAATTTTCAGATAAACATCAGTCAAAATTTGCTGACCCGCGGACCACTTTTACTTTTTTTATAATTACAATAAAATAAATTGTAGAAGTGATATGTATATGAAACATTGTCTGTCAATTCAGAATTATTCAATGTACATCTGCTGAAAATTTCAACTCAAATGGTTGAGAAATCTTGAAATGGCAGACCAATTCCCAGAACTTAATGATCACCCTGTATGTAGGAATATATGTTTTATTATTTTAACTCATCAAAACAATTGGAGGATCAACAGGAGGAACAGCTTAATTGAGACTTATCTGAAAAATGCCTTTATCACTATCAGGACTCTTACAAGGATATAATGCTATCCGATCAAGTGAAGCTGAAGTGTCAGCGATGTTTGTAACCGAAAAATATAATAGAGGGGATTCAGGTGGAGATTAGTGGTTGTGAATGAATACTTAATCTGTACTAATTACTTCGAGTTACCATTTGAACTTGTTTGTCCATCATAACATGTTGCCATGTAAATTATTTGCAACTCTGCACCCAATTGCATAGTATCTTGCACTTATCAACACAGAACATTATACTAAAGTTATAGGTAAGTAATCAAATAGATGTGCTGCTTCGTATTAACACGCGGTAGTATCTCTTCGGGACGTATCGAAACCACTCCGTCCCGAAAAACCGTTAATTTGAATTTAAAACCTACCCCAGTGTTTGAAAATCAAGGATTGTGAGTCTCACACTTCACCGTTTTTCTTCAAACTTGTTCCGTACAAAGCTTCACAGAAATACCTTTCAGTCGATACATTGTTTTCGTTTACAAAGTACCTCGTTTTAGCGGCGTTTTGGTCCCCAGCTGTGAGATAAAGCAAATTTTCATAACTTTCAACTGTAAGTCAAGTTATCTCGCCAGTCTTTTACCCATTCTCGCCCATAATTTCAGAATGGACTCCCATTACAACCTTCCATCGCTACGTCTTGATTTTTGGGCATCAAACGCAGCAGTTTCTAAATCATCCACACATCTCTTCAAATTTGACCAATACGTCCCGTCATCTTCCACTAAAAATTCGGTTCTCAGAGATCAATGTCCCTCCCAAGGTCGGGCCATATATCACTGAGACCTCGGGCATATATGCCACGATAGTGACATAACCTCTAATTATAAAATTTGATGACTGAAAAGTCGTGTGTGCCAATATTTACAAAAAACTCTATTTGTCAAGGTGAAATTCCACTGCAGTTTGTATCGATAAAACCGACATTGACCATTGGTTGGTAATCATACAGATTGAAAATAATAAACTTCCTGGTTCGAATTTAAGTCTACAAAAGGGATACTCTAGATTAACATGTGCAACAGAAACAAAGACCAACGTATGGTTTCGAAAGGCAGGACCTTTATGAAACTGGGAGTTTGGGATACAGTGTTTTGCACGATTTTCAACGTATGGTATCAATAGACCTTTGCAAATACAATAAGGACGTTGTTGTAGCTCTTTATAGGTAAGTAATCAAAGGAAGCTATTTACAAAGTTTTCTGAACAGATGCGTAGCATGCGAACATGTGTATGGTGTTGTAATCATATTGTGTACAACTGCAAGACTATTTAAAGTTTAAATTTCTATATAGAGCATATATCACGTTATAACTTAAAAAGTGTTTTTTGTTACAGGAGGATCATGATTCTTTCGTCGGAATTTTATTTTGTGAGATTGGCAGTACTTCTTTGTATGATGAGAAATGTACATTCAACGATCGACAGAAATGGAAAAAGTATAAGTGAAAAATTCGCTAAAAAGAATGCTACCTGCGATGAAATCCCCGGTCCAGAGGATCTTCTCGTTTCCTGTCAAAACATGGATTTTTCAAATGGGTTTCCAAAACTTCCAGAGGATGTTACTGATTTAGTGATTGATACGTGTAAAATGCCAATAATTCAGAACTACTCCTATGGGCTACTTCCACGCTTGTGGAAACTGGAAATATCGTATTCTAATGTTTCTTTAGTAGCCCCAGACGCATTCAGTATGATGCCAAACCTCACAGATATCAACCTATCAAACAATACATTGAAGGAGATCCCAGCTAATATCTTCTGGTTAAATAGGATAACAAACGTGGATTTAAGTGGCAATCAAATCAGAAACATAACATTTCCAAGTAATATTTCCGCAAGAGAAGACATCGATATCTCAATACGACTGTCTTATAACATGATCGGGAAGACTACCATTCAAAATGGAACTTTCAATGCCCTGGCGAATTTTACTTCGGTGTCTTTATTCTTAGACGGGAACGATATATCCACACTTCATCCAAGTACATTTTTGGGTATAAACAGGTTTAATATTCTTGATTTGAGCAATAACAACTTCGGGAAGAAAATATCACTTATGGATATCGGACTCTGTATACGAGACAAACCAACAAAGGTTCTGAAAATGACTAATTGCAAATTGAATCGTACATTGACAGAGAAAATGTTTAAAACAATGTCTAACTCATCAATTGAATCACTTGACCTAAGTGGAAATAGTTGGACAATATGGCCAAAGAATACACTAAAACATTTAAAAAACCTTCGAAACCTTACAGTAAATAACTGTCGTTACTTCGCGTTCTTTGAGGCAGCCAAGGAACTCGAAGAAGTACTCAATGTTTCACTGAGTTCAAATGGATTGCTTAAAACACACATTATTTCTATAATTATAGCTTCTTCAAAAAAGATCCAATATCTTAACATAAGTAGTAATCATTTTCAAGATCACTTCAAAGATATCAAACGATTGAACAGCACATCACTTAAAACTTTTGATATGTCAAACAACAATCAAATCGTTACAGAAACATCACAGCTCGATTATTACAAAGCAATGAGAAATCTGAGTATACTTAGGTTGAGTAATACCAACAGTGACTTGATACATAACATGGATATCGGCACACTACGACTCACCAACATGTCAAAACTAGAGTTCCTTGACCTTAGTCTCAATAAAATCTATATCAACCGTACAACATTAAATGCCAGTTTTATGGGTCTGACAAGCCTGAAGACAATCGTGCTGTCGTACAACAATCTGGCAAACACACCTTTTGACGCTTTGGAAGCGTTCTTCCATCAGCTTCCGACCCTCAAAAGTATAGATTTGTCGTTTAACAACATACAGCATCTTCCATATGATGTCTTCAGCGGAATGCCAAATTTAACAGAACTCATACTCCAAGGTAATCGTATGACATCGTTCTCAAACAAGTACATCATGAACAACCCAAAACTTCAAAGGCTACTGCTTCAAAGGAACGCATTAACCTGGATAGACGCTACCATGTTTGCAAAACTAACTTCATCTTTTACGTTGAACATAGAAAACAATGCATTCTATTGCAGCTGTAATCTTCGTGATTTTCGACAATGGCTCAATTCCAGAAACAAAAATGTGGTAATAGTAAAAGGGGAAAATCAGCATTGCAAGACCCCTAGTAGATTTAACGAAACTAGCATCAAGAGATTTGAATTACCATGGCTCGAATGTGACAATCACTTAGCCATAATGGTATCAGCATGGATCGCTGCTCCACTCTTACTAGCGAGTATGGTAGCTGTCATCATTTCTTACTATCGTTGGGACATCAAATACTGGTGGATTCTTCGAAGGTCAAGGCGTACTAGAAGGGGGTATACCGAGTTGACAGAATCGAGAGTCAGTAACGGATTCGTATATGATGGCTTCGTTTCGTACAATAGTGAGAGTCAAGGTTGGGTGATAGATCAACTGTTACCAAATATGGAGCGATCTCCTGACGACGTCAACGTAAAATTGTGTTTTGATGGGCGTGACTTCATACCAGGGAAGTTTATTGCTGACAATATTGTTGATTCTATCAAAGAGAGCAGAAAAATGATGTTTATCATAAGTAAAAGGTTCATTGAAAGCCAATGGTGTGCATTCGAACTAGAAATGGCGCATCTAAGACAATTCGAAGAAAAGAAAAATCTAATCGTTCTCATATTTCTCGAAAAAATACCAAAGAAGAAGCTCCCAAAAAAGATCAGCTTACTTATGCGTCATGTAACCTACGTTGAATGGGACGAGGACAATTTGCGTTCCCAGAGTCTGATGTGGAAAAAGTTAAAGTTGAGCTTGTTAGACATTCCGTGTGATCTGACTTATGGGAATATCGCTTAAAATATATATTTGCATCTCTTATAATTGAAAATAAAAGGAAGTATGTACACATAGGCAACGATTGGTGGAAACGCAAATAGTAAATCAAGTCAACAGTGAGATGAATGGAGCAATTAGCGGCTTATCTAAGCAGGAAATACTATACTGCCAAAGTGGTAGCAATCATGTGATCGACTTATTTCAGGTGAAGGGGCATGAAAAAATACTTATTTTGCAATCATGAACACTGATTACTATTTATTCCAACTTTTAAATGAAATATGATAGAATACTAAATGCGATTTGAGCATAATTGTCTACATAGCATATACAGTTAGTATTTGTTTTAAGATATAAAACTGAAAGTTCTCGTCCGCATGAAAACGAAATATGACCTTTCGTATAAGCTACATGTTCTCAAAATGATTATATGACAAGATGTTTGCAACTTCTGGTAACATTCTCTTTAAATGATATACTGTTTAACATGTATTGTTATAGTGCCTTATAGACCGTTTGTCGGCCTGGGGTGTTTTTTAATTATACATGTTTTATAATTTGGACACTTTAATAAAATAAATAAGAAATAAATAACATTAAATGAGACGAGGAAATCAGAGGGAACAATAATTCAAGAACATTAAGCGTTCGGAAATATATGTGTTTTGTGCAAAAATTGTGTACGTCAAATAGTACTTTTGTCTAGGGTCACACAGTATTGTTATGTGCATCAGTATACTCACCGGGAACTGGTTAGGTCCGATAGTCATTGTAAATTTTTGTATAAAATTATTATGTCGATGGACTGGGAGAAAAAATTATCAATTACATTCTCCAAACACAGGGTCCAGGCATAATTAGCCATTATGTTCTTGTCCATATTGATTGGATTGTATCTTGGATTGTGCATGTATGTGCAGTTTCTGCGCTGCATATAATCACAAGTAAACAGCAAATATGCAAAGTATGTCTGAATATAAGCATATACTCAGTGACAGTACCCGTATATGCAGTCAGTATTCTCCATGGATGTTTGTTATATGCAGCTGCATATATTTGTGTTCCATATATGCAGTTATTGTCTGCGTTCTGTCAGTGATGATTATTGGTTATAACATGCAATTCGAAGTAAATAAACACTAGAATTGCTCGTTATTTGCAAGCAATATTCTTTATTTTATACAGTGTGGACCCCTTTTAGGAGCCCTTGGAGAGACTGTTAAAGTTTCATTTTATCACTTGCATATTTTAATGAAACCTCTGTTAAAAAAATCAACAAATTATAAAACAACTTTGCAAAACCCGTCCTGTCTTATCTGAACGACTCTGGGACAAGCCAAAAGCTGCGTTCGGAATAGTAGATGTTAAAAATTTTAAGTGTTTTTCAACATATAGCTCAATGAGAGATAATAAAAGGACCAAGAAAGAGTATTCACATTGTGAGGTGTTGGGATAGACATTAACTATTTACATTCCTCTTTTCTACTGTTCCACATGTTTTGGCATACATCCACAAAATGAATTCTGTTAAGAAATGTAAACAAAAACCATGAAAATTGAGCCCGGTCGGACTGTATGTATTAGTAAACGTGATCTGCATTCTGAATTTGTCAAAATGTTTTACTTTTAATGCTCCCTTTTAATGTAACAATTTGAGATAGAAAAATATAGGGTTTTTGAGTATTACATAAGGAGAAAATAATATATATATATCTTAGCAATGCTTGCTACTAGAAAGCTCCACGGTAACTTGACAACACGTTGCGTTGAGACCATTCCATTCTGTCCCTCTTTGTCTACATTACTGTATAAGTGGTATTTAATCCGAGTGGTTAATTTTCCGAATGGTCAAATTTCATCATTTTCCTAATTTTAATTTTCCTAATGACAAGAAACCTCCCATTGAATAACATTATAAAGACAATATTTCCGACATTTAATTTTCCGAACCTGGCAAAAATTAGGAAATAGGCAAATTAAATGATTAGGCAAAATTACCACTTATACAGTATACAAAAGGAAATTAAAGGCCCTATCCAAAGTTTAAATCAGTTTGGCTTATCTTATAGTCCTAGCCAATGTTATCAAAATATGAAACTTTTCAATATAATTTCAAAAAGTAGATATCGAAGGACTTTATTTAAAAATGTGACATCATTTCAAATAAAATTTTAGTCGTCGCGCACATATATGCAATAATCTACACGAATGGTAACAAACATCCTTGTGTTGAAAAAATTAAGAAAATTTGTTTAAAGATAAGCAAGAAATTAAATTAACTCAAAGGCTCAGAAAAGTGGTTCAGAGGAAAGGGCATTTAATCTAAGTTCTCAGTGAATCCAAAGCTACATGAATATCTAATCATGATAAAAACTTATTTTCAACCTATACAGGCCCACAATATTGCTTCATTTTGAAGGTTAAGCATAAATTGGTGGTTGAATAAATATACAAATACAAATAAATAGTGTTTTACAAAGTTGTACTTGATGATCTAAATCTAAAAATCTGAACTTTTATTTCTTAATGGTGAGAAAATAAAATATTTGAATTTTGAAAGTTACAAGATGAAAAATTTTTTTTCAAAAGAGAAGTTATCACGAAAAAAGCAAGTCCTTATATCTTCAAATGGTTTCTTTCTGGACAGGTGAAAATGGATATTTTTTGTTTGATAATGTTGTAAATAAGTTTAAAAGATGGGGTGTAGCACATGTCTAAGGCAAAATTATATTTCCAGAGGTGAGCACATCAACTGATCAAGGAGCCAAGACACCATACCCTGAAGCTGAAAACATTACATATACACTTGAATATTTGTTTGCAAATACAGCATAACTAAAAGAAAGCAACATATTAATAATGGTTTATTATGGCACTAGAGTTAATACATGTACCCGCATAAAATTGCAAAAATAGCAAAAAAGGCTCATTTGAAAAGGGCAGAGAAAGACAGTCAGAATTTGTTTCTTTGCACTCGTTCCCAAATCTTCTACAATTATTTTTACATATAATGTACCGTAATAGTTGAGTTAGTGTCTCTTATAAGACAGTGGCCACTCTAAGTGGTTCCCACCATGGCATCCTGTCATATTTAACAGAATCCGCTTCAAGCTTGTGCTCCACCTTGATAACACTATCAACCATCTCGCGAGGCCAATCCTTCGGCATACCTTTCAAATTCCAGAACACGATCCGCCCTCCCGGTTTGCAGATTTTCCCTGCTGATCGAATGACTGAGTTATGATTTTCATATGTTAACCAGTCTGTTACATTCGAGACACATACACCGTCGAACATTGGTTGCTTAGACAACGGGTATTTTCCGAGCCAATCAGTAAGTTCACCTTGTACCCATTGCATACGATTTACCCTTTCTTTCAATATTTGGAAATTCTCTTTTAGTTGATAATCTCGTAAGTTGTATTTCCCCGAGTAGCCACCTGTCAGCATATACTCAATACAATGATTTCTTTTCGCTGGGATAGTCTTGCAAATCTCTTCCATTCTCCTTCCATAGAATGTGGGATAGTCCACATCTGGAATGATCGAATAGTTGAAATCAAACATGAACCGATGAACAAACTTCTTCATCGCCCTTCGAAAATGCTTTGTATTCATAACGTTCTCGAAAAATTCAGATTGCTCCTTCATATCGTCTCCCATCGATATGAATCTCTTGATGTCCGCTTGATCCAGGGCAACAAAGAAAAAATCCTCAGCTGCAGTACGAATTTTGGTTTCAAACTCGCCGCAGTGCATGACACCAAATTCAACAGCTTCTATTCGAGAGTCCCAGTACTCCTGCGTTGGCCGTTCAAGGGCTAATTTAATGGCATTGTATATTCTGATTCGCTCCTGAGGTTTGACATTTTCCCTGTCTATTCCGGTGAAGTCAATAAATTCTTTGTATGACAGGTGTTTAGTGCAAGCTGCTTGTAACTTTGCCAAATGTAGCTGTGGAATTGATAAATCAAGAGCCACAACTTCAGCAGGATCATCGAGTAGAAGGGTCATAGCATTGGCACCACATGATGCAATTGTGAAGAGTCTGTCTCCGCTTTTGATATTCATTACATGTCTAATAGGGGCAACGTCTTCCCAATTCTACAAAAGGTTATAATTAAGGTGTATACATTTATATTTTCCTTTGATGTTTAAGGGTTAATATTCACTGCCATAATCCTCACTCTCTGATTGATCTATGTCCTACATGTTACTGGGAAATAAGAAGCCTTAGAGTTCGTCTTTAATCTAAATCATATGCCCCTTTGCATTCCAGTGTTCTTGTACCATATACCCTGGCTGTCATGTTGCAATTGCACTGTGTACTTTTATATATTTCATATAATTGATTCATGGTAATATCCATTCAGGTAACAAAGGCAACAAAAAGATCAATGAAGGTCTTAAGAGTGAGGAATATTAACAGTTTGTTTTATAAAACAAATATCTCATTCTGTTGATATGAATACATGTGCATCTCTCAAAAGTAATATTCTCCGAAGCTCAGAGGGCTAGGGGAATATTAAAATATTCGTACTTAGGTGGTTCAAAATGTTTTGCAGTTGATGCCATAACTTCAAGGAAAATAGGACTTTTGCAATGGAACTTGGTACGCATATGTGCTATATATTTATACATTATACGGTAAAATTTGGGACCTCAAATTTTGATTGGTTCTTGAGATATGGTTGCTATGGTAACCAAAGTGGTGGGTACCATGTTCAACCCGAAATTACGTTTTTCCAAATAGTTTTCTTGCTTGAATTAACTCTTTGTAAAGTGGCAATTAGCAGGTGTAAGTGTCTTTGGGTGACTATTTTTCTTCAAATTCTTCAATTTTTCTAATTGTCTCTATGACATCACAATAGACAAGTGGCACGAAAAGTTCCTTTGTGATGTATACTGTCCAAAACCCAGTTAAAAAATTGAGATGGAAAAGTGAGGAAATTTTGAATTTTTTTCCCCAAATTTTCAAAATGGCAGATGTTTCCACACCAACCAAATTGATGAAATGGAAGCATAGAAATCTGATACATTGCATGGTTCAAAATGGCAAGACTTTGCAAGAGACTTATGAACTGGTTCAGGGAGCATTTGGAAATGATGCCAAAAATTACACAACTGTAATGAGATGGTACAACGATTTCAAGAAGGGGAAGCGTGACAGTCTTCCAGACAACCCCAGAAAAGGAAGGCCAATGACCTCTGTCAACCATGTGAATGCAGAAAAGATAAAAGTTCTTATAGAGCAGGACAGGCATATTTCATTAGAGGAAATAAGTGATTTACTGGATATATCTAAGGGATCCTGCCATACAATTGTCATAAAGATCTTGAAAAAGCGGTATGTTGCAGCAAAGTGGATTCCAAAGTTCCTCACAGTAGAGCAAAATGAAGCGCGTCTTGCAGCATCTAGGCAATTTCTCGGTACGTTTTGGCATTATTTCCAAATGCTCCCTGAACCAGTTCATAAGTCTCTTGCAAAGTCTTGCCATTTTGAACCATGCACTGTATCAGATTTCTATGCTTCCATTTCAACAATTTGGTTGGTGTGGAAACATCTGCCATTTTGAAAATTTTGGAAAAAAAATTCAAAATTTCCTCACTTTTCCATCTCAATTTTGCAACTGGGTTTTGGACAGTATACATCACAACGAAACTTATCGTGTCACTTGTCTATTGTGATGTCATAGAGACAATTAGAAAAATTGAAGAATTTGAAGAAAAATAGCCACCCAAAGACACTTACACCTGCTAATTGCCACTTTACAAAGAGTTTATTCAAGCAAGAAAACTTTTTGGAAAAACGTAATTTCGGGTTGAACATGGTACCCACCACTCTGGTTACCATAGCAACCATATCTCAAGAACCAATCAAAATTGAGGTCCCAAATTTTACTGTATAATGTATAAATGTATAACACATATGTGTACTAAGTTTCATTGTAAAAGTTATATTTTCCTTGAAGTTATGGCATCAACTGCAAAACTTTTTGAACCACCTAAGTATAATGGTTTTTAGTGAATACCTCGTTCGGATATCAACTCTTTGATAAAAATGGATATCAAGAAAAAACATATGATGTTTCTGATTTATCCCATGTTTTTTCAAAAGTATACAAAACAGGAGATAAAATAAACATATTTCAGTGTTATTGAATATTCCATGTGCCATAAGTGACTAGTTGGTGTCACATCCCTCTGAGTGGTTTTATCATTTCTTGACACTTAGAAAATAACATCAATAATATCAATGTTTCTTTCTTAATATTTGCAAGATTTCAAGTCACGTTCAAAATTATGATTTCTTCTACCTTACACGAGAGTATGGCATATAGTTACGATGGATCAACATACGTCATATTTCTTTGGGGAAACGCGATTGGCATGGAGGTTATCCGACGATGTTACGTGCATTTTAAGTATGTCTCGAGCAACACAATTTTTGTGAAATTTGAAAAAATGTACATGGTAGATGAATTTTAAATACTAAAAAGGTAAAAAAAATTCTAACTCCGAATTGATGGTGACCCAAGACCAATGACCCACGACCGATACCTCAAACGTTTACTCAAAACTATTTTGGGTAAAATTCGATGGGAATTCTATACTTCATGTTTCAGGGAGTCGGCTTTCAAATACTGAAAAGTGAATAATTTAGTGCACGTTCCAAAATATAAAAAAAACATACGTACCATAGCAAAAATAATGTCTTCATTTTGACCTCTATGAGCATCTTCCACAGTTTCAGAATAATGTTGCTTCTGAGCTATTGTATTAAGTACATTAGAAGGAATTTTCCTACTTAGTAAAGTAGAGATTCTTCTTAGCATCGCCATGTTCATGTAAAAATATAAGTCTACATTATACGCGATTATCCTGTATTTAGGTATGTTACCGTGATTCAGACTGTTGTAAAGGACCAGGTATAGTATGGCAAGTGATTTTAGTTCCTTTACCATGAGTACTTTCTCAATTCAAATGACATTTTTTCATTTATTATCTTTCAAGCAAATTCTCAAGGATAATAAAAATGTCAATCAATGAGGATCTTATTTTTCTGAATTTTATTGCATGTAAGGATTATTCACTGTAAGTCTAAAACTATTGAATGCCCATGACCAAAAGTATAATGGTATTAAAGTCTAGTTTTGAAAATACAAACTTTCAATGACCAAAATTATGCTGAAAACAATGGATAGAATGAGATATGTGGTTTTGACTTTATCGCATTTCAATACCCATTCCCTTTTCAGAAGTTGTTAATATATGTGTAGCATAGAAGAAAATTTGATATATTTAAAGTGAGCAAAACAAGATCCTCTGATGACAAGGTGGGGTCCTCATCCATAATTTTTCAGAGAGCTGGATTGATATTTTTATTATCACGGGTACTTCACTTGAAAGAAAACACATTGTTTTAATAAAGACCATTGTACAAAATTATTTTCCTGGCCAAATTGAATCTAATATTTATGGCCAGAAAGTACTCATGCTGAATGATATGACTGTCCAAAATCACTTGTGATACTTTACCTGGTCCTTTTATATTTGTTTCATGGGAACATGAGGCAAGGTTCAGCTTTTTGTAAGTATTTTATGATTTAGTAACCGGAATAAAGAACAGGCTCATTTTGACATTCTAAGCATGCAGCGGACTGTTTTATATTTTTAAATGCACTTGTGTGAAAGCTGTTCTGGGCTACCAAAGTGTTTTAACTCTTGCCTAACTATTCTGACAAAAGGAGTATTCCAAGTTCACTTATTTTGTCAGATCTGAAAATTCACAAGGGATCGAGGGTGTCAATAATTGTTATTGCTTGGAAAAATATGCTCAAAATGACCCATTTTAAAAATTTGACCCATTTTGAAAATGTGGGCCCATTTTCAAAATAGAGACCCATTTTTCATAGAAGCCCATTTCAAAAAGGAGGCATATTTTTGAAACTGGAAAATGGTAGGCTTTTTGTGCACGAGGCAGACATAAGCGGTTTTGTTAACTTAATTTCAACAGTCATCTCTTGAAAGACCATGAAACTCAATTGCAAATTTTAAATCAACGTATCGAGTGTATTTGATAAAATAAGTAGAAACATCTAATACTTGGGTCAAGTCAGAATACCTTGAAAAGAGTCGTGTCTCATATTAGGAATATCATCAGTATGGTGATTTACAGTACGAGTAGATCTTATATAGTCTGGGTTGATATATGTTTTTGAAAAATTGCTTCTATCAGGTCAATGTGTTATTAGCTTTGTTGACTATTTATTCTATTTTCGTCAAGCTTGTACAGTCAGATCCATAAATAATTACTATCGGTTTTAAAAAGACAATCTGTCGCACATATAATAAATTCTTACCTCAGGGAATTAAGCACTATATTTTCTACGTTCTGGAAAATACAAATATAGTGGAATTTGTGTCCATAATGACCATTGGGATCATTAAAATTTGAAGTGATTTCCACATGTTAAATGTCCACCATTTTTGAAAATAATTGTGCATAGTCTCAAAAACAATTCTACAACAATCCATTTTAAAATAACATTTCACCACTTACACATCTATAATATGTATTATACCATACTCTATATGTCTTTATCAATCAATTGATACAATACAATTACCAGATATACAAATTGAACAATTTTAATTTTTGTTTGAGACTACAAAAACAATGGCTGCCATTTGAAAAATGGATTCACATGTTAACAAACTATCCACCATACGCTGATATAAAGCCTTGGAGACATTTATTCTGCTAATAATCATTTACAGGAGTATATATTCTAGCAATGGAGGAGTGTTTGGCACATTAAATGTTCAAATTCAGCAAACTGTGCCAAAAATTCCAGGTGTCTTTTACTTTTGGATCGGACTGTAATTGTATTATTCATCAGAACAGGGTTACATGTTATGAAATACATCGGAACCTGTGGTGGCTGCACAGGTATTCACTCCAATAGAATGAAATACTTTAGTGTGACAGATTTAAGTCAGTTTCATAGCTGGTCGCTTTGGAATAATTGTGGTGCTTCAGTGTTAGCAGTGTACTGCATAAGGTTGTGTTAGGTTGATTTCGGTATTGGTTAAACTCAAGTGCTGTATGCTGACGGGAGTAATGGGTCTTCAAAGTCTGATTGTATTCTCCATATTAGATATTTTCTGTATTTGATTGTAATGGATGGATTATTAATGGGCTATGAGATAATCGTTTGACAATATTATTGTACTATAAATGATCACTTTTTGAAGATTACACACCGTTTTATAAATGGGCACATACGTTTTTGTGGTCAGAAATATCCAACTCAAAAAGCAGTGTCTGAAACTTCGCTGCACAATCCTGCGAGGATCTTCAATTTATCTATTGAAAATCATTATTTTGATTACTTGTTTTTTGATGTCTGTCACCAAGGTTGGGGTTGAGTTGGGGCAGTTTAGGAGTTTCTATAATGTTAAAGCTTTTTTCTGCATGTGCATTTTTATTGAACTTGTGGTGTACATTTATTTTATACCTGCCACCCATTTGCCAATAAAATCAAAAGCACGTTTCGTATTTCTAATTCTCAACCAAGAGAAAAACGAGGAATAAAGTGAGAAATCGAGAAAAATGGATAATTAAATAATTAATATTTAAGAAAAATGTTATAGAAAGGAAAAATATAATTTTCATCACAATGACATTTAATTTTTTAATTTTCCTGTCTCTTTTTGAATGTCCAATTTTAACATAAATATGAAGGAATATATCATAAGAGCTATTTCAACGCAAGAAAACTGAGAAGTGGAAAAATTGAAAAACCAACACATCTTCTGATTTAAGGTAATAGGTGGCAGGTATGCTATTCATAGAATTAATAAAATAGAAAAACAGGTCTAGGACTACGGCATAAGTGACACAAAACTTGCCATCCAAATTAATACATTCTATTCTAAGGCCTCTTTTCTGCTTGAACAGTACTCCAACAAAAATCCCAGTTACCTCCCCTTAACCTCTTGAATACCCAGAATGACAGATATATCTGTCACAAATAAAATCCATTTGGGACCCAGAGCGACAGATATATCTGTCACAGAATTTTTCACAAAAACTGCTTTAACTTTTATCCAATCTTCACAAATCATGGTTTAGAATGTATGTAATGGGTCTATGTTTACTATTCTTATGAAATCAAATATCAAATATTGTGTTTTTAGATGTAAATATCCAGAAAACTAGGAGAAAATGAAAAATGCTCTGGTTTCAAACCCTTTTTAGAGGCTGGTATTCAAGAGGTTAAGCGGTTGAAGATACCGTTTAACAGTGGCGCACACGCATGATATATGAACACATGATCATACCCCAGAGTTTCCATGTCATATAAGTCGGGTTTAAGACAAATATAAAAGCATTATGTCAACTATAAAGTAGTTTAATTCGATGAAAACTAAAAATATCGAAATTACACCACCTTTGACATCTTTGATGCGAAGGTGACGGTCGTTACCTTCGCTTGATACTCACCAGTGAGCTTGAGATGTTTCTGGTGAAACAGAAAGATGTTACCTGTATGAGTATCAGATTGAATGATCGATGGGAGGGAGATATGGAAAAGGAGGCCTTGGAAGAACAGCACTTATCATAAATCATTTGTAAAATCAATCATATACGGTTTTTGATTTCGATTATTGAATTTGGCAAGTTAAATGTCTCTAGCTTATTCTGAACTTATGGAGTGGCACACGATGTAATCAAAAAATCAAAATCTCTTAAAACGACAAATATGCATTAGCAACAAAAAACTGACAATATAATTAGCAACAGATAACTCCGATTTCTAAAACTCGAGATCTTCGAAAAATAAAAAATGGAGGTCTGTCTTGTCTAGGTTGATTGGCAGTGAAGGGACTGTTAGAAACTATGATTATTGGAGAATCTAGTTCATAAATCATCTTATTGCACTATTATTACCACTCTTATACGAGCAGCTCTAAGTGTTTCTAAATGACAGAAAGGGAGGATTCATATGCCACTCCATATAGTGCATGGATACTACAATACCCGAAATGTTATGGGCTAGAAATAATTTTTCTAATAGGTTTAACTACTTCTGATGATAGATTTAGCAAGTTCAATTAGGGAAGGATTGAACGATTAAAAAATATCCATTTTCGTAGTCCATATTTTTTAGCGATGGTCGGTCGTTGCCATTATGTCGATCACTATCGGTATTTGTATGCTCTTTACTTGTGAGAACTTAGTATCACGCCGCCAGGGGATGCAGGTCTCCTTTCACTTTTATAATCCCAATCACCTGGGGCTAAGTGTGCATATTTATCAAGGGTCGTCAAAGGGATATCACCAAGGGCATCAACAGGCTCGTCTCTCCACGAAGATGCCTGTTTGTGGTAATTGTCCACAGCCTTTGCCTTAGTTAGACTCATGTCTCGGAAAGCATTTGTTACCAGGGCATCTATTTGGTCGACACGCATTTGAAGGGTATCCATAGTATCAACATATTGATCTGGCCTACACTCCCCAGTATCTAAATCATAAAAAATAGAAACTTGGCTTCTGTGCATAATTATCTATTTTTCTGGGCTGTCTTTGTAAAATACTTTATCTCTAACCAAAAATATCCATGACCAATGTTATTAAACCGGTGTATACATGCAAAATATTTATTGTTAAACTTCACATGAATTTAAATAGGGAATGTGACCTTATTTATATATTTGTCTTCACATGAAAACCATGACGTAGGTATAACACAAGCGAAGACAATTATATCTCCCGAGGGACAAAAATTCACCGCTATTAATTGTGTGCATCATATTAAGTCTCCACAACAGCTGCCAGCCAGTGAGCAAGAAATACATTTGAGTTTAAAATACATGTAAGGATTGGAAGGATGATACAAATTGCTACCGGCATAAAACTAAATTTTAAATGATTTCGAATATTACCATCTTGTGTTTGCTTGATTCCTACAGCGTCCTTGATTTTGCGGATGATAAATGGAACCATTTGTATGTCATCATATCCATCTAGCTTCATTTGTTGAGCCATGCTTCTGCCCTCAGTGATTATACCAACAATGATATTAACCTTAGAAAAGAAATTGTCAAAAGTTCATATTTTAGTATATTAACATTCAAGTGTGATAGGATTTTGGGCAATGAATATTTATTGAACTGTTACCAGCAGGGTCATTGCCAAAATGCTATTTTTTAATCAGTTGGTTTGTTTTATAAAATACACGCATACAGTGAATAAACAGGGTTGAGGAAAATCGCCTTCCGGCATTTCATGTCCCTATATGAAAATAAAAAACAAGCAAACAAGAAGTTAAAGAAGTCATTACACTTGTATGACACATAGTTTTCAGTTTTATTTATAAACATCCACAAAAATACATAATTGAAACATTTTGTCGAGGCACCTGCGTCATATCAGTAGTAAGCTAATATCTCATTTTCACCTAACAAGTTGCAATTATTGTAAATGAAGCTCGGTTAGATTATCAGGATTTCTGATCTCTCAGTGTCAGATCCAAATTAGACTGAATGATCTTTGAAAAATTTCTGACTAACAAATAAAAGAATGATATTGAGTGTAAATAAAAAGGAAAGTTTAAGTGATTGGAATTTTCAGTATATGAAATCCTCTCCGCAATAATATGTAATGGTACATTTGAACGCAGGATATCGTAGAAACATCTAAATTTTTGGTAATAAGATGGATGGAAAATAAACAAATGAGTCTTACAATGATGAAGAAGACAAACACCATATACGAAATGAAGAAACAAGGTCCGATGATCTTGTGGGAGTCTTTGAGTTCATCAAAATCTATCTTCCCCAACATCATGGAGTACAGCATTACAACTGATCGACCAAAGCTCGAAAACCCATATGACCTACAATTAATGATAGATATGCATTCTAGGTGGCTGGTATATATTTTCCAATTGTCTCAGGAATGTGAGAAGAACTAGAATTTGATATATTCATGAAACTATTAAAGATTGGATAAAACGCAATCATCAAAATCATTGATCTGTATCATTAACCCGAAAATATATATGGCTATATCAGAAACTTGAATTCATACCCGGCTGCAAACGCTATATTTCCCATCGATGCAAAAGCCATGAATATGATGACTAACGTCACAGAAAATCCCGCCAAGTCTTTGGCACAGCAACGCATGGTCATGTTCAGTAAGGCTATATGTGGATTAAAACGCAGGAGTCTAAGGAACTTGATGTTAACAACGAAAGCGATGATTCCAACCAAAGCAGTAAACAGCTCATCATATAAACTCAACTCAGAAAAGCTGACACTTTTGTCTGAAACACAAAAAAACATATAATATTCACGTCATAAATACTTGTATTCTACATGTATGTATGATTTGGCTAATACACATTTGAAAAAATAAAACCGGAAATTAATCAACTAATTATTTCAGTTTATTCCTTTTGTTCATACAAACTCAAATGCTAAGATGATACTACAGGGTGGTTAAAAATTCTAGTACCTTTATTATCTGCTATTTCTCTCATGACTAGACGGACATATATCATCCTGCCAATAAACATACAAACGGCCATATAACTTGTTGTAAGGCCAAATATATCTATGAGATTCCAAAGCTGTTTGAAATAACTTCTGCCTTGTTTTCGTATCTGCTTCACCATGACAACAGTTATGTAAATCAGGTAGATAGCATACACCAGCTCTGCTATTAGAACTAGAGTGCTGTTACTGTCAATACCTGAAACATTGTAAGAATCGTTTGAAAACGGATCACTACAACAAAAGAGGAAAACAAATTTTATTCATGGTAAAGTATTAAAATGTCACTTAAAATATCAAACTTCCACCTGCCAGACATTGTTGAAGACGACAATCATGCTAGATTCGCAATTTCATTCACAAAATACGAAAACAAAGTAATAAAATCAACTCTTCAATATTTCCCTGCATATAAACAGGTCAAATGTCAAATGGAATACTAACCTTCATATATCATGAATGACGTGATTCGTGGGGCAGGCAGGGTACTTCCAGTTGCCGGAAACTCAACGCAATATTCCACAAATGCAAATAAATTCACATTCGGATTGTAGATGGTAAGCTCCAAGAACACTGCCCTTGTGTAATAATCAATCCAATCATGTTGCTTTATTTTTCGCACGATTGTAATGGCGTTCCTTATTGACCTACCCAACTCCTGTACATATCCACCCCCACCATATGTACCCATTGCTCCTGTATACGGCACTGCCTACAAATATCACCCGCTTGTGTGTTACTTTTTGAAAGTTTTTTTTCCAAAAAATCGGGTAACTTTTTAACGGACATGTTAAGAGTGATTTTCGTGTTCATCCGTTCGTGTTCATTAATTTTAGGTGCCTTTTTTGAATTATAACTTAAACAAAATCGGGTAAAAAATTGTAAAAATTATGGTTTTATAAGTGTCGTTGTAGGTAAAGCTTCTGCATAAGGGACCATAGGTTGTATTCAAAATAGTGTGTCAATATCATATTCTTGAAAAATCGATGAATGTATCTTACTATGAACTTTTAGACATCTTAGTATATACAAGATGTAGTAGGCATCAAATAACACTTCTGTCAAATTTATTTATAATCAAATCTATATATGAAAAATTTACCTTTAGGTCTGTTGCATCTCGATATGTGTATGCAGCATCAATGGGTGATGGCCCGATAGTTCCATTACTTGTCAACTCAGTAAACCAACCAGGAAAGAAATCTTTATTTTCTTCATCAGTATAGCTATACTCCTTGTTACATTCAATCATAATGTCTTTTGCTTCTGTTGCTGGACTACAAAGGGCTTGAAAAACAACAGAACAACATTTTGTCAGGTGATAGTTATTACCTGGACATGGCATTCACGTTTAGTCTTGCTACAATACCTTGTGACCCCCAAAAGGTGTTTAGTCAAGTAGAGGGGGAGGGTGGAGGGGGGGGGGCAAAGAGGCTTTTAGCTAAACGTATCAACTGTCAGAGAAGATGAAATGGGGAAAAATTTATTTTCTGTTGTTTGGATATCATTACACAAGACGAGGTTTTTTACAACACTATTTCAAGTTTTCGGGATCTTCCTAATATTGATGGCATCAGCTTGTACAGTTCTTACCAGGTTTTACTCTAACTTGTCGAAGTCGTGGGACGCCAACTCTAAAATTCTCGTGGTCATCTAAATATTTATGCTCCCTTACAGAAGGTGCATCGCCATTGTAATTAGCACCCGCGTACAGTGCTGGTAATGCCGTGAGCTCAAGCCATTGGTAAAACGAATGGCCAGAATTAACTAGATGAATCCGAGGGGCAGGCCAGGCACCAGCCAAACTACCATAGAGATTACCATTGAGCCTGTATATATTAATGTCTTTCGAACCAAATGCAATGAAGGAAACCAACAAAATGACCAGAAAATATAAACAGATTTCTTTCAGGATTGCCCACATGTTTAGTTCTTGCTGTCGCTTTGCTCTCATCGCTTCAAGTCTTCTTTGACTTATAGGTTTAGGTGCTTGTGGTCGGTGTTGTTTTCCTGAAAAAAATAGACTAGCATTGATAATGTCTATTGGAGACATCTACATTGCTCATACATCATTCATTTATATCGTAGCTGATAATGCATTACATACAGCATATTTGTATCTAGTTCTAATTAACCTACTTGTACCAATCGCATTATTATCGAGATTCAGCACGAAAGGCAGTACAACGGGTCATACATAACATTTGTAATTACTTACTAGCATCGCCCAACTGTTCTAGAATTTCTTCATCCAATTCAGCCGTGGCATTTTTTCTTTTTTCGTCCTCGGAAAGCTCATCTCCTTCCACTTTTTTAAATATCCAAGCCACCATGCTCGCAATAAAGAATATCTGGAATACCATGTGACCTTATTGTAAATCTCAAACATACGCAATCAAAAAAGCAATCATTTCCATAATCACCGTTGATAATGATGTTAATAAAATAACAAGGAAACAAGTCGCAATGTGTCCAAATAGGGTTTCACTTATAGTTCAATGAAAAATTCATACCTTATTTAATTTGTAGGGTGAATTTCTATCCATAAAACATTTGGAACAATATCGATGATTGAAATTCTGCTGATATTTTACCTTAATTGGCTGGATAACAAGCGTGGATTGCAAAGTGGATAGCAACACCGATGTTAACCATTCTTCGGACTTTTCCTTGCCCCATTCCAAACTGTAGAGAAGCACGAAGAATCCGGGTAACGCAATGGCCAGGATGGCTAACACCCATGCGATATATATACACCAGTAGGGGAATTGTATTTTGCTTATTTTCTTCATTTTGTTAGATTTGGTTTCAGATTTATTTTGTATGTTTTCACCATCCTCCAAATATTTTTTTGCTGGCGCTAAAAAACAAAAGTAATGACATATATAATTGTGGTATACATGCGTACGTACCTTGTAGTCTTAAAATTCTCATAATATTTAGTTGCTAAGTAGGATACAAGTCAATGATTTACCATAAGCTGTGATAGACAATCCTTTAAAAAAGTATTGATGCATATGTGAATGTTGGCATAAGTGTCAAGTATAATCTTGGAAACCAGGAATAATTTCAAAACTAAAATGTAATTAATATGTTGAAAATGCAAGCAGTAAAGGTTTTCACCTTACAATTTTGAAATGAAATAGATAAAGTAAAGTTTACCTTTCTTATTAACTGGTTCTTTTGAATCAACGTTTTTCAATGTCGACTCAATCAGTGACTTCTTGGGTGCAGCTCTTCTAAACAGTGTTACAATGATCATATTGATTGGAAAAACAGTTAGATTTCCAATCAAGGATATCCAGAGCTGAGATATTGTGAAGACGAATGGTCCCAGTCTTAACGCTTGATCTTGGGTAACAGTCTCGTCACTCCTGAAAGCAACAGTTGGAATGTAATAGGTCTACATTGATATGAGCATTCCTAGCTTGAATATAGATATGAATAGTACCTGCTACTATTAATATTTAAAAATTGTGTTGCCATAACGTAGCAATCAAATCGTCAGCCGACTGCCTGTATTTGAATTCGCAAATGCTAGCTAAGAAAGCTTAATGACCATAGCCTTCTTATAAAATGAATTCATAAATCATAATAATTTTTCAATTATTGAGGAGAATAGCAGTGCATCTTCACAATATTTCGGGAAGTGTGAAGAACTTTGAAAATAGTTCATTTGTGACACAGGCATTCACCCAAAATAAAATAAAAAGAAATATTTGTTTTATTATTCACTCTTACATCCCCTGCTGTTTTGTATTGTCATCATTATTTACAAATGGACGTCGATATAGGCACTGTAATTCCATGATAACATCAAGGTGAATAATTTTGCAATAATTTTATATTCTAGGAAATTACACAATCTATTGAGCTATATGATTATTGTAAGTGTCAAGTCATCTTTCGACCAATCAGTATGCACCTGTACCACATGCCATAAGTGTCAAGTCATATATCAACCAATCAGTACGCACCTATACCACATGACATAAGTGTCAAGTCATCTTTCATCTAATTAGTACGCACCTATACCACATGACATAAGTGTCAAGTCATCTTTCATCTAATTAGTACGCACCTGTACCACATGACATAAGTGTAAAGTCATATATCAACCAATCAGTACGCACCTGTACCACATGGCATAAGTGTCAAATTCAATATCAACCAATCAGTACGCACCCGTACCACATGACATAAGTGTACAGTCATATATCAACCGATCTGTACGCACCTGTACCACATGTTTTAAGTGCCAAGTCATATTTCAACCAATCAGTACGCACCTGTACTACATAACATATTTGTCAAGTCATATTTCATCTAATTAGTACGCACCTGTATTACATAGTACAAGTGTCAAGTCATATATATTTGGAAATCAGTACGCACCTGTACCACATGGCATTTGCAATCATTGTACAGAATAAGATTGAAATGCAGCATGTTATTCTCTGTGCCCGAGTGAAATTGCTTCTAGTAGGCCTTGACACCACAGACAACCACAGATGATCATCGGTGGCATTTTTACGGGATGAAGCAAAAAAAAGATGATTGAATCCTTTAATTTCAGCTTCAGAAGCAACCTGGAAAGTCCTATCAATTAAACCATCTGCCTCTTCAAGGGCTAACCACGATCCGCACAAAAAGAATGCTCTAGAAAGTAGAAACGTGAAAACAACTTATTGAAGAGTTATGATATGTATTCTTACTTATTGGACTAATTTTTCTTTAATTGTTTTCTTTAATTGCTTTTGCATATGTTCTACAACACATTCAACGTACCGACTATTAGTTTGTATGTCTTCAACAACAATCTTATCCACGAACCAACTCTTGTAAGATGCGCTACCGGAGTTATCATGCCACACTCTCAATGTGTCTAGCTCGCCAAGGCATTCACTTGTGGTCAGCAGGTAGTAGTGTACACTACCTCTTTTTAGCATCTACACAACGATAACAGAAAGGTGAAGCCATGCGTTTCTAAGAGAATATGTACGTGAACGTGTGATCTTATGCCTACTAGAAATACCTGTTCCTTTCTCAATTATAATTATTGTTCCTCGTATCTTTATACTCAAATGGGCAAGTTAAAAATACGATGGGGGATTAATCCCCAGAGGTATAATTCAACACGTTCACGTACACATTCGATCTGTAATATGCACGTAGCACTCCGTGTAGTATAGGGTGCAGACACTTCATTAAACCGTTTTCAATACATGAATTGTTCACCGATTACCCTGAAAATGTCGGCCCAACATAAAAATTTAAGTTAACAAACTAATTTCACAACGATGTTGTTCACATATGATATATGCAAATTGAATCCAGGGTATAAAATTCGAATTATGCCTACTTCGTGTTTTCCGTCTCGAAGGTAGCGTACACCTGTATCTCCATCTGAGCCTGACAGGACAAACGAGATCTTGGACATGGTTGCTGAGCCACTTCTTAGACCAGTATTCACAGTGATTAAATAACAATAAGTCTCAGTCACACAATTGTCAAGCAGAGGACGAACACCCCACTTGAAAAAGCAAGCAACTTATAAGATAATGTGTTAAGAATATCATCTGTATTTTATATATTTTTTTCATATAAATGTAGACTTGTATGTAAAATACACTTTCCCAGGCTATGAAATGCCGCGGATGTTCAAAACTAGTTATGAAATGAAAAATGATTCGATGCTCGTTCTTATCCATCAGGGTCTATTTTACCAGGGTCACAAGTCACATATGCTAAAACAGTACTTTGATGATGAAGTGTAAAATTCTTGTAATTATCAAAATATAAAACTGCAAATAAAATCTCGAGTACCTTTTCTATATCCTTTTTATCCTCCCTACGTGCCCATATTAAGATGAGTACATAAATCACTATCATAACAATAAGCGTGGCGAATACAGCTGGGTTAGACAATAACCGGGTACCAAACTCGCTGAACACTGCCTTAAAGTTGATGGTGTTAACTTTTGGTAAAGTTACTCCTCCCGAGAATGATCCGATGTCTCGATTGGCTTTTTTACATTTACAAATTGTTTTAATTGGTGTTGACTTCGGAGATACCTGAAATTATATAACTGAAATTATCTATATTTAATACGGCAACTTAAGAAGTAACCATAATTGCTTTTGATTGCATAAATTGATGCAGCTACATAACAAAGCAGTGCAGAAATTACACTACAAAACAAGGTAGAGGAGAAGCACTCCTCACTCACGTACTGTCCAAAAATATATTACAATAAAGGCGCGGTGGTGGCTTCTTTATCCAGATACCCTTCAAAGGAAGATCATAAACTGGAGGTTGTTGGTTATGGAACAGCATTTGACCTAAGCAATTGCATTGCTGGTATGTGATTTTGAGGTTTCACCCTCTTTAGATTTACAAAGTATTGTATGTCTTCTCTGCTAGCATATTTTTAGTAATTTGAAGGAATATTTTATTATGGACAAACGGGTTGGCAGAGGCAATAAGTGGAAAATCATGGAAGCAAATTTAAACAAATGATACTGATGATTTTTTCCTTTCAATAAAAAAATTGCCAATTGTATAACATCTCTAACGTTTAACCAATACTGTATTGTAAATTTGTAAAATGTATGTTTACCATGTAACTGTATTGTAATTGTTTTTTGCAATTGCTTTGACATGATATGCTTATTCTTTGAAATAAAAAAAATTCCCATTCTATGTTTTGTAGATTTGATTTATCCCTTTTCTTGATTCTCAAATCCAGTATCGAATTCAAAACTTAAATGCATGGTGCATGCTTTCATTCATATATAATGATTCCTAAAAATGTGCCTTACCTTACAGTTTGATGAATCCCAAGCTTCCTCTTTGGAGTTCCATGCCCTACATCTGCTAGTGGACACAGATGCTGTGACATTAGGCTGGGTGCCATTCAACGAGCTTGGGCCTATATCTGGTATGCTATGACGAACATCTAAAATTCGGAGAACCGTTATTAACATATATAGGAATGGTAATATAAGTACGGCGTTGTGTTTTACAGTGTTGCCTATACCTTATGACATTTTTTATTTACTAATTCTTTTATACATGCACTTACTTGGCTTCAGCATCAAGCTATCACCATTTGACATAGTGAGGTCAAGCTTCTGTAAATCATTAACAGCTTTTCTTAGTGTATCTACGTGTTCCTGCCTTGGTTCTAATATGACAAAGGTTACAATGACGCTGCCTGGAATGAAATAAAAACCTCTGAGGAAGTTATAATTATTGTTCAGGAGACATCTCTTATCCACATTTAACCTGGGTACAAAGGTCAGTTTAAAAGTAACAACGATCTTTTCAGAAGCTAAGCCAAACGAATGGAAATTGTATTTTCCATTTGTTTATATACATTTCCAATATCAAAACTGTAACCATATAAACGGTAAAAAGTCAACGTGATTGACATGAATATTATTTCTCTTAATAGTTGCCCATACCTTGAACCACTTTAAGGTCGTGAATCTTATGCTCATGGACATTTAATTTCTCTGCTAAACCTTTCCTGATATCTTTTAACATGTTTTCTTTTCCAAGTTTTTTCTCCATTTCTTCAAAATCATTAAGGAATATTATCTTAATTGGATCCGAGACATCTGGAATGAGACAACAGTATTACTTAATTAATATCAAATTGGTGACATCTAGGCTAACGTTCAATTACCTCTGTTAAGGGTAATATATATATTATAGCATTCAATAGAAAAAGAAACAAGTGTATCAATTGGCTGTGGCCTCCATTGTGTAGTGTAAGGATATTTTGCAAATACCCTGGAACGAAATGTATAGTTTGCTTCATAACCAGACATGTATAATTCTGCTTTATAACCAACTAATTATAATGATTTTTGTCACAGTGTTGCGACAGCCAATCAGATTGATTAATCGGGGAAATGCTAACTGCTTATCGCAGGGGGAAAAAAGAAAGAATATATTCTGGATTTCGAAGCCCTGTGATCGGAGGATGCCATTGTGTAGTGTAAGGATATTTTGCAAATACCCTGAAACGAAATGTATAGTTTGCTTCATAACCAGACATGTATAATTCTGCTTTATAACCAACTAATTATAATGATTTTTGTCACAGTGTTGGGACAGCCAATCAGATTGATTAATCGGGGAAATGCTAACTGCTTATCGCAGGGGGAAAAAAGAAAGAATATATTCTGGATTTCGAAGCCCTGTGATCGGAGGATGCCATTGTGTAGTGTAAGGATATTTTGCAAATACCCTGAAACGAAATGTATAGTTTGCATCATAACCAAACATGTATAATTCTGCTTTATCATCAACCAATTATAATTGTGCTTGTATGCATATTTACCAACTGCCTTGTAACCAAATGTATAATTGCTTGTAGTATTAGCCACTTCTTCGGGGAGAATAAGTTGATATTTTGAAAGTGTTGGCTCATCAGCGGATGTGGGCATAATGACATCATGGTGATCATATAATGTTTCTCTTGGTTTGTCTGAATCCAATGTCACATCCCATTTGATGAATATCTACAAAAAATACAATTGATATATGGTACTCATAAAAAAATAAAACATTCATTGGTTTGTAATTGTCTCCATAATTACAATTGATATATAGTGCTTATCAAAACAAAAAAACTAAACTGAATGAATACCTTCATTCTACAAATACAATTGATATATTATAGTTCTTATCAAAAAAGAACATTGATTTGTAACGGTCCAAATCCAATGTCACACCCCACTTAATGAATATCTACATTCTACAAATTCAATTGATATCTAAAAATGCAACTGATATACAGTGCCTATCAAATCAACGAAACAAGTATTTGATTATTCAACTAAAAAAATAAATATATATATACTATATGATATACTCTTAGTACCTTTACGCAAGCTAGCCCAATTCAAATCTAAATGCCTACCTCATAAACGAGGGTATCGTTCTCAGGGTTCAGATTTAGAATTATTGCAGTTGAAAGTTCTGTTAGCTCTATCTGGACATATTCCAGCCCAGTTTCAGGATCAGGGTTGAACGTTGTTGGGGGAAATTGCTCTACCTGTAATTAGAGAAAAGGCAATATAGTAGCACTATGTTGAGTATATGAGCCCTACTGGGCTTCAGGTAATATGTATTTTTCAATGTCTGTTCATTAACTAATTATTTTTAATATTTACATTTTAGTAATTCTGATCAGTTCACACTTGGCTACTAATCATTGTAACCCATTTAATTCTAAGAAATCTTAAATAATGTTGAATCTTTACTACTGGTTATACTTCTACCTCATAAGCAGTTTTGTATACTTTCACATATATACCTTCAATTGCAATAGATCTAGTGAATAATATATAGAGCTTACCGGATATTTTGTTGGTATTTCAATACTTAAATTGTTAACTTCAACGTCGTATCCCGATTCATCCTTCACGTTCAGGAGGGTCAATGGGTCATTGGCAACCGAGCTGGAGTTCTCTGCATAACTGAATATGTTTGAAGCCAAAAACGAAAGCTGAAAGTAAAATATATCTTCTTAAAAAATAATGCGGTATATTTGTCATATGAAAGTGAAAATAAGACCGGAACGTGGCAAAAAGTATTTCCCTATTTCATGAAATATCGTAGAAATCCTTATAACCATATATAACAGATAAATTATATAAATCCATGGATCGCCCATTTCTAAGATATACAATAAAATGTTTCCCTCCTTGACAAAAAAACTTAAATTGCTATTATCTGATCGTACAAGTATTACTAAAATTGAACATCTATGTTGGTCATGTGATAACTATTATCATGCTCGTAGTAATGAGGATTTACTATCCCAAACAAAACCTAAAAGCATTGTCCAATAGACTAGATGCGAGTAGAAGTAATCTTGATTTACGTCATTTAATATTCAAAATTCAGTCAAAGTGATGTTATATTTGAAATCTACATGTAAAAGTACATCTACAAATATGATTTCGAAAATTGTTTATCAACTTTGAAAATTAATTTTTCTTTGAAAGTGTGACTCCTCGCTCGGGTTGATTCCCCATAGACCCAATGTTACAAAATCACAAAAAGTGGAATATCTTTTCTTATATTGGACAGATAACATTTTCTTTTATTGGACATATTTTAATTTGCATAACTATTAGATACATAAGGGTAATATGAAAATTGAACCACTAAAACAAATGTAATTTAATTTAAAGGGAACTTTCTGCTATACCCGCCATGTTATCTGACCCGAACGAGCCACCTGGTGGTGAAACTGGTAACTACCTACTCGCATCTGCGTTATTTCTTGGTCTTACACAATGCGTACCTTAGTGCTGAATGAATATTTTGATACTCTATCTGGAGGGAGTTCTGATAGATCATCAACTCCCATAAGATCTGCAGCAGAGGGCAGTGATAATGTACTCCCAGGTGACTCAACCGGCTTTTCTAAAACAACAGAGTGATTATCTCTATTATAAAATACCACAGGGGAAGACAGTGAGAGAAGTTTAGCAGCAGCGCTGCGATTAATATATTCTGTATCACGATATATTTAAGCTCGTAACACAACTCTCAAGTGTCGACCTTATCCTACACGTATACTCGTACTGCAAATTTCTTTCAATATTATCCCAAAATTCAATTTTATTTACCTTGTTCAAGTCCAAATATACTACTCTTCATTGCTGATACAAAAAGGTTTTCATCACCAGCTGCAGTTGGCTCAGCGTCCATCCGTGCATTGCTCAATAAGGCTTGTGCCATACTGTCAGCTGCATCAGTTAACTGCTTTGCAACTGCTTTCAGCTGTGAATTAAAATGTCATAAATACTTCGTGGCGATTGGGACTATGATTTCACTTCTACATGGTCCCATTTGGATATATAGAAAACAAAAATGTCACGAGATCTTCAATTAACCGGGTCCAATATCCCAATGACTAAATGCGTGCGTGGGGGAAGACAAATGTTTGACCATATATTACATTCACAGATTGGTTTCAACAAAATATCAATATCCTATCCTAATTAAAGTATACGCAATGTGTCTATCCTAAACTAGAGATTATTTTCATATATATACACATATATCTCTGAAAGCTTAAATAATTCATATTGACCAAACATCCCATGCATTATATACAAGTAAGTTTCAATACTTTTTCAGTTTCTGCTTTCTTTTCTTTTTCAAGTTGGGCAAGTCTCTCAGCCTCAAGTTCTGAATCAGTTTTCAGATTATTGGGGTCGACTTCAAAAGACACGGCTTCCTCTGGATCGGCCTCAAGGGGTCCAACTGGAATAATAACCATTATAATATTATTACTATAACACACTATCCTATGCTCAGTTTATTCTAGATGTAACAAAATAAGAAAAATACTGTATGTTTAAGAGAATAAATTATGATTTATTATATCAATCAACAAATATCTATAAAAAATATCAGAATTTATTTTAATAATGTCAATATCATATGATGGATGGCATACCTTCAGTTTCTACTGTTACTGACATTGTTGCCAACGAGCTTCCCATAGATGCTGCTGCATCTAAAATATATATACATGCATTCATTCATTTTATTACCAGAGACATTTCAAGCATACTGTTGAATGAAACTACAGTCAAATTGTTCCTACCAGTGAATTTCAGTCCCGCTATCCAAATTGTATTGTAAAGCGTGGCATAGAAGAGTCTAAGGCATAAGTTTTCAGTTTTCTATTGTTTCCCCTTGTTGTTTAGGAATTGTTCAACATGTTTGACTTACTTGTGATAGCACTAAGCTGTGCAGCTGGTGGCATGTTGTTGAGCTGTCCACTGCTCAGTAAGGTGGCTGTCATTCCAATGGCTTCTGCCTGAAAGTGTGAGAGAGCATTCATTTGGAGAATAGCAAATATTTTACTTAGACACAGTTTGGATATCCTTATGATCATTTGTGACTTTCAGTTTTCCTTCTTGTTAGAGCCCTGTTTTCAGTTTATCATCACCTGCTGAATGGTACACAACTACTAAACAATGCTTTCAGTTTACTTTTGTGGATTTCCCGATCGGTAGTTGCAACGTCACCGCGGTAGACTGATGTTTTTGCAACAAACGATTGCATCAATACAGGAGTTTAGCCTAGCTAGATAGTTGAAAATACTCTATAAACAGCCAATAGATGTCTAGCCCATTTTCAGGAAAAGAATCTTAGGCCTAAAGCAGTTCCCCATTGAACCAACATGTAAAACATCACATTTATACTATGATTTTAACATCATAATGCTACCATTTCTGTTTCCTCATTCATTCAGAAAATCAACAGATCTTTAGGTTAGATCTTATATATCATTGGTATAAAGTTTTTTAGCCTTTTAAAACAACATAAATAATGGAAAATAAAGATGAATATTGGCTATTTTGTTTAAAATATTTGGCTTGATGTTGGTCAGCTTAAATCACCAAAATGACCTGGGGTCAATAAGTTTATATAGCCACCAGTAAGATACTGCTTGTTTTAAGTGCAGCTTGAATTACAATGTTTACTATTGTCCACATACTGATACAGGATAAAAGGTTAAGTTAACTAGATATTTAGAGATCATTCAGATATTTGATGCAGGATTTGAGAGTTTACATTCAGACATAGTTTTATAACTAATCCCAAATAATTTATTCGCAGACTCAGAAACTGATCTAATGTGCCAACTTACACTTATATTTGATATCATTGAAAATGTTTCTAAAGTTTTTTCTCCACACATTTTAATTAACGAATACTACAAAATGTAATTAGGCCATAAGAAGTAGATTCTTTGTTTTGCGTCCCCTTGCTTGCACGATTTTGAGTAAATCAGAAAAAGCAAACACATCCAAATAGCATTCACAAAGTCTGGAAGTACCATCGCATTTCGTTCAATCAGAGTCAGACTAATGGCGGATAATTTGATGTGCGTCAAAATGGACAGTGTTTTTGATTACTTTGGCATACATTGTGTATTTTCTTATTTTTACCCTTGAAATAGCTATATGTTTAAATATACTGTATAGAATGTATAGATACATAGAAATTGGTATGTCATGCCCTTTTATGCCCTTGAAATGTATACATTTCTCAGCAAACAAGTTTGTGTTTTTTCTTGAGTTTGTGTTTGTTTTCCTTGTATCCTTGCATGATTTGGATTTTGCGAGGACGCAAAACAAAGAATCTACTTCTTATGGCCTTATAGATGTTAGATATCTTGTTCTTCCAGAAGAAATACTAAGAAGAAAGTAGATTAAATAATTCACATGTAATGTATGGCCCTGTAGTGACCCTTGACCAATTAGTCATTTTCCAGTTATATAACAGTTGGAAAAGATATATCTTTGATGTCTTTAAATAGATAACAATTTCATCATGACCTATGGCCCAAGAATTTTTTAAAATAAAAATAATTTTTTCAAAGAATCAAAGAAAAGGGTGAAAAATCTAGAGAATCCCCATACCTTCTATGTTATCATTTCCTGATTTTTTATCATATGACTGCCATCTATAAATGGAATTAGCTAAGGCTAAAAGGGCTTATTGTGTAAATATACGAAGTTCTTCTCGTATAATTGTATTACCTTAGTGTCATCATCGGTGTCTCCACTCGCCATAGAAGGTCCCATTTGAGCCTGTAGTTGCAACAAACTCTCGACCTGTGAGGCTGTCACCTCCGATGCAGCAGACACCAGACTACTCATAAATGAGACCAATTTACTCGCTCTCTGAAAATCAGCATTATTCAATAATGATCAAATTCATTCGGTATACAGCGGATGTTTTCTTTTTGTGATTAACGATATTAATAGGATATGATTTTGAGGAATATCATTTTTATCTACCAGTTGATATTGATATCTGCAAGAGAGAGCGAAGCGAACGAGTGCATATATCAATATCACCGAGTAGATTAAAATGATATTCTTAAAAAATCACAAGATGTTCTTATTATCCTACACTTACTAGTAGTGTACTTAATGTATAATATCATTGAAAATTAAATTTCATGTTCAATTTGGCGGTTAATCAACAAGCGGAGTATATCGTCACAATATCCTCCGCATATCGGTTTTCCAGAGTATATCATCACGATATCCTCTGCATACTGGTTTCCCGTAATATATTGTTGCGATATCCTCCAGTTATTCATTTTGCCAATAGATATTGAATTAATTTTTAATATTACCATACATTTAGTGTCATTATACTAAGTGTAGGATAAATTCTCATATTTTGTTTTGCATTGGTTTATGCTAATGAGTACATATATATATAATATGTATATTCATATGTATATTTAATATGCGTTCCTCATACTTTTTATCTTTAAATGATCACTACTGATTTTTATGGTACATAAAGGAAAATAAAGTACCACAGTATAAACCAAGTGACTTACACTAGTTTTTCTCCTCTTCTTCTTCTGCTTAGTAATAGAATTTTTGTTTGAGGCTGAGACACTATGTGATTTTGAAGTGTCCACCTCCTCCTCAACCTCTTCCTCTTCATCCTTAAAATCATTATTACAAACTATACTATGCTATGCTAAGTTGTTTTTGCATGAAGAGATAAACGCCTTTACCGCTGATAGATGTAGTTGGGCTGATCCAAACTGATGTTTTAACATCACATCGATGAATCATATGTTTCACATGATATATGGTTTCATACCTACTGCTGTAACGAATGATATATAAGAGCTTGGATTGTGTTGCTATCTTATTCATTTGTGCTACTAAATAAAATTACAGATTATAACTTTGATACGTACACTGAAAATGCTTTGTTGTTGATGTTGTTGATCTACAAGAGACGTTTAGTGAGGCAAGAATCTCCAAGTATGGGGCTTATATACAAAATTGTTTACTTACCATGGAGATCAACGTGCCAACTACTGATGTCACAGATGATAATGATACAAGTGAATTAGAAGCTGATGATGAAGTCAGTGAATCCATTAGACTATCTGCAGCTCCACTCTTAGGGGTTACCTAAATGATAAAACCATATACCCCTTCATCTTTTAAAGAACAACCAACTACACTAAGATTGGGATATTGGAATATAAGCTGATCCAGCTAAATCAATCATAGAAAATTATAAGTAAATATAAACGTTTTTTATAAATGGACCCTTGCTTTAATGTGCGTTTGTAGTAGATGAATGGGGATCGAAAGTCGAAACAGTCCTACTTTGCACCTGAGGGTATTCTAATGAAAGGTCCACGTGCAGTATGGCAAGTGATTTTAGACGGTCATATCTTTCACCATGAGTACTTCCTGGGCACAAACACAATGGTTTTTATTAAAACAATATGTTTCTTTCAAGGGAAGTCCGCATGATGATAAAAATATCAACCGAACAATTTGAAAAGTATGAATAGGGACCCCATGTCAGCATTTTTTTCAAAATGTTGAACCTATTTACTCAAAAGAGTATCTTCTTTTTCTGAGTTACATTGCTTGGAAAGATTATTGAACAAGGAGTCTAGAACTTCTACAAATGGTATTCTTTTGAAGATGTCAATTTTCAATGACCAAAATTATGCTGAAAACAATGGATAGCATTAGTTTTCCCTATGGGAAATATAATTGGATTTGTGGTTTTTAACTTTATTGCGTTTTAATACCCATCCCATTTTCAGATGTTGTTTTAAAATATAGTGTAGAAGAAACTTTTGATATATTTAAATTGAGAAAAACAAGATCCTATTTTTTTAGAAAATAAGCCTTACATATTTTAAAAATTGCCGAGGTGGGACGCTCATTCATGAATTTTCAGAAAGTTGGATTGACATTTTACTATCATGGGGACTTCCTTGAAAGAAAACATATTGTTTTAATAAAAACCACTGTATGCGTTTTTAGACGCACTGTGCGTTTAAATTAGAATCGACTCTTCTGTATTTGATGATTAGCACTAAATCATATTTATATTCATTTTTTACCTTGACTGGGGTTACGACTGTAGCATATGAGCCGAATTCATCAGCAACCTGGATTTCAATTTCTACATTATAGTCATCAGCTTCCTTTCCTGGTGGCAGGATTAACACTCTGTTTGCAGTTCCAATCACTTGGCCTGGGTAGAAATATGTGAAGCTTGGATTTTTGAATTCGACTATATTGCCAGCATCATCATCGTCTTCCCAGCCAGTACACATGATTTCAAATTTTTCCAATGCCTCACCTGTAAATTTTGAATAATCCTATCAATAAGTGTAGAGTAGTTTTTTGAACATTTGCAACAACACCACTGCAACAAAAATCATTTTTGTGCTAGTTTTCATGTGAACATCTACATTAACATATGAAGAAATCACACATGATTATATCTCGAATCTGAATGATTATCTTCTACTTTACAAATCAGCAATTACGGACCACATAAGACAAGATAATTAAATCATCGATTTTGAAAAGATTAATGCCAACGTGATGGGTACATAGAGGATAAAACAGACAGACTTAACACGAGAAGGATGCAAAACTTGGACGGATACCAAGGAAAGTATAGCTAATGTGCTGTCGAGACAAAGGCGCAATTAAAAGCAGTATGTATAAGGATAACAAAATTGCAAACAATATGTACAACTGGCCTACCAATATATTCTTTACAATCTCAAATATAATTAATATCTCCCTAAAGATATGTGATATGTTATCAATTGGTGAAATTTTTTAAAATGCAAAGTGCAAAAATGGGGAAAATGTTTCAGTTTACCAAAATGATAAAATTGAAACCGTATCTATAGACAAATGAATGATTTTAGTAAAAATCTTTAGTTTTCCTCATATTTTTAGAAACCTTGTTTTCTACTGGACTGATATATTTTACCTTCAGGCCTGTCAGGGGCACATGTTCCACCGCTGGGTGGTCTTGTAGTTACAAATTCAATTGCAGTTTTGCTATCCATGAATCCCTCAACACTCGCACTAACCCTAATGATGTATGTACTTAACTCTTCAAGTGAATCGGGTTTGGCTTCAAAGTACACAACGCCACCTTTAGCAGATAATGGAGAGACGATTTGTAAATTATGTATATTACAGTATGTAGGGTATGGTAGGGTATCATCTTCACAATCCTCAAAAGAGAATAGAGGATGCAATGTACATATGTATTTTAAAAATGTGCACCATTTACAGTGAAAACACCAATATCAATACCCAATACCCAACACCCAATACCCCGAAACCATCACTCTGTTACCAATTCATTAGAAAACCAATACTGTAAAATGCTAAACTCGATCCGAAACCCGATGTTCCGAAAGCGAACATTTGTGAAAAAATGATCATACCACCAACGTCCTCAGTGAAAGAGCCAAAGTTATTGATGTCTTGCTCTTCCTCATTGCCATTCACACGTTGTGTTAGTTCCCAAGCGTACTTAATTTCACCACACACATCTGGGAACTCATTACATTGGGTCATGACAGAGTAGATTTGTTGCGGGTTCACTTTCTTACCGCCACATCCATTACCAACTGTATCATCACACCTTGAAATTATTCAAACAAATGAAAATGGAATTGAATTGTATATTCAGTAAGATAATGTGATAATTGTTCTTTACTGCTTGATTGAATCTTTGATCATTAGTAGGATCATGCTGTTGACAGATGACAGTCAATCAAAGGACTTGTCCAATGCAAATGTACCCATATTCGTTCAGAGGGTATATTTTGCCTCATTCTTGTTTAGGGAAATTGTATGGTTTCCACCCGACAGGATGTCACAACAACCGTTACCCGGGCTTGAGATTGCCTACACTTATCTTGATTCCGTCTCATTCCATAATAAAAAATACTTACATCAAAGAAACATCTGCAGTTTTGCCTCCGATTATAGTTACTGTTTGCTGGAAAACGACGCTCCTAGTGTCCTTTGATATAACAACCGACATTATATAGACCCCTTCCTTCATTTGTAAAGCGGCTACTTCAAACGTATCGAAAGACAATTCAGACGTTTCCAAATGAAGTTGTCCGGGTCCCGAACCAAAGCAACCATTCACTGTCGTATCCGCAACTTCTTCATGGATTCCTTCAAAGAATACTATTTTCAGATTCAGATTCAAATTCATACTATTAATTTTCACGAGTTTCCAGATTGATTTAAACATAAAACTGCTAAACGTGAAATGACTTGTGACATATGACCCAAAGTGATACAGTATGGTGTAACCTTGGATCAAACACGGCAAAATATGAAATGTCTCATTGAAGTTAAACTTAAAGAATCTTCAGAAACCAAAATATGAAATGAAAATATGAAATTTTAAGGTAAACATAAGTTAAGCGTGAGTTGCATTTTAAATAGGTTTCTTTACTATTATTATGTTTTTATCATCATCAATTGAGTCAGTTATTATAGATACATGACTGTATATTTCTGTACTAGGATGACATTGAGAAAATTAACGATACACCAAGTTCCATACCAGCTTTACTGGGGATGAGGATCTTGTCAGCCGAGGCTGGGTCATTAATATCTAGAGTCTCATCAACATGTTGACAGAACCAATGAAATGTAAGTTCACTGGGCATGCCTTCTGGAACATCAGGATCGAAAGAGGCAGCTGCTGAAAACACTTGTCTTTCCATGCTGTTTACACTACGTTCTTTCCCACCTTCAAAATAGATAGAATAAACATTGTATAGGAATATATAGAGAACGGGCGTACTTGTGAACATATAAACCAAGGTGTACATAATACACACACTACAGGCGTACTTGTCAATATACAGGGACTATAAAAAATGCAACAAGTTATCTCGTTAAATCACAAAACTAGTGATGACTACATCAATTTCGATCAATGTACCATAAAGCCACGTCCCCCCTCTTTGCAAGGACATTCATTCATTCATTCACTGCATGTTGTCATGGTTGCGTGAGAAATCTTTCCATTTGCAGAGTGGGTCAAAATTGGCTCTGGACCAACTTTCAGATATTGCAAAAATCAGTGCAAGGGCTAAGTGCCAATGGAAGTTCTACTGACTTGAATTGTTGTGACTTTTTCTTTTGGAGCTATCTCAGGAGGATCTGTGCTCACCATTCCTCCACCAGATATTGCAAAACGTTGAGAAAGAAATGCCAATGGGCTGCTTTTCTCTGCTTTAACCCACAGATGACTCAGAGCTGAGCCATAAATGGCACGGAGAGATGAGGGCATCTTTGTGTGCTAAGAAGTTGTGGCAATTTGGAGGGGTGTAGGATGTATTCTTGCAAGAGTATGAGTATGAACACTTTACAGTTTATGTCACCTTCCACACCTTCTTCCAACATCCCCTATGCACTGACTTTTGCAATGTTTAAAACTTAGTCCGAGCTGAATTTTGAAAAAAACTTTGCGAAATAATGATTATTCGACTCCCTGTGAATGAATGACATTCCATTGCAAAGAGGAGTAATTTGGCTTTTTGGTACATTGAATGAAACGGATGCAGTCATCATTGGTTTTATTTTTCTTCCAATATTGCATTGGGCCCCGTACGCTGACTTTCGCGAAATTTATAATTTGGTCCCAAGCTAATTTTGGCTCACTTTGCAAAGGGAATGATTACTCGCCCATGACCCAATATCAACGAATGATGTACCATTGGAAAAATGAGACACTTTGCTTAATGGTACATTGAATGAAATCAATGCTGTTATCACTGGCTTAGTGCTTTTCCGAAATAACAATCTGCTGCGTTTTTTGATACGCGTTGTATAGAAAATGTATACATAATAGCAAAGAAGTACTTTGTGAACTTATACAACAATGTATACATGAAGAACATACGTTCTTATAAATACGAGGACACTTTGACAAAGGTGATCCTTATATTCTATAACAACGAATACATTAAACACAGGGTTACTTGTAAACACATATAACAATGCATACCTAAAGAACGGGTATACTTGTACTTTAATACCCAAAGAACAGCCGTACTTGAAAACATATATATACATGTAACAATGTTTATTCATAAAGAGGCCTACTTGTCAACATGAGCACCAGTTGGTAATTTATGATGAGATTTCTTACCCTCTATCTCTGCTATCAAAGGACTTGATAGGATCTCTAGTAGGGTGTAGTTTGTAGAAGTTGTATCTGGTACTCCCTGGACATTTAATGTCAGAGATATATTTGCAATACCATAAGGAAGCCATCCAGGTGCAAATTGTATTGATGAGTATGTTTGAATCACACCTAAAAATTGGGATACTTTGAATTAAAACTGTATCTAATTCACATTCCAAGTTTAGTTGATTTTCCACTAATAATTTACATTCGTGATATGCAAATTCACCATGTTAAAATGACAACTAAAATTCATATTTCATCTTCATTCTTGATAACATATTTAAAATGAAAATCTTACTATCATCTAATTCAACCGTTGAAATCACTCCTTCTTCTGATGTGTATTTCACTTGCCACTCAAAGTCGTATATTGCTTCCTAAATGACATAATTGAACGTAGTGATTTATATGAAAAATATATTTTACTTGGTCTAAGTTGTTTACAAGATCGTTTTAAGAATTGTTTATAATAAGAAAGGCATTATTTTTAATTGAATTTTGATTTTTTTGAATAACACATTAAGAGCAAAATACTTTTCACAATTCCATCGGGTAAAGTTCCTAAATTTCAACCAGGAAACATTAATACCTTCGGATGATACAGATCTCGATCTTCAGAAGTATTTAGTGATCTCCACCTTACGAGATCAAGTTAAATATTGTGAGAAGACGAATGAACAATATGTAGTGTTTTGATAGACAAAAATGAGTAAAATATATTTTTCCAAATTATGCTTTAAATTAATTTTGGTAGTATCAACGACACGATGAATAGTGAACGTAATGTAACTAGAAAAACAGCAACTCCACGGAGTAGCAAATCCCACCGAAAAAAAACTATTTTGATAATAAGTGGCCATCTTGAAACTCAAATTAATACACAATGGAGAAAGTGTTTTGTTGTGCCACAATTGATACAGATATCAAAATGGGATACTTCCAAAACAGTGCTAAAAATATCAACTCAGGAGACACTGCTGACTTACATCACGAGTTTCACTTGGTGGACAGTCCAAAGTAACATCAAATTCTTTATTGTTTCCAATCTCAAGGAATACAGCTTTCTTATGCTCCACAGTTTCCAGATATCCTTGATTTGTCTGAAATGCAGATTTAGTATTCAAAATAAAAAACGTAGGATTAATATATATAATCAATCATATGTCAAATGATGTGTGGAATTTCTTTCTTGATATCATATTTACCTTAATTTTTGGAGAGTTACAAGGTATATCAGTAACTTGAATAGTCCGCACATCTTCTGCGCACATGGCCGTTGAACAGACTTTAACTGTTAAATTGACAGTTTCCTCTACGTCAAATGTGTGCAATATTGTTACTGGTGATGCTTCGAGGAGACCCTCAAAACTTTTCCATTGAAGTTCCCCCTTTTCAGTACAGAACTCTTCCGATGGGCCAAATAGATAGGATGCTAGATTTCCGAGCTGTACATTCATACATACAGTATCTAGGTTATCAGTTGGAGCAAAATCTATGATAATATTAGCCTCCTTGCCAACTATGATATTGTCTTCTCCCAAATCTACTGCATTGATGATCATATTCGCAGCTGCTTGGAATGATATTGACTCAATGCTTGAGCTGACCGCGTTGCTTGCATTTACAGCTAGTACATAATCAGCAGGTGCATTAAACGTATGAACTATAGCTTCTCCTTCACCAAGATATGCACCATTTAATGTCCATGTCATTGATACAGCGGTACCTGTTTCATATCAAAAGTACATTATATCAACACATAAACATTTAAATATTACATCTTCGACCAATAGTATACACCCACAGTTTAGATTGACGATGTGACAACACATTTTTATACTTGTTAATCAATAATCAAACTTGGTTTATTGAATTTAAAATGATGTATACCTAATTCAATCGAAGCTGAAAACCCAATGGGAACATCTAAAGGAAATACCAGCTCGACGTCTTCCCCGCCATCATTCTCCATCCCATCAACTAATGGGGGTCCAATACCTAGTCCTGTTACTACTATATAAGCTTCATAGCTTGCAGAGAAGACTTCTGAACTTACAAGGTTAGACACTTCCACCTCTACGGTATATATACCTGAAATGAAATGCCAATATTCAATTAGATTTTGATACAATAACACATTTTGAAAAAACTACCATCATATCCATATTTATCGTATGATCTGTAAAATGAAGCCTTCTGAATGGTCAGTTCTTGTGCTGTACCAATCTGTATTGCTACTGAGATTGTCCCCATAGATCATCTCCGTCGCAATACAGAAAATATTGGTACGGAGAGGATATTCTCAGTAGCAATACAGAGGATCACGCGATAAAAACGTTATAGAATGATTTGACGTGCAATACAGGATATATTCTGCTCGAGAAATTCCATATTGAAACGAGACGAAGTCGAGGGCCAATACAGAATATCGAGAGCAGAATATTTCGTGTATTGCACTTCAAATCATTCTTTAACGTTTTTATCGTGTGATCCTCTGTATAGCACTTCAAATCATTCAATAACTTATAGAATCAAGATTCTATTATTTATATTCTATTATTTTATCATTTATATTTATATAGGCAAATGCTCTATTCTCTGTTGTTGCTGATCTTATGACTGAGTTGTTTAGATGCTATGCAAGTTATTTTGAGTTGACTTTATGTGCATCAACAAATTCCCCCTCCCCCTTGTGGAATTTGAACTGCACAGTCACTTTATTGCTATTGATCGAAAAAAATTCTACTTTTGGACTTGGACAAAGAAGCATAAAATAACCAAGGACATTTTTTGTTGTTTACCTGGTTGCCTTATTTCTTGTTGAAATGATATATAGTCCTCCACTTGAGCTACTTTTACTTGGGTTACATTGTAGGTAAGAAGTTCAATCTGAAAATGAACAAACTATTAAGCACAAAGAAGCAGTGCTGTCAAGATTTGTTTTGACTTCATTTTTGGCGGATAACTATCCTTCTATCTAAACAGTTTATACCATTATCTGTGATCCATTTGATTTTTCCAAATGTCCTGAGTAAGGTATTGTACAGAATGTTAGTATAAAGAATCGACATGAACTCTGTTCGAAATATCGTTATGTAATCTAAGACTGAATATGTCACTCGTACAACTATATCAAGAATATCTTGATTGACCTTCAATCAAATGGCAATGAACTATGCACGCGATTCAGAGAATCATAATCTCAAAAACATTACTCAATTCAAGTAAGTATTAACATTATTGTATTTCGAATAACATAGGAAAATATTGATGAAATACTCACCTTGGTTGCTGTTGGGATTTCAGTCAAAGTAATGTCTCTTCTTACGTTAACAATGACCTCACCAATGAGGTTCTCCTCGGTTTCTCCTATTATGCCTACAGATTCGATAGTGTCAATACTAAAGCCCTTTACTCTGTGTTGGGCTATGATAGATTGACTTGTCATTATCAACTCTTCTGTGACATCATTTGAAAAGGTAGCAGTGATGACATATGTTCCAGGTTCAGTATATGTGTGTGGAATGGGAGGTATACTTCGCATTGGATCTTCATATTCTAGTGTCAGTTCTGTAGAGTCACCGAAGTCTACAATTGCGCTAAATGAGGATCCGGACAAGAGGCTGATATCAATCATTGTTTCGATATGTGTTTCAACAATATCTGTAACCTTGATAGCATCACCAATAATGTGTTCCTGTAGTATGAACATTGTGCTGTTTGATTTCTCACTAACAAGGTTTCGGCAGGTGACATGAACCTAGAAGAATGACGTAGAAGATTGATTGCAGAAAAGTAAATATATAGATCAACCCATTCAATACATCATCTTCCCTGATTTATTAAAAAAAAGTACAGGTATAAGCATTGACCATGGTGCCACCTATTATCAACTAAAACTCATAACTAAATGTATGATCATGAATGAATTAAAATTGAACAAGATCGTAAAATAACTGGGGAAAAATACGTACGTGGACCTCTCCAAGGGACTCAGTAGTATAAGTATGCTTTACACTATATGGCCACATTGAAATGTGATCACTGATAAGTGTAGTTGTATCACCAAAATCCCAGTCACATGTGACAGCATTTGGAATGTTTTCAATATCCACGGGACGTTGAAGACTAAATATTGTGTCGATTGAAGGAAGAGCCTTGGATTCAGACTCATGCGTGGACAATATTTGTCCATCTATTCCCCAAAACTCAAGATGGTCAAATATAATCTAGAATAAATTCTTAATTTTATTTACACATCCTATACAGCATTTTAAAACACAGGGTAAATAGTATGTAATATATATTTATGCACACAGACCGTACTGTTATAACTCTGACCATAGATTCTAATTCTAAGGAACCAAATAACAACTTATTTGATAAAAAAGTACATGTGCACTAATACGATGATGATACTGACCTTGATTATTCTATTTTGTACGATAATTGGTGATGATAAACTTTGTTCTAAGGTATTTATTGCATTAGTTACAGTACAGACGATCTGGTACGACTCAGAGGGGGTTAGGTAGACATGGGCAAAAGTATGGTTATCTTCATTCGCCAATCCATGGACCTCCTGTAATTCAAAATTCATTGGTTCAAAAACAACATTTTGACATGTTTTGTTTGAAGTGTGATCTTTAATGAGAATATATTTTGTATTAAAATGCGATAGATTATACTCGGGGATATTAAGGATCCGTTTTTTATTATAACAAATTATTTTTATAGATACTTTCTTTTTCGTTTTGTGTTTTAGAATATATTATCATATATTAGCACATCCTTATGCTGTCATGTACCATCTAAAACATTATTGAAATACTGTATTACCAAAGATGAAGGTTCGGTAAAGTCTCCAAAGTCAACCTTAATGAGGGCATCAGTTCCTTTCTGCATTGTGACTGTTACATTCACCAACTGACCTATATTTACAGATTCCACGATTATACTCAATTGACAAGCAAATCCCACGTCTTTATCATTCCCTATTACATTCCAATTCATCAATTTATAATTCCAATTCATCAATTTGTTACAAATAAAGTGAAGAAATATACTAGAATAATGACCAGTTGTTTTGTAATTAAAGTTTTCCCTGGTAAGATATTATCTTAATGTTATTTCACTTGAATAATCGAAAATGATTATGAATTTCTAAATAAATCACTTTACCTGTTGCAATATGGTATGTAGGTATGTCAATACTAAGATCCTCAATCATTCTCACAACTGTTGTGTTGATTTCGAAACTCTTTGAACTGATTTCGTTTCTTGCAGTGAAGTTAATGGTTCTATGGCCAACATCCTCCTCCTTGTATGTGTACATTTTCTGGTACAACTGATGAATCGTCAAATCCTCTGCATACGTCGTAAATGTGTCTCCGTTGCCCATGTCCCAATCAATAAATACATTGTCGGGTATCATGACCTATAAAATATGGTAGTTTCCTTTATTATTATCATATTGTTATGCCATTTGTTGTGTTCAAACTAATACGATTGAAGATATTACAAAATGTATCTGATTGCATATTTCCATACCATAACTAATATATGTGCATTAATCGAAAATCTGTAACAGTAATGTTACATAATATATCTGCTATATATGTAGAATATCAGATCATTAATTTTTGATATGATTGACGACCCCATAAAATGGTATCATAAAAATGATGTGGTTTAAGATTTATCCCATACTGAATTGTTAACCAGCGCGGTTATGTACATGTTCAATACTTTCAGGAATATCACTCGCTGCTATACATATATTTCAATAATCGTGGGAAAAATGAAAATATCTTAGATATACATGTAGTATAGACAGATATCAAAATAAAGTCAGAAGGAACTAGTCGATAGCAAACAGCATTGATATGAATTTAGTCTCAAATTGGACAGTCAGTTGGGTGTGAGTATCTTTATTTCACATAAATGATAGTTTGCTAATGGACTGCATTATTCCATAGATTTTCTGATTTCATTACTACCATAACTGTTCCTATCTACAAACTGAGTTGAACAAATTATACAGTTTTACTAAAATGCATCATAGTGACAAAGTTCTAATTATAATGTATAGATTTACATATATTATTGATACTCACCTCTAAAGGAACTGATAGCTCAAGTATCATTATGCCTGATGGAAATCCAACGGGATCAGTCGTACGGATGTTCAAATCAGTCACGTTATTCATCACCACGATAGGCACTTCGAGGGTGGCGTGAGTATAACCAACGCTATTGACAGCATACATACTAACCGTGAAGTTACCATGTTTATTAAATATGTGAGTGAATTGAAACGGTGTAGTGCTATTCAACTGATCAGGATGTTCGAAATGCTCATATTCATTATCTTGGTTTGATCCCGTATTGGCAATATAGTAAATATCAAACTTCACATGTGTACCACGTCCCAGTACCAGAGTGAACTGCACACCGCCTGTTGTATGGGTAACATTAACATCGGACGCGATTGTTACGTTTTCAATTATTTGAACGACTGTAAAATCCACTGTTTTAACAACATGTGAAATGTAATTTGAACAATTGATCGAAGTACTAACATCGCCTATGATTTCAGGACCGTGGAGGTAGGTATGCAGAAATGGTTGGTTATCCATTAAAGCCCCTGCATATACAGTTTCCACTGTACCATCAGCATGCGTAAACTTACAGAATGGATCGGTTGGATATCCAGTGGCAGTTATAGTGTAGATGGTTTCTCCTATTGGGTATGCAACTGTATTGCCGTTATATTGTCCTACATTCACACTCACTTGAAAATCAACTACAGGACGCTGAACGACAATAGGATTTGGCAATGAGGCCAACTTTTCTGAAACTCGGTTGAATGATCTAGTCGTAGGGGTAAAGTTTCCAGCTTCACTGTAGATGTGGTTAGCCCCAAGTATAACATCTGAGGAAAATGCAAGCAATGAAAAATGTGTACCAACATCACTTTTGCCATCACCATAGGAAAGTTCCGTTTGAACCATACTACCATTTGCCACATGTGCCGTTATTAGAGCTCCTTCTCCAACGGGCAGGTACATCTTGTCGGAAGTGACATCCACATTGTCCACGATCCATTCAATAGTAACATCATTGAAGGTATGGGTTTGATAGTTAATATAGTTTGAACAGTTGACCAATATTGTACTGATTATACCAATATGTTCATAAGAGTAGGTATGTGTATGTGTCCAAGGTAAGTCCAACCCATCTGTCTTCATATCATTTGCAAAATGAGACGCAGAAGAGCCATCGCCATAAACAAATCGGCAAAATACGTCAGTTGGTGGCTGCACTCCCCAAGCAAGTCCTTTAACACATACAATCGCATGTACAAGAGTACAAAGATACGAGGGAAGATCCAAAAGTTTCCGGCCTAACATAGTTCCCGATGTCTGAGAGCAACCATTCTTCACAGTTCAAATGTTGCTTATGTATGAACATAATTTATGCATATGATTAAACTCTAGGGGTCACAGCCTCATTTTGAGAATATTCATAATGAGGTCAGGTCACAGTGGCTGCACAATGGAGAAAACTGAATATAGAGCTGTGATAAAGTTTCTATATCAAGAAGAAAATGGAGGGCAGGAAATCTACGATAGACTTAAGGATGTGTATGGGGAAGGTGCTCCCTCCTATTCTACTATAAAATTTTGGGTGGCTGAATTTAAACGTGGACGGGAATCAATTGATGATGCACCACGTTCTGGAAGACCTAAAGATGTCACTACAGATAGAAATGTTGATCTTGTACATCGAACAATATTGGAAGATAGGCGGAAATGTATACGTGAACTTGTAGAAGAAACTGGATTATCATATGGTACCGTTTGTAGAATAATTCATGAAGATTTACACATGCAAAAGTTAAGCTCAAGATGGGTGCCCCGTATGCTCACAGAGGACATGAAAACAAAACGAGTTGCTGTTGCAAGAGAGCTTTTGGACATGTATAACACTGATCCACAAGGTTTTATGGAGAGAATAGTCACTTGTGATGAAACATGGGTGCGTCATTTTGAGCCTTCAACCAAACATGAGTCAATGCAATGGAAACATATGGGGTCTCCACCCCCAAAGTTTCGCACCACCCCATCCAACAAAAAAATGATGGCCACTATTTTCTGGGACTGTGAAGGTCCTATCTTAGTAGACTACCTTCCAAGAGGTACTACAATGAACGGAGTATATTATGCTGCTTTGTTGCGTACTTTAAAAGCTAGACTTGATGAAACCAGGCCACACAAAGTCCGTCTTGGAGTTTTGCATCAACAGGACAATGCACCTGTTCACACAAGCCAAGTTGCTCGTGATGCAGCGGAAGAATGCCATCTGGAATTATTACCGCACGCACCCTATCCTCCAGATCAAGCACCCAGTGACTATTACCTATTTGGGAAACTCAAAAAATCTCTACGAGGGCAACGCTATGATGATGATGATGATGAGGTCAAGATAGCTGTTAACCAGTGGTTGGAGGGTCATGCTCCTGATTTCTTCAGAACTGGACTTGAGATGCTGCCAAGAAGATGGGCCAAGTGCATCGAAGTACAGGGAGACTACATTGAAAAATGACACTATCATTTTGAAAATCCATCTATTGAACTATGTTAGGCCGGAAACTTTTGGATCTTCCCTCGTACCATAGAGTTTTAGTATCATTCTACGTTGGACCAGTAATATTGCTACAAAATGATCTAAAAAGCTAGCTGTCTATTGGATTTAAATTAATGAACATTTTGGTTGTGTATGCTAAAGCATTCAAATTATTGATGTTTTTGGATGCATATGAGACGATAGATAATATTACTCACCGATTATGTAAGTCATAATTCCTGGCGGATAAATAACAGGATCAGTCACCTCCCATGTCAACGCGGGTACAACATACTGGACAACAATCATAGAACATCTAGAATGTAGAAATTCAATTAATTATCACACCAAGTTATATAACTACTATATAAACAGGTTGTAAAAAACAATAGCACTTCTCCTTTTTTTATTTATCCAATAAAATTTCCAATTTATTCATGTTTCTTACTTCTTGAAAGGTAATTTCATCTGTAAAATTTCTTCAAAATCCATTTTATGAAAATACGAGTACATAATTCCCTTTTCCAATATATTACTATAAGTTTCTACCCATATCTATTCTATCAACCTTGTAGTAAGCTTGTATTCGCGAATGCAATTTTCGACTGTCGGCTGGCGGATTAACCTATTATTTATGACCAACTCCTTTAATGAATGGAATAGTGACAGATACTATAAATATTTAAATGAGTTGCCCATATGAGTAGCCGTTATTTGTATTCGCGAATACAAGGTACATGTAAGTATAGCCAAAACTCATATTAGGTCCTTATTCTCCAGACGTTTATAACGGTATATTGAAACCCAGTTGCAATTTGAGTATATACCCTGACTTTTGAACTTCCGAATTCATAAATTTCATAGCTTACGTTTGCGTCATTGAGCTTATGTCATTGGAAACTGTGACTGTCGGAGTATAGTTCCCTACAGCATAGTAGTGTGTCCAAACTACAGGTGTTATTCCAACTACAGTTCTTGGTATTTCTAACTTGTAAAGAGTATCGTCAATAATACCATCTCCGTACGAGAATGCGAAATTAAGATGGCTTCCTAAAATTATGTAAAGGCAACAAATAAGATGGAAAGGAATTTTTGGCAACGTTCACATATATAATATTCATAATATAATTAATTTATACAAAACTGTAAACAATAAATATTTCTCGGATGTACTATAACTGCAAAGGACTGTCTTATGGACTTACAGGCGATTACTGAATGTATTATAATCATAACTCGAGTTGCCTTTTATAACGCATCAAAATCACAGAAGATTGCCCAATGAATTTATGTATCACAATCGCGGAAGAATCTCTTTGATAATATGTATGTGCTTTTTAATGTATTATAATCATGCGAGATTCGCCAATACATTTCAATTACGATTATAACAATCAGTTGTCATTGTACCGCGAGTTGATTCTAAACTAACCTGACTCTAAAGATGTTGAAATAGCAGCGTAGTCTGTAGTGGCTAGGTAGTATTCTGCAGCTTCACATGCAAGTTGTGTGATGGGTTCCTACATTAAACATACGGAATAGAACTAGATTTTATCAAATCAATTGTCCAAAAAAGTTGGACCAATTCCTATAACTAGTATATATAAGTTAATAAAAATTACATTTTTATGGTAAGGTGGTGGCAACACTAGATAAAATACAAAATATTGTTTGGTTATAAGAAGTGTCTATTTGTAAGAATCTCTTGTAATCAGCAAAAATACTACAGAGACGATACTCGCTGCATATATGGAATACTCTGTATATTCAGGTATTGCTCCTCTTTATTTGTAGAACAGCACAAATAACCACTGATTATACGTGGAGTTAAGAATATTCAAACATATTCAAACCCAATACTCTGTTAGTGTGCAATATATTAAAACATTATAATTGCTTCTTTTTGACAATATTAAGCCATTTTATAACTGAGTATACAAATAAAAAACGGACTATTTTTCTATTAAGCATGATGGAACAATACAACTTAAGAATGTAAGTACCGTAGTTCTTAATGAATATGACTTTACCTGTGTATAATAAGCAACTAGATGAATTTCGAAATAATATATTTTTACTATAATTATATGATTTTCGACACCTTTACAGTCGCCCCGGAAAAGAGATAACTTCCTTGTAGTTCTCAATAAGTTGCTGTTAAAGAATAGCTTGTGCAAACCCATATTTTTATGGAGATGCCCCCCCCCGACATGTTACAAACGTTCGTATTAAATCTTGGATTATGCATAGAAATTCAATCGTTTACTTTTTCTATTCGTTTACTATTTCTTTCAAGCATCAACATAAAATTTTAACCAGATCCTCCAATTGGTATTCGACTAGTCGTTAGACTCCTTGATGGAAAATAAATATGAACCTAGAAATTGATAAGACAAGTAGCCTTACATACCTGCAGAATTACGACTGTTGTAAGATAAAATGATGAAACCAAGTTTGAGCATGTGACAGTTGTGACCGAAGTATCTAAACGCATGGTACTCGGATACGTGTAGCTATGAGGTCCCTGTATTGTCTCTCCTGTAGTAAACTCGAACGTTTGTGTTCCCAATCCATCATCGTGATCAAATACACAAGTGGTATCGGAAGGAGGTGGGTGAGGGGAAGCCGGATCGACTTCAATTGTAAATATCACTGTTCCTAAGGTTCCAGTACTATCATGCGAGACGGGAGAATCGTTTTGAATAATAAGATCAAGGATTTCATTTTCGATATTGACCTCAACTGTTTCTGTAAGTTCCGGTCCGAAGTGATTGTTTGCAGTTACAGTGATTGTCCTATCACCAGGAGTACTGTATGTATGTGTAATCGTTTGCGTATCACCGAGGTGCCATGTATTGGTGGCTCTTGATGATGTACCAGAAGCACCATCGCCCCAGTTAATAACATAACTAATCAAAATAAAATTAAAATTAGAAAGCAGCAACTCCAGTTTAGTATGTTACAATAAAAATGATGATTCCCCATATAAATAAAGTTAACCGTTTTGGATTTTTTGAGGCAGAAATCAAAAATAATATATTGACAAGAGAGAATTTAGCTATTTTAGGACGAGTGAATAATATAGGCTATGGGAGAAACATATTTGTAAAACAAGATATAATCGGGAGGGAGAAATGCCATTGGTTTATAAACATCAAAACCACATTTAGGTAAATTGATGAAGCCTAGATTTATTTGAGGATGTTCTTTCGGAGCTCGCTCTTTATTCCTATAATAAATGCATACTCTTTGTACATACGTGATATCGGATCCCGCATCTACATTAATCACGAGTTCGACATCCTCAACCAAAGTCTTCACATCTGGTGTAAGAACAGATATAGCAAAGTTGTCAATCAGCACCCCTACCATCAGTGTTCTACTAAGCGTCTTGGTGGAAACGTTGTTGCTGATCTCTGCAGACACGTCATAGTAGCCCCAATCACTATAATAGTGCTATGAAAACAATAACAAACAAGGTATTTACATCGTTTTGATTTTGAGCCACAAAATCGCAAAAGCATAATAGCATCAAAGTCCACTGACCTTAGTGCTTATAATTAAATGTATTTCAAGTAAACTGATATTGAAGGAACGCAAAAGTTTAAAAATAATCTGTAAGGTTTGATCTGTTCTTGTGTTCCTGCCGTTTGACACGAATTTATTCAACATTCAAACATGACCGTGCTCTATTCGAATTTCTCAACCAATCAGAATGCAGCATAGCCAATATAGAACGTTCTCTAATTCTCCATAGATGCACGACCATGCTCTATTCAATCTGCAATTTGCATTGTTTTGAGTGACGTCACATCTCAGCTGCACATCTGGGGCTCTGTCCGGGGATAGCTGTTCTTTTTTACTCCCTCCGTAACTACTGTAACTATTTAACTATGGCTGACTTCAAGTTTATACACCGTATAAAATCTAAAACGGGGAGTAAAATAGAACAGCCCAAACAAATTCTAAAATTTTTCCGGCCGACTTCAGAATCTTGACAGCATGCGTATTCTTCCTTCATGCCCGTTCCACAGACACGGCTTTTACTAATTTTTATGTTTGAATCGGAATAAATAATGATAGGCCATTCAATATGGTGAAATTCAGCACTCGTTGGACAGAATGTTAGTACAAATGCACTCACCTTCGGTTCGTGCTTTGTACAACATTCTGTCCAACTCGTGCTGAATTTCACCACATTGAATGGCCTATCATTATTTATTCCTTAAATAAGATACATGTCAGTTTTATAAAATGTGAGTATATTAATACCTGTATATTCGTTTGTAAAAAGGAAGGCTCAACTGGGATTATCAGAGGGGCGGAACCATCATCGAAGTTCCATTGAACAATAGCATTACTTGCGATATCACAGCCTGTCTGGTCAAGGTTGAAAACTGCATTGCCAATGTCAGTTATATTTGAAATGACCATGACTGTTCCATCGGGAACACGTGATTCAACTCCCACAAATATGGTAGCAGTTTCTGAACCATGTTGATTTGAAATAGTTACTTCCACATTGTGGTAGTCCGACAAACCATTTCCTAAAGGGGTAAATGAACATTTTAGTCTATTTTGAACATTTAGTCACAAATAACATGTAATAGCAAGCAAGATTCGCTATATTTGTGAAACGCTCGGGACTATATATTCCTCATTATTGTTAAATGTGGTTTTGCTTTTTTAAAAGCCACGTAGCAAAAATATATAGGTAAATGTTTTTATTGTTGACACATCAAATGATATGTTTGCTTATAATTACCTTACAGATACTATTAGCAACGTCTAAATAAATTGTTTGAAAACTGTAAAGATAGGAGACCTAGTGTCATAACCCTGTGTACCATGTACAAGTAGTTTACCTTGTTGGACGTAAGAATGGGAAACATCGAAAAGTGACATCGGGCCAGTTGCAGAATTCAAGTCACTTATCACTGTGTCAGCCGTTGAATCACCCCAAACAATGGTGCCCGAAACACGCGAACCTTAGTAAAAATATAAATAACATAAAATCGTTAGGAATAGAAAATGTAAAATCTTAAGAGGCAATTTTGGTAAAACATACAACTGTTTCCCAATGTAACTTTTATTTAAAGAATTATTCTGAAACATTTCAAACATCATTTTCTATCATGTCAGGCAATATGATTTGAGCAATATCATATCTTTCAATTAAATAACTTAAATGTTACAACTGTCACTTGATCCCGGACACAAATAGTATACAAACCCTCCGTTACATCAGCAGTAACTACAATATCAGTTCCATAGGGCACATATTCGCTCGCAACAGCCAATAAAAGCCCTAAAAAAGATTAAAGAATATTACTGAACATGAAAGAAGAATAAAACATAATTATTTTACTTAAACACATGAATTGATAAGTCAGAATAGAAAATAATTCTATAATACGTATTCCAAACAGAGGTTTAACGTAAAGAATAGATATTTAATTTTACTCCAAACGAAAGGGCCAGTACATATCACAGTATAACATAACACAGCAAGAAGACTGACATAGAAAAATACTCTCACAATATCCTAAAATATAAACTTACGCACAAAACACCGTCTAACACCCCTTTCCCCAATAATGGGAATCAATATCATAATTGATTAAAAGCGAGAAAAGGACAATCATTCGTTAAAGCCATTGCAAAACATGTTGAGAATTGAAAACCATCCCGCTGTTTTTATTACACAACTTACAATGATAGAGTTATATTGTTTAAAATAAAATATCATATCATGTTATTTGGCAAAACAATTTATCTATTTTGGTGTTTGTAGTTCTAGTATACTTGAGCATTCAGTTTCAACAAATGGTGGGAAAATAAGACAAAATAGAAAATAAAAACTGTCTATCTACCCCGCCCCCCCCCCCCCCTAAAACAGAATCGGTTTGCAGAAAAATATTCCGGTTATAGTTTAATACAACAATAAGATTCCAATTCCATTAGAATTGATGACACAATATTTTATCAATGTGAGACATGAACCTAAACTTCATATTTTTGATGAATATACTTACCAGATATTTCAGTGTCTAATGTAAACTCCCCACTTATATTTTCACTAGACACATCATTATCAAGGTTAATATCCACGATATACTCTCCTGGGGAGAGATCCGCTGTAGGTATGGTTAATGTTGCAACCGATTCACCCGGGGTGTCAGCTGCATATTCTTCTGGTTGCTGTTGATCTTCTATAAGGTAATTTTTATTCATAGAATTCGATATTATATGTAAAACAAACATTTGTAAAGGCTTTGTAATATGAGCGTTATTCGTAACTTCAAAATAATAAAATAGACTTACCCGTTCTTGCCAGTCCTACGAAAACGTCGTAAAATGGGCTCAATCTGGCTGTGGTCGGGAAATATGTCTAAAATAATTGGCTACTTCGTTCATAAACAGTCTTCAATACGTCCATCTCATTCGCAGTTCGTTCAGGTCGCACCACGTCGGTGTGCAACGTCGTATAACGCGTCCCTTAGTCTAGAAGGTCATCATGACCTGATTACAGAACGGTATGGTCGCCATTGAATTTTGAATCGATTCAAAACTCTAAATCACATTCCCCGTCCGGGAAAGTCCATGAAGTTCGTAAACAGACCGTAGAACGTTGAAGCTACGTTCATTCCGTTCGCACACAGTTTAAAAGCAGTTTTGAAGAACGCAGTGGCAACTTGTTTGGTGTGATAGCTATATTTTTAATAACTCGTTCATAAGCAGTCTTAAATACGTTCTTAATCAGTTTAAATCCGTTTGCAATTAGTTCTACCTCGTTCTGAATACGTCCTCGGACAGTGCAACTCGTTGTTAAAACGTCTCAGTAGGATTGAAGTACGACGGTTCCGTTCGTAGTACGTCCAGGTCGTCGTTAGTACGTTGTCACTCGTTCTAGATCTAATTGTAGAACGTATCGACCACGAGAACATTTTGAGCATGTGCTAAGTTCTAGAGGACCTACCCGTTCGAGTACGTTCGATGAAGTTTGTAAATAGACCCCAAATGGTTCTAAGTACGTCCAGTCCGTTCGTACACAGTTGAAGCCCGTTTTCGAGAACGTAGTGAAAACTAGTTTGGTGTGATAGTAGGGTAAAGTAGATATTTGTAGAGTGTACATACAATTTTTATATATTCGAATATATTGTGACAATGATACATCACACAGATGTTTTGAATTATGTCATGCTGTATTTGCATTTTACAATGCATCACTCTGTATAATACTTGTATTTTACATCTACTTTGTATTATTGTATTCAGAAGTTAGTTTAGTCTTAGTTCAATTTTCTATATTGTAGTTTTTTAGTGACTAATATGTCATTGTAATAACATCACAGAGTCAATAAAAGATATATAGTACTATGTATACATGTGCTATTTCTCCAAAATACAAAAATACATATGAATCATATCAAAAACACAGCACAAACTAAACCATACCATATGGATTGGTATAAACTGAGACAAACCTGGCCGTTGATATTTTATATATCCAAGATGGCAGACAGATTATCTGATTCAGTTTATGTGTATTTTCTATTGTATTATTACGTAACATCTATTAATTAAAGTTTGATGTAACTTCTATTGCAGTTTATTGTTTTAGTTTAGTTACCCTACTATCACACCGAACCTTTTCTCACTACATTCTCGAAAACGGGCTTCAACTGTGTACGAACGGATTGGACGTATTTAGAACCATTTGGGGTATATTTACAAACTTCATCAAACGTACTCGAACGGGTAGGTCCCCCAGAACTTATTAGAACATGCTCAAAATGTGTTCTTGGTCGTCACGTTGTACAATTAGAGCGAGTGACAACCTACTAACGACGAGCTGGACGTACTACGAATTAAACAGTTGTACTTCAATCCTACTAGGGACGTTTTTACAACGAGTTGAACTGTCTGAGGACGTATTGAGAAGGAGGTAGAACTAATTGCAAACGGGTTAAAAACTGATTAAGAACGTATTCATCAACGAGTTGGCAAAAATATAGCTATCACACCAAGCAAGTTGCCACTGCGTTCTTCAAAACTGGTTTTAAACTGTGGTCGAGCGGTATCAACGTAGCCACAACGTTCTACGGTCTGTTCACGAACTTCATGGACTTTCCCGGACGGGGAATGTGATTTAGAATTTTGAATCGATTCAAAATTCGATGGCGACCATACCGTTCTGTAATCAGGCCATGATGACCTTCTAGACTAAGGGACGCGTTATACGACGTTGCACACCGACGTGGTGCGACCTGAATGAACTGTGAATGATCGAGATGGACGTATTGAAGACTGTTTATGAACGAAGTAGCTAATCATTTTAGACATATTTCCCGACCACAGCCAGATTGAGCCCGTTTTACGAGGATTTCGTAGGACTGGCAAGAACGGGTAAGAACTAGTTTGGTGTGATAGGGGGGTTAGGTACGATAAACTATTTGATCAACTACAAGTAGTTCCTAGCGTCTATTTTCTTATTTGGCATTGTTGGGAATTTAAGTATATGTAAGCTGCAGAAGGTAATTGATAAGGATCAGAGGAATGAGCGGAAGAACTGTAAATGGTAAAAGAAGACTTACCATTCAGATATTCATTTATTGGTGATCCATTTAACAAACACGTATATCGTATTCGTGTACCCTGATGTACTGTTATAGATATCACAATATCATTACCGATCACATGGCCAACTGCACCAACATCAAAGGCCGGGGTCGTTTCGAAGCCCGACGACAATATTGGATAGTTCACCTGGAAAATGATAAAATATAATGCAGTTCTATCCATTTTGGGGTTAAATGCTCTCACATGATGCCTGGATACATTTAATTTGTTCTTCAACGTATAAATTCTTTCTTCAGTACGAATGAATATGTGGCATTGTTCATATACTATTTTGGTTTTTTGACGGTTATAATGGTTCCTTAATATTGGAGGATGTTTTAGACACTATTTAAAACTACACTGTGTTTAACGTTAGATCCTTGTGCTTTATTTTCTTGTCAAGGATTTTACTTTTCAAATGTTTCTTTTTCTATTCGATATTCTCGTTCATTTTGACAATTGTTTACATCTATTTTTCAATATACATTGTATACATATCACTTATCCCAAATAAGCGTTTTTATTAACATAGCGTCTATTATCACAGTCATTATCATATTAAGTAGAGACACACACAGCAGAACACTTCAAATATATTTACTGTTTAGATACAAGTTTATGAACTACTATTATTAATACTATACTAGTAATCACTCTTCATCAGTTTATATTGCTGTATTTGGAAAGAGATATTGTTACATTTGGACACTTGGGATAACAGTTGTATCTAGGATTTGGATTTCGTCTACCGTCATTCGGTAAGTGAAGAGCATTCTGCTGAATCGATTTAAAAACTTTGATTACGTTTTGATATTTTGGCACTCATTAATACACTGCCTTTACATTTATCAAATGAAATGTAAAAACAATCTGGGACTATTGAGCCAATTTGACTTGACTTTTCGTGGTATTAGATCAGAGGTCCAACGTTTGAGTGATCTCCAAAATTACGATCCAGATTTCAGAAGAAAAGTTTAGTCGCCTTCTATATGTAACGAGCAAGTACATAACAGCAATTTCAGCGACTGTATCATAAATGTATTTGTAGCAAAAAACTGCCAGATTACTGTAAAATAGATATTATAGGAATATATTATGGTTTTGAAAAAATATCATTTATAACCATGAGTGGATATTGATATCTTTACGAGTGAGCGCAGCGAATGAGTGAAGATATTGATATCCATGAGTGGATATAATTGATATTTTTGAAAAACCATAGGATTTTCCGTTTATCCCATGGGAAATCTCAACCCAGCGAAAAAAACGTTTAAAAAAAGTTTTAAAAAGATTTCGAAAACATTTTTGAAAAAATCTAAAAAATTTTTTTTAGAAAATCTTGAAAAAGATTTTTAGAAAAAAATTTGACAAAAATTATTGAAAAATCTAAACCACTTTTTGAGAAGTGATATTCGATGGTTTGAGAAGTGATATTCGATGGTTTGGGGATTTTTGCTAAAATATGATATCTTGATCCACATATCAAATATATCTTCACCTTATATTCGATCTACATGTATATCCTTGTAACCATGGGATAATAGGGGATATCCATCAAAAATTTGCAGTGATGAAATATCCATTTCAAGTAAACAGTAGATTAATTCAAAGAATATTTCATTAACCTTTAAACCAGAAGAACCTCCATGTATGGGTGTTTCAAAAAGTGTTCGAATTCATTACATGTACATACACTTTTAAAGCTTATCTGATTAATAATCTCTTTTCGTAAACGACGAATGGTCTGATGATTTTGACACTACGCCTAATGTTAAGCTTGCTTACCACAATAGTAGTGGAAATTGGTTGAGGCGAAGAGACAGCATTCTTGCAGGTTGTCGTCTGCAAATGGTCTCCTGATACCGGATAAACATAGGTAAAATTTTCACTCATCGGCGTTGTCTTTGAAATTGCCAAATAGCCAAAACCATCGCCGTAGTCAACCCTACATTCAACATTCGTCCCAGCGGCCAATCCAATAGTTACTACAAAAAAGTGTCTGTTTTAAATGGTATATATAGTTTATATAGATAGAATAATTGTTGGTTAAATAAAATTCACGGATTCAAAATATCCACCCACATCTGTATATTGTAATTTTCTCTCCAAAACTAGTACCACATCCAGGGTTTTTATTCAAAGTAGACATTTTGTAAAAAAAATATTCCTTATACTTAACTGCAACTGTCATGAACATGAACATTCGTCAAATTACTGTGTGCGAAAAATATACATTTTTTTAGAATAATAGTAGTAAGTATACAAAATAGGATGCAAATTTGATATTGATGTATAATGATAGTCCATTTGGGTTGTGGTAATTTTATTAAAAACAATAATGGTAAAAATTGGACATTTATGACCTTAAAATGCGTTTTCGATTAAAAAGCAACTGTTGTCAAGGACATTATTCCTATTTTATATATTTAATGTTTTTTAATTATATAAATAAAAAGTTTATCCTTGTGTGAGCCCTACGATTATTTACTTTGCCAAAAACTTATATAATGGTTATTAGGATACATATTCAGATCGAAACAATAAAATAAACACATTATTTTTATTTTGTTTCATTTAACAAATAAAATTGTGTTTTACTTTGTAATTTTCAAAACTTCACCAAATATGAAAAGGTTGCAAATTAAGTTGATCCTTGTGTGAGCCCTATACTTATTTACTTTGCCGAAAATGAATATAATGGTAATTAAGGTATTCTGAAAATACTGAATAGATAAAATACGAATATCATCATGTATAATTCTTCACCATTATTGTTTTTTATAAAAATGGCCACACGCAAATGGTTTATCATATTTATCAATATCAAAGGATTGTATTAATATGGTGTACTTTTTGATCACACGCTTCTCTTAAACCACACTGGGAGCCAGAACTGTAGATTTAGTTGTAGTGATACAGATAACCACTGGTGGTGCTAGTGGAGATCCCATTAACATTAAACTGCCACAGACAACTTATGCTTAATAGCCATGAATGCAACTGGTATTAGGTTACACTGGTCAGTTCACTTATGCACTTTAAATGGCCAACATACATTTCCCAAAAATTTCTTGCATTATCTGGAGTAGTAATATAATGTGATATATTGTTACTTTATGATTTAATTATTTAGTCATTATTTTATAACATGCACTTTTCTTGACTTCAAATTAATCAGTATGCATTTAATATTGATGGTGTTACCTTAGGTTGTTTTTGAGAGAAATGATAAATGTAAATGAATGCTGTTTCAGTGCAAAATCATTTAGCCCTGACTATGTCTTTTATGAATGTGAAAAGTCTTAACATACATATTACAGGTTCTTGGAGAAAGTATGTTTTTAAGAAGTTTATCACTTACATCTCAGGTTGACACGCCAAATAATATTTCATCAGAGTTATTATTCCATTACATAATTTTGACTTTCACTTAATTTTGATTTATATTCTCCTTTATTTCAGCAAATTTGTTTCCACAGGTCTAAAAATGTTTGCAATCATTTTTTCAGTATATCAGCAAGATTTGTTACATTCAGTTTGTGTTAGGGAAATGAATTTTTGGTTTCAAGTATGGATTATGTGAGAGTGATAGTCCAGTGATAGTATGATTTGAAACACATTTTTCTCAAAATCTGATTCTGGCACCGCTTGGAAATCTTTTGACCTGCATAGGAGACACTTTGAACAACACTAATGAAGATGTTTGAGAGTAGTGCCAGAATCAGATTTTTCATTATAATAGATTAATGTTAATGGTCATTAAGAGAGTTTCAAATCTTCAAAGAGAGTGGCTGAGAGTAAGACCACAGAAATCCCTAGAGATCATCAATGATACATCTCTATCTCTACTAAAGTGATGTTTAGATATTACCCTTGCAACATATTTAATTTCAATCTGAATTTATCAATCTGGTGGTATATGATAGACTGTTAAAGAATGTCTAAAAACATTACAAGATAGGCCATTTTGAAGCAGAAGGTATCACTACGCAACAACTCAGAATGAGGCTCTCTGCTGTATCAGCCTTGGCTATCAGGTTTCACAAGGCTGCTTAACTAAGTCTTGTGAAGTTTACTATACTGGCTCCCAGTGACCAATCAACGAAAAATTTTGAAAATTTTACACATTGTCAATTCAAAAGTCATCTTATGAATGGTAACAATATAATTTGAAGTAAATATATAAATACTTTTCTCTATATTGTTTTAGAAAACACATCAGACACTTCTTTTCTTCTTGGTATCATGTGTTCGGAATGAAATGAAAAATCTTTCCGAACCTCATTGGAACAAAACGATACAAACACAACGTGATTAGGTCTCTCAATATTGTAATTGTACAATGGAAAGTTTGGGTTGATTTTTAAAAAGTATCTTGTTAATGAAATAAAAGGTTTATCTTAATTCTTATCTATTTTGTGTGGTTTTGTTTTAAGTTTTGCATACTTATTGTTAAATCAACCAAAATTTCCTTTGTATAACTGTATAATATTTAGAGTTCTAAGGAAATGTTGTATATGCTATTTTGTTTCAACAAGGTTATTTTTTATCAAACTCATCTTTTTGATGGTTGTACCTTGTTGCAAGCCATTTAGCCCTTTCGTGTCACCTTTTTTGCAGACAAGTAAAAATGAATAGTTGATGGACCAATCTATATAATGATGATGGGTCACTTCACTTTAAGCTATCCCAACATAGGTTTTTGTGATTTTCTGGAGTTTTGGCACACACTAAATATGTTGGCTAACATAAACACGCATAAACAATTTTGTCTGCTGCACAGTTTTACAGAATTTGCCAATTTTGGTCAATTTGATGATCTTATTAATTTTGACGTCAAAATCGTGTAAAAAGTCATATTGGTGTTTTGGTATACTCTGAATACAAATCAATCAATTGTCTTCAATTTTTTGTTGTTAATACCCCTCATATTATCAGTGGAAAACTTTAAGTTTCCCAGCCATTCAAGTTATTTGAACTTTTCCTTAATTAGGAAAAGACTTACTTTACAGAGGATACATTTCAATCGTTATATTCAAACATCCGGGTATACAACCACCTTAATTGCATCTAAAATGCTACTGATCTCACTGATGCATTTTGGTGATTCCTAGAATACTACGATTTGTACGAGTCAATAATTAAACGTTTTTAGTGCCGCGACAGATCAAATCAAATTAATATGTCGTCTTTAGCTTCTTTAACGTTTCAATAATCACTCTCACAGCTGGATGACTCTAACTGCAGTTAGGATCCTTCAAGACGGTGGCCAAAATTCTTTTTTTGATAAACGAACGATATCAGCTAAGCTAAGTTGAATCTGGATTCCGAATATTTCGCCATGAAAACTAATAAAACAAGTGTAAACAGCCAGGAAAAGATGCTCAAACACTCGCAATAATAGATAATTTAAAAGAAAACAGCTTCGCTTAGTAGACCTCTAACTGAAGTTGATGAAGCTTCGCTTAGTATGACTTTAACTGAAGTTGATGGTACAAAACTCAATCATGATATTCACCATTGATGGCACTAACTCAGATGACCCTGCATATATTCATCCAATAGAGTTAGTGTCATCAACCGTTTCAGTAAGTGTCATTCCTACGTCATTATTAAATTCAGTTAGAGTCATTCTAAGTGAGGCCGAAATATTTGGAATTCAGATTCAACTTAGTTTAGCTAAAATCGTCGGTTTATCGAAAAGGAGAGAATTTTGGCCACCATCTTGAATGATACTAACTGCAGTTAGAGTCATTCAGCTGTGGAAATTGAATATTACTGTAATGTCAAAATATCTATATATCAATATTAATTTATCATGATGTTTCTTTTGAATGTGACAATAGCCCTACCTGTGCTCGTTTCATTGAGTTCACAAAGGTCACTAACAACAGATGTGATTGCTGTGATCGCTGTTTCCACAACTGCTACAATTTCAAAATGTTTGGTCGTATACGAGGTCGAGAGAAATGCATGCACGTCGTAGTGCCCAATCGATTCATATGTGTGTGATATCGTTGTGAGGTCTGTGGTTGTCTGGGCAAAGATCTGTTTCATGTTTCCATCACCAAAACTAAAACAAACAAAAACGTATTTAAAATCTAACAAGTTCAACCAAGACTTTTTTACCAAACTGCATCAAGGAAACATTGCGTTAAAATAAAAGTCTACCCTGAATTTGACAATTGACCTCTAAATACCATACAAAGGGATTTAAAATTGATCCTTTTTAAAAAAATTAGATTTTTTAAATGATCAAAAGATCAAGTTAAACCGGAAGTTTCAATAAACGTGAATTCTATTATCATTTTAAAATGTGTCTCTCTTTATGTTCAAGATGGATTAGATTTTTAAGAAAATTGTAAATGTAGTGCCAGAATTTCCAAATTAGGTCGTGTGCAGTGTGACTCCAGAAACACAACTCTGGGTATTTTAAAATATCGTTGTAAATAAAGATCCTTTTGAATACCTTTTGTACAGTAACATTTTAGATGTTTGGAAATACTTTGAATCTAAAAAATAAGCAATTAAAGGACCATATTTAAACAGAATATGTAAAAATAGAAACATTTATACATGTCCTAACTTTTGTATATTCAGTTTGTTTTGTAGTTTAGCTATCAGATCTGCGGTGTCTTATATTTTGATGCTTCTCTGCCATGTTATTTTCGAAAAAATTAACATGGCTGAAACTACCTAAATTACAAGAGACCATAGCTTTGCTGCACATTAGCCATAACTATCTGACATATACAACAGTTAGGGCTTGTACATATGTTTTCTTTTTTCATATACAATTACAACATAGTCATCTGATTGCTTATTTTTTAGATTCAAAGTAGTTCCAAACATTTCAAATTTTACTGTCGATAAAACATTTTCAATTTCAAAAAGGTGATGCACTCATAATAGTGTTAGGAAGTGTACATAGGTGGTCTAGCTACCATAAAAAATAAACACAAGGCATAAACATGACAAAATATCACTACCTAGTTGCTCACAATACAATGAGTTCAATCTTAAGTCTCAAAGATAATTTTGAAAAAATTGGTCAATTTGAAGCAAGATGAAAAAAGACCTTTTTGACCTTGAGAAAGTCATTGAAGGTCAAATCTTTTTTACCTTGAGTATGACATTGAATGCCTAAATTTATAGTCAGATTTGAACTTCTGATTATAACTTGTAGATGATTTTGAAGAAAAAGATTTGTCAATTTGAATCAAGTTGAAAAAGACCTTTTTGACCTTGAAAAGGTCATTGAAGTCAAAGCTTTTTTGACCTTGAGTATGACATTGAATGTCAAATATATAGTCAGATTTGAACTTCTGATAACTTGTAGATGATTTTGAAAAAAAATTGGTCAATTGAAGCAAGTTGAAAAACGACCTTTTTGACCTTTTTTTACCTTGAGAAGGTCATTGTAGGTTAAGTCTCAAACCAAAAGTCAGGTTTTAACTTCTGATAACTTGTAGATGATTTTGAAAAAAAGATCAGTCAATTTGAAGCAAGTTGGAAAAATATTCCTTTTTGACCTTGAAAAGGTCATTGAAGGTCGAATCTTTTTTGACCTTGAGAATATCATTGAATGTCAAAATTATAGTCAGATTTGAACTTTTGAGAACTTATAAATGATTTTGAAAAAGAATTGGTCAATTTGAAGCAAGTTGAAAACGACCTTTTTGACATATTTTTACCTTGAGAAGGTCATTGGAGGTCAAATCTCAAACCAAAAGTCAGGTTTTAACTTCTGATAACTTGCAGATGGTTTTGAAAAAAAGATTAGTCAATTAGAAGCAAGTTGAAAAAAAATCCTTTTTGACCTTGAAAAGTTCATTAAAGGTCGAATCTTTTTTGACCTTGAGAATATTATTGAATGTCAAAACTATAGTCAGATTTGAACTTTTGATAACCAATAGATGATTTTGAAAAAATGGTCAGTTTGAAGCAAGTTGAAAAACGACCTTTTTGACATATTTTTACCTTGAGAAGGTCATTGAAGGTCAAATCTCAAATCTAAAGGCAGGTTTGAATTTCTTATAACTTGTAGATGATTTTGAAAAAATGGTCAGTTTGAAGCAAGTTGAAAAACGACCTTTTTGACATATTTTTACCTTGAGAAGGTCATTGAAGGTCAAATCTCAAATCTAAAGGCAGATTTGAACTTCTTATAACTTGTAGTATAGATGATTTTGAAAAAAAGATTGGTCAATTTGGTGCGAGTTGAAAAGATACCTGTTTGACCTTTTTGACGTTGAAAAGGTCATTGAAGGTCAAATCTTAAATGTAAAGTCAGATTTGAACTTCTGAAAACTTGAAGAAGCTTTTGAAAACAATTGAAGTCAGTCTAAACAGAATTTGTTAAGTTATTAGAAGTTGTAAGAATTTGTTACAGACGCCAACCGCCAACCACCAACCGCCAACCGCCGTCAAAAAAGACCACCACCCCCACCAGTCACCACTTTTTGGTGGTGACATAATAACCGATAACTGTCATTGCGGCGCATTACGACACTCAACTAACACCGACTATCGAGGTGTTCGGCATTGTAAATAGCGGAAGTACATCTGGTGCATGCACATAGACACAAAACACATCTAACTGTGACTGGGTTAATTCCACAGACAAATGCTCCTATACAATCCAATGGGGAAACATTGAAATCTTCGGACTAATTATAAAAAACAAGGATGTTTGGTACATAATCCAATATTCGGCTCCATGTGTCCCCTTTAAAACTGAAAATGTTTTTGAACAGAAAGGCCGTTGAAATAAAAAGATATGACCGCTTTTTCCGACATCTATCCGAATTTTGAACGATTTTCAATAGATTTCAAACTCAAGATCACCAATTAATAAAAAAAAAATCTTATGGATTGGGCAACAATATTATAGAGTTTTTGTCCTCTTAACTAACATATAGAAAATTAAAAGTAAAGATCACGATACTTATTCAGACATTTCATTTAATGCTAAATCTGGTACAAATATTCCCCAAAATCTTCAATATCTAGGCAGAATGAGACAGCTGAAGCAACTTATCAAAAAAATTAATCAGATATCAATGAAATGGTTAATTGGTCCGTGAAATGGAAACTCAAATTTAAAGCATCCAAGAGTGAAGAGGTTATCTTTCAATCCAAACACAATCACAATTAAGGTCCCACTGAAGGCATCTACTAAACCTAGAACGTTTACAGCTTTATCTAGTATCAATTATGGGAAAAAGTACCTGATGAATTGAAACAAGCACACTCGCACAACTCATACAAGTACCAAATAAGAACATTTTCGAATGGAAAAAAGAAAGAGTTTACAACATCAAGATTAAACCTGTCCAGAGAAAAAGAAATTATCTTGGGTCTTGGGCTTAAATCCTTTAAAGGGTGACGCATATCGTTTAGCAAATCGAACGCTCGTTTCTGGTGTTGCTCACCGTTTAGTATAAAAGGCCCGATCCCGGAATAATACTCAAGGGTTCACAGGTCCGAGGCCGTTGTGTCAACACCTCTAACTGTTATATAGCATAAGTATATTATAGATCGTCACACATTTATAAAAGGGTGATTTTTATTTTGACAAATCAATTCGACATTTATGGGTGAAGTTTCAGGATCTTCTGTTTGTGTGTAATAAGGAAAAATTGGCATCTAAATTTCCCCATAACGTAATAGCACACAGCTTGGCATATGAAATATCCTACAAATGAAACAAAGCAAGACAAACCTGTTTCTAATACAAGGATTTATATTGGCTGTTGTACATATATTCTTTGAACGCAATCACTCTTTGGATAACGTTTTCAAAATCATTATAAACGGATTACTTTATCTCAAAGACAATTTCAATAAACTGGATTTTACAGAACTCCCCTTATTTCTTAAAAATGGACTGATCCAGTTGATTCGCCTGGAGCCGCCATATTGTTTTTATACGGGATGCTAATCGTCACCCTTTAATCAAACGCTTTATATGTAAAAAAAATAAATTCTTTAAATATGCTTTTTATGAAACACAAATGTCATCACTATGCTGTCCTAAAGACGCTCCGTTCAAAATATAAATGTAAAGATACAATGAAGTAGGAGCAGGTCTTACTTGATAAGGCCATTTATCCCCGTTCCAGTCGTGGCAGATACGGTGAATTCAGATGGGGCAGACAGAACAACTGGACCTACTACCGACACTTGAGCAGCTGTCAGTGGGTCTCCAAAGATTGCCATTGTATAGCGAGTCTCTGAACTCCTCTTATTGTATGCATGAACAGCAACGTTGTAGTTCCCGGTTCCAATGCTTCCAAAATCATGTTGGACTGTCGTCCCTATAATGTACAGAAGAAGCGTGTTTGGTTATTGTAGAGATATCATTTAGATTAGGTAATGATAATTATTTTGAATGGAATCCTTCTATTTGGCTAAGGAAGCACTCAGAGATAACAGAGAGCTCTTCTGAAGATCTACTAAAAAGCTTTCGGGAACAGCTACTTTGACAAAACGGGGCGCTTGAGATGGTTCTAGGGGAGCAATCATTTTAATGGCTTGGGCTTACTATTTACAGACATGGAATAAAATAAATGAAGCATCAGTAGTAGACTCACCAGGTACGAAACTATGCAGCCTGATGACTTCTATCTTTCCATCTCCGTAGTTTATGAATATATCACCAAGATTGCCAGATTTAAATACTATATCTAAGTCTGACGTGGTGCCTGAAGATACCAGGTCTATAGACACATCCATGCCTTGTATAGCTGATACTATAGAGTAAAACAAGTTTTTTTTACTATAAATCAAAACATACGTGGTATAGGGTGATACAATTTGAAAGTGCTAGGGCGTGAATACAAATTAACAGTTATAGGATACTATTTGATGGAAACATTTCACAATGATGATATTACTGATGCCTTAAATATTAATTCAAGATCAACGTCTTTAAAGGTATGTCAGAGAGATGCATATAAGAACGTTGTTCACAATATTCTGAAACTGTTTCCAATTGTTAAAAGAGGACTAACACATACTATGTACCTGATTCACAGAGTATTGGGTTTGTATCTGATGTTGCATCTACGGAAGTGATTTCCCCATTGCTAAGATCAACTACGTAATGAGGGCCTGTGGAAGCTCCCACAATGCTGTCTGTGACCCATGCTTCAGCGGTTTCACCATTGTCCCATACAAGATTTGTTCCATCGTATGTTAGCCCAATTAGATGTTTAGACGATTGGGTATCTACAAAAAAACAGTTTCATCTCCATAGTAATCTGTTTTTCTGACCGTTTCTTCTTACACTCGATCGGCCTTGATAATTCTTTATTTCGATATAATTTTTTTAAATAGATTTTTAATAAAATGTTGACATTGTATGCAGGAATCAATTTCACAACTGTTCCTCAAATGGTTTTTATGCGACATAAAATGTTTTGTAGGACGACCGTATCGTTGGTTGCTTGATTTTATTTGAGGTGATTATCAAACTTTATTTGTATTACTATCATTATACTATAGGCTAGTATACTACTTGGATTGGATTGTACACCTACATGTACTTATTTACATGAATTAATTGCATATTGGATACTCTAATATTAAAAAATCATATGAATCATAAAATCTCGTTTTCATTCCTTAAGTATAATAAGTCTTGTACTAATAAGTATTGCTAATTTTGCCATAACTTTTGTTTTCTTACTTTTGTCGTTGTGAAGCTTTTACAACAACATACGTAACGTACATCCCACCATATCCCATTAAAATTTCATGACAATCCACTCAGTTTTGACAAAGTTATGGTTACTATGGTAACCATTGTCATGCATTGGGGGCAAATTCCCAAGGAAAAAAATCCAAAACGTTCACAGAGTGTGAAAAGCAACATCAAAGAGTTTTTTTTTACCATTCTGGGCGTTTTCAATTGATTTGGGCCAAAGTTGTGTACTGTGAACCTCCCTGTAATTTTTTGAAAAGTGACCCCCTTCCCTCCTCGACAAAAATGGCTACGGGACTGACTTCATGAGGTGCTCAAAATAGGCACCTTTAGCATCAATATGCTATTGCTCCTTAGGGATGGGCACAAAAACTTTCGAACCCCTCACTCTCTTCGGTCGTTTGGGGTACAGAAAATGTTTGTGCCAAGCCCTTCGGGTGTATTCAAAAATAGTAGCCCTGCTCTTCGGTCTATACTTTTTAAATATTGCATGAAAGATAATCGATACTTACGGATCATATTGACTAAAATGTCCAGTTCTGCTTGAGATTCAATAATCGCTAGCTCCCCATTTGCCACACGACACGCATCCTTCCCCTGGCTATAGCTGTGATGTCCCTGCACTACTGAAGATGCAGTGGCGTCTGTTGCAAAATAACAACCAGAGCCAATTGCATCGAACCCAGGTGTACATGATTCTGTAGAATTAAAAGCAAAATAAATCTTTTGATTGAGGGTAGGTAGAAGTATGAAAATTCAGTAAAAGGCATTTGGGAATTTTAACAAATGCTTGGATTGATTAGTCTGTTTTAACAAATGCTTGGATTGATTAATCTGTTTATCTTTTTATAAATGCTGACAACATTTTTTCGAGAATCATGTGCAGTATTACCGAGTCTTGCATAGACCAGGGCTGAACCACTAGTAAACTGAGTATCTTTCAATATACATAGGGCGTGCTTGCATGTAAAACCACTGTGATCAAATATGTTGGACCCGACGGCACTGGCCACGGCAGCGCAGTCGTCTACAGTGGCGGTAGAAATTGATTCCACATCTCCGAGGCAATTAACCGCTCCAGTTTTTACATATTCAAATGGATTGTCCTCTGAAATAGAATAAAATAAATTCATATTTACGCAGTGCATTCATCTGTTGTATTTTAGCTTAATTTGATGTTTAAGAGGAGCTATTTAAACAGGGTTGACCAGCATCAAAAGAAGCAAGAAATGAAACCACGCATCATGTATCTTCAAATGTAATGTCACAAATGTTACAACTTTGTTCTCATAAGTTTTCATGACATATACAGTTATTTTAACTAAAATGTGAGTGTTCCATTTTATTGGCGCACCCTGCCTGTATATGTACGAAGAACAAAGGATACACTCTCCCCTCCGCAAGCTATCAACCCGACGTCCCCCTTTGATCAATTATCAAAGCCAGCTTATGGTAAAAAATCATAAAAGTCATACTTTTGATATGCTTTCCTATGAATTGATTTCTGGTATCAGTTTCAAACTGTCAACTGCAAGAATAAAACTCACCTTCACACAAGTCAGTGTAAATTTCCCATCGTAACATAATTTTTGAGTTAGTTGCACCAGAATGTCCCTGTGGATACATAGAAACATACCGGGCCACGAAAGGGGTCGGGAAGTTATACATAACTACCGAATGTGTATCGGTATTGCCAGTTATCGTCTAAAAAGGAAAAAATATTTATTTAATGGCCCAATTTTCCTAGTCAATATTGTTTAATACAACTTTAATTTCCTAATCATTCTACTGGGAAAAATCAATATCAGTGGATCACGCTAAGATTATCAAAAATTGAGTGATATCATTTTATTTAATTGGCCATGGGCAAAGACCCGGATCGTTCCAGATCCTCGGGCATATATTATGACATACGTTTTAAAATATCGATCTTCAATAGTGATGCTTGGTCATAGCCTGGTGAAGCTATTTATTCAAATAACTTCCATTTAATAGTAAACACAGAATTTTACTGAAAACCAAACCGATCATGATTCTGTTTAGAGTTGAAGAATACCACCATTCATTAAATATATTATCAACGGTGCCCATGTCAAGCTGCGCGCCTACTTAGGCGCGCAGTTTGTTTAGATCACAAACTGCGTGCCTAACAACATTGCATCATTCAAGTTGGAGTCTGTATTTTGAAATGTAATTTAAAGACATTTATCCTGCATGTTTTCTTGTTTAATGCATTCATTCTGTGGCGAATATATGAGTCTTGCAAATACTAGCAAAAACTATGTGCAAATGAATCTAAGTTTTAAAACATAAGCAGATTAATGGCATTTTTGTCACTGATTTAACGGGAATTTATACGTAAATCGATCTAGCACTTTAAACATAAATGACAAATAATTCAGACTCGTTTTATATTTAATTCCTTGCGCATTTATCATGTATAATTCAAAATATTTCGAGATAAAACTGATATTTAGGAGATTAAAAAGAACGTTTTGGAGAGTTTGGAAATATCAGGCACGCAGTTTGGGAAATACGTGTGAACATAGGCGCGCAGTTTGACAAGAAAAATGTTTAAATCACGTTTATGGCGTATTATCGTTTTGAACACAAACTATGCTGCTTTAATCAGATAGAGTGATCCTATATATTCTAGCATGCATAGACACAATGGCTGAATAAACGGCATATGACGATAAAAAGACATAGATATAACTTTACACTGTAAATTTTGAAAACAGATGTTACTTAAGACCCTTATATGCACATTGATCGTAGAGAATGTCTAGCAATGATATAATAAAACAAATACTTATTTCTATGTTCGGGCAATACCTGCTGCACTTTCAATGATTTTGCCCTTCGGGCTGTGGGCAATGAACAAGTTGCAAAAATCATTGAAAGATGAACAGAAGATGAAAGATGAAATATTTGCTTAATCTTTCAATGGCTTTTGTAGTATGTGATGCCCGCAACCAATAGGGCGAGGGAAATACATGCTGTAAAATTATTGAAAGTGCATCAGGTATTGTCCGAACATAGAATGAAATATTTGTTTTATTATATCATTGCTAGACATTTTCTACGATCATTTTGCATTTCAAAGAAAGATATAATTTTTGTTCTCACCTCAATGAATATATCATAAACCCATAAGTTAACATAATTACGTACAAGTATCATTGTATAGTGCACCGGGCGGGCAATAGGCCGCGCCGGGCAATACATCTTTTATAATCAGAAAATTAAGAGAGCTAAGAAATACGATATGCTATTATATCATTGCTAGAAATCGTGGCATTTGATTGGCTGACTCAGTACCATGTGATCGAAAATACCATAGAGTATTTCACAGCTCCCTCAATTTGTGGATTATAAAAGACGTATTGCCCGGCGTATTGCCCGCCCAGGAATTCTGACAACTGCACTGGACGAAAATATAAGTGTACTACACAACGATGCTTGTACGTAATTATGTTAACGTGTAGGTTTACGTATGATATACTTATTAATTATAATAAATGTTCACAGGTCAAAACATTGGAATTACCTAGAAAAAAACTCGAGCACTACTCGAGAATCTGTTAACGTAATTAAAAAGTTAAAAGTCTTGCCAAAAGCATGCACAAGAAATTATGCATGAAAATCTTTATCATATTCCTCAAATATAACAATTTTTCCTTCAAATCATTAATATATGACTACGTACATCAAAAATGTACACCCATATATTTTGTCACTTTACGCTGTCGATGGTTAGGCGTGAATCTTACCTCCGTATTTACTGTAGTTTCGCCGTCTTTGTTATACTTAAGATAATATGAAGTAACCCATCCCTCTACCCCCGTTTCAATACCACCTTGGGTTGCAACAGCTACGATTGTTTTATCTTCACCTAAATCAATCTTAAAACATAAGATAGCAAGTGATTAATTATATATGTACAATATTTGTTCTTAATTCGTTTTTTGTTTTAAAAAATTTCAACCACTGTGTTAATATTGAGGTAATATATACAGTATAATAGAATGTTACACATGATAATTAATCAGATAAAATATACAATATAATAGGATATCACAAATGATAATAATGAGATATACAATATAATAGAATGTTACAAATAATAATAATGCTGGCGACTGGGAATGATGAGTCATCCAAATACTTGTAAGCTGAGTCATTCAAAATAAGCTGAGTCAGCTAGAATATAGACATTTAGACAACTCTTAAGAATGTTATCTTCGACTCCATTGGCTTAACATGGGGATATCATCATATCGACTTTTCGAGACTTCAAACCGCTATAACTATCTAATCAGATCGAAATTTGGTTTAAAGATTCTGATTCCTGAGAAAATTCTACCCTTAATTCATAACTCATACGTTAAATTTGGAGAACTTTTTATTTTGACCTACTTTTCGGACACCATATCTCAAAAGTGGGTCAAAATACTTTCTGACGGCAGAAAGCTAACACTATAAGCACACTCTTTGCTACCTGTATACAAAATTTTGAAGTAAATTATTAAAGTGTAGTGTCAGAATCGCAAAAATAAGGAAAAACTATGAATTTGACCTAGATTTTGACCTAGGCATTTTGGTGTCCAAATTTTAAAGCTAGATAGCCTTCGAGGTCCCCTTCTTTTATAGGCTTTCAGAATGTTAAGCTGTACTCAGTTTATACCTGGTATTTTACACTTCAAAAAAATCTTTTTTCTCATTGACATAACATGGGGCACCAAATTTAGCGATTTTTGAGCTTTCAAAACGCCATAACTTCCGAACCGAAAGTCGGATTGAAATTTGGTTTGCCGATTCGGATTCCTGGGAAAATTCTACCCTTAATTCATAGCTCATATGTTAAATTTGGAGAACTTTTTATTTTGACCTACTTTTCGGACACCATATCTCAAAAGTGGGTCAAAATACTTTCTGACGGCAAAAGGCTAACACTATTAGCACACTATTTGCTACCTGTATACAAAATTTTGAAGTAAATTATTAAAGTGTAGTGTCAGAATCGTAAAAATAAGAAAAAACTATGAATTTGACCTAGATTTTGACCTAGGCATTTTGGTGTCCAAATTTTGAAGCAATGTAGCTTTTGAGGTCCCCTTCTTTTATAAGCATTCATTATGTTTAGCTGTACTCAGTCTATATCTTGTATTTTACACTTCGAAAAAGTCTTTTTCCCCATTGACTTAACATAGGCACCAAATTTAGCGATTTTTGAGCTTTTAAAACGCCATAACTTCCGAACTGAAAGTCTGATCCAAATTTGATTTGCAGATTCAGATTCCTGAGATCATTCTACACTTATTTCATAACTCACATGTTGAATTTGGAGAACTTTTTGCTCTGACCTACTTTCCGGACGCCATATCTCAAAATCGGTAAAAGTAATCAAAAATCTAATGTCATATCTTTGCTTCGGCTATTTCTTAACTACACAATGAGAACAAGATGAAGGAGTTCCGATAATTATAGAAGAAGATAATTGAAAGAATGTTGAAAATGTAAGATTTGACCTAGTTCTTGACGTTTGACCTAGATAAAAATTTGACCTAATTTCCCAGAAAGCCAGAAACATTCCTTAGTTAACCATGTAAGTTGGTTTAAGTAAGATGTTATAGTTGGTGAGAAAATCTGTATGGAGGAAGATGGAAAGAATAATAAAAACTAGACTTTGGAAATTGAACGAAGTTCAATTTCAGACTCCAGATCTAGACTTTTTTTAAGCCCAGTCATCTAAAATAAGCCGAGTCATCCAGAATAAGCTGAGTCATCCAGAATAAGATGGATGGATAAAATAAGAAGGTAGGATAGGATAGAATGGGAAGGAACGATAGGATAGAATAAGAAAGAAGGATAGGATAGAACAGAATAGGAAGAAAGGATATGATAGGAGAGGATAGGAAGGAAAGGATACGAAGGAAGGATAGATAGGAAGGATAGGAAAGGATCAGATAGGAAGGATGGATGAATTTTTCAATATTTTCTTCTCTACTCTTGACTTTCTATCAGGATACCATCAGATCGATTTTCCGAAATTTTAAAACGCCATAACTTCCGAACCGGAAGTCAGATCTAAATTTAATTTAAAGATTCAGATTCCTGACAAAATTCTACCCCTAATTCATAACTCATACGTTAAATTTGGCGAATTTTTATTTTGACCTACTTTTTGGACACGCCATAACTTCTGAACCGGAAGTCGGATCGAAATTTGGTTTGCAGATTCGGATTTCTGAGAAAATTCTATTCTTAATTCATAACTCAAACGTTAAATTTGGAGAACTTTTTATTTTGACCTACTTTTCGGACACCATATCTCAAAAGTGGGTCAAAATACTTTCTGACGGCAAAAGGCTAACGCTATTAGCACACTCTTGGCTACATGTATACACAATTTCGAAGAATATAATTAAAGTGTAGTGTCAGAATCGCAAAAATAAGAAAAAACTTTGAATTTGACCTAGATTTTGACCTAGGCATTTTGGTGTCCAAATTTTGAAGCTATGTGGCTTTTGAGGTCCCCTTCTTTTAAAGGCTTTGATTATATGAAGCTGAACTCAGTCTATATTTCGTATTTTTCACTTCAAAAAAATCTTTTTTCCCATTGACTTAACATGGGCACCAAATTTAGCGATTTTTGAGCTTTCAAAACGCCATAACTTCCGAACCGGAAGTCTGATTCGAATTTAGTTTTCAGATTCGGAATCCTGAGAAAATTTCCTATAAGACTAATATCCTCGACATTTGATTCGGAGAACTTTTTTTGGACCTCGTTTTCGGACACTGATATCTCGAAATCGGTTTGAGATATCAAAAAACTAAATCGATCCTAGGTTTCCTACTTTTTTATAAGGAACACAATGAAAAAAACCCGGATCAAAAATATTGAAGGACGACCGAGAAAATCGAAAAAAGTGACAAAGTACTGGATTTGACCTAGTTCTTGACCTTTGACCTAGATAAAAATTTGACCCAATTTCCCACCAACTAAATACTGAACCTAAATAAACTGTATTATGATCTTTACTGGATACCTTATAGTTATTGAAAAAACTCTTAAAGAAAAATAATAATAACTAGACTTGTAAATTGAACAAAGTTCAATTTAAGACTCCAGATTGATTTACTTGAGTAAAGAGCTGACTAAGTAACTGAGTAGGAAGCTGAGTAAGTAGATGATTAAGTAATTGAGTACGTAGCTGAGTAGGTAGCTGAGTAAGCAGCTGAGCAGGTAGCTGAGTAAGTAGCTGAGTAGGTAGCTGAGTAAGTAGCTGAGTAGGTAGCTGAGTAGGTAGCTAAGTAGGTAGCCGAGTAGGTAAGTAGGTAGGTAAGTAGGAATTTTTGACCGGAAGTCGGATTGAAATTTGGTTTGCAGATTTGGATTCCTAAGAAAATTCTACCCTTAATTCATAACTCATTTTATTTTGACCTACTTTACGGACACCATATCTCAAAAGTGGGTCAAAATACTCTCTGACGGCAAAAAACTAACACTATTAGCACACTCTTTGCTACCTGTATACAAAATTTTGAAGCAAATCCTAAAAGTGTAGTGCCAGAATCGCAAAAATAAGGAAAAACTATGAATTTGACCTAGATTTTGACCTAGGCATTTTGGTGTCCAAATATTGAAACTAGGTAGCTTTTGAGGTCCCCTTCTTTTATAGGAATTCATTATCTTAAACTGTACTCAATCTATATCTCGTATTTTACACTTCAAAAAAATCTTTTTTCCTTGACTTTCTATCAGGATAACATCAGATCGATTTTTCTCGAAATTTCAAAACGCCATAACTTTCAAACCGGAAGTCGGATTTGATTTAAAGATTCGGATTCCTGACAAAATTCTACCCCTTATTCATAACTCATACGTTAAATTTGGCGAATTTTTATTTTGACCTACTTTTCGGACACGCCATAACTTTGGAAATGGAAGTCGGATCAAAATTTGGTTTGCAGATTCGGATTCCTGAGAAAATTCTACTCTTAATTCATAACTCATATGTAAAATTTGGAGAATTTTTTATTTTGACCTACTTTTCGGACACCATATCTCAAAAGTGGGTCAAAATACTCTCTGACGGCAAAAGGCTTACACTATTAGCCCACTCTTTGCTATCTGTATACAAAATTTTGAAGCAAATCCTAAAAGTGTAGTGCCAGAATCGCAAAAATAAGGAAAAACTATATATTTGACCTAGATTTTGACCTAGGGATTTTGGTGTCCAAATTTTAAAGCTAGATAGCCTTCGAGGTCCCCTTCTTTTAAAGACTTTCAGAATCTTAAGCTGTACTCAGTCTTTATCTGGTATTTTGCACTTCAAAAAAATCTTTTTTCTCATTGACATAACATGGGGCACCAAAATTAGCGATTTTTGAGCTTTCAAAACAACATAACTTCCCAACGAAAAGTCGGATCGAAATTTGGTTTGCAGATTCGGATTCCTGAGAAAATTCTACCCTTAATTCATAACTCATAAGTTAAATTATGAGAAATTTTTATTTTGACCTACTTTACGGACACCATATCTCAAAAGTGGGTCAAAATACTTTCTGACGGCAAAAGGCTCTCACTATTAGCACACTCTTTGCTACCTGTATACAAAATTTTGAAGCAAATCCTAAAAGTGTAGTGCCAGAATCGCAAAAATAAGGAAAAACTATGAATTTGACCTAGATTTTGACCTAGGCATTTTGGTGTCCAAATTTCGAAGCTATGTAGCTTTTGAGGTCCCCTTCCTTTATAGGCATTCAATATGTTAAGCTGAACTCAGTCTATATCTTGTATTTTACACTTCGAAAAAGCCTTTTTTCCCATTGAATTAACATGGGCACCAAATTTAGCGAATTTTGAGATTTCAAAACACCATAACTTCCAAACCGGAAGTCGGATCGAAATTTTGTTTTCAGATTCGGATTCCTGAGATAATTTTACACTTATTTCATAATTCACACGTTGAATTTGGAGAACTTTTTATGTTCTGACCTACTTTTCGGACACCATATCTCAAAATCGGTAAGAGTAATCAAAAAACGGTTTACCATTCGTAATGAGCTTTTTCTAAGGAACATGATGAAAAAAACCAGGAGTGAAAATACCGAAGGACGACTGAGAAAACTTGTAAAATAGTGAAAAACCACGATTTGACCTAGTTCTTGACCTTTGACCTAGATAAAAAGTTGACCTAATTTCCCAGAAACTAGGCCTCATTACCTAGTTGACTGTGTTAGCAGATTTAAGTAAGTCCTTCTAGTTACCGAGAAAACGTGACAAGAGAGAAAGAATAATAATAATAAGAAAACTGGCAAAAGCAATAGACTCCAGATTTTCAATCTGGAGTCTAATAATAATAATAATAATAATAAGAAGAAGAAGAATACTGGCAAAAACAATAGACTCCAGATTGACATCTGGAGTCTAATAAAAAAAATAATAATAAGAAAACAGGCAAAAGCAATAGACTCCAGATCTCAATCTGGAGTCTAATAATAGGATATTACAAATGATAATAATGAGATAACGTATACAATAAATTTTAATACTATAGTTATACAAACGATGATAATGAGATAATATATACAACATAATAGGATGTTACAAATGATAATAATGTGATAATATATACAATATAATAAGATGTTACAAATAAAAATAATGAGATAATATACATAATATAATAGGATATTACAAATGATAATAATGAGATAACGTATACAATGTAATATGATGTTACAAATTAAGATGATGAGATCATACACATGATATAAAAGGATTTTTGTGAGTGATTGTTAAATTGATAAATATGATTGTAGTTGCAAATTAACTGATTGATTAATTTCAAAACCATGTGCAGTAAGAGGTTCATATCCTTCTGTCGCATACTTTCTAATGCCAGTGAATCAAATAATTTTACGATTTTCATAATCATAATTATCATATTAAAAACCAATTTGTGTTACCTCATAAAATGGAAACAAAACATCTTCCATTTCAATTTCCATTACCTCTGTATTTCTCGATATAATCGAATAGGTATAATTCGAGAGCTTTTATTAATAATAAAACTCTTAATATAGATACTAGATGAATGAACTGAATTTGTTCGATTTATTCTGCCCAAAACAAAAGTGCACCATATTAGGTAAATGTTCAAATAATGTGAGTTTTGAAGAAGTATGAGTAGTTCCAAGAGGGGTCATAATACCAGGATAAATATTCTGACAAACGAAGGTGGTAAGCAAGAGATGTGTCTGTCATCTCTACAGCTCTGGGGGTTTTCCTCCTCTTAGTAGTTCCACGCCAAATTGGATAATACAAATCAGCATTTGTATTCTGCTTTATTCTGTATTCTACAGTAGCCATTTTAGTAAAATCTAATTATGTCAACACGATTCGGACAACAAAATGTTTCTTGCACAATAAAGCAACAGTTTAGCAACTTGTAGATAAAAGATATGAAATATACCATTCATCATTAAACCGTCACATTAAAATGTAGTATTCAGATGATAGAAAGAAAAAATGGATTTACTTACAATACGAAATGGAATGCGCAGAAGAGGCAATATAAGGTCAACTATGGACTTTGACTTATCACCTCCTCTTCATTTTGTAATATGACCTTTACCTTTACATCCCTTTGCCTTTGATGAGAAAAAGTTGTTTTAAAATGGAACTGATTGGTTATTATGCTGGCGACTGGGAATGATGTTCATCCAGAATTTGTAAAATTCTATTTTCTGAATTATACATACGTTTATAAATGGGTTTGTAGTAGCTGAGGAAATGGCCCATGGTGTATCTGAATGTAACCGTCCAGTTATATAAGATCCGTCGAAATATTTTTGGTATTTTACAAGCAGAGGACTTTTGCAGTTAGTATATTCTAAAAAAAGAGTATCATAAACGATTTACAGATATCCTGTAACTTACAGTCCATCAGACGGTTTATTTTTATAAAGTGTCACTTGGGTATTTTAGGTTAAAAACAGATCCTGCATCATTCAAACCCCACCACACACTAGAATGAACAAAAACAAAAAAAACGTGAGTAGTTGAATAGTCAAAACAAAAGAAATCAAACTTTACATTTGAATAGTACAGTGTAAATGGATCATGTACCATTTACCTTTCATGCGGCCTTCTGCCATTATCTCACCTAATACCCAGTAGACATATGGTTTATAAATAACATAATTCATCAAAACTACTCATTGTTAATTCCAGTTACAATTTCTTCTAATACTTCTTTGAAAGTAAAATAAATGTTATTTTTTCTATCCCCGGGAACCAAGGGTGAATTGATGATATCAAGTCTAGGGTTAATTAATGTGACATCATGAACATGACCAGCTGAGGTGCAATAATATCATTATGTTTCATGCCTTTAACATTTACTTGCACTGTCATTGTACATATATATTTTTGTATATAACTACACTCCCCTTCATAAGTTTGGCAACCTTTTTTCCCATAGACGTACCTATCAATATAAACCATCTCTATGTTTGAATTTTTATAACCTGAAGAGAAAAAAACTAATAATGCAGAAAGATATGCAACTTGACTATATATTTCCTATACCTCCAAATTTCCTAATTTTTTCACAATCTTCGGGTTTAAAAATGTTATAGGTCTTCAAAGTCAAAATATTTTTTCAAGAAATCTCTAACATTGAAATGACACAGGAGGTTAACAATCATTTCCAAAATTTACTTTGAAGCTCTGTAAGTTTAATGTTCACAAAGTAAACTAAACACCATGCAAAAAAGTTAAACTCGTATATAAAAATAATTTTTGGTTAATAGATAACCTGGAATCTGATTTGCCCCAAACCCACAATTTCTCTTTAATTTACATTGGAATGTGGATTTTCAATTTTAAAATTTGGATGTATGGTAAATAAAGTCTAATTACTTGTACATCGCCGCCTTCATTATCAGTTTTGTCGTTGCAGGGTGTGAAAATGAAAATACAAAAATAACCTTTTTCGAAGTTTATCTTTTAACCAGAAACTTTCTGGCTTTTCTGTAAAACTGAATTAGGCATGTTTTACCGAAAGAATTGTGACTTTACCCCCCCCCCCCCTCTAACTGTTGTTTAAGGGTTAACACGTAAGTTTATGAGGGGAAAGTTGGCAAACTTATGGAGGGGAGTGTACCACGATTGGGACTGCATTTTTCATGTCATTATACCAACTCTGCAAATATAGCATGACAACGTGTTTCTTTATTCAAAAATGTGATTTTATTTAAAAGAATAACTTAGTTGTTATACGCATATGCTTACAACATGATACATTCTGATCCTCAAATAATTTTAGATGAAATGCAAACAATACTTTTAAACTTTAAATGGGGCCTTTAATTGAATCATTCATTGACATCATTTGTGCGTATATGGTATAGCTGATAGATCTGCTACGTCCCTGAAATAAACACCTAGATTTAGTTGATAGAGTATTCACTTACTGATTTTAGATCCAGATGTTGACACATCGCTCATCATTGTTCCAAGCACATCCATCTTGAGGTGGAGCGTAAAAGTAGTTGAAGTTGCGATTGCATTGATTGCAATGGATCTTGCTTTTACGGGAGTCGATAATTTGTAGCGGTAATTTGCATATGGTGGACCACCTGCTATAATAGCCCCATCTTTGTCGTATAGTTTATCATCCAAGAATAACTTAAGCCCCGCATAAGTTTCTGTTTGTCCATCATCCTGTAATAGAATTTATTAACTTGATAAACGTTGTGAAAAAATAACAATTATAGTGTTTCACGAAGATGTGAATATCCTTATTATATGACCAGGGACAATATTACACTTATATTGCAGTTTAATAATGATGATATACTTACGTCTAAAAGCAGAGATGTAATGTATGCCGTAAAACCAAGGTCAACTCTCAGCCTTGCATATTCACCAGAATTTAGCGGTAAGGCCCAGCCACTTCCCGCGAAGCTCAAATCTTAATAAAAACAAAAATTATGACATGCGTGGGGAGAACTATTGCATATCGTGTCTTTACCAGATTGTTTTTGTCGTCTTCGAATCTCATTAATAGTTCCCCATATATCTTTTAGATTTCCAGCTAATTTTTTAAAATGTATTTCAAAAATTAGCTGGAACTCTTAAAGATGTATGCCATTGTAAAGTCAACTCGATCTAAGAAAGATGTTATTCGCTATTTTCATAAAACCGTTTCGGTAACCAGCGTTATCGAGCGGATCACCCGTGCGTAATGAGTATATTAAATGTGTGTCTTCTATTGGTTTGAATTTATCTAGGCCTTTTAATCATTGAAAAAATCAGTGTCCATTAAATCTTCGTATTCTATACTTTTAATATTATTTACCTTTCAATGGCAAGCGTTGAAGCTTCTCTGGATCAGTTATAGGCAAAAAATAATATGCTCCGCTATCTGGTATACGGCCACTTCCTATGCCCAAAGATGTCTCTGAAAATATATTAAGCTTCATCAATGTTTTTATCGGACTACCCTCCACGGCTTCAATAAGGTTGGCAAGTTCATGAGTCAATGTGAGGTTAAGTTAGCATTGATTAAATGTTGGTTATCCTTGTATTGCTTTTTCTTTCGTGGCCTTCACTTGCCCGTTGAGAATAAGTGAATGAAGGAGAACTATTATAAAGAGGTTCCTGGATGATCATCTTGATCGATATCTGATGTAATTTCTTAATTTTCAAAGGAGTCTACATATAGTTCGTTGCGGTTTTATCTTTATATCGTAATTTCAATCACCGCCATCATTTTTCAAACGTTACCTTGAAATATCACAACGTCGTGCTATCCTAATACTTATAGAACTTAATCTTAATTTGTTTCATGGGTGACAAAATGTTTCTTCTTTCAAGGTGAATGTCGAGTCTCGCATCTTACGAATGTAATTTTAGGTGATCTGTCTGCATGGGATGTATTAGTTATGGTAGTTCAACAGTACTTAAAAATATATTTTGTAACATCACGTAATATCACCAAACGTAATCATTATTGTTTGTTTGTTTTCTCAACGTAATAGACCTTCCTAATGACTTGATAAATCCTCACGACAAATCGAATATCCTAATTAAACTTCCATTATAGTTTCTTGAAAATCAAAAATTTGAACTGACCTTCTCTACATTCATTCAGTTGAGGGATATTGGTATGACCGGGTGGGCATCGACATATACCATCAACACACATTTCATCTCTGCCGAGCTGCGCATTACAGTCAGCATCATTTCCACACGATGTTTCTGCTGCGGATGATTCCCCTATAAAAATAACAAGGCATTAACGTGACAACATGTCACTACCTAGTTGCTCACAATACTATGGGTTTAATATACCTTTATGACCTTTTTAAGAAGGTCAATGAAGGTCAAGTCTTAAATTTAAATATCAGATTTGATTTTTTGAGATCTTGTAGATGATTTTGAAAAATGGTCGGTTGAAGTCAGTGTAAACAGTTTTTGTTAAGTTATTGGAAGTTTTTAGAATTTGTTTCAGACGTCAGACACAGGACGCCAACCACCAACCGCCAACCGCCGCCCGTCGTCACAAAAATTGAAGACCATAATGGTGGTAACAATATGTCACCACTTTTGGTGGCGACAAATCAATAAGCATGGGTGTCAAATGTAAACCATATATGATTCACCCAAATAATAAAACGTATCGATGTCAACTGTAACCATAGAATTCCGCAAAACATAGCAAGAAGGAAAAGGTGTCAAATAACACAACTAGTCATGGGGAAAACAAACTCATTTTGATTCAAATAAGTAATGACTAGAGGAATACTGGTTTAGCAGTTTGTGACGCAAAGAAATCAAGAAATGGTGCACAAGAGAACCAGAGGGACAATCGTATATTTACTCTTGAATGTAATTGTAATGGTAAATCCAGTGGACCTGATAAAATCCCGCTTGTGGTTCCTTAAATATTTAGTACGCAATACCATGCACAGAAGAATAATACAATAATAAAAAATACATATATCTAGTACGCAATACCTGATATGTTATGTTATGTTATGAATAGTGTTTATGTAATCTAATAAATGAAATAAAATAAAACGTATGGAATCATTTACTACTATAAAGTACTTACATAAGATGACTAGCAGTGCGATCGTCAGAAAACATGAGGGACTATTTCCCCATGTCATTTCGAATTTCTAACTCTCTTGTATTACGATCCTGCAATAGAGAATAATATTAATTAGTAATTAATTAGTACTATCTAAACATGAAGGTTAATTGTCAAAACAAAGCTTTGATTGTATCAAACAATATAAATATAATTACTTCGTTGTTGGTCAATATAGTTTATTGTACCTACTATTGTAACCTATTGTATCTACTCTTAAACAATAAACTACATGAGAAGTTACGTAGTATCACATTTGCATTAATTGCATACAATTGTAATGCATCTAAAAAGTAGTTACGTAATAGCATAAGTACCTAAGTGGAATTCTTGCTTTAAAAGTTTACCCAATGTTCATTGAGGCAGAAAGCGCTAATTAATATCATTTATCTTATGCTGATATCACGAGATTTCAACTGTCTTTTTAATAGATTGCCCACTATGATACGTAGACAAGCATATGCATAAGATTACAAAACAAGGTATATTTTTATCTGATGAAAAAAATCCAAAAGGTGCATATTATTTTATGATCTATATATTATAGAAAAATAGGTTTGTTTGCAACTTTAAAAATAATAGAAACAATTTAATATTCCTAAAAGTTATTACAAGATATTTAAATTTAGTAAAGTGTAAAAAATAGGAGCTATGGAAGAAATATACCTTACCTTCAATCTCAAATCTGCATCTCTTTAGAAACAAATCAACACTGATACAAAAACATCAATATACAGGGTGTTCCAATAGGACAATGATGAAATATTTTTCCGTTGTATTTTTTTCTTTTTAGAAAAAAAGAATAACACCACAGTTAGTAGCAGCGCATTGATTGGATTAAAAAGTATATTAAAAATATAAGTCATTGTTATTAAATACCTGATGTAAAGAAACATAAGTGGAAAAAGAGGAATGAAATGTCATTTTACACGTTCATGTATTCTTCTTCATTGTTCAAAATTAACAAGTCTATTTAAAAACACTGCTGAACATTCAAGTTTGATTTAAGGGATTCTTATATTTCTCAGGGCCGTAGTCAGTGAAAGAATTTTTGGCCAGGGGGGTGGGGGGTTCGCCCGGTCGAATCCTGCGAACCCCCCACCCCCCTGGCCAAAAATTCTTTCAAAAGCATGCAGTTTTTCACCATTTTGAGCACTTCTCTAGTGATTTTAGCCATATTTAGCCCAATTTTGTAATATGTGAACCCCCCTGGAAATTTTTGGAAACTGAACCCTGACCCCCCCCCCCCCCCTCCCCCTTTGGCAAATACTGGCCACGGGCCTGTTTCTAATATGCTGTTACTGTTACTGCATATGGCGTATTGGAACAAATATATTATCTCAATTTGAGAGGCTGGTAAGATTTGTGAAATTTGAAATAAATCAGTCATTGGCTTTTCCACAATTCTGCCTTCTCTTTGTTACAATCACAAATGTTCATATTTTCTGCACTTTTGAAACACGATGTAGTCATTAAGTCATTGCAACATTGCAATATTTATTGTCACTATGTTTATTCCAACGTGCTTTTCTCACGCAGATCTGTATTTTTGACAGTTTGGACTCTTGGATCCTTCAAGCATATAATATGTCATATTAGACTATATATCATACGATGGTATGAAATAGTTTAGTAAATGATTACAAAGTTAATTTTAAATTCTGTTGAACATTTTCAGCGCATCCAAGTATTCACGTTTACCTTAAAATAATGATTGACCTAAATCGCCACATACGAAGATAAAGGAAATATGTGATATATCATACAAAAAATATAAAAATGAAAAAATATTGCAGATACTAGAACGAAATCACATACCAGTACGTGAAATAACTTGGTAACAAATGTTTTTCTCAAATAATTGATTATCTGCCTCTTGTCTTCGATCAATTAAATGCTTATAAAAAATTTAAATCTCACAAAACATATGGAACAAATTGTCAAATAGATGTTTTCAAAACACCTGAATTATTTATATTTAATGGCTGGGACATTGTCGACAATTTTGTTTGCATAACAACCAATTAGTTGTTGTCACTGGTTTCTATGTTGTACGTCAATAACATCAATAACTGTTGTCAAAAAATGCTATCTGGCAGCTCGTAGTATAGAAATTTTATTTTATTTTTTGGAACTGCTTTTGATAAAGCGGCACAATTTCAAATACAATGTATAAGGTGCTTTCGGACAATTCTACAAGTTGTATTTTGGTTGACAAATCCATTTATCTACACTTGATAAATGATTAAAATAGCAGCACTGTTTTGAGATCTATATAGATTTCTTTGATAAAGTCAAACATATTCATGTACAATATATCTCAGTTTGTATCACTCGGGTTATGACTAAGGACTGTACAGTGCAAACCTAAATTGGCAGATTATTATCATTAGAAGAAAAATCTCTCAAAATTGACTCAATTTAAATCTTAACCAATCAAGGGTTCACATATTGATTCTAAGTGTCCCTTTCTGAGGTAAATATTGGTGTACTAATATGCATCCTGAATGTCAATCCCCTCAGAATGGTTCATTTCATTGTTTGGTGAAGAGTGAAACATTTCGGATATAAGGGATATTAAGCTACAAGCTAGATAACTGAAGAATCATGGTCCTCAGGGCGGATCAGTTTTCCCCTTTCTAGTATTTACGTTTATTTTTGTCTCAATGGGTTTAAAGGTATGAGAGAAAAGGATGTAGTTAGGTCCGTGGAAAAAAACGATTGAAAGGGACAGTAATAAAATTTCACTTTTCGGGTACAAGTTCTCTTAAAAATGTAGCTCAACCTCCATACACTGCTGCTCACGAATCAAATTATTAGATCCATTTTGGGTGTGAACGACGAATACAGCACTTCTTTATGACATGTTGATATCTGGACTAAAAATCATCATCAGAATAGAAACAAAAGCTGGTTTAAATATTTATGAGCTCAATATAGAGTGCTAATTGAATGTATATAAACAGCTTCGCACTTGCTTGATATGTTAGAGTAAAGACAATAGAAACAAAGAAACAATTGCTCTTATAATTTATTCATTACAATCTAGTGGATGAAAATGATAACTAAAATGATTTCGATTTCACTCTTTTTGTCACACATCCAACTCCCGGCCCAAACATAATTCAGTACTGGTTACACCTGACTGGGATGACTATGAAACGCATCCATCGCGGTTTTATCAAAATCACAAAACGTATCATTCTATGACCAACTTTGACCTTATTAGGGGAGGCATCAAAAGATCAATGTCTGATAGAAAACTAAATAAATCTAGTTTGGGGGAGGGGGTCAAAGCTATTTCAGTTTGCTATCCGACAAGTTTCAACATTTAAATTTTTCGTTTTGAGGGGGAGGGGGGGGGTCCACCTCAAAACTAGATTTATTTAGTTTCCTATCAGACATTGAACTTTTGATGCCTCCCCTTAACTGCTTCATTACTTGTGATGACGCATTTGCTTTTCAATCATAAAAACCTTTGAAAGTAGTTGCATCTAACATTGCTTCGTTATGCTGATAATCACACAGTTTAGAATTTTGCGTTTTATGTTAGAATTCTTTTGGCATCTAATCACATCAGTTAAGTCTAGTTACCATAATTTCTCATCTTTCTTCTCTGCCTATTGAATATTTGTTTTTATATGATTATAAGATAAACATGTTACATAGCAGTGATAGACAGTCCAGGTGTATGGCTTATTATTTAACTGCAAAAGGAAACGAAGGAATATCGTTAAATATGATGGAACATTATTTCGATTTGCAAAATTAAAGATTTCATTTTATTGTACATTGAAATTGTTTAATTTTTCAAATTGTATCGAAATAAATACTAATATTAAAAAAGATGCAGCTAAAGCGTCTGTCAGTCCAATCATTTAATTCATTCGTATTATAAAAGTTGCTGTTTTGAGTCACTATATGGACAAAGCAAACAAATGGAAACAGAAGTTAATTTCATTCATTATTCATGTATCAAGTATCAAACTGGATCGAGTATAGGAATTTTTATGAATTACAAGAACTCACATCGGATTTAGATGGTTCGATTGAACAACAAGATACACTGTTGTTTTTCTTCTTGTATTGCGCATAACCATGCAATTAAGATTTTGAAAATGGCACTATAGATCTGATTATTTTCATAATTGTGTAAAATTTTGGCCGTAATTTAGATTTTGAAAAGCAATTATAATTTCAGAAAAAAACGAAAAAATGAAAATGTTCAGTGAAAAAATATATACATACGAATTTAGGAATTTGAATTGATTTTAAAGATTATTTTACCATTTATAAATGTTTTTATTAACGTACATCAAAATATATTGTCTTTGGTACAAAAGTAACATTTCGGATTACCTCAGAAATCGTTGCCAAACCGTCGGCTTAGTTGTATGCTCGTTACTTATACATGTACAATTTACTCGATTGTCAATGTTGCGTGTATATGTATCACGAATATCCAGTAAGTTGGACATGTTAAGAATTGTATGTGAAGTGGCTTAGATCACGTATTCAAAAGTGTAGTGAGACATAAAGGACGTGTCTTCGGGCAGGATATGATTAATGTATTAAAACGGAACCCATTCTTACAAAGATATATAAACTATATATTATTCTAATATTAAAGTCTCTTGAATATATAAAGAACATATAAATATAGTAAATCATAAATATGTCACATTCATTATCATTTTATATTAGTTTGAGTATTAGGCTAATTCCCATTTTCCTGATTACGCCCAAGCTAAGTTCAATACGTTTTATACTGTATATAAACAATAAATATAATCATATTTACAAACTCATAGAATAATTTATAGAATTCACAAAAAACAGATCTGATGGATCATCAAAATTTTTCAATGTCTACACAAAGTCATACTACCCCCAGTGGTACTCAAAAAGCAAGTTTGGGAAATAATTTAATATTTTGGGAAATCACTAACTACCAGATGCTCAATGCAAAATTAAATAGTAACACCATCCAATGATAATAAATACAATTGTATATAAATTATACATTATTTGATATAAAATAATACAAACAAGATGTGATTATTATTCATAATATGTACATTGTTGATGATACACATGCACTCAGTAGTCTACATAATATAACTAAATGAAAAAATATTTTCTTATCTACATGTATTTTGCAAGAATTGCTTCCTCATCAGATCAATGGTGCCTTTATTCCCGGGGAATGTATATTTATTGTATGATCAGTAAAATGAAGCCTTCTGATTGGTCAGTTCTTGTGCTGTACCAATCTGTATTGCTACTGAGATTGTCGCCGTTGATCATCTCCGTCGCAATACAGAAAATATTGGTACGGAGGGGACAATCTAAGTACTGTAGCAATACAGAGGATCACACGATAAAAACGTTAATTGAATGATTTGAAGTGCAATACAGGATATATTCTGTCTCGATATTCTGTATTGGCACTCGACTTCGTCTCGTTCCAATACGGAATTTCTCGAGCAGAATATATCCTGTATTGCACTTCAAATCATTCAATAACTTATAGTATTGAACAAAAACGCATCTGTTGATCAGCTTTCTTCTTGACAATATTATAAATTGAAAAAGTAATACACTTCTCTACTCACCGATACACAACAGCTAACTACTACATACTATTCTAGTAACAAATTACTATACAAAATCAATATATAAAATTAAATATATAAAACAATTTAGTAAATACTTTTGAATGTGTATGATGATTTATAAATCAAAAACGTTCATTTCTGGATTACACAATATGCGTTACGAAGTGCCGTATTCATTACATTGCAGATGCAGTGTAGATCAACACTGATAATTTTAAGTATTAATTATCAGTAAACATTTTAATCATATTTATGTTTTACATTTCCTAGATTGTGATGTATACACGCCGCATAACATTCGGGGCGTTCCTGCCTATGGTAGCACTAAACTAATTGTTTTAAAAGATTTAGAACGATGTCTATCCAGACAGTCCAACTTTCCCCTCCATCGCTTTGTCCAATAACAGGGCAGTTGAGATACCACCTAGTACGTCCAGTTGTGAGAGATTTAGACCAATCTCCTTGTTAATCCATTGCACCATTTCTACAGCCATGAGAGAGTCTATACCATAGTCTGTCATGGCCCTGTTAATGTCTATTTGCTCTGTAGGAGTACATAGTGTCTCGGCTAGTTTGGTGACCACCTTCTGTTGTAGTTCCTCCCTACTGCTCTCACACTTAACTGAAATCACATCACACGTAATTATTAAAGCTCCTGGTCATAAGTTCTTATTTTTTAATAATTGTTTTATTTTGTATAAAATAAAGGAGAGAACAATTTGTACAATGTACTTAGGAGTGAACAAAGCGATTTTGATAATTCATGGAGTTAAATCAACATATGTATGAAGTTCTTGTTTTTTAACATTTGAACCTGACTCACACATTAGAATTACAAGCGATCGTAAAAAATAATTATTTGCAATATAACTCATTACATTTAGCATATTACTAGTACAGTGAAACCTGTCTAAGTGGACACCTCTCGAGATATCGAACACCTGTCTCTACTAGACACCCTTCCCCCATACATACTCTACTGACTTCTGTATAGATTACCCTCTCTGTAATGAGCACCTAACAACATTGAAATTTTTTCTTGGCAAGAAGATGTTCATAGGTTTTACTGTATATCCCAAAACATAAATATGAGACGAATAGTTTTAATTGAACGACAATCCGCATACCTTTTCCAGAGAGAGACTGCGTAATAAGATGTCTGAATACCATGTGCTGCGAGTGACACACTCTAAGAGTGTCGTCCCACTTCTGAAATATCAAGGAAATACAATATAAAAAGTACTCATTAACAATGTAAAGTTAGTAATACTAACAACAGCCTTTGTACTTTACTCACCCTGTCATATATTTCTGTCACGAATGCTACCCTTGAAGATTCAAGATATCAAAATACAGAATACAAAGAAATAAAACTTACATGACTTATGTCTGAATATTCGTGATAATTTTGTGCCGTTGGATAATATATGCTACATAATATAATTACGATGCTTTAGATTTTGAAATATGTATGTATTTTTCAATTCTGCCCATTATGCCTCTGATCTTTAAAATGATATATTAATGGCTCACCATGTTTGCAAAGGCAACCACTGGGTTAACTGGTGGCGTCTGTAATGCTTTGCCAAGAAACTCTAGACACTCATTAATGTGGAGTGTTTTCAAGCCTTTGGAGTCTGTGATCTGGAGCGCCGTCCGATTTCTCTCTAGAAAGCCTGCACCGCGAATGGCTCCAAATTGTATCGACAATGCTGGTAGGCCTTGCTCGTGCCTTGTTGTAGCTAGGGCGTCGAGGAAGGCGTTCGCCGCACAGTATGCACTCTGTTCCAGATTACCATACATGGTGGTAATAGAGGAAAACATGACGAAGTAGTCCAGGTTCTTGTCGATTGTAATCTTGTGGAGATTATCAGCTCCTTTTGCTTTGGCGTTGAGAGTTCTTGTAAGTTGTTCCTCTGTAAGTTTGTTGATGCTAGCGTCATCGATAACAGCTGCTAGATGAAATACACCCTTTAACGGTCTTCCTGATTTTTGGCAGAGACTGGTTGTTGCATTTGAGATCTTTTCTAAATCACTGGCATCTGCTTGGAGTTGATAAACAATACAACCACTTCTTTGAATGCTTTGTATCGCACATTTTTGTCTGAATGTTTTGCATCCACTTCTAGACACAAGTCCAATGTGCTTTGCCCCCCTTTCTGACATCCAACGGGCGAGTGCCAACCCTGCGCCTCCCATTCCCCCAGTGATGAGAAAACACCCGTCATCAGAAAATATCTGCTTTGATGGCATAATGACATTAGGCACGAAATCATCCCCAATAGTAAATACCACTTTGCCAACATGTTGTCCCGTCATCATCCATCGTAGGGTTTCTTTGTAAAGTGAAATGTCACGTCTTGTTATCGTTATTGGTTTAAGCGTCCCATCACCAAGAAGACACATGACCTTAGATAGTAACTGGTTAATCCTATCTGGTCTTTTCTTCATTAAGACATCGATCTGAACGGAAAGCAGCGAAACATTATCCAAAAATGGCTGCATATCAAGAGCTGAATTATCAAGTATGTCTCGTTTCCCAATTTCACAGAATCGCCCACCATGAGAAAGTACCTCCATTCCACGTGTTATGAAATCACCACTTAGTGAGTTAAGTATAACATCTACACCCATCCCGGACGTCCACTTCATGACATCATCGCCAAATCCTAGCGATCGGGAGTCAGTTACATACTGGATACCATGGTGTTCTTTGAGGAAGGTTCTTTTTTCCTCTGTGCCTGCCGAGCAAATTATGTTTGCACCAATCATTTTAGCAATCTGTATGGCAGCTTGGCCAACTCCACCGCACGCTGAATGAATAAGGACTGTTTCATTTGGTTGGAGATTTGCCCTCTCGATAAGAGCATGATACACTGTCATAAATATGATTCCCATACCAGATGCTTCTTCTAGAGATACATTATCAGGTACCCTTGTTGTGAGAAGGCTGTTGCAGATCACTTCCGATGCGAAACATTGATCAGCAAATGCGATTACTCTATCACCGACTCTAAATCCAGCTACGTCATTGAATACCTCCGTCACGATTCCAGCGCATTCCAGACCAAACTGTGTTGCTATGTTAAGATCTTTCAGATTACCTGTAGCCATCATCACATCTTTGAAGTTGACGCCAGACGCGACTACCTTTACTCGTATTTGACCATGTTCCAGATTATGTGAAATCATCTCTCTAAAGGTTATGTTATCAATGGAGTGACTTCCTTCAAAATCTAGACACCAGTTAGGATTTTCTTTTGTAGAGGTTCCACTGGGCAAGTGAGTTCTAACCATCCTGGGAACCATAAGACTATCTTCGTTAAGTACAGCCTCTCTTGGTAGAATATTTCCTGCTTCTATCTGTTGGATAACATGGTCCATACTTGTTCTGGTAATATCAGTCTTAAATGAATAAATAGGGAATTCTGATATTTCATTTGTTGCCACTCTGTTAAAACCAGTCGCTAGGTCATTGTATGGTTTGTTAACATCATCTTGAATGACTACACATAGGCTGTTTATTCTCGCAGCTTCTCTGATGTTGTTGACAAAACGTAGATAATCAGATAAGCACTCAGTAGAAGACCAGGTGAATATGACATTGACTGGAATCTTTGAGTCTTGGATAACCTCTTCTAGCTGAGCATATTCTGTGATCGTTCGACGGAGAGAAGTTACTGGCTTGGATCGGAGATTCGGGTCGTATATGACAGTCGTGGTTTCATTTTTATGATCAACATTGCTCGATTTATTTCCGACAATGATGGAGTGAAAGAACTCTGATGGAGTTGAGAATCCTGTAACATTGTCAAATCCCCCCGTAGACATCAGATTCACCCACCCTTTTTGGTCGAGCCAACAGCGTCCTTGTCTGAAATCGTCAAATACCCAGCACAGCTCAAGAGAACCAAATATGATTTCAGCGATGTTTTCAATGTTGCTACCTTCATAAAGTAGCAGCCATCCTTCTGGGGCCAACAAGTCACGCATGTTTTTCAGACCATTGTTCAGATCTACTGCAGAATGGAGTGTATCCATAGAAACAATGATGTCAAAGGTGCTAGGTACAAATCCTTGACTTGCAACATTTTTCTCTATATCCAGTTCACGATACTTGATGTTGTCATACCCTTCTAGTGTCTGTTGGGCATGTGGGAAGAACGTTGAGTAAAGATCTGTGAATACGTATTCAACCTTTCCTTGTTCTACCAATTCTTTCAAGGGCTTCAGCATGTATTGCGCCATACCACCCATCCGCCCGCCTACTTCAAGGACTCTAACAACTTGTTTTGATTTCAGACTGCTTAAGACCCCACGATGAAGGATCTCCGCTCCAGCCTTGTAGTAAATTCGGGTTGATAGGGAATCAATAAAGTAGAGGGGCAGACAATCTTTTCCAAAGAGGATTTGGACACATTTACTTGGTTCCACCAAAGCTTCAGGAAGAGCTTCGCCCATTTTTCTAATCATGTTTATCTCCGTATTGAATTGGGGAACTTTATTTTCAACATCTAGCAAGAGCGTTTTTATTTCTTCCTCTGGTAGCTTTACAGTGTCACGTGCGACAATGTGCTTTAACCTCTCTACGAATCTGCCATTTCTGCTGTGGTATTTGGACTCGGGTACTTTCTCAAGGGCGACCCTGGCGTATGCTGCACAAGCAGCTTGAAGTTTCGGAACAAAGGGGGAAACTGCTTCAATTTCAGACATCTCATCTGGGTACATGGTCTTTAATGTGTGTTCTTCAAATATCTCTGCACACGATGAGACCGGTGGGAGACATGCCTCGGATGGTTGCCACTTAGTTTCATACATACATGAATCTACATCAACATTCTGCGTATTTGTGTCCATATTTTGAGCGACGAAGCCTTTAATATCAACCAGAAGTTCATCGTCGTCTGAAAACAACTGTATGTCTGCTTTTATTACGCTTGGGTTCACGTCAGTTATTTTCACAACTGCAGACAATGGCTCCTCAGTCGGAATATGATCAACTGCCATTGTGAGCCACTCGATCTCAACTGGAATGTATGCTGATGTACTCTGGCATGTCAGAATTGCAAGCTGGAAGCAACTGTCCAGAATGTTACAACATATTCTTTCTTTCTGATTTCGTTTTCCTACCAATCGTCCCTTTGATGTACCATCATTTATCGATACTTCTTGCAGAACTTGAAACTCGTGACCGTAATCGAGTCCAATACCTTCGAAATACTTGTAGATTTTCTCTTTGGTGAGACAAAGACTGGTAGAAGCAGGGTTGAGATCTTCCACAAAAGAAATCTCTTGTATCGGCTTTTTTGTAGTATCTAACAGTGCCTCCATGTGTGTTGTAGATCCGGTAATAAGGCTAACCTTTTTCCCTTTTTTAACCAATTCTAGATGAACAGATTTCTCCTTTTCCTCCTCACTGAGAAGTAGGACATTCTTAAACCTAATGTCCTTCATTGTAGGTGGAGGTTGAGTCTCTTCTGTGCAACGTTGGATGATACTCTCAATGTAGCCTGCTCCCGGGAATGTCACCTTACCAAGAACTTTATGGTCCTCTAGAAACGGAAAATCTTTAATCGATATCTTTCCATCTGTAGACTTGAACGTTGTTTCGACTAAACCTAAACGTCTTTGACGAACAAATTCTGCTTCAGACCAATGGCTCTGATGTTGCCAAGGATACCTGGGTAAGGGTGCCCAGACAGGGCAATTCTCCGAGATATTCGACCAATCTACAGACACCCCAGCTATGTAGAGTTGTGCGGCTGCAGATAAGAGTGTTGTGCTGTCATCTTTCTCCCTCTGACCTGATGTGAAGCCTAAGGGGGAAGGAAGCGAAAGATCTTTTGCAGTGTGGTTGACAGATCGTAGAAGGGTTGCAGATGCTCCACATTCTATGAATAAATCAGCTCCTGTCTCAAGAATCTTTCGAACCGCTGGTTCAAATAAGACTGGTTTTCTGATTGTTTCCCACCAGTACTGTGTATCAAAGTGACCTGTTTTGATATCCCCAGTCACAGTTGAATACATCGGAATTCTTGGTCTCACCTTATTCTTGATACATTTTGAGAGCTTTTTCATGAAACCTTCCTGGATGGGATCCATGTATGCAGTGTGGTAAGCAGAATTAACTCTCAGTTGTTTTACATTTGAAGGGTTGGCCTTTGCCAGCGCTTCAACTGTCTCTAGTTTCCCAGCAACAGTAACAGATACAGGTGAGTTGACACAGGCCAAATGTAAATCATCATAATTTTTACATAGTTCCAATGCTTCGTCAGCAGACATCCTTATGGCTGCCATTCCTCCGTTTCCAAACATCTTTGCTTGTTCCTGACTTCTGTACAGAGCAACTGCGATTGCCTCGTCCCACGTTATACCTCCGCAGGCAAATGCAGCGGCGACTTCTCCCAAGCTGTGACCGACAACAGCAGCAGGGGTGATACCCCATGATGCCCATAACTTTGTCAGTGCTATTTGGTGGAACACGATAGCGGGAGGTGAAACTTCAGTTTCGTTGATAATATCATGAAGATGTCTTCCCTGTTTTGGTTGATCAGCAAAAACACCATATCTCTCTAACAACGACCACCCACTGAGCTTCTTGAAGATGGTGTCGGACCTGTTGATAGCATCGTGGTATACTTTATAAGACCTATACAGCGATGAGCCCATTTTGCCCCACTGTTGGCCCTGACCTGGATAAACGAAACATATTTTCCTCTGTTCTTCTGATTGTGTTGAAAGCGACCCTGCGTATGTTTGTATCGGTCTGTCATCTATAAATCTTTGAAGTTTCTCCCTGAAGTCTACCCCTGAGTTAGCAATAACTACCAATCGTGACTCGTAGTGTTTGCGTTTAATTGCAAGCCATGACACGATACCCTGTGCGTCTACATCAGACGTGAAATTCATCCAGGCTTTTGCAGCATCCTTTAAAGCTGGTTCACTTTTAGCGGTTATAGGGATCATCAGTTGTTTGCCCTCTTTGTCTGAATCACCAAAAGTCCACCCGGCAGAACCTTTGAAACGAGGAATATCTTCTGGAATGTATTCTTCTATAATAGCATGAGCAAGAGCTCCTCCGAATCCAAAACTATTAACACCAAAAATGTGTTTCTTGTTACTCGGCAACTCTTTAACAGTCTGTTGAATCTCGATTCCTAAGTTCTCCAAATCTATGGCTGGATTTGGTTTAGTGTAGTTGATGGATGGGCATAATTTCCTTTCGTGAGCCATGAGTGCAACCTTGATTGTGCTAACCGCCCCTGATGAACATTCCATATGCCCAAAGTTGCTTTTAGATGAGCCAATAGGGAGTGCTTCTGTTGTATGGTTCCTATGGGGTTTGAAGGCTTCACCAATCGCTTCCGCCTCAATGGGGTCCCCGACGGGTGTTCCTGTCCCATGGGCCTCTACATAGGACACATCTCCCATTGGAACACCGAATCGTTCGTATGTTGTTTTTATGACTTTTTGTTGACCCTTGGTTGATGGCATTGTGATACTCTGGTTATGACCATTATCAGCGATGGCAGTTCCCAATATGGTACAATAGATATGGTCACCATCTGCAATTGCTGTCTCGAGAGGTTTAAGAATCATCGCACCAAAGCCCTCGCTCCTAACATAACCCTTGGCGTTGGCGTCAAATGGGCAGCTCTTTCCCTCTGGTGAAAGAACTCCAAGAGCACTGAAGCCAACAGTTATCTCGGGAAGTAAAAGAACGTTACTTCCAGCAACCACAGCAGTCTCACATTCATTGTTCCATAGAGATGTACAAGCGAGGTGAAGAGCGGTCATTGATGCTGCACAAGCAGTGTCCACTGCAAAGCTCGGTCCTTTGAGATCAAAAGCATATGAAAGACGATTAGCAGCCACGCTATGTGCCACTCCTGTATGTGTGTAGGAATTCATTAGCGTCTTGTCAAACACGACCCCCATTGGGTAGTCCATCATACCTATACCAACAAATACGCCACATGTTTCACCGACATCTTCTGGTTTAATTCCCGCATCATCAAACGCTTCCTGTGTGACCTCGAGGCTATGTCTCTGTTGGGGATCCATCATGGCTGCTTCACGAGGGGAAATCTTGAAAAATGTGTGGTCAAACTTATCAATGTCTTTTATGAAACCACATCGTTTTGTCACGTGTGTTCCTGGTTTGGATTGATCTGCGTTATAATAGGCTTCTGTGGACCAACGGTCTGCTGGGATATCTGTTATCGTGTCTTTACCATTTGAAATGACATCCCAGAAGTCAGAAGTACTGTTTACATCACCAGGCATTCGACAACCTATCAAAGAATCATGTTAATACATAGGCAAGGGAATGAATGTGCATTGTTCATTGAAATGATTATTTTGATACGTCAAATTAAAATGTTTCCAGTAATTTTTCGGGTATTACGAGTAGTAACAGGCAAGGCTACAACAACTGCATGAAAATTTACATTGAGCATGTCACATTGTTCTCAAAGTCGTAGTAGTTGCTTTGACGTAACGTCAAAATAATAAAATTGAGGAATTGCCTGTGTTCGAGTTTGGTGAGCTTTTACGTTTTCTCAATTTAAACCAACTTAAAAGTCAAGTTTCATATTATAATTTGACTGAAAGGACCAGGTATAGTTTGGCAAATGATTTTAGACACTCGTATATTTTACCTTTGAGTACTTTCCCAATTCAAATATGACATTTCTTATTAACACAATATGTTATCTTTCATGTAAATTCTCAAGGATGATAAAAATATCAATCGAACACGAAAAATTATGAATAGGGAACCCATGTCAACATTTTTTTCAAAATGTTGAACCTATTTACTTCAAAAGTCGTTTTTCTGATTTTTATTGCATGAAAAGATTATTCAACAAGGGATCTAAACTTCTTCAAAAGTGAAATGGTATTGAAAGTCTTTCCATGGCGAAAATTATGCTGAAAACAATTGATAACATGAATTTACCCTATGGGAAAATAACATCTGATATGTGGGTTTTAACTTTATTGCATTTCAATACACTTCACCTGAAAGAAATCATATTGTTTTAATAAAAAACACGGTATTTATGGCCAGAAAGTACTCATGGAGAAATGATTGCCCAAAATCATTTACTGTACCATACTATACCTGGTCCTTCAGAGAAAATACTCTGGTTTCAGAATAATTATATGTATTTGGTTTCCAAATGAGGCCGCCGCAATTCATACATTTAGTGCCTCCTTTTAGTTACATAGACGGAAATCCTCGTCAAAGTAACATGGGTAATATTCTTCAATATAACAAAAGCGGGGGACTAAAAATATAAATTGCGATTTCTTTTAAAACCAAACTCAAACTGATGCAGTTCCTCTATAGTGTTACTTTGACGTTGGAGAATAGAAATGTCAGATAAATTCAAAAAAATCACTACGAAGAAAGCGAAATGCCATTATTTATTAAGAATTCCCATTTATGGAAAGTAAGGCATGTTTACTTACCTATGCCGACAATAGCAATTTTCTTATAACCCATTGGTAACCTCGATTTGGTTTGTGTTGGCGTAAATGGTTGTGAATTGGTTGGGATATCATCTACGTCAGATGTCTGTAAACATGAATAATAATTACGTCAAAATGTTTGGATTAAAAAACATTGTAAGCATTTCTTCAATCATCATCAATCAATCATCAATCAACTTTGCGGACTAATAAACATGCATAATGTAAAGACAAGTATAAGATAACGTATACCGGTATACGAGACTCCCTCAAAATTATTATAGATTTATGGATTTCCCACCCAAAAGTTGATTGTTCCCGAGGCCTGCAGGAATATGTAGTCAGGAAATCATGTACACTCCCCTCCACAAGTTTGGCAACCCTTACTCCCTCATTGGACCACGTGTTAAATCCTCTTCATGTTAGAATTTTTATTTACATAACCCCAGTTCCAATAGGTTTAACCTGGGATTGTCGATTTTCAAAACTTCATCAGATTTGTCATCAATATCCGACCTATTCTTATTGTTTAATAAAGGTATTCGAAATGATGTCAATTTATATTTCAAGTCCTTAAAGGTAGTCTTTTCTTTACAGACTATGCAAATAAATATTTAAACATAAATATCCCGTTATCCAATGAACGAGTCAGAGTTGCCAAACTCACGAAGGGGAGTGTATCATGGCAATGGTGATGAACTGATTTTGCTTTCAAACTACGCCCCTTTCTCTCTTCCATCATCATCCTATCATCAGCTCTTTGTCTAGGTTTCAGAGAATTCCTTTCATTAGAACAAGGATGTCTCGTTGTCTATACAACTAGTTGTTTTGTATTATTTTACTTCCTCATTCCTTATGCTCGATCCCATTGATTGATTACAATCTGGATTTAGTTTAAAGAAGTTGGAAATAGATTTGGTTCTTTTAAATGTGATTCGAGTGATATCAGGCATGAAAAATAAAATAATTGAATCAGAATAAAATGCCCTATCAAAAGTCCTTTTATTATTCAAATGAAGAATCGACATTGTTTACCGAGTTACACGTATCTAATTTTTACAACAACTCTAGTTCATTTACTTAAGAGAATAATGATTTATTTCCGACGTTTCGCGAGTTATCCTATCAGCTTTTTAAAGTAATCTTAAAAAAGCTGGTAGGATAATTGGCGAAATGTCGAAAATAAATCAATATTCTCTGAGTTATTGTTTACATTGTTACATGAATGTTTGCTTGTACAGCCATTCACTAAATCATTATTAAAGTGTTTGTGTTCGTATGATCTATGTCATTTTGAAAACAAGATAAACAGGTCATTTACATGACAAATGTCACCACCTTGTAAGTTATTGCAAATTGCTACACATGCCGAACTCCGGATGCCGAACACCGTCCACAAAAAGTTGGAAACTATAATTAACAGTATGTCACGAATTTTGATGAAAAATAGATGGCGGTGTGTTTTCGACAGCATGGAGAGGATAAGAATACGTCAGAGAATCCATAAATTCACCACACGCTGCAAATCAGGTTGATAAAATCAAATCTTGTATTCTTTAGCCTTTTCAAAAACGTGCATGGTAGTATCAGATTATTTTATTGAACACATAGAGTGCCAAAGACGCTGGGTTTAAAATTCCATTTTTTATTTTCTATTTGATTTTCAAATCAGATGTCATATCTTTCCTCAACTCGTGGTAATGAATATCAATACTCGTTCACTACAACAACTAGTGCAAATGATATACCCCCCCCCCCATTGAACTACGTGTTTATGTTTGATTTTTTTCACTTACATAGCCTATAAAGAAAAATCTACTTTTAGGGCTGGAAATATGAATTGACATTATTTCAAATACCTCCAATTTTTCTAAAAAAAATCAACGATTACAATAGATCGGAGATTGATGACAAATCTGATGAATTCTTGAAAATCTACATTTCCATGTAAACCAACGGGAAATGGTAGGTTTGCCGCAAGTCATATGACAGAATATCCGTCTATCTGTGAGTTCTCGCAAAAATACAAATTAGGTAGTTAATTTAATTTGCTATCTTTATTTAACAAAAAATGATACGTTTCTTCGGGCTCAACAAAGTTACAGGTCTTCAAAGTCAAAATTATTTTTCAAAAACCTCTCCCATTGAAATAACACAGGAGGTGAAAAATGATTTTCAAAAATGACTTTGAAGCTCTGTAATATTCATACAGTAAGCTAAACACTTAGCATACAAAGATTTTTAATTCTCTATATCAAAATATTTTTTGGTGAATCTTTTACTGAATAGATATCCTGAAATCAGATTTGCCCCGAACCCATCATTTCCCATTGGTTTACATGGGAATGACGTTTTTCTAAAATTCATCAAAGGACGATTCTCGGTTTGGAGAACAGCCTCCTGGGCTAAAAAAAATTTCATGAAAAATATAGAAATATTACCCAAATTAAACTATGAATATTCAAAAGAGGACAATTAAATCTACAAGATGTAAAAATAACAAATTGGTCTGAAGCAGGGATAATGCTCAAATAGACCGATTCAATAAAATACAAGTCTCGATTTGGGGAAAGAAGTTCATCAGTGTACTGCGCTGATATTTTTTTGCGAAAAATCTAGAAATATTACCCAAATTAAATTATGACTATGCAAAAGAAGACATTCAAATCTATATTATGTAAAAAAATCAAATTTGTCCGAAGCAGGGATAATGCTCATTTAGATTGATGAACTTCGTTCTCCAAACCGAGAATCGTCCTTTATCATCCATTTTCGACCTATTGCTATTGAGGAAAAATTGGGAAAATTTGGAGGTATTGGAAATAAAGTCAAGTTACATTTCCATCAATTTCATAAGTACTTTCTCCGCAGGTTATGTAAATAAAAATTCAGATATGAATTTAAGTATTGCAATGGGCTACCTACCTCGCTCATACTGCTCAAAGGTCCTGTAAAGCCAGCTTCAGAGGGATCGGAATTGATGTCATGTGCGATGTCTGAGACAGCGTTGTCGGTTGGATCGTTCCCTCTCTGGTCACCATCACGAGGTGCCATAATTATAGACCTTCACTGTCTTTATATCTTTTTCTGGAATGCATTTGTATGATTATTGATCATTATCCGATTATCCTTGATTATTGGGCTTTTTTAATCAGATGACATCTTCGATCACTCGTTCCCTCTCTGAAAGAATGCAATGAAGACCGAGCAATGCGAAGATGTACGAAGGTATGGTTATAGTAACTAAGTTGTTATATTTTATAGGCATGAGCAGAAACAACGGAGTTGTATATACATCATTTTAGTGAAAACTCAATTGTCAATGATTTGACATATTATTCATTAAAAATGTATCAGTAAAACTAAAAATACGATCAAGTTTTGTGACATGAAAGACATTTCTTCAGAACTAAATTCTATTCTGACCTATAATTGCTTAGATTGCTTTATTGCATCACCCTTCATATAAGTACAAGTTGCTTTTGGGGTAAGGCCAAATCAAAGCACAATCGACTCTAAAAATGTATGTAAAATGTTTTAAAGAAATCTTAATTGACTTTTTGTTAATCAAATCAGAATCGACTCTAAAAATGTATGTAAAATGTTTTAAAGAAATCTTAATTTACTTTTTTGTTAATAAAATCACAATCGACTCTAAAAATGTATGTAAAATGTTTCAAAGAAATCTTAATTGACTTTTTTGTTAATCAAATCAATCAACTCTAAAAATGTATGTAAAATGTTTTAAAGAAATTTTCATTGACTTTTTTAATTAAGTAGATGTCATTTTAATTAAGCATTTTTTCGATTTGCCTGAAAAAGAAACTTGAGTTAAAATATTGAAAAATCAGATTAAGCTGTTATAAAATCACTTGATCGAGTTATTTTATAATATTGTCCATTTAAATTCAAGAAGTAAACGATAAACAATGGTTTTGCAAGTTGAATCAACAATTTAGCAGACAAAAAAATTAGTTTTCCAAACTTACAATGTATTTGCAAACGTTGGATCCCTTTGCTTCAATTCTTCCGTAAGATGTTTTTATATCTGTTGTAAAATAAAATTGTTTCTTGTCGGCAGTGTTTTGGTTGTAATTAAAATCAAGCTGGATTCAGCATCTCTATTTATAGTGACAGCCAAAGCGAATCAGGAAGTTATTTTAACCTTTTGAGTAACCAACAACAGGATGTCTTGACCAATCATCGTTAGATTTTATTGTCGGAATTTTTGGAACCAGAATGTTTACGAGTGAAAATGCTTTTGTAAAGAACAGTATTATAAATAAGGTGATTAATTGCTTGTCAAGAACTCTTGACCAACTTTATATGGTTATCAGTCTGCAAATACAGGTGATACGTCTTCCTCGAAAACACTTATGACGTCCCTTTTCCAGTTTTTCAGATTTTGAGTTGTTGTGAAAACTGTTTTGAAATATTGGCTAAAACACTTTAACTACATTGTTTTGCAAAATCAATAATTTGTTAAATAGTAAAGGTTTACTATTTCACTGGCGGATCCAGAAGTGTACAAGGTGGGTACATTTCAAGTCAGAAAGTAACATTTCCGTGCAAGGATCCACCGGCCATGCAGTGATTACTCATACTGGTTAGGCCGAATAAATACAATACAGGATTCTAGAAAATGGTTTTGAAATATTTCTAAGATTTGAATCGATATCAAGGGTAATGACACTATTGCTATCTGTTATACCTTAACCCCAAGAAGGAAGGTCGTGAGCATTGATTAAAAGTTCTTGGAAGGCGACACCATCCCATTCCGATTTATCAGAGTCTTTATTTATCTAAAGCTAGTGAGCGTCTATTCCCAGGGATGGTACTGGCTGTGGATCCAATAATGACATCATCAGGGTACTGACTGATTGGAATATGAACCACTAAACCTAGACTGCATTTTTTTCTTTTTTATACCTCTTAATTAAAATGAGCTGCACTACTTCGAATGCATGCTGCTAGGAGTTGATTCAATTTAACTAGATCATTGATAAAATGATCATTATTCGAGCAAGTATTTTAATTTGCCTCGGATCCCTTGATATTTGGTTCATTTTCTATTAATATTTCTGTTATACTAAATAATATTGCTTGGTTAATAAGACATTCTATGCTGCACATTCTGTGAAAACAAAATATATGTTGAAAAATAAAGAAATAAGAGAGATATTATGAGAACTAATATGTAAATATGTTATTTAAAACATTTTTAAACAGATGTTTACAAGAGTAGGTTGAAGTGAAGGGGTATAGTTAATGATAATATTCAGAAAACATTACAATAAAACTAAATTGAATAACTTTATACTGTCATTTGTACTTTCAATTTTTATGACTGTTTATAAAGTCATAGTAACAGTCACATTTCGAAAGATCTCCCTGTAATTTTTATTATCAAACTTATATAATGACACTATTCGTGGCAAAGGTTCGATATTACTTTCCATCAAACTGCCGGACTTAAAGAGGGGGTGAATATCTGTTTTAATGAATTTTATATCAAATAAATCTAATATCAAAATACAATGGCACATTATTAGAAATATTTTTTATTTTCTTTACCTAGGTAATCTAGGTAACTTGTTTACTTGCCATGTTTATGAGGGTTCTGCTTAAAATGCTCTAGAGAGTTCATTGACTTCCTGGTCGCTGTAAGTAGTGCATATTAAGAGTATTGTTTACATTCTGTGTACTTTTAAGTCAGTTTAACGTGATTGATATCCCAAGGGACATGTGCCTCACGTTTCGCCGATTAAAAATATTGACAAAGACATCCGAATTCAATTGAATACATCCAAAAAATAGTATGGATCTCTGCTAACTTCTGGTGTTTATTCACAACGGTGATCGATTTACAACATACGAGGGTATATCATAAAGTTCTCATAATATCTCTCTAATTTTTTTTATTTTTCAATATATTCTGATGAATTTTTCACAGAATGTGTAGTATACAATGCTGCAGTAATCTATCAAAACATATTTGGTATAACAGAAATATTATTTAAGAAATGGTTGCCATAGTAACCGGAAATCAAGGCACCCGGGGCAAATAGAAAATCGTGCAAGAATAGCCCCAACTAACCATGTTAAAATGCATAATAAGTTATCAAATAAGCTATGAAACACATCAAATTGTTAAACACCATGCATTCTTGACTGTTTTGAACTATTATAATGGTCATATGAATTTCGTGATCTCATAATGGATGATTGTAATGCTTCATTAGAAGTGATGTTGGACACTACAACTGTTTTGTCAAATATTCCAAGGAAAGTCGATTTTCCACTTTAGTTCATCTTAAATAAATAATAGACCACACATAGGGTGTAATTTTGTTGATATCTTTGCAACATATTTGTTTTAGATCATCTTTAGTATGAGCAAAGATTTTTCGAACTAAACTAAACTTTTTATCAGTATGAATATTATTTTTCTGATGATCCCTGCATCTATGCATTATCTAACTCAGTCATTTCTGATAATTAAGCTTTGATTCTCAGAGTCTGGTATCACATCTAATGAAGCATGTAAGCATCCTCTATGACATCACACAATTCACATGGTCAATTTATTTTATAGTAAAAGCATTAAACAACATATTCAAGATAACATTTTAATGTGTTTGATAATTTATGAGAGTTTATTATGTATGTATACAAGGTTAACAAAGGTCATTATATCTCAATTTTTTTTTGCCCCGGGTGCCTTGATTTCCTGTTACTATGGCAACCCTTACTTATCTAATATTTCTGTTATACCAAATATTTCTTGATAGATTAATACAGTATTCTATACTGCAGATTCTATGAAAATTTCATGAGAATATGTTGAAAAATAAAAAAATTAGAGAGATATTATGAGAACTTTATGATATACCCTCGTATATACATGTAAAGAATAAAATTGTCACCCCATTTACTTGAAAACAAAGCCGGGTGATATTGTGAAACTCTTGAATTCATTAGATATCATGAGAACATTGAAAATAATCAGATGTATTGAATTATCAATAGGATAGTAAAACCATGTGTTATTTTTAAGTTTTCGAAACTTCAATTATCGTATATATGGCCCAGTAAATGTGCGTCTGGTAAGGGACTCAAGATTATTGTATTCTACTGACCAATTTGATATTAAAGTGACATCAGTAATAGTCAAAGAGATTCCATGTTTTGATAGGTAAACTTTTTTCGTAGATAGAATTATGTCATACCGACAGTTTACCATATTTTTAGTCGTTTAAGCTTATTGTTAAGTTCAAGGTGGAATCAGATCTAGCAAAAAGAAACAGTAGTTTTTAGTGACAATGATTGTCTCAATTCTAATATATTGGGCTCCGATATCATTGTTATGTCTATTTTCTAAAAATAACCATTGTATGTATTTGAGGAAAACTAAAGATTTTTACAATATTGCATTCACTTAATTCTATTTCATGATTACCAGTTGAACAACTTTTGAACACCTGAATGAAAAAATGATTAGCTTACACCTATCTAGGACACTTCCTAATTAATGATCTCAACCTCTCTATACTCACAAAATGCAGCTTAAAAGATCGTGGTGGGTTTTAACAAACAATATGTAACCTTTTGTCGAAAATCTTTCTTTTAAAAGTGGGCACATTTTTTTTAATTGACCATAACAAGAAGAATTTTGAAAGTTAAGTAACAAAAGACCACGTGCAGTATGACAAGTGATTTTAGACGGTCATATCTTTCACCAATCACCATGAGTTCCATCTGGGCATAAATACAGTGGTTTTTATTAAAACAATATGTTTTCTTGCAAGTGAAGTACCCATGATGATAAAAATATTAACCGAACAATTTAAAAATTATGAATAGGGAGCCCATGTCAACATTTTTTTCAAAATATTGAACCTATTTACTCAAAAGATGATCTCCCTTTTCTGATTTTATTGCATGAAAAGATTATTAAAACAACTTCAAAAATATAATTGTATTGAAAGTCTAGTTTTGAAGATATCAATTTTCGATGACCAAAATGATGCTGAAAACAATGGATAGCACGAGTATTCCCTATGGGAAAATAGCATGGGATATGTGTTTTTTAACTTTAACGCATTTCAATACGCATCACCTTTTCAGAAATTGTTCATATAGTGTAGAAGAAACTTTTGATATGTATAAATTGAGAAAAGCAAGATCCTCTTTTTAGAAAATAATTTAAAAAGTGCCAGGGTGGGGCCCTAATCCATACGTTTTTAGAGAGTTGGATTGATATTTTACTATCATGGGGACTTCACTTGAAAGAAAACATATTGTTTTAATAAAAACCATTGTTTTTATGGCCAGAAAGTACTCATGGTGAAAGATATGACCGTCTAAAATCACTTGCAATACTGCACATGGGCCTTTGGTCCCACATTGGCATCCATAAATTGCAGTTTCTGCACAAAAAGAAATTATTTCTGTTTTTTGGGTCACCGTGAACCTCCGGCTTCTGAAGTGATCCATTCTTTCAGTCGTCCTGAGAAGTTTAAAGTGACCCTGAAGTACACAGCAGAGGTCAAATTCATACACGCGGGTAGATTGAAAACACGTAAACATTTTGGGCAATTCACCATAGTTATTGCAATCAGTGACATTTCGATGGAACCGCACCAGCGACTAACCAGCACAAGTACATTTGAATAGGTTGACACCGTTGTAAAAACGCAATATCAGCACAGATGGGTTTTTGGACATGACTTGTATAACGGTAGGGTTTATCGTGGTAACCTCCTATCACACCAAACTAGTTCTTACCCGTACTTGCCAGTTCTACGAAAACGTCGTAAAACGGGCTCAATCTGGCCGTGGTCGGGAAATATGTCTAAAATGATTATGGCTACTTCTTTCATAAACAGTCTTCAATACGTCCATCTCATTTGCAGTTCGTTCAGGTCGCACCACGTCGGTGTGCAACGTCGTATAACGAGTCCCTTAGTCTAGAAGGTCATCATGACCTGATTACAAAACGGTAAGGTCGCCATCGAATTTTGAATCGATTCAAAATTCTAAATCACATTCCCCAGTGGCGGATCCAGGAACCAACAAGGGCGGGGGGGCCAAATTTCCAGTCAGAGAAAAAAACTTCCAAAAAACTTCTTACCCCCCTATCACACCAAACTCGTTCTTACCCGTTCTTGCCAGTCCTACGAAAACGTCGTAAAACGGGCTCAAACTGGCTGTGGTCGGGAAATATGTCTGAAATAATTAGCTTCTTCGTTCTTTAACAGTCTCCAATACGTCCATCTCGTTCGCAGTTCGTTCAGGTCGCACCACGTCGGTGTACAACGCCGTAGAGCGCGTCCCTTAGTCTAGAAGGTCATCATGACCTGATAACAGAACGGTATGGTCGCAATCGAATTTTGAATCGATTCAAAATTCTAAAATCACATTCCCGTCTGAGAACGTTCATAAAGTTCAAAAATAGACCTTAGAAAGTTGCAGCTACGTTCATTCCGTTCGCACACAGTTTAGAACCAGTTTTGAAGAACGCAGTGGCAACTTGTTTGGTGTGATAGCTATATTTTTGCTAACTCGTTCATAAGCAGTGTTAAATACGTTCTTAATCAGTTTAAACCCGTTTGCAATGAGTTCTACCTCGTTCTCAACACGTCCTCAGACAGTTCCACTCGTTGTTAAAACGTCCCTAGTAGGATTGAAGTACGACGGTTCCGTTCGTAGTACGTCCAGCTCGTCGTTAGTACGTTGTCACTCGTTCTAATTGTAGAACGTGACGACCACGAAAACATTTTGAGCATTGTCTAAGTTCTAGAGGACCTACCCGTTCGAGTTCGTTCGTTGAAGTTTGTAAATAGACCCCAAACGGTTCTAAGTAAGTCCAGTCCGTTCGTACACAGTTGAAGCTCGTTTTCGAGAACGAAGTGAAAACTAGTTTGGTGTGATAGTAGGGCAATATGCCCCAATGACCAATAAACCGTGGTGTCGTTCCAAGTACTTTCGATGAAGTTTGTAAATAGATCCCAAACGGTTCTTAGTTCGTCCAGTCCGTTCGTATACAGTTGAAGCCCGTTTTCGAGAACGTAGTGAGAACTAGTTTGGTGTGATAGTAGGGTTAGGGACCCAAAAAAATTTTGGGCCCCTAAAACCGAAAAGTGAGCACAAATTTTGAAATTTTTGAAGCCCATTTTCTTCAAAATTTGGCCTAAAATAAGGCCTTAGAAGGCCTTTTTTCGGGGCCCAACTTAGGGGGAGGGGGCGGGTCCCACGCCCCCCCCCCCCTCCGGATCTGAACCAGTTTTGAAGAACGCAGTGGCAACTTGTTTGGTGTGATAGCTATATTTTTGCTAACTCGTTCATAAGCAGTCTTAAAAACCTTCTTTATCTAAACCCGTTTGCAATTAGTTTTACCTCGTTCTTGATACGTCCTCGGACAGTTCAACTCGTTGTTAAAATGTCCCTAGTATAGGATTGAAGTACGACGTTCCGTTCGTAGTATGTCCAGCTCGTCGTTAGTACGTTGTCACTCGTTCTTATTGGAGAGGTTAAGCTTTGCATATATAATCGAAACTGAACCTGTACGTACCACTCGACCATATACAAATTCATGTAGCCTTCTCATATAAATAGCCGTTCAAATCCAGTGTTTGTTTAGACTACACCATAGCGTGTGTAATGATTCTATAGTATGTCATTGATGCGGTTTTATGGCTGGTTTTCTAATACATATTTTAAACGAGCTCGTTTCGTAAGATTTTTGGCGCTAAATCACGCATGACATACATCATCGTGTTCAGCAAGAATTCAACTGTGCATCGAAATCAAAATTGACAGCATAGTGTTCAATAGACACGAGTAAAATGGTTCCCGTTGACCCAACGTCAAATTTCAAATTATCCCGTTCTAAACCCGAAACTCTGATGCTGAAAGAGTATCTGAAGTAGACTAAGCGCGCATAAAACTATGAGCGCTCGATACATTCCTTTGTTAATTTTTGTACTTTGCGTTCACGGTTACGTTGTGAAAAACATCGTTAGCTTAACCTCTCCAGTGTAGAACGTATCGACCACGAGAACATTTTGAGCATGTTCTAAGTTCTAGAGGACCTACCCGTTCGAGTTCGTTCGTGTAGTTTGTAAATAGACCCCAAACGGTTCTAAGTAAGTCCAGTCCGTTCGTACACAGTTGAAGCCCGTTTTCGAGAACGAAGTGAAAACTAGTTTGGTGTGATAGTAGGGCAATATGCCCCAATGACCAATAAACCGTGGTGTCGTTCCAAGAATTATGTAAGTGTAAGTGCGGTCGGATGAGTTTTTTTTTGTTTAAAACACGCGACCATGTAATTTGTGCTACGGGGCTTTTTGTTCTTTTTCTTGATACCTGGGAGGAAATCTCATTACCTATTACGCAATGTACTAGCGACGCGGGTAATTCAAAATTGCACTCTAAGAAATCAAGTTTATTCCAATTAAGTCAAATCGTTTATGTCAAAGATTGCCATCGCCTTTAGTCACCAATACTTTCAATTATCTAAACCATTCGACTTTGATAGTAACTAATCACATACAGATGGCGTTTATAAAAATTAAAAATATTTTTAGAATCTTTATTTACGATAGCCATTAAGTTGTCATAAACTAAATCATATTATAATCTAATCTGAAATTACAAAAAACTAGGTTTCACTCTTCAAAATCAACTAAAGGCAATGCCCTTTGGTCCAGTCTTGGCTTTGACTAGATACCAAACCATCTAGTAATCGCGGCAGGCTTCAATCGTGAACTCTAACCCAGCGCACCCATCGGTATCAAACATGATAGGCAACATTGCATTTATAATATTCGGGCTGTCCGTTTGCATCGATGGAAAAATAGTGGATACAGAAGCGGGAAGAGTGGACGGGGACACACTAGATATCCACACGGGACATAGAATTAATACTTGGTTTGGCATTCCATTTGCGAAAGCACCAAAAGGAGATTTAAGATGGCGGGTAAGTCGTGGTTCGCCCTGTGCTAGTACTTTTAAAAAGGAGCTTCTGTCAAAAACCGTTCGGGAATGATAGATAGACTGGTATTAACAAGTAAAGAAGGAGGCTGTCCCACAAGACCCCCTTTATCCGGTGTTTTACTCAATATACAAGGACGGATATAATTAATATAATGTGTTAACTTGTTCTGAATCTATGACTTAAAGATTCTCCAAATCAGCAAAACAACTGTTGCAGGCTATGTGATAAGTGATGGCTGATTTGTGTCTAGTGAATGTTTTCTGTCGATCTTTGAAACTGGATTTCTTGATTTTGTTGCATGTCTTTAATATATGTTTCAAAAAATAAATAATAAATTAAGATGGTCTGCGATCTAAATCAATTGGTCGCGTTCTCATTTTTTCAGTAATTAGCTTAAGAGTGTTAAATATTATGAATATTATACCTGTATGCACCCAAGCCCATGGCACTCTGTACAAACATAAATATGTTTGACTTTTATATGTATATCACATCTATTATCATATCAAAAACGAAAAAATGACAATTTATCTCAATAGGAACATGAGCCAAGGTATTGAACTGATGATTTGATCCACTTCAAATTGATTACTTTTAATTCATTAACACTCGCTGGATTTATTTATATTTAGCCTACTGTTTAAATGATAAGTCAATCATGCCTATATTTTGTTGTAGCCGCCACAGAAGCCAGATCCGTGGCAAGGCACGAGACCAGCCAAAGAGTTCGGCAGCGCATGTCCACAATTAAGCCTACTCATTACGGCAACCAATCTACTCTTTGACAACTTTGATGAGGATTGTCTCAACCTAAATGTGCATTCTCCCGAGGTAAGTTAATTCATTCGTTACCCTAATCTTACACACCTTTATCTACAGTATTTTAGTGTAAAGTACCAGAACTTATGTTAAATTCTTGTGGATCACTCTGTATCTAGTCGCATATAAACGCCTGTGTCAAGTATGTTATTTGAGATTTATTACTTGGATTATAAAAAATGTAACTTTGTTTTGTGCGATAGAGATGTCAAATATTAAACTTAGAGGCCATTTCACTTTAAATAATATGAAATATGCACATGCATAAAGTGCATTTGGACTCATATTAAGTAAAACCTGTAAAGTGGAACACCTCTCTAAGTGAAACACCTCCATAAGTGGAACACTTTTCATAGTCCACCCAAACCCTTGACTAATTGTGTATAAATGAACCTCTGTAGGTGGAACACTTCCCAAGTGGAACACTTTTTAGATGTACCAAAGATGTTTACATAGGTTTTACTGTAATAGACATATTGCTTAGTTTTGGAGGTATGTACATTCAATCGTTTTGATCGGAGACCCTCCCATAGCTTCTACATATCTATGCACAATTCTTTGTGGAAAATGAGAAGAGGTGGATACTAACCGTGATTCGATGGTAACAGGAAACGAACTAATAAATAGATTCAAAAATTTTATTTATTTTAAATGTTCATAAATTATAAATGTTTTGTAGTTCCTGGGTCGAAAAGGTGAGCATTTATAACCCTGATAATACTTCATACATTCCAAAACAATCCTAGACGGCTTAAGGTATGAGCTCTTGCAAAACAAAAGGTACATTTTACGAATGTTGAGTTTGGATTACTCTATACAAGACATACATAATATGTTTGAGCTTATGTATCTTTTCCAAGTAGTCTTGCAAATATGTTTGAATTTATACTCTTTCAAGATGTCTTGGAGACAGCCCACTAGGTACATCTCTATGAAAAATGAAGAATCATCCGTTTCCTCTTTTCTTACTTTTTGTAAAAATACATCCGGATCAAATAAATATATTCTAGAAAGCTTGGCTAGAAATAGAAAACGTGTGGCGAGGTTTTCAGCCAACACGATGATAATTCTTCTTTGAATGCAGTATTTCGTTCAGCGCAATACTTCAAAACCGGAGTGTGGTTACCTTGTTCTTAACGTTACGTTTCAAGTTAGCTTGTTTAGGTCGAGATAAATATGCAGCGTAAAATATAGGGATAAACAGTACGGTGTATATTTTCTACATCAATAATGTGAAGCTACGGCCGTCGTACTGTTGTCATAAAGCAAATGTGACAGAGGTTTCTGAGCCCTTGAATCCAAAACGTTTTAGCCAATATATCGAACTGTACATCAAGAGACGGTGAGAGATTCTGTTTCAATAGACTGTAAATTGAGAAAATAGTCTTTCGTGAAGCTGAATGCAATGATCGAATATTTTAGCCCAATCATGTCAATTCTCCCCCCAAACCTGCAAATGGCTACCCAGTGATGATATGGATACACGGGGGAGGGTATTCTAGTTCCGCCAATGTCCAGTATCCAGGTCATTTCATGGCATCTAAAGGAGTGGTAGTGGTCACAATCAACTACAGGCTGGGATTCATGGGTAAGTACATTCATTACAATCATGACTTCTAGAACAATTCAATCGGCTAAAAAGACCAATCGACCCCACAATTCACTGAGAATAAAGCTGTCTTCTGGGGAAACTCAAATCATAATTTTGATTTACATCCATTGAATGAAAGGAAACAAAGTTCGACAATCTAGTTGCACATGTATATTTAGTTTTTCGCCCAGAAACTGGTTTAAGAGTTGCAACGAATTCGAAGCACTAACACCGAAACTGCCCATCTCTGTTACCAGGTTTCTTGACGACCGAAGATGAACATGCTCCAGGAAATTATGGGATGTTGGATCAGGTAAGCTTGTAGTGCAGTGGATAAGGTTGTTAAATGTGTTATAATTTGTTTGCATGAATGTCGCGATCTTTGTTGTGATATTGTTGTGCCATAATGTCGGCTGTATGGATTGTTATGATGTGTTTTTGGTGGCTCTTATACAGGGAGAGCTACATTGCAAAAATAAGATAACTCGGTCAATACATAAGATTAAATAGTTGATCATCATATATCAAAAGGAAGGTTATCTTATTTCTTAAATGATATTGATATATAGAACACTATTTTCAAACACTCATATTTGAACATACCTTACATTGGGGTGAAAGATAATAAATTCCTGATTATAGGGTATTTTATCATATACCAAGAGAAAAAGAATTTAATAGCTGATCCTAAACAAAATACTAAGATTAAACAATTTTTTGTCAAACATGTTTTGGCTTCATTTTTCTGATCTAATCACTTTTCGCCCACCCTTTGCTAAATGGCGTGCACGGACCTGGGGATGTGTGTCAGCTTTAAGCATTAATCCCTGCCTTATTAAAAAAGCTAATCATGTGTTTAAAATATCATTTTGAAGTATTTTTATACGCATTTCAGAGATATTATTTTTTCTAGAAAAGTTTGATGTGATATACCATATTTTTAAAATTGAATATACCCCGACATGGTCAAATACTACGTTGTCCATGTATATCAAATTTTGCTAACGCTTCATGTGAATTTCCTGACCGTTTTTCAAAAATTCAAAAACATTTTCGAAATATTGTCCTCGAGATCTTGTTACTCTGTGAATTTCTTCATGATTGGATAAGGATAAAGTTTCGGTTGACATAAACTTGCAAAAATGTAACGCTTGTCGTTTTTGACCTTATGAGTGTTGGCAAAAGGAGGAATTTTTTAACTACAGAGATCTCAACCACAACTTGTATTTACATTACATTGACCAATTGATAAGGGAAAATAATGTATCATTGGTATCTTCATTGGTACCTCCTTTTCCCAACACTACATACAAAACTAACCACGCAATTGTTTTGTTTCTTGTCTAAACTTATACTTTTGACTTAAGATTGTAACTTTCACGGGGTACCATCGAATAATTTTGGCAACGTACCGGAGAACGACATTTTACTAAGAAATGGCAATAATTTAGCACAATATATTTTTTAACTAGAGTTCTATTTTGATTTTGACAAAAGTAAGTATTCCATGCAATAACTATTTCATTCATGAGTTTGTAGGAATTCTGTTGGAACCCAGTTCTGATCAAGTACGAAGTTATTGAAATCGGCGCAGACGGCCTTTACTCCGAAAGATGGTTTTTCGATTATAACTTTTCACAACATTTAAGTATAGACTTTTGAAAAAAGTACAGAATAGTCCTTATACTTTTGAATAATTCTGTTATTTCTGATTCACACGACTCTGATTTGTTTAATTAAAAAAAAAGTTTTAAAAATATTACTTAGGAACGTAACCGGAGCTGGGAACGTAACCGGAGCAGATCAGTTGAATTATTTAATCAAAAAAATTAAAATATATGATTTAAAGCACACTAATTTAAAAACATACGGGATTGTTCGAATGCGTATTTATTAATATATATGCTTTAAATCATATATTTTATTTTTTTAAATTATATAATTCAACTGATCTGCTCCGGTTACGTTCCCAGCTCCGGTTACGTTCCTAAGTAATATTTTTAAAACTTTTTTTTTAATTAAACAAATCAGAGTCGTGTGAATCAGAAATAACAGAATTATTCAATAGTATAAGGACTATTCTGTACTTTTTTCAAAAGTCTATACTTAAATGTTGTAAAAAGTTATAATCGAAAAACCATCTTTCGCAGTAAAGTCCGACTGCGCCGATTTCAATAACTTCGTACTTGATCAGAACTGGGTTCCAACAGAATTCCTACAAACTCATGAATGAAATAGCCATTGCATGGAATACTTACTTTTGTCAAAATCAAAGTAGAACTCTAGTTAAAAAATATATTGTGCTAAATTATTGCCATTTCTTAGTAAAATGTCGTTCTCCGGTACGTTGCCAAAATTATTCGATGGTACCCCGTGACTTTATTGTTAATAATCCTGGCAGATTACGAGCGTCAACGCACCTATTTATGATATAAGTTCATATGAAATCCACGCATATGTGGGAAATAAGTACACATACATGCATACATTATTACATTTTACATAACATTTTACAAAATGACTGTTATAATGCCTAGGTGATGGCTATGCAATGGGTACAAGACAACATTGCAAGGTTTGATGGAGATCCTAACATGGTTACACTTTACGGGCAGAGTGCAGGCGCTAGCAGTGCCGCCTTACACGTCCTTTCGAAACGATCAAAAGGTGAGGGAATAGTAGTCCAAACGAGGGTGATATAAATGACCACCTCTGCACTAATGTTCCAATACACCATTGGAAAGCTGAGTGTCCACTTTAAGAATCTGACCTCCAATTAAATTTTTAGGGAATGCAAATTTAGATATTACCCCTTTCAGCACCAAAGAGTCATTTGTTAATAATGGCAAATACCCCTATGGCCAAAATGGATTATTTTTAGGTTCACAATGTCAAATCATAAATGTTTAAGAGTTTGAACCCAGATAGGCTGAGATAGGGGTCATGTAGTGCAGTGACCCCATTATTCTACAACATGCGTCAGAATTTTTGTTCTCGATACAAGAGAGATTTGATATTTGAAAAAAGTGTGTACATTTGGCGTATTTGGGAATGTACACTTACAAATTACTAATTTTCTCCTAAGAATATTAAGATTGCAGCAAGTGTATATTGACTTAAAACATGAGAATATGCACCTTTGACTTAAAATGGGGTATAATCATATCCAATTTTGAATACTTTCTTAGGCATATCAGTCCATAAAGGCAATCTGAGAATAACATCATTTTTATGTAGAACCTCCCTCATTTGAACTAAGGGGAGATACACAATCACACAATTTATCATAGAGAGTGTCAAACATGTATTCTTTATGCAACTGAAGTACATACTCCTATTTTATATGAAAAATCAAGTGTGATGTAATTAAAATAGAAACTTGGCAATGTATTCATGGATATTTGGATAGTACTTTCAAAGAGAAAATGTAAACATAACCACGAAGTTGAAACATTATATTTGTTTGTTATGGATTTTAAGATTGAAAATAGAAACCGATTGCTAAAACATATTTCGATTGAAAAAGCATGATTGATTTCTTAATTTACCCCTTGATGATGAAAGGGTTAATATATTACTTTGCATTCATTGAAAATTCAAAAGGAGGTTAGATTCTTTATTTAAGCTGACAGCTCTCAGCTTTCCAACGGTGTATTGGAACCTTAGTGCAGAAGGGGTCTCAGAGCACGCAGTACTTGGGACATCTTGACAATGTCGTCGTACAAAAGAATGAATTTATTTATTCTTTCTTTCTTCACTCTGTATTAGATTTGCATTTTGAGACTATTTGCTTTGTGAGTCCCATGCATGGCACTTGCTCTGTTGGCCACCATAAGTAAATACCATGTATTATATCTCAGTCCAAACTTTCAGTTAGAGAGACCAGTAAACCCCCTCATAAATGTACATCTTGTTTTCAGGATTATTCCATCAGATAATCTGCCAAAGTGGTTCAGATTTGACTGAATGGGCAATCAGTCCCCCCGACCTCATTCCCAAATGGTACACTCAACAACTTGTAGAGGACTTCAACGAGGAGTATCCTGATTGGAATATTCCGACTAATGATTCAAAGGCAATGCTCGATTCCCTCCGAACAAAAGACATTTGGGAGATGCTAGAGGCTGACAATGTAACGAGGAAGGTAAGACCAGGGAAGGGGGAAACAACAGTATAATTTCCTGCCCATTACATCTATCTGTTTTCAAAAGAAATATGCAGATAGAAGAAAACCATGGAGTTTATAAAAATCACTCTCAACTCAAGAAAGACAGGCAAAGATATCTGTAATTCCTTTCTTTTTAAGTTCAAAAAACGTTTTAGTGACTTTTGTGTAGTTTTCATTCATTTCGCAATGCCGAAAGTAGGGTTACAACTTCATAGAGTTGTCTTGCAAAAAAATCGTGGTTACCTCCCTACCCTTTCAAACACAGGGTGTGGGAACAATTAGTTGAGATAATGCATGTCTACCCAGATTGTTTGGATGTTGGCGATATGTGCTCGATAGATGAGTGTCGTGACATTAGCAAATCAAGCTCTTACCTCATGCATGTGTGTTCATAATTGCCCTCTGCACTATCATGCACCCACTCTTTAAGAAGAGATTCTCTTTTATTAATGTGTTTTTCAAGCCTGGTTGGATCAGTCTGGGTTTTGTGCCTGTCGTGGATCATCCCCACAGACCCCGGGATCAAGCCTTCCTTGAAGACACGCCGTTTAACCTGAGGGATCGAGAGGATTTCGATAAAGACATTAACATCATCAGTGGACTCACTTCAGAGGACGGCTCCCTATATGTAATTGCAGGTATTGTATTTATAAAATACAGTCAAAATGTGGTGAAATTTCAATAAAACTGGTATTGATGTGATGAAATTTCAATAAAACTGGTATTGATGTGATATTTTAGTAGCCGATAGTTTTGCTTCAAGCCCTTATGATTCTACCCTCTTACCTCGCCTGAATAAAGGAGTAAAAGAGCGGTGAAAAGAGATGCCCATGGTGCGTGTCCAGAGAAAGGTCTGGGATGTCCAGATGTTGATACAAGACCAGCATCAGTATAGTCAATTAACAATTTGATATCACTCATATCTCGTTTGAAAATTGTAATGTAATGAAAACTGAAATAAATTATTTTGAAATTGAAATTGAAAATATCAGAATTAAAGTGTCTGAATAGGGAAATTGCAGTTCGTCCATTTGCGCACATGTTAATAAACCATTACTCCCATAAATCTTGATTCACGAGGTTTCAGTTGCTCCACATTAGAACTATCTTGGAATTTGAAGATACATCAATGTAGAGACCGCTTAATTTAAACACAGGAGACAGATTCATAAGCATGGTCTCAAGTTCCATTTCCTCAAAAATCTCTTCTCAGAGCCACGCAGTAGTCTTGTTGTATCCCTTCTGTCAGGGTACATACCAATTTTGGGATCGCCTCTGAATTTTGAATATTGTGCTTATGGGGAAAGGATAAATAAATACATACGAGACGTACGTCTCCACTATAAATTCTACTTATGGCGAGTTATGGAGGTTTTATTTCATTATCCCGACGAAGGAAGTTCGGTAGGGATATAGTGAAGCCCTCCGTCCGTCTGTCCGTCCGTCCGTCTGTCCGTCCGTCAGTCCGTCTGTCCGGAAGATAACTCAAATATTAGTTGACGGATTTTGTTCATATTTGGTGGAAAGATGTATATTGATAAATAGTTTTATGCAAAAAAAAAAATTTCAAGATGGCCACCGCTTTAAAAATGACGGGACTTTTTCGCAAAAAGCATAAATTTTTCATTCTAAACCAAAGTAATTAATATTATTGTTTGAAATTTTGGTAGTATATTCGCAACCTCTATCTATTTCACATATATTCTGTGTTTTTCATCCTGATCCCCAGGGGCCGTGTATGGGGGGTCAGGAAATTTTTGCTAATTTTTAGATCTTTCTGAAGTATAGCTTTATTATACTCAAATGAAAGGCAATTAAGAGTAGATTGCAAATATTGTATCTTTTTTCTGACTCGAGCCTCGTAAAATTCAAAATGGCCGTCTAATGTACGATTTCGCAATAATTTATGATCCCTTCAAAGTATGGCTATATTATACTCAAATTGAAGGAATTTTGGTGTAGATCACAATTATGGTATTATTTTTCAGATTTGTACCTCAGAAAATTCAAAATGGCTGCTTTGCAGGAATTCGCAATTCTAAAATCTAAATTTTTCAATTTTAACCAAAGTAATGAGTATAATTGATTGGAATTCGGTAATTGATATTTTGTTCGTTGGGATTTGCTACTCCGCGGAGTTGCCGTTATCTAGTTAGTTATATCTTCTTTGTACAGTGCTCCCTGACTCTCTTGATCGTGGATATAACAGAACCGAGTTCCTTGAGCGACTCACTATACTTGCCTATGACCTCAGCTACAACGATATCTATGAGGATGTTACTCAAGCTGTTGCCTTTGAATTCTCTCCTTGGCCACACATCAATGATTTGGATGCTAATAGACAAAAGTTTAATGAGGTGAGTTTGTCTACTTAGACTTTTGGATACCAATAACTACCAATGGAGATTTCAAACTTTGGAATTCGAAACCTTAATTTTGAGAAGTCGTCTATGTCTAAGATCTCTGATTGATAGAGCGCCAAATAGCAAGAGGCAAGGAAACAGCCGGATAAAATATCTCAAAACTATAAACAAGAATTAAAATATTTCATATCTATGCGTATCCGCATTGCGAAAAGATATTGATGTATTTCTTGGTAGCGAGCCGGAGCAGATCATTTGCTATGGCAGATCGATTACTCCGGCTCTATTTACCAAAATTAGAAGTCCCCTCCACCCTGTACTATGGTTTTTCTCTATCCACGACCATACATATCCTATCGTAATTATCTCCTCTCCCTTAACCCCTATCATCTCACCAAGGTAGCTTAACGATTCGTGCGACTTGTTTTAGATGTTCACTGATGCTGGCTTTGCTATTGGAATGGATTTACAGTTGAAGAGCCACCTCAAGCACAATCCTAACATGTACCAATACTGCCTTGGTTTCCGTAGCACCAATGCATCTGGAGTTGTTCCCGAGTGGATGGGTATATGCGTAGTTATTAGCAGTTAATCTAAGAACTGAATTTGTTTCCAATTCAATTCAATTAGTTATTTTAGATAATTTTCACATTTTTGCGCTATTTACCTTTGGTGAAGAATTGTGAAATTTGTTCTAAAAAAACGGTTCTACAGTCCAGGGGCGGATCTGGGAACCAACAAGGGGGGAGGGCCAAAATCTCAGGTCAGAGAAAACAAATTTTGAAGGCCCCCCTCCCCAGATCCCCCAGTGCAGTCTAACGTATACCCTGGTGATTAGGCGTTCCTCACAACGGAGAGTTGCCTTACGTATGGGGCTGGTCCTGGTTACGATTTAATGAGAACAATTTCGATTTTGAATTTAGGCGTTCCTCACAACGGAGAGTTACCTTACGTGTGGGGCTGGTCCTGGTTACAGTTCAACGAGAACGTTCGAAACCAGACGGGTATGATATTGGACCCCATTGAATGGAACCAAGAGGATGCCGAATATGCAGATTATGTGATGACCATGTGGTCCAACTTTGCAAAGTTTGGGTAAATAATAAATATAAGCTCTTTTCATTGATTTTGATTCCTAACAATCACTACTATATATTCAAGTATATCTAAGTTACAAATCGCCTTTATAGGTAGATATTCTGGGTAGTTGGGTGTCGCATCGAATAAGTAACTTAATCCGCGAGGGAAAGGTAAATTCACCAAGACACATGTAAGGTCAGTGTCGAAGAAATGACATGTTCATAAACATCATTGATATGACCAAGATCACCGCACCTCCTAAGTTATCATTCCACTTGTATCAATTATTCATGTTTTGTTTTGTGTCTAGGAACCCTACACCAGAGCCAGTGTGGAACACAACTTGGAATAAATGGGAACTTGAAGACAGAAAATACCTATGGATAGATCGAGATTACCAAGTGAGTGTTCGTTCCACTTTAGAAAATTGCAATATCAGCGTGTGTTGACTACTTTTAATCGGTTTTATAAGACCAAAATAAAGTATAAAATTAAGAAAAATCATATCATTGATCCTAAAAAATATATAGCTACAAATATAATGCAAAAAGAGATATTCCGACTCTACACGACATTTAACTAGGATATATTAAATGATATTCCCCAGTTAAGTTCATTCAGTGTAATTATTACTTTTTATATATCCCCGGGTGTAAGGGTTCAGGAATAAAATATGATGCAAGCCATTCAATATGGTGAAATGCAGCACGAGTTGGACAGAATGTCGTACAAAACACGAGTTTTCAATAAATTATATTTTCTTGGGAAACCGAATTCTCTGTCCACCATCTTGATAGAGCAGTGCGTTACTCTTGACATCCAACGCATTAGTAGACATGGAACTGGTGCGTTTATGTTACTCGCCGTGAAATAAGTTCACTCACGGTTATATCACAGTGTAACATTAGACTGTGATGCTTTTTTGCGGATTGAGTTATTCCGATTAATATTTTCGTGTCGTTTTAATATCAACTTTGACTAGGAATAGTTCAGAGCTTTGTTAGTTGTACCAGTCAGTACATTCGTGAAAGTATGACAAATCCAGACTTATTTGAATAGTGGGTGCGTCCTCGATGACATTCTCAAAGTTACCTTGGAAGATTTCTAGTCATTTCTAGATTTTTAGTCATAGTCAACCAAATGTTTAGGCTTTAAAATGCACTTTTGTCAAAAATAAATATTTACCAGACCAGCCTAAAAAACAAATGTAAAAGTGCAAATATCAAGGATTAAAACTAATGGTTGCAAAACATCATATTAACGTTTTCAGAAAGATCATAAGATTACTTGTCAAATGTTTTGAAATGCTTTAAAATGTATTGGCTGAAGGTAATATATTGAAAAGAATTGTTGTTAGTAAAGTTTTAAAGCATATAGAATATCAGGATGTCCATCTTTCCAAGAAATATCACTCATTAATTATTAGACATAAAGAGTAATAAAAGAAATAATTGGCTTACTTTCAGAAAGGAAGCAACAAAAGACAACCTAATGTAAAATATCACATTTCATTTAATTATATATGTACTTCTGTAATTTGATCTAGGAGAAGCAACATTACAGAGTCCACGAGCTGGCGTTCTGGCAGGAGTATATGCCGACTTTTATCAATAAGTCGAATGGAGGTACGCTCAATACTTCATGTAATCGTGTTTATATTAGAACATGTTTACAACCTCTTTGGACACCGCAAAGCTAGATTCTCTGAATTTGAGATCGACTCTAGGTACTACTGGATATAGGCTGATTGGAGACTTGTCAACATTTACTTGCACTTTTAAATTTATTAATTTGACCTTGTCGAGTATTTCTTAAGTATTTCTTATTTCTGCCAGCTGGTTTTATAATGTTTTCACTTACATTTACGTACAAACAAGAAAGACTAGTTCATATTAGTCGACAATAGACCATAAACATGTAGTCACACATATTTTTGGATCACTAAAAAAGTGAATAGCCTAATTCAGATTCAGAAATGCATTTACTCCTATCGGACAAAGAGAGGGAAAACCCCAGGGTTCAACAATAACCTACGTCTTTAATGTAATTCTGCATTGAGATGACCCACCGTCCTGATTGGTCCAAATCGACAATCAAAAATGGCGGATTCAAAATTTTCTAATAACGCTTCGAATGTTAATTTCTGCCGTGTTGGCCGATATCATAGCATGTTATTTCACATCAAGATAAAGAAAGATGTAGGCCTAAGGAATATGCTTACATCGATTAAAACAACAACGACGTGTTATATTCAAAAACTAACTGGTGAGAATTTGCGCAAATGAAGGTGGTACGCAAGAGACGTAATATGTCTGTCATCGATAAAGCTTTGAGGGTTTCCCTTCTCTTTATCGAACAAAACATATCTAATAAATATTTTTTTTAATATTGAACATAACATACAGGCAGTATGAGTAAGGTCCTGTGTCCCTAAGACATCTGTATATAAATTTTGAACCAAATCAGTTGATATTTGTCGGCCATTTTGAATTCAGTAGCCATGTTGGCTTCTTAAATAACAAACGGACGGACGGACAAACGATGGACAAATGGCAGGTTTAACACAGAATACAATGGTTTCAGATATGGGAGAATGGGGTCCACCAACCAAGTTTCCTCCAAGCACAACGACGCCTGCCCCTACATCTACAATAGTGCCAGCAGTTACTGCACGTCAGGTAACTGATGAAAAAGAACGTTTAAGGAACGCTACAATTGCCCTTGGGGTCCTTTCGGGTACATTCCTGGTAATCCTATTAATTCTAGCGGGATGTCTGGTAATTGCAAGACGGAACAAGGGAGAGTTTGCTTAAGACTATCAGGGATTTGTACTGCAAGAGGCCATATGTCTACATACAGAATGTAGCAAACACTCTAGTACATATGCTTAAGAAATGCTACATCTAGTAACCAATTACATGGTAAATCCCCATTTTTCATAGGCGATAAAACATGTTTGCAAGTGCAACTTACAGAGTCAAACGATATATTTTATGAATATAGAGAGTTTAGGATATTTAGAAAATATGAATGTAGAATAAGATTTGGATTAAAAAATAAAAGGCCAATATTTTTATTCGAAAAGTCAACCTTTAAAGAAATTTCTATAACAACTTTTCATGGGGCTATTAAGAATTTTAATCACAATCGCTGCATTCTGAGTCACAAACTTTTGCGACTCACACAAATAAAATTGGCCTTCTGGTATTTGAGTTATTGCAGGAAAACTTGAGACATCACAGAATTCCAAAGTGTCAAAAAGATCAGTACATATGAAATGGACTGTGTTCCTCCATTCAAACTCAATTTGTTGGGATACAAGTACATTCACTGTTGAGGAAAAGAAATATCACCAAAAGAATAACCAATAGAACAACATTTTAAGGAATATTTATACAATGATGAAAAACAATGTATTTCCCATCCATCTTCAGGAGGGGGTAACATGACCTCCACACATTGTAATGCGGCACCAATATTGAAGAACCATAGATTGTGTACATATCTGTAAAATGGGGGATCATCTCAAGTGTTTCACATTAAATTCGACATATAATCAATTTCACCAGTCACCACTAGGCACCAACCCAACCTTGTTAGCAAAACATTACACAGCAGCACTTCTAACGACGAAATGAAAGTGATTATGTATTATGGATTTAGATTGACACATATGAGATGATCCCTTATGTTTGTATCTTTTCTACAATATAATTTAACGTTTTTACATACTACTACAGGCATGAGTTGTTGCATGTTATGGTAGTATTTACATATGTAACCATGGATACGCTATGAAAGCCTAGTAATGTAAACATGCAAATGATTTATAGCTTTGTACCACTTCAGTAGTTGCAAATAAGAACATTTTTAAAGCTAAATAAAGATTAAAATTAAATTTCTTAAACTACCTTGGTCTTGTGTATTATTCATTATAACCAGTTTATCTGACATAGGCTAACTTCAAGAATCATTAACACTATTCAAAACTGTTATGACTACCATTGTTGTTATGTCAACCATTGTTATCACTTCAAATTCAATAAGTGTTATGATGCACCATTTTTATAACTGAACATCATTGTTTCGTATCAGCTGCACCTATTTAGAATAACTCTTCAAAAACAATAGTACTAATTAGGAGATTTTGCAGCCTATTCTACTTTATACCTTACATTTGACAAATTATTTGTCCCTACTTAAAAATATTTAGCACACTTACAAAATATATTTTTTGCTGTTATAAGCTTCCTACCAGTTATCATTTTGACATCTTTTCTAAGAGTATATTTTTGGCAAATTGGAGATTTTGCATTAAAATTATTCCATAAACCTTAAGTGGACGTCACGTGGGTAGAAGTGAATGAACCTGGAACCTAAATGCACCTTATGTTCACATATCTCTATCATGACATGTACGAAATTGTGAATTATGATCTGCAAAATTTACCAAAGTTACATGAAAAGGGCCATTGAATTGTAATCTAATGATGTTTTCATGGAAGTCCCAAGATCGTTTATTCTACTCAGCCTTAATCTTAATAATCTATATTTCTCTCAATGAGGCAAATATGTAAAGAGGAGCCCATATTTGAAGGACCATATTGGCTAGTAAGTGAACGAATCATTAGTTATGACTGCACTTCAAATGGGAATTGCTACAATTTTAGCACGAGCTGCACAACCATATCATACTGTATTATGTTCCATAAATAAAAATGATTTGGGGATTTTTCAAATTATGTATTTTACAATAACATGTTAATATCCACATAACATTTACAAAAATATTACCCACATCATTGATCATTGGTTATTATCATCATGAGAATTCTATGAAAATTCTCAGCATGCGCTTCTGCCTTAATTACAGTGGACAGATCTCATCTCTTCATCAGGTTCATATCTATATAGGGAACTAGTCAGGTGGCCCAAATTAGGACAGTCTTAGGCTAACTGCCACATTCATTTTAGGGATATTTGTTTTACTAAGGGTGATAGCAGCATTTCAGTTATGGAACACAAAGGAGAAGGAGACATTAAGATGCAGAAAAAGCTGTAACATGAGGTTCAATGAGCCTCATGTATAAATTGATACACTTAATTTTCAACATACCGTAGCTACACACTTAAAATATGTGATATAACATGGGGTATCATATAATAAGTACTAATGAAGTATATTTTTCCATATACAATACTATATCATACTGTATTTTCCAGAACATGGCAATTCATATATACTTTTCAGAGTGCAGTCAGTATAGCTGCAATTTCAAATTAGTGGCAATTTCTCCATCCAAGTACCATTGTTCAGAGAAAGTAATTTTAAGGTAACAAATATGAACTTTCACTGAACGCACGAATGGCTATTGCACAATTTTGAACACTTTTGACAAACCATGATTACATTAATAATACTTATTCCTAATAAGTTAATAAGCTAATAGGGAAGTTAAATTACACATTATAAGAGAATTTAATGTGTAGAATTATGGGCACTTAGGAAGATCCCTGGAAAAACCAGTTGAGAGGGGATGATTCTCCCTGAGGTTCATTAAATTACATGTTCATGTACAAGTTTTTGAGAACATGTAGCTTAACCTCCCTATTATGTGTACAGTACTCTGAAGTAACAAGTAGTGTGTTTCGCACAAAAGCTTAAGCCAACCACTGTTTTAAGTCTGACATGTCTGAAACAAGTTTCTCTTTCTAGCTATAAAGTCTATGGCACATCCGTTAAAGGAGTGCCTTGAATATGGCATTTTTAGGACAGTTTGGGACAGTGTTTATCTGTACATGATTTAGCCATGAAGTATCCTGAAGTTCTATTCTTCTTTACAGAAGGTGAGGTAATCTAACATAGCACATGTGTAACATTATGTGACACCTATGCCATATACCTCTATGTACAATGTGACATTATTTTGTATGACATCATATACAAATAGCAGAAAGAACAGTGTACATTATGACATCATAAATACATAGCAGCAGAATGTACACTGATAGCATAACATACATTGTGATGCTGTACACACGTAGTACATTGTGACATCATATGAAAATTGCAAAATGTACATAGTGACATCATACACTGCTACTTATAGAATACATGAATAGTGACAGTGTACATGTACACTAAATGTACATTGTGACATCATTTATAAATACATACATATCAGAAAGAACTTTGTAACAACATACACACATATCGTAGTGAACAATGTGACACCATACAAACATCATAAAGTATGTCCTGACATTATACACATATCAACAATGTATGTTGTGACATCATACACAAAAATCAGAATGATGTCACAATGTATTTTTGACATACACATATTTTCAGAATGTGTGTTGAAAGGAGTGTATGTTGTGTCATCATACACATATGGCAGCATGTACATTGTTACATCATACACAAAGCAAAGTTCACATTTAAAAGTTCCAATACCTTGGAAATAAAAGGTACATCCAAAAACGTAAATTAACAATAAATGTTTTAATATGTTGAGGGGTTCACATTAATTTGTTCTACTGTATTCAACACAAAAGAAACCTGTACTACCTACAAATGTCAATGCCATGGACTGTATGACAAAAATTGACTATAACTGCTTTCATTACGTGACTCATTACCTATAATGGCAATCACAATGTTAGTCCTTGTATCGTACTGTTTCTAAGGGGTCCTAATTGTAAAACTGGTATATGAGTGAGAATATGATTATGCCTCAAGAGTCCTAGTATAGACAGACAAATGATGGAGTCTTGACTACCAGTCACTTTATTTATTAGAAGCCATTTAGCAGATGATCATTGCGTAGAGTATAGGTCCATGCCTGTAGCCAGCAGGGGTTTGTGTGAACAAGTTCATAAAATAAATTAGGTAAGATTTAACCCATCAATGAGAAAGCATGGCCTTCATATTTCTCGTTGAAGGCAGAATGTGATGAGTATCAGAATGGATTTAACCATTTACAGGTGGGGCTACGTAGCGTATTAGTCCCATTCAAATCTAAAACAAGGGCGGGATGTCTAGTAAGAGCAAAATCATTTCAACATCAAAATATTAAACATAGTAATTGGCCATTTAATTTAATCTTAATAATAGATTTTTTCTAAAAAGTTATGAATTCACAATTAAGCAACGGTGTATCTTTTAGAATTGATATTTTATAATGAAGTGTATTTTTAAAATTTAAATCTTAAATAAAATAAGATTAGCGTCAGAATCGATTACATACAGTATTACAATTCAATAAATGAGAAATGTAGGAACGGTATACTCTTTTATGATCAATATTTAATCGTGCTGAGTTTTGACTCATATGGACAAACTAGTGACAAAGATAAATCCCAACTTTACATTAAAAGATAATCTTGCAACATTAGCAAGACAAAATGCCACACAGGTTATCGCAAACAAATAAATAAATTAGATAGGGATTCAACCATTGGCGGTGTTCATATATGTAGCGTGTTAGTTCTGTTTGTATCTGTAACTAGAGCTCATGTGGTGTCTAGAAGCAAAATCTGGGGCAAAATCATTTCATCTGAATATTATAGTAATACTAATTGGCCATTTAATTGACTTTTTTAATAATATTTCTTCTGAAAAGTTACGGATTCACAATGACACAATAATGGTGTATCTTTTAGAATCAATACTTTATAATGAAGTGATTTTTAAAATTTAAATCTTAAATAAAATAAGATTAGTGTCAGAATGATCTGGTTTACATATAACAATAAAAAAAGAAATGAAGGAACGTTTTAATCTTTTATGATCGATATTTGATCTTGCTGTCTTGGCTTATTATTTATTGACAAACTAGTGACAGAAACAAATGCTAACTTAATTGACATTAAAAGTTAATCTTGCAGAAGAATTTGCAAGACAAATAGGTTATTGCAAACAATTTTAGACAGTTATCTCTTGGATTATAACGCTATTCTGACCACGAAGATAGGCATATCTTTAAGATCCAATCATTATCTGAAGGAAATGTATTGTATATACTATGATAATTAAGTCAATTACTGAATTAGGTATTGCGCGTGGTGCAAATCTGCGTATAAATTTAACAAAAAGAGAACCCCACTTGAGAAATCCTGGCTACAGGCCTGAGGTCCATTACAGTTATATAACAGCATACACACTCAAAAATCATGAGAAATGAATTCGCTTGCCTTCAATAATTGATGAGATTTGAATTACATAAGTTTCTTCAGTCTGGCCTACGCTAGCATTTAGGAGTAATTAGAATTTTCTTCTCCTGCGTGTGTTGTGCTGTACTGCATTTCTTCTTTGAATTTAGATTCATAATTTCTTTTTCTATGTCACATCTGTCCACTCATATTCAGGGTGTGCCATAAGAAATTCACACATACTAGTCGAAAATGAATTTCTGACCAATATTCTTAATAGATGAAATAATTAACAAGGTCAGATCAAAACTACCTGGCTCCGGACTTCAGGACTCATGTAGTACCACACTCCTGAATGTATGTATTCCTATATATATTTGACTCTGATTCTTCAATAGAATCACTTGCAGAGAACAGATTCATTCTCCAGCAGCTACCTCCAAGTCGAACATCTCTGCCGCATATCATATAATATAATAATTACATGAGATGCTTTTTAACAGCATCATTCCTCCTGGTCATTTGCAATGTACCTCGGATCACTGTATCTCAGTATGCTGTTAAATTAGAGGAGCCACTTAAGGGATTTCAGAACTGTCCTCCTCACATGGAGAACATTCCTTATAGTTGGTATCAACAGTGTTTAGAGATTGTTTAAGACATGCTGGAACATGGGCCTCTAGGAGAACCCATCTGAGAGAGGACTTTGTCCAGCCATTGTAAAGGTCCATTTAGATGGATTTCCACCCAGCATGGCGTACTTGTTACAGTCTGTCGCCTGGAAGATATAAATATCAATATATTAGACACTGCAAGAAATCTTTGCAAGAGGGACAAGTACTCTATAATACCAATAAAGTTCTGAACTCTCAGGCCAATCAGAGTCTGCTGTGGCATATGCATGTTCATACTTGATAAATACAATACACATATCACTGTGGCTCTACTTTGTTCTATGGTACTCTCTAATTGGTTAAATGTGAAATTGTAAGATGGTGGCTCCTAGTTAGAGGGAAGTATATTACATGAAAGTATACAAGCCAGTGAGCTTAGGGTACAGGTAGTCTATGAACAAATTATCAATTGTTTGTGATTATATTAATTCTTTGTGATTATGAAACTGATCTTATTAGGAATGAACAACCATCTAATGACAAGTGACAAACGAAGCAATGGAGAAGTTTTATCACCAGTATCATCTTGTCTTTATCTTTAGGGCATCCAGCAACTAAATATGCTACAAATACATCTCATCCCATAACAATAGTTTCTAGTCTAATTGAAAGACAGCAGTGTTGTATTTGTTAATACAATACACTCATAATTATTCTCAAATCAAGCATATTTTCTGGGACTTATCGATTTATGACAGAGTGAGTAATTGGCAAGTGAAAGACATGCCCAAGCTCTGCCAGTATAGGCCGACTTGATGGGTCCTATATTTGAGTAAAAAATATATTTATTTTGTATCAATGACACCACATGTGGGATTAGAATTTCACAGAAATGAAAAATAATATCATAATGTTGTCATGGTAATATATGAAAGCAGCTTTGCCAGCCTGCCAAAGCTTGCCTACTCTTTCGACTCCAATACCATGGCATTTCTAGTCATGAAATTCTATATTATAATGCCTACTTTTTCCATTGACATACAATGATAATTCTAGGAATGTAATACAAACCTATATTCTGCTCCCCATCCTTTAACAAAGCTCATCCTTATGGTACACATTCTAGTTAACTGGTAGACTGCTTCAAATCCTTGATTAACCGACTGCGCTAACAATGTGGCAAATTCTTGATTATTGAAGATTTTCAAATTGCACCCTGAAACGGATATAAAATCATGTTTTCAAGTTTAATACAAATGTCCACATACCATTTAAGATTTCACCAAAATGCATCACTAATATAAAAATCAACATTTTTAGGATATTTGTGGTCAGTAGGAACGATTTTCATAACTAGAAAACGGCAACACCACAGAGTAGCAAATCCCAATGAACACTGTAACAAATATGAAACTTTATCGTATGATCTGTAAAATGAAGCCCTCTGATTGGTCAGTTCTTGTGCTGTACCAATCTGTATTGCTACTGAGATTGTCCCCGTTGATCAGCTTCATCACAATACAGAAAATATTGGAACGGAGGGGACAATCTCAGTAGCAATACAGAGGATCACACGATAAAAATGTTATTGAATGATTTGAATGGATATATTCTGTCTCGATATTCTGTATTGGAACTCGACTTATAATATATAGCCATACTTTGAAGAGATCAAAAAATTATTGCGAAATCTGACATAAGGTGGCAATTTCAAATTTTAAGAGGCCCAAATCAGAAAAATGATTCTATATTTGCATTCTACTCTAAATTACCTTTCATTTGAGTATAATAAAGCTATACTTCAGAAAGATCTCAAAATTGACGCAAATTGGTCTTTTCAAAATAATTATCTAGCTAAAAGAAAACTTGAAATAATAAATCACTAGAACAAATTTTGCTATTCCAAAAGAGGACACATATGGTATTAAAATAATTCAAAATGCATAATAAAATGCGTCCACATAGACATCTCTTTGTAATGAACGAAGTGTTTAATAGAATAGTACAAGACCTAGTTTACTAGTACAAAACCTAGCGTAAGACTCACCTGGTGGTATTTTGCAAACAGTAGCAGGATGCCAGCCATACCTCTGATTGCAATTTGGACTCTGAACAAATACTGCACTTTCACTCAAACACTCAGCAAACACCTCTCCACCGATGTAATACAGTCTTACACCTTTACCTACAAATACAATATGTAACTACAAGTACAATATGTAACAATAGTACACCTTTACCTACAAGTGCAATATGTGATGTTACAGTCTTACACCTTTACCTACAAATACAATATGTAACTACAAGTACAATATGTAACAATAGTACACCTTTACCTACAAGTGCAATATGTGATGTTACAGTCTTACACCTTTACCTACAAATACAATATGTAACTACAAGTAAAATATGTAACAATAGTACACCTTTACATACAAGTGCAATATGTGATGTTGTCTTAGTACCATATATATTCATTATAATAAATGTGCTCAAACATTGTTTTTTTAAATATGCAGTAATTAAAGCACCACCTGGTACAGACCAAGAATGTCCATACCAATTTACGAAACTTCATGGCTAAAAAACACTTCCACTATACGATTCTGATATCATAATTCCAAAAGAAGACTGCTCTTGTTCCGCTGAACAAATACTTTCTCAATTTGATTTAGAATCTATATAAACAGGCATGAAAAAGGTTTGGTGCAAAAATACAAAAACGTATAATCAAAATGATACACAAGTTAGGCTAAGTATCAAAGTCTGACATCCACAATGATTAACGCTACAGTAACTCAAATCTCTTACCAATGTGTCTTCTTGTCATTTCTACAGGTTGTGTCCTGTTTATATTAGAAAGGAGGCCAAGACAAAAGCGCTCAGAGTTGGATGGGTCGGTGAAGCCATCCACTGTCAGTGAGGGCTGTGAGGCGTGAAATGTTTCCCCGACCCGTTGGTTCAGTTCATAGTAGGATATTGAGCACCAGAATGTGGGCTCTGTGTATGTGACAGGCTGGGCATCTGAAAGTAATGACAAACCATTATTTGAGTGAATGCATATTTGTTCATCTTAAGCTAATCAGCTGTAGAACTTAGTACCCTCTAAGATGTGTACAAATTTGAAAAAAATCAGACAAGTGGTTTTCCTGGAATAGCACTAAAAAATATAAATTCCTCATTGTTTTTGATAAACAGTGTACAACTGTACTCAGGGCAAACACACTATGCGATCGGCCCCTATTATATCACAAACAAATCAGGGTGTTTACTTCTGATGTATCATTGATCTATATAATTGCTTAATCTATTCCATCAGTTTTATGCAGTAAAATTTCTAAAATCATGCTGTGGATCTTAAAATTATTGAGATTATGTAAATCTTCATTTTTTGTGAGTCTGTTTCTTGGTGGAATTTAAAACAATTTTAATTTCATCTATTGTTAACATCAGATTTACCTAAATGTATAATAAATTACAAAGGCCAAGAACACAAGTAATGTGTGTCTCTGATTATGAGGAAAAACTGCAAAATTGACTCACCTGCTGGGGGACTAGCTGGCATGTCCATTGCATCTGGAAAAATATATATTATTAAATTTTTATTCCAAAAAATAACATGTAAAGTTTTAATACATTATACATATAATATACATAAAAAATTCAGAGAGATAATAAGCTTAATGCTCTATCAAAGTTACAAAATATTTCAGATTTCTTTTATCATATCAAAGTCTTAACAATCACAAGGACTAGAAAAACAGCAACTTCACGGAGTAGCAAGTCTTCAATAAATAGCAGCCACCTTGAAAATTTCTTCTCAAACAGAGCTCCTTTATCTCTAGGCATCAATATATAAATATATATAATAAGTAAATCCCTCCACTGGTATTTGAGTTATCAAAGATTAGCTTTTTTATGAAAAATGGCAGCCATTTTGAAATTCAGCCGATATCTTTGAAATTTCTTCTGACGCAGATCTCCTTTTTCCCTAGACATCAGCATATAAATTTGGAACCAAATTCATCTACTAGTATTTGAGTTATCAATGATGGCGGCCATTTTGAAATTCAGTGGCCATCTTGAAAATGTCTTCTTGAGCAGAACTTCTTTGTCTCTAGGTATCAGCATATAGAATTTGAATCAAATTTGTTGACTGGTATTTGAGTTATCAACGGCTAGTTCTTTTAGGAAAAATGGCGGCCATTTTGAAATTTAGCTACCACCTTGAAAATCCCTTCTTGAGCAGGGCTCCTATGGCCCTAGGCATCAGCATGTAAACTTTGAACCAAATCCATTCAATGGTATTTAATTCATCAATGATAATGGCGGCTATTTTAAAATATAGGCCTTGTGGCCATCTTGAAAATGCCTTCTTAAGCAGGGCTCCTTTGTACCCAGGCAACAGCATACAAAATTTGAACCAAATCCATCTACTAGTATTTGAGTTATCAAAGATTAAATTTTTCCCAAAAATGGCTGCCATTTTTAAGTAAGTGGCCATATTGAAAATTCCTTCTCAAGCAGAGGTCCTACCCCCATAAAGCATAAGCCTATAAAATTTGAATCAAATCTGTCAACCGGTATTTGAGTTATTGCCTGGACAGACAAACGAACGGATGGACAGACGGATGGTTTTCCTTTATCGGCCTCAGACTTTGTTTGGTGGGATAACCAGCAATCCCATTGAATAAAATATGCTTTCTCAAATCATCTTATTTAAAAAAAAATTTCATACTAAAAATAACCTGGCAGCAATATTTCTAATCATATTCTTAAAATCATCGAACAATATTTATGCATTAATATTTTTCAGAAAAAGGGTGGCCATTTTGAATTGAGTGGCCATATTGAAAATTCCTCCTTGATTAAACTTTCAATGTTTATTGGGCGTTGACTTTCACCAATACAAGGAGGATTGGCTCCCAGAGTGCAACATTGATGTTCTGTCCCATATATGGGCATGTCGTGATACAAAATTTAAATTCAAACATCCACCATTTCGTTCACTTCAACATTCGAATCGTAAATTTTGGTCTTATTTCCAAACCAAAATTCCAAACTCACAAGAAACATTGGTTCGAATCTTTTGAACTGTTTATTATTTTTGATATTTTTATTGTTGGAAAATATCGAGTTTCGATCCTGGGAGCCAATCCTCCTTGCCTACACTGACCAGACAAACAGATGGACAGAAAGTGCCTCTATGATACTCACAACTCGAACTTTGTTCACAGAATAATAATTCCTAACACTTAGACATGCCTAAGCACCAACCTGCCTATTCATTTATGAAATACATGTAAGTCTTCCACACAAGATCATGTTTTCCATTATAAAAGTTTTTTCCTTATTAACCATCCTTAGTTGTCTGATATAGCATGGCTGCACTGTGTAATGATTGGCCAGAAAGTGATTGCATGCATAATCATGTGTGAATATATATTAATTCTTGCCAGGTATAATATTTACCTGTTAAATCATGTCTTTCCTTATGCCATTTGTTAATCAACCAGATATACACAAATCATCAATCATTTGCATCATAAACCTACATTATGGCATCAGGAGGACATTATGACATTAGGACATTACGTGATAGTATGTTCTGATCAATAGTACATTGATTTTCCCAAATAATGTAGAATTCAAGAAAAAATGTTGAACTGTGGTGCTTGAGTGCTCACATGCCTTGTTGGACTTGGGTTTCTGTTCACTTCATTCATATCTTTTTACCAGCAATGAAGAAGAGCAATACCTCTAGTCTTGGGTATATCCTGTACAGGGTGGGCCAAAAAACGTCCATATTTTTGTTTAAGTTACAACATTGTTGATATTACCGACAAATGTATAAACAATATATCATTGGAAAGACAATTCAAATTCCAACAAAATGATATATAATTCATTTCATTTAAAGGAGTATTCGTCTTAAAATGTCACTTCAATTACCACAGGGGTCAAAATCTTGATTTATCAATTGCTGAATACAGAATGCTAAGAACTGACCAAATAGACAAAACCCTATGTCAACTTTTGGGATAAAATTCCAATTAAAGAAGGTCAAAATTGTTGATTTATGTATCAAATGAAAGAAAATTGATTTACAAATGCATTTTTATTGAGTTTTTTTTTACCATTTTGATAGGTATTGGTAATATAGCCTAAAAAATGTAGTGAAGTCTGTATCAAATAGCTGAATACTTCTCATTTTCAAGACATTTTGGACTCAATAAATGTTTATCATGAAATGGGTAATAATGATGTTGCTCTTATATAACTTAACTTCTCTGACATTTTAAATGGCAAACAGAGTAATTATAGAGACCAGAAGAGTAAATAATAGAAATTTATTCCATAATTTATGGGTTATGGCAAAATTTTAATTGAGCTTCTTTGTAAAACATGTTTGAAGCAAATATCCATGTATCTATCAATCTAACTTTATTACGAACTATGATGCATAAAAATAGGTTCCATGATTATTTTAGAGCTATAAAATTACTTACAAATAATAAAACTCAACTCTAATACTTTTTCTTCATATTTTAAAGCCTAAAAGTGTTGATTAAGCAATGTGATATTATGCAATAAGCTCAAACCTTATAGAAAAATCTTGTTTTCGACTATTACTACCTCATGATACGGAAACTATCATGTAGTCACCAATAGTCATTCATGTTTTATGAACCATACATCATCTTGTTTGAAATTGAATTATCTTTGTAATGATATATAAGTTATGGATATTCTGAACATATCAGCAGATATTACAAAAATAAAAAATATGGACGTTCTTTTGGCCCACCCTGTATATGTATGGTTGTAATTTATAATTAATCCTGGAAGACAGCATTGACTCAGAAACTGCCCTGTGTTTTTTATGTGCACTCATACATAGGCACACAAGTACTAATAACAACAGCCTTTTGTACGAGTTATGGACCATTCAGTTAAACACACTGATTTGTAGATCTTGCAGATGGTAGGAGGCTGGTATGGGCCTAAATATACAAAGATACATAATGTAACTCTTTCAAGGAAGTATTGAATGTAGTAGAATAACTTACCCATTCCTGCTTCACTTCCATTCTCATTCTCACCGTCCTCGCTCATGTATCCAGGAGGAGGGTCTGAAAATAGTATATTGTAATAAGTATACCTGAATAAAACTGATTCAAGAGTCTGCAAAGATGAACAAAACTGAATCAAACTGCCAGGAAAACTATTGGATTACATGCTAAATGCCACAACATGCCATTTGTTGCAGACACCGAACGCAAGATGTTAATCACTGTTACAAAAAATGGAGACCATAACAATATCTCACCAAACTGAACCAAACTGCCAGGAGAACTATTTCATTGTTATAACTTATTTCAAATAAATGTCAATTAGTCTAAAACCAACAATCATTGTAAGGCTGTATCATTGCTTCCAGTTTCCTTGAAACTTAAATAATAAGACGGAAGGTTTGCTACATTAAGGTGAATTTCTCTATACTCTATGAAATGCATTTAACTATGTCAGTCTGTTTATGTCAATCACCTAGATGTGAGTAGGGAGTTACCAGTTTCACCACCAGATGGCTAATTTGGGTCAGATAACATGGCAGGGTATTAGAAAGTTCCTTAAGCTTAATCGATTCATCGATTTTAGTGATTTTATTTTCATGTTACCCTGTTATATCTGATAGTTATACAAATCAAAATATGACCAGTAAAAGAAAATTTTATCTGTTCAATCCAAGAAGATTTTTCACTTTTTGTAATTTTATAACATAGGGTCTATGGGGAATCTCCCCGAACTAGAAGTCACATTTTCAAAGAAAATTAAATTTTCAAAGTTGATTAACACAAAACCACATGTATATTTTACATGTATATTTTAAATATGATATCACTGACTGAATTTTTAATGACATAGATTATTTCTACTTGCATCTAGTCTATTTTTCCGATCATCATTTTGTCCATTTCAATGTATTTATCATTCCAACCAGTTCAATTGATTCAGTCAATTGAACTGTTTTGCCTCAGAAGGAAAAATCTTAGAATCACTAGCCAGAACAAAAAGAGCATGAACAATGAACATTTCATTGTTTCAAGTATGTATCAGGCTTAAAATGAGTAGTGCTACCTTTAGTACATACCTATATCGTTTCCAAGATTGAAGTTCCCAGGGCCACTAGGTAGGTCAGTGTTCTCAGGCACAGTGTTCTTGTAATCGTCTATGGTGGGAGGCTCAGCTGGAATTTCACCGGTATGTCTTGGCACCAGGACTGGTGGCAGAACTGTAATAACAAAGAAAGTGATGCCTTAAAATCATGTTTGTACGTAGATGTATTTTATTATCATTCAGGCAGAATGGTGAATGGTCTAATTTAAAATCTTCAAAAAGTCTATATTATAACTACAAACCATGATTCTCACAGAAGCGTTATGAGCTTGGTCATTATTCTAGTATATACCTGTAGAAGTATTTCTCTTTAAAATAGGTGCATAGTCAGTGTACATGTAGCTATGAAATCTTTTTTTATTCTATCAATGTTTTGCTTCTTGGTACACCTTGGTTAACACAAAGAATATATTTTCTGTCCCCTCTGCAAAAACCAGATTTATACAGATGGCAATATGCCAGTTTATCAACTGGTCTTTGAAAAGCAGAATATTCTTTGTTTTAACAATTATGAAATCAAGTTGTGGGTATTTTTGTATTATTGTAATGATAGCTACTGTATACAATAAAATGATTTTTATACATCTTATTTAAAAAATGGCCTTTTACCATCTATGAAAATGTTGTATAGAATTTAGTAAGATGAAAAAAATATCAGCCCCAAAATGAATGGTAAATGACCTTTGTTAGCTGAATGTTAATCATAATGCCTATTATGCATGATGTCACTGCTGCAAAGGGACTGTAAAAACCATAATCATAAGTGCCAAAAAGGAGAAAGACCAAAAAGCCAGTTCAAGGAAAGAAATCGAGTTTCAGCTACTGTGAAACCCAATTTTGGGCTTATTTAACAGAGTTTTGTCACATATCTCTATCCATTTGATTCGTAAAGATATCAAAACACACTAACTTGTCTCTAAATATAACAAAATGTTCTAAACCTTTTATTTCTTAATATACTGCAGTTTTTAAAATGTGCTCATTTTTCTATCTGTCTACATTCACAATATACTGCACATGATATTTATAGGTTAGCAGATAATTGCCATGTTGGTTGGGGATGTCATAACATGTGATTTATAATTCAAAGCCTTTAATGATAAAAAATTTACATCAACAGCTCCAACATTATCAATAACATATTTATATGGACAGATGTTTTATAATGACTCTGAAAAGAAGGTAAAATTCAAGTTCACAATAATGCACTAACTGTAATCACATTTGACATGTCACTTCTATCCATAATGTTTAATCAGGCAAATATTAATTTTTTTGAGATGAGGTAAATAAGAGAAACTGAACTAAGCAGAATTCTGACTGCTATTTGTACTAGATAGAGGATTTCTAAGGTAAAACAATGATGGAATACTCAAATGTACTCAAATCAAGTCATGATAATAAATCCATTTCTTACAAGAGTGTCATGACCACATACAACATTGATTGATTAGAGAACCAGTACAGATCTATACCACAGAGGCCCCTAGTGATAATAATCATGAACAAATGTTTACCCACATCGAGAGAAATATTAATGGATGTACTGTAAGAGGACTCTGTGACCTACATATGTTCAACCCACGCATGCGTATACCTAAACATAATCAATTTAAATAACTGACAATAAATATTACATTTCATCTGCTTGTATCTTTTTGTGATAAAAATATCTGCCATTGCTGATTTGATTTATTTTATGACATCTCCACACCTAATAACCTTTAATCAGTACAAGCGGATTTATATGACCTATTACAAGCACACAAAGCTGGTCTTCAAGGACACTTCATGAATCAACTCTAAAAATGATCTTGAAAAAATAGTTTGTTAGGTTTTCGTAATGTGATAACACAACACAAGATATTTTTTGGCAAGCTAAAAAGAACTTTTATACGGTTACAAGACAAATTAAAAAATACACTATTTACGAAAAGAAAGTGTGCTGTTATTGTTGTTTACTCATAGTGTTTTTGCAAAGAAAGGATTGATCGATAAGTTTCGTAATTTTATATGAATGAGAGTCAAACTGAAAAGGTAAGGAGTTAAGATATTTAGACTTCAATCTCAATAAGAACTTCAGAAAAACATTTAAATCAACACAGGTTTCACTTCTTACCCTATTTTTCTGACCCCAATATGGCTGCCTGGCTAAATAAAGACTGGTTAGAGGTCACATGACCACAACCAACAACTGGTCAAATGTGAAAATTCAACAAGAACAGATAAAATAAATGAAAATTTGAAACCAGTTAATACAGTGAGTACTATTAACAGTAAATCTTTGTGTTTACATGATCTTACATGCACTTTGATCCTCCAAAAAATGATTTTAAAGGATGCTAGGTCACAACGACTAAACGAGAAGTAGATTTTGGATTGGGACCAGAATTCGTTTGACAAATGAAGTTAAAGTCTATTACAACACAGACGAAGTACTTACGTATTCATGTATGAGGTCGAAAGGTCTTTGAATATTTCATTTCATGTTATTATGCAGCAAAAAATGTCGATAAAGTTGTTGTATATTATCGGAAAGAATGTAGATCATGTGACCTACCCTTAACCCTTCAGTGTGGAATCATGGGTAATTTTTATCATTCTTTGGTCTTAAAGAAAGTTTTCAGAACTTTGGTATTATATACTCTATCACAATCATTGGAACAACATTATTAAAATTAGAGCATGTCACCTCGATCCATTTAAATAATGGAGAATTGCCAACATAACGAGATTTTGGAATGACCTTTGCGATCCAAACGGCAGTTCAGAAAACTACACAATGGCAACGCCCAAATAAATAAATAAGAGAAGAGATAACTAAAATCAAATGAACAACGAGAACGAGAATTTATCGACGTTTTCGATATAAGACAAAATGTGAGTCAACATAAAATCCAGATATGGCATGTATGACTATGAAGACGTGCCATAAAGACTATAGACTATATCTCGTATGGCTGCAATCTATGAGATTTGAAGTTTTTAAAGAAAAATATGTTGATGCTTATATGAGAATGATACCAGGGGTTCAATCAGAATTTCAAACAGGAAAAATATTAAAACAGACATTTATTAAATAAGGGTGCGATTTGGCTAAAAACAATGGGAGAATATTGTTTTTTGCCCGCTAATAATAAAAAAACTTTTCCTATCTTTCAACGGGAAATGGGGGTAATCCCAAAATGGAGGAGGGAAATAATGCTGATAATGGAGGATGTTTGTAAATGTATAACATACAGGTGTAATAAAAGACTTTTATAGTCATAATTTAATCCAAAACTCATGATTGTTTTTTCTATCATCTCGTACTTTCCTAAGGTATGATCTACAGAAGAGGGTTGTGTTTAGCCTTGCCCAAGTCGGTCTCTTTTACTTATCTTGATTTCTATTATGACCGCCTTGTACCAAAGAGAAAGCCACGTGCTTTACCGACAGTTTGTTGATGTCGGTAAAATTTGACCAATCAACGACGGCCCTGTAGCGTTAGCTCATTATTATGCACGGTCAAAAACAAGTACACTTTTCACTGGGACTTTTCACGAACAAATCTTGCACGAATCTGAGCACGAATTCATCATGAAAATACAAATATTTTATCAGATAAATATCAATGAGAGTTTAGTGGATGCCGGGGCATCGATCGGATAACCAAAGGTGAGAAGATTTCAACAATAAACATTGAAACGATCGCTGAACATGTAGGCTGAGATTCAATCACCGATCGACGACAACATGACCCGCTACATTGGACTAGGTCTTCGTACAATTTCATCGCGAAATGAGTTTTAAATAAAACTTGAATCGCATGATTTAATTCATATTAATGACTCTTACCTTCCAATGTACATTTAATTACATAATATATTGTAACTCTAAGAAACACTCGATCAGATCTGAATTTCAAGTCGTAGATGGGAAGTTTGTTTTGTTTATGCAGCTCAACCTGATAACGTTTTGATTGGTCATTCAGCCTGAAGTCACACGTCGTGTCCACGCGATACCTGTCAATCAATAAGGTTTCGCGATACCCCTGATAGCGTAGGTATTATGGAAATCTCGAAACCGTTGAATATTTCAGCATAATAACAGCGGAGATGTATTGGATTGTACAAGGCGGTAATAATTCAAGATCAGATAAGTAAAAAATACCGACTTGGGCAAGGCTAGGTTGTGTTATAAACAAGAGAAAACTCCAATAAGAGGAATTCCATAATCTGAAACAATGAACGAAATCATGAACATTAAGAATCCTCACTAAAAAGACTTGTACATGTATGTGCGGATTAAAGATCACTATTGATGATTATGCAGCTGAGGCTACACATGACCCTTATCATAGTTAGGTAACATTTATGATGCCTACAGATCGGTCTATCAGGAATTAAGAAACTATGTTCTAAACTTTCCATTTTTATCCATTTTTTAACATGTGATGCTAGTTAATGGTCTGAAGCTGAACTTGCTTCAAAAATACAAGAACATAACCAGTTTGACTCAAGAAAATTTGAGGATGTCACATATAAGGATCCTTTCTCCACTATATAAGATACCTGTTTAGCAATAGTAACCGCATCAACCTGTCCTATTGTCTTTGATTTTTTTTAAAGTTTTCTTTCATTTTGACATGTCTTCGCCATGTTGAAGTAAATGATAAAATGACTAGATATTAAAATATCTTGGATTGCATTCACAAGAGTCCCAAAAATAAGATTGGATTTTATTTTTTTATTGTCTTACATAAATATTGCAGGCAAACTATCTGGGATGCCATGTGACATTGGCCCTACAATCAAAAGACTGGGAACTTTCAAAAATTGGCAGAATTCTACTATGATTCTTACTTCACAAACATATCATCAAGTAATTGAATGCTCAGTTCTCAAACACTTTAAGCAGATTTTAAAATAAGAGACAATTTCAATGAATTGCTCATTTCTTCCAGTATAATCAAATATCAATATTCTTCTTGGTGATAACATTTGAGATGGTAAGGAACATAGAAGTTGATTTCTTAAAACAAAGTTCACTACCTTCCCCACCATCCCTTACATGCATGGCTTTTAAAATACAATACAGTGAAACTTGTAAAATGGAACACCTCTGAAACTAATGTTAAATAAACCTCTATAAATGGAACACCTACCAAGTGGAACATTTAATTAAATATTTATGACATATTGTCAACTAGAATACTGGCTCTCACTATATAACTCATTTTCAAAAGACCTGGAATATTTGGCAATTGTCAAAAATTCCTGCTTTCATGTATTAAAGTACAGAAAATATCAACAAGACAGCCTCCATTAACCACATAATAAAGGCTATATGTACTATCACATATCTAGGCAACCTGATAGATCAGTTTTCAAAAATGACCACCATCAAAATGTAAAAAAGACTTTTTGCAAATTGACATTTCAAAATGATAATGATGAAATAAACCCTTACCTTCTTCCCTGTCAATGATTTACTTTATAACTTAATATTGTTTTCACTTAGATGTATATAGCCTTGGGAAATTATACCAGTATATAATTTGAATGAAATCAATAGCTTAAGTATAGGGATTGTGCCTTTTATATAAAAAGGAATAATTTATTAGGTAAAAATTCATGACATATAACCAATTTCCTGAAATTTAGATACACATATAGCAATGAGACAAAAATCTCCCCTTTCTTTCATATGGGGAATCATACACTTTTTGTATTAACATTTTAAACCTATTAAAGATGATGACAATGGAAAAATTGTAAGAAATTATAAAATGACAACTTGGTTAATTTTGAAAAAAGATGCTTATTGAAAATGCCAGTTAAAATAAATCCATGAAATTACAATAACGAGACTATATACTTTAGTGAAAATCAAAGCATAAATCATATAACACTGGTATCAAATAGACTTAATATCATACATGTATGTTTACATGTATCTACAGGGTGGGTCAAAAAAACATCCATATTATTTATTCAGCACAACTTTTTCAATAATGCATATATTTTTTTAATTTCTTTGCTAGAGATGCTGGAATCAATTCTGCAATTGTCTCTCTAAAATGAGATAAATTTATCTCGAACCAAGACTATCTTTACGTTCTGGTCTTAAGAGTCTTCAACAGAAGCACACTTTGTATTTCAAAAGATGAAAAAATATTGGCTGTGCAGAGGTGATACATAGAATAGGCCAGTTTTTCAATATGTCCGCTATGAACATCGGCAAGTCAATGCCCATGACCATATTTTCAAAATATTGCTTGACTTGACTTGATAAAATACAGCAGGCCCGTAGCCAGGATTTCCCAAGGGGGGTTCAGTTTTCAAAAATTTCCAGGGAGGGGTTCACATATGACAATTTTGGCCCAAATATGGCTAAAATCACTTGAGAAGTGCTCAAAATGGTGAAAACTGCAGGATTTTGAAAGAATTTTTGGCCAGGGAACCCCCCTGGCTACGGGCCTGTACAGTGTGTTCTATTGAACGCTCCAAAGACCAGAATGTAGATATGGTCTTGGTATATCTTCATTCTGGTCTTGCGAGCGTTCAAGAGAAGCTCAGGATAATATTCAAAGCAACAATAACAATGTATACACACTACACAGATATTGGTCATGCCTCAAATAATAGTACCAGACTGACATCTTACAGTCAGTCAGAGAAACATTATAAGTTTCTTTACACTATTGTACAATTTATATTTCTGGTAAAAACTGAAACCCTGGGAGGGTACTGACACAAATAAGGAAGATTAGACATTAGATCATTTTGGCCAAAAGAAAAGACTTCTTTAACCTTTAGCGTGCTGCCGGCGGACTCGTCCGCCGAGACTAAAATGTCTCTCACAACTGCCGGCGGACCCGTACGCCCGATTTCAAACTTTTAAAAACTTTACTTTTTCGCGCCATTCGTATTGTCCAATTAGATTGCCCGATTTATTCAGTGCCTAACATGACTTCCTGTTGACCTAGAAATGGCGATATTTCGAAAAATAATTCTCAATTCAACAATTTAAACAGTGTTTTAGTCGTTTTTAGTGAACGAATCGTATAAAATGGTGGACAAATACGATCACAACGAAAATGTGGAGGAAATGGATTACGATTTCGAGCTCTTTAGGCTCTTGGAAGCCGATAACGGTCATCGAAAATAGAAACTAGAATATTTTCTGAATTGAAAAATTGAACATTCGATCGCTGCAAATTCAGATTTGGATTCTGACCAGACGAAGAGGTGGAGCGGCGGATTCCGGAGGAGTATTCATGGTATATTTATGCCCAGTCGTGTTAATGTACGAAAAAATTCATGAGAATATTTTTTTCATGAGCCAGGCCACTGTATCTTCCCTTTGTGAAAATTTTATCCAGATTCATTCAGTAGTTATTGAGATATTAATTATTTAGTCCAGGTATATCATTTTTTGCACTCTTTGAAAAATAAGCCAGTTGCGTGGGATATATTTGCTGAAATAAGGCAGCATGGTAAAGGTTAATGTAATATGGGCTCAATCAAGCACCTTACTGGTCCTCCTTGCCACAAGTAACATCTCAGAATACCTTTCCCTGTTCAGGCTGATTTTCCAAAATCACTCTTTTTCTTGATGCTATATAAAAATCTTCTTCTGACCTATTTGTCTTATGATACTTCTAATATTCCATTTTTGTCTGAAAATTATTTAAGAAAACCCCAGCTACCCTTTGTGTTTCTCTGAGACTGAATAATATGTGAATCAACTATTGTTGCTTCAGATGTCATCGTGAAATCTGTGTATTTTCATATAAAAGTACACGTATCTGTTTACCTTTATATTTCAGAAATCACCAAATATTTGTTTATCCCATTTCAGAAACAATAGCAAAGACTATTAGATTCCTGCATCTTTAGTGAAAATATATCAAAATCCATGCAGTTTCAAAAAAGTAATATCAAAATAAATAATATTGACATATTTTAGCCCACCCTGTTCATGAACAAATCTAGCGATTCTGAAACTAAAAGCATCCTTGATATTTGCTGGAAATGTACTAATCATGATATTGTAATTATATGATAACCTTCTATCAGTTTTATGACTAGCAAAACAGAAAGATGTAACAAGTGTCAAAATGTCAATTATGTAATTACTGCACTTAAAGATCCTGTTATCTGAAAAAACATGGATAAATATATGGACCATCTCAAATTGGGTCAAGCTTAAATAAGGGATCAGCTCAATATTCTGATCTTGTTCCAAAATAATAACATCAGAGTTAACCCCTGCTATCATCTCACAAAGGAACTTTTCTACATTTGTCACTTTTAAAAAACACAATGGATCTACCTCCTCCAAATTTAATTATATATGTTTCTTTGTGTATCATATTGACCTTGACCTTGTCATGATAAAAATAAATTGAAAATTGTAAATATACTAACCTGGAGCTTCTACTCTTGTATAATGGTAAGGATTCACACACACTTCGTCAAGTTTAAGATTGAAGGAAAATTTGCACTTCTCAGTTGCTCGCAGCTCGTGATGGCTTTGTAAGTCAGGCCACCGCCACAATCGACTGTATATAACGTGTGGTAGACCTTTCCTATGTTGTACCTGCAGTCGCCCGTCTAGGGACCTGTAATTTTCAGCACTACAAAAGTGATACTGTAGTGAATCACAACCTGCCAATGTGGCAAAAATGCAAGCAGGTTCTACATGTTTCAGGAAAATTCTCCAATAAAGAATTTCTTTTTTAATTATTCTAAAGGTTTTTGTACATTTTGATATTGTTTCATCAGGACCTATCCAACATGTATTCAATTAAGATATTTTCAAAATGGAAATTCTTACATGGAGAATTTTTGAAGCATTTTGAAGCCTTATAAATACTATACAAAAAATCTGAGGGAATATGAAGCAATAAAACCTTTGATATACAGTGAAAATATTATGCTATGACTTGTGAGGTTTCAGATATATTATAACTGGATATAGAAATGATATCTTGGGAAAACGGGACATACATGTACATACAGTAGCCGGGACAGAACAAATCAGTATCCCTCTCTTTTTCCATAATAATTTTGTCAATTCTCAATAACTTCAAGATGGATAGATATTCTCCAGACCTTGGTAATGTGGGATAGATACAGTAACATTCATTCTTCTCTAATCCCAAGATACATGGAGGTTATTTAATGGGAGGGATGGAATATGAATTTTATTTCGGGGAAAATATATTGACCAAGGAAATTATCATGTTGGCTGAGGGCGAGTCAGCCCGAGTGTGAATATGATATTTTCCGAAACCAATATCATATTTTGAGGAAAAATTCATATTCTACCACGACCATCAATAACCACTTTATTCCATAATATTTTTCTGAAACTTGTTTTGTGTGTCGTCACCCAATGATGGTGGCATTAAATCATACAATCTAATTTATCCAATGACATTTTCAACCTTTATTAACAAATTTTAAAATAGAAATAATTTATAATACTTATATGGATCATAATATACCATAATAATAACACAATATAAAGTCTCATGAAATTTTCTGATAGTTCTGATACGGGATTTTGGCTGATACGGGATCTGATACGGAATTATTTGAATATCAATTTATTCCTTATTATTTTCCCAGGGAAAACATGTTATTATGGAATAAATAGAGGTTATTTAATGGGAGGTTTTTGATATACAAGGTATATCTGAGGGAAATACAATATATCTACCCCAGGGACCGTAGGGACCGAGGGTTGATATATTGTATTTACCGAGGGATATGCCCTGTATCAAAAATCGAGCATTTAATAACTGATTTATCCTATACTTAAAGATTTATCCTATACAAAAGATTATGAGGATTTAGTATGAATTAAATGTTATTTAACCCTCGCGTAATAATTACAATAATGATAATTACAATCGAAACATGTCAAAGACATAAAATTGCACTTATATTCTTTTTTCATTGAATATTAAGATCACGTGGTCAATCCATGGTCAAAGTCATCGCCCCATCCCCCAAACACACCTAAAACTCTCATGTCACATGACCTATGCCTCGAGACTTGCAGTTTATATTCGTTAATTCACATTTGTATTCGTAAACTCACATTTATATTCGTAAAGTTTCATTTTATCATTCGCTAATGTACGAATATTCCTTTGCTTTCTGCAATAATTCATGGGTAATATGCAAGATTATTATTGGTAAAAATACACCTCTTCAATAAAATAACAGGCAATTTTTGGGAAATTTACGAATTGCAAGCTGTAGTTGGCGAATGATAAATTGTTAGTTACAAATAATTCTCGTCCTTACAAACATAAAATGCACCCGAATTTAGTATCTATTTGTTTATTTGATACATCATATTTGTATTTGTAATTTGGGAATTTTATTTGTAAATGTTACATTAATATTCGTATAAGCGAATTTATTCCAAACGAATAATGAAGCAGTTATGACGCTATATCGGCGAGAGGTAATTGTTTGGAATAATGAAGCAGTTATGACGCTATATCGGCGAGAGGTAATTTTGATTACTAATCAAAAAAGGCCCCCTTTACGCCACACAGAAAAATTGGCTTGGTCATTTGAAAGGACCTCGCCAGATGGTGACCACATGTAAAAAAAGTTATTTTGCACACTGCAAGGGTAGATATATTTTATTTTATTGCTCAAGGGATATATCCTGTATCCAAAGCTGAGCATTAAATAACTAATTTATCCTATACTATTTACAGCAGGACATCCATATATCTCAAGGAAACATGATATATATTTTGGGGAAACTTAAGGACATAAATGTATCTCATCAGCTCTTACTCTTATACCAGTATTACCAAGAAATTCGTAGAAATAATCAACAACAAAAATAGGGAAATAGTGAAATAGGGTTTATGTAAAAAGCTATTATTTATCTAATAAATAAACATAAGGAAATGGCAATAAAAAACCTTGACACCTTAAACTGAAACACAAATGTTATTGACCTATAGTGCACTTATCATTACATAATACTTGTGACATGCATACACACATATACCAATACGTAACTCAATTGAATGAAAGATGGGGCAAAAAAGCTATAACACTTCTAAAAATGTTATCACCAAGCAGAACTTTCAAAGGTTATAGTGCAAATTAAAAATGTTAGGGGTAGGGTGCTTAACAGGTAGGTACATGATAGAAGTCTGGTTTGTGTATGATACAAGCTTGAATGGTGTATGATATAAGTTTGAATGGTACATGATACAAGTCTGAATGGTACATGATACAAGTCTGAATGGTACGTGATAGAAGTCTGAATGATACATGATAGAAGTCTGGTTGGTGCATGATACAAGCTTGAATGGCACATGATAGAAGTCTCGATGGTGCATGATACAAGTCTGAATGGTACATCATACAAGTCTAAATGGTACATGCTGCTAGTCTGGATGGTGCATCCTGTAAATCTGATTGGTACAGGATACAAGTCTGTTTGGAATATTATGCAAATCTGGATAAAACATGCTTCAAGTCAGATGGTGCATGCTACAAATATGGACCTGGTGTAACATTGTCTATTCCTACTAAAAAAAGGTTTAGTTATTGGATGTGATAAATCAGTCCAAGATAGTGTTCATTATATTTTAACATGTTTAAAAATAAATATTCTCAGACATGACATCTTTCATTGAACAGTATTAATAATGACCTGGTATCCATAAATAAAAATTGTAACCAAATGAAATGGGAATAACTCTTTTTTTGTTCATCGCAAAATGCAGAGTAATTAACATGACAATGACATACTCTAAGTAACCTCCATCTCAATTGATGCAGAGCTGAATGTAATTACAACGTAACATGGAAAAATTGCTGATGTTGCTGAAACAAACCTTAAATTCTCTAAAACTAAATAAAATAACCTGGTAAAACTTTCAGATATTTATCACTGCAAGGTAGTCAAGCTGCGTGCCAACTAGGCGTGCAGTTTGAAACTGCGCACATATTTCAAAATGACAGACTGGGAGAACATGGCTCTGAAAAGGATCCAAAATACTGGGAATACAAGGTCAGTGTAGTTCATTAGACATATAGTTTGTGTGTAAAATGATTACAACCAATTAATGTGATTTAAAAAAATTTCCTAACAAACCATATGCCTACATTTACATGAATTTCCCAAACTGCATTCCTAATATTTGAAAACTTTGTGTCAAATATTTGCCAACTGCATGCATAACCAAGTTTGTTCAAGTATGGATGAAATGTTCTTTGGTATTATGGAAATGGTGTCGGATTCTGATATTGGTACTTGAATAGTAGAGTAGGGGAGACATATTAGACACTGTTCGTCCGTTCCTTTTCACATGGGATAATGATTTGGGATAGTTGGGGTTTGTTTTCCTTATGACTGCTGTGCTATGATATTTTCTTCTTCTTGCTGCGTTCTGTAACCATTTATGTTAATTTCCCTTTGGCATCTGTACATAAATATTCATATATTCGAGAAAAATAAAATTATGAATGATAGACTTTTGTACATAGGTGCAATGCGCCTTTTTTAATAGATCTCAGCTCATAGAAGGGTATAAGTTCTTAAAAAGTACTTGAAGACTTAACATATTTTACTATGTTGTGCGCCTATTCATTTAGCAATTCAATATTAAACTTTCTCTTGAAAATAAATCTTCCAAATTTGTCGAATTTTCTTGTAGAAATCCCCTACTCCCCCTCCATTCATTTTGTCTGATCACCGGGCGCAATACATGTACTTTAAATGAACCAAAAATTGAAATATCACAAAGTACATTTCCTGCTTACAAAAATAATCAACAATGAACCTTTGGAGAAGTCAAAAGTTAATGTTATGCATTATCATTTCAAAGAGTGACAAGTAACCAATAACTACACATTATTACAAAATTAACACCATGAAATAATAATAGAAGATTCAGTATTGGATATAGAGTGATCTATGGTTTCTTCATATTCTATTACAAAATGTTGCTACTGTCACCAGACTAAACAATCACAAATATGGTAAACATAAAATATGAATGACCTGCCATAGACATGCCAGTGTGGCGCTATTTTTTAGTTCTCTTGAAGATAATTTTTTCATTAAGTTATTTGCTTATATGATAAAAAGTACATAGTGCAGGTTAGGTAAGGTTAAGGTTTTCATTTATCAAAATCAATAATCACTAATTTCTTTTTCACCCAAGGTTACAAAAAATGAGATTGTTGAAGCTAGAAATGCAGTATTTGAAGATTCATTTTTTGATGATGAAGATGATGATTTTCTTCATTACAGGTAACCATTTCTTATTTCTTAATTAATTAATATTATTCAATATGTTTTCGTGATATTAAGTTTTCTTTATTAATTTTTTTCATTTACTAGTATATTTTCATCAAAGTTAACTATAAAACAAAATCCTGGATTATTAATGAATTGTAACAAAACTGTATTGTAATGACTATGAATGATTTTTTTTGCTGTGGTAATTGATGTTTTTTTAATTAAGCTTTAAATTGGGGATAAACAAGTATTTACTATCTAAGTAATATCTGGGCTGATTTTACTGATTTTACATTTGGTAGTTCAGTGATTGTTAGCATATGAGCAACTGATCTTTTAATCTAAGATTTTGAAATAGATGAAAAGAAAAGTGTTTGACTACCACTGCCTATTCCTCTATCTTATTTGTTATTTTATCCGAAACTCAGAAACTTGTCCAAATATTAGTGTAAAGCAATTTGTTAAATTTTTAATAATTTTAACATGTCAACAAACTACATTAAGCGGCACTATAACTGATTTTGTGACAGGGAACAACAACTTATGAAAGTCACCAGTAGATCTAGAGAAAATTGAAAGTTGAAAAACTACCAGAGTACCAGCCCTTCTTTCTGTTAGATAATGTTCTTATGCTTCATGGTCGACAAAACAAAGCTGATACTGTATAAGTGGTAATTTTGCCTAAACATTTAATTTGCCTATTTCCTCATTTTTGCCAGGTTCGGAAAATTAAATGTCGGAAATATTGTCTTTATAATGTTATCCAATGGGAGGTTTCTTGTCATTAGGAAAATTAAAATTAGGAAAATGATGAAATTTGACCATTCGGAAAATTAACCACTCGGATTAAATACCACTTATACACGCCTAACCATCGCGTAAGCAGGCGTCACCGTACAGCGTCAAAAAATACAGTAGTACAGTTTTCTGTACGGTGACGAAAATTAACTGAATTGAAGCAAAAACTATAATGAGGTTTTAAAAAGATTAATTAGATGAAAATAAATACGATTTCGGGTGTAATAAAAACAGCATTCTCTTAGGAATGGTTTTAACTTTCTAATTATGATAAAAGTTTTTCGAGCACTGCTCGGATTTTTTCTGACCGGATCGGCCCACATAATCGACTCGAGAGAAAAATGGTGTTTTTTTCACTTTTCGTTTGGTTATTATTTTCCCTGTCGTCTGAGAGTATGGATTATTTTTATGAGAATATGTATTTGTTATCTACACATTTTAGAACAGATGAATATTCGGCAAATAATCATTCAGTGTATTTATTTAAAAAAGATCAGAACTGTACGGTGACGCATCAGCTGTACGGTGACGCTTCCTTAGATTTTATGAAGTGCTCTAAGCTTACTGTTCGAACAAGAGGTAAAGAAGCGTCAGATCTACATGTACATTATCACTGGTAAGTATCAAGCGAAGGTTACAGCCGTCACCTTCGCATTTAAGATGGCGGACAGGAAATTAATTTCGATATTTTTAGTTTTCATGGAATTAACTATTTGAAAGTTGACGTAATGCTTTGGTATCATTTGAACTAAACCAGGCTTTTCTCATATGACTAACAAAGATAGCCTACATAGCCATCTTTACCCCATGCAAGATATTGCATCTTTCATCCTAAAAAGTCACACGTGCAAGATGAGATTTACTTGTGACATCCCTTGTTTTAAAACATCAATAACATAGCAACAAGAGAGTTTTTGGTTTCATGATCTTTACCGTATCATACATTTCCAGTAACCTTCCACTAAGGCTGTGGAAGATATCGTTGAACTGTAGCGCCCATGCACCCCTTAGTCTCATTTAGTTCATCAAAGCATAGCGTCACCGTACAGCTGGTACGTCACCGTACAAATTTGATCTTTTTTAAATATACATAATGAATGGTTGTTTGCTGAATCTTCGCCCGTTCTAAAATGTGTAAGTAACAAATACATATTCTCATAAAAATAATCCATACTCTCAGACGGTAGGGAAAATAATAACCAAACAAAATGTGAAAAAACAACCTTTTTTCACTCTGGTCGATTATGTGGGCCGATTCACTCAGAAAAAATCCGAACAGTGCTCGTAAAACGTTTATCATAATCAGAAAGTTAAAACCATTTCTAAGAGAATGCTGTTTTTATTTAACATGAAATCGTATTCGTTTTCATCAAATTAATTTTTTTAAACCCTTGTCATAGTTTTTGCTTCAAAGCAGTTATTTTGCGTTACCGTACAGAAAACTGTACTCCGCTATTTTTTGACGCTGTACGGTGACGCTTGCTTACGCGATGGTAAGGCGTGTTATACAGTATAGCTAAATGTTTGAGTGTTGACTAAATAAGGAAGGAAAGTGACAGTTGCATTCATTGGGAAAATCTAGTTTTTCGATCTAATTGCATGACGAAATAATAAAACATCGCAAAAGGTAAATTACAATACATGAAATAACACAGGGCCGTAGGGAGAGGGGGTTCGTAGGGCTCGTGCGAACCCCCCCCCAAATCTTGCCTAAAAAAAATTCGAACCCACCCTTTCTGGCAATTATGCAAACCTCCAAACTTTGAGTAAAATTTTTGCAGTCTTTCAATAATTTATCGTTTTTGATTACCCAAAGACAATTGAGTTATGTCAAGATGGAAATATGTGAGATTTATAGCTTCATTTTGAGTAAATAAGATTAAAAAAACAGAAAAACAAAAAACTTCTAATCAATAATGGGCGATAATAGGTATGCTCTTTGCACTTTAGGCCTGAAATACTGAAGTAATATCTTCAAAATGAATTCAAATGCACACATAAAGCATACCTACCAAGTTGAAATTATCTGATTGTTGTACATAACGTCAAAATGGTCTAAATTTTGATATAAATCAGCAGAGAATTTTGAACATGTGAATGTTTAGTGACACTGGGCCGTGATGCACCAAAATTGTGAACGCTAGAAAATTCTTACTTACAACGTTCTTATTTTTCATGCTGTAGTTAGATCAGAGAGCAAGTATAAAGATCACTCACACAGAGATTTTTTGCTCCTATTTATTTATAAAGCTCGTTGTACAAGCGATTGAAAATTGGGGGGAGGGGGTTCTATGTCTGCTAATTTCTGTGAATTTGTGGTATGTTGGGTCCAAATTTTAAAAAATCTGCCCAAATAAATGAACTTGGTCTTGGGATATTTTACCTATTTTTTGCTTTTGCAATTGTTTGAGATTTGGTAAACTTGAGAAAATTTGGTAAAATTTTAAATTTTAGCGAATGGGCAAAAATTATGAAAATTTGGCAACAATGAAACTTTGGCAAAATTTATCCGTTATTGGCATTTAAGTAAAATTGGCAAAATTTAAGTAAAATTTTAGAAACTTGTCAAAAATTAATTAAATTAGACCAAAATTAAGAAAACTTTGCAAAGTTTAAGCAAATTTGGCAAAATTGAGGTAAATTGGCAAACATACAGCAAATTTGGCAGAATTTCAGCAAATTTGGCAAAATTTAAGCAAATTTGGCAAAATTTCATCAAATTTGGTAAAATTTAAGCAAATTTGGCAAGATTTAAGCAAATTTGGTAAAATTGAAACAAATTTGACAAAATTTAAGCAAATTTGGTAAAATTTAAGCACATTTGGCAAAATTTAAGCAAATTTGGCAAAACTTAAGCAAATTTGGCAAAATTTAAGCACATTTGGCAAATTTGGCAGAAAATATTAGAACCCCCCCCCTGACAAATCCTGGCTACGCCACTGTAACATGCCACATTCCTTCTCAATTTTCAGGAGCTTCTATCGTCAGAATGCAAAAGGCTCCTGTGATATCATAAGCCACATAAGCAATATCCAAAATCTTGAGTAAAAATCATCGCAACAGTCAAATAAGCTTGCTACAGTTGGGGACAAAAATAAATGACAGGTCGATTTTCGATCACCATTTCCTAATTATGGTGGTCTGAAAGCCCATAATTTCCAATATTGTCTAGATATATATCCCTTAAAATTTGTATATTTTACATTTTGTATAATCTCATCCACTGATGTATGGCCTCTTGTAAATTCTCTTATTTTTAACATGGGAAATCCTCACTTCAGCAAATCCACCTGTCATTTATTTATGTCCCCAACTGTACTTACAGATTATTCATAATTAACAGATAACAACAAACCAGGACATGCACATGATTCATACCAAGATAAACATAGATAATGACAACTATGACATAAATACAACCAAACAAAATACAAAATAGAATGACTATTGACGAATATGCAGATTTACATCATGGGCTTTCAAGCATATAAGCTCACTGTATACAGCTGATTACATGTGACTGGCATGTATTTATTTTGACGGCCATGTTGGATTTTGACGCATGACAAGATTGTTTTGAAATTACGAAGCTTGGTCTCACCTTGGAATAGTAATACACTTAGTGTTAGAGTCTTGTGTGGTTATAGATTTCTCTAGTTCGTCTAAACCTCCTGTCTTTTTTAGCTTCTTCACCAAACTTTTGACAGCTTTTTCAGACCACCTATCTTCCTTGTCCAAATCTCCTTTTTTCCAACCCAAAAGTCTCTTTACAATCGGAGGTGTAAAAGGGAGTACAGACATAGTGCCTACGGGTAAATCCTAGTGCTTTACGCAGACGGAGATCCAATTTCACCATTGAATGCTCAATCTGAAGTTGTCTTGCGGAACATCGACTGAAAACAGGTATTATTTTGAAAACTACGACTGATGGCTCAATTTTGCAGACATTGACCGAACAGCACAGCGGAAATGCTCTCGAAATTTTGAGTCAGAGGATATAGTTCTGTAAGCAATCATTATTTCTCATTTTTGTGTGGCATGCAATGATCATAAATTTGTTTTTGAATTGAAACAAACTCTATAGTTGCATTATGTATTTTAAATATTAATCGAGGATCAATTAGTGGTTGTATTTATTGGAAAATAGTTCGTTTCTTTATTCATCCGCGGACGGGACGGTGATGAGGTTAATTAAAGCTCATGCATGGGCGTCTGGAACAATCTCTATACAACCATGGGCCTTCAACAAATTGAAAGCCCATGATACAACAGACTTATTCTCACTCAGTTTTTTTTATTTCTATAATGGTACGATCCATTTTAACCAATTTGTTTTCCTTAAAATCCTACATTCCAATATAATAGCTCATTGGACATCTAAACTTTTTAAATAAATTCCGGTGAATAGAGTATGCCACAATGGTTCATTTTTCAAAGACACATAATTTTATATGTCACTGACTTTTTCAATAGGCACTAGGGCGACAGAAATATGGCAATAGTGGTATGTATTTTCAATACATATTCTCTCTCAATTGTAGGAACATAAGTCGAACAACATCCCTGAATTATTTAAAATTCAGATTTGCACCTTAAAAAGCTATAGTACCCGATTGTGCTGAATTATGTTGAAGTAGACGCTTACAAACACTACCAACAAGGGTGTACTGAGGAAATCAAAGGCATTAAATTTGTTTTGCCAGGTCACGAAATAGGGGTGGCAGATCGATCAAGCTTGGGTTGAACTGGATTGAAAAATATTTAAATATTATTTTTTAAAGAGAGCACGTTATTTATTAAAGAGAGTGTGTTATCCAGGTTTTGTGGCTTTGCTAATGAACTAGACCTTTGCAAATGGATAAATAAACATATTTATTTATATTACATTATTATCATTTTTTCAATACATTGCTGAAATGGTTACTACAATGTTTGTTCTAGGTGCCCATGTAAATAACCTGGACTGGCCAAGAGCACAAATGACAAACATCAATCACACAACTTGATCAGACTGTCAGCTGTCAAAATATCATTTATTAGTAATTTCATATTTATTTTAAATCAGCTGTATGTTTCTTATCCAATCCATTTAGATTGAATTACAACTAAAGATTTTCGCATTATATGCACAGGTTGTATTGTATGCAGCTAAATGCATCATAAAGTAGTCAATTAAGAAGTTGAGTTAAACCTGCACATCGCTCCAAAACGCAATATGTTGACATATATATTGTTTTTACATTTTTAAGCTCTAATATAAAGTTTATGTAAATAAAAATTGTTTTTTCTGCGTAATATCAAAGAACAATCATTTAGTTAAAAAAAATAAAAAAGAGTATGCGGGATTTGAACCCGGGCCTCCCGCGCGCTAGACGAGAATTCTACCGCTACACCACCGCGTTATTATGAAAGGTGGAAGTAATTAAAAGCTACTTATTTTGAATGCTATGATTCGGAAGTGACGTCACGTTCTTCATTTAGAAACCTTTCCAAAATCATATCGTCGGCGCCGATCGAAGCAATTCAATGAAAAATCTTTGAAATGACACATTTATCGTAAGTATACATTCTACACAAGATTTGCCCCATTTGTTCATCATTCTATAATCTTTCATTTAGCTCAAAATGATAAAGTTCACCCCCGAAACAACCCAAGATTGCGTTTTGGAGCGATGTGCAGGTTTAAGGTTCAGCTGGAAAGTAACATTTTGGTAAAAATTGCCATACCTGCACATGTTATTTTCTGGTACATAATTAAGTATGAAGGCATGTGTGTATTTCCTTGCTTTTTTCAGGAAAGTATCATTACACTGTCTACTTTTAGTAAACCTGGAAACAGGTCAATGGTAGCTCCTGTGTTGTCTGGAAACTTTGAAAGAAAATTTGGAAAAACACAAAGTGTGAAATATCAGAATTTCCTGGAGTTCCCATTGAACGCCTACCAGTTATTCTAAAAGAAGACAATGTAATGATACTTTCCTGAAAAAAGCAAGGAAATTGATACATGCCTTCATACTTTATTTTGTACCAGAAAATAACATGTGCAGGTATAGCAATTTTTTACCAAAATGTTACTTTCCAGCTGTACCTTAAGGATTTAAGCCCTGAACTCAGTGCAAATCATTCCTCATAAAGGTGTTACTCCAAGTTACTTTTTGCAAGGGTCAAGTTGGCAAAGCATCATGAAAAAAAACAGATCAAAAAATATTTACTAAAACTTTAATTATTTTTAGGGGCAATTTGATGGCACATACTGTATTTTTTATTTCTGAAGTCATGCATTGGTAGATCCCTATAACTGCAATCCAACAAACTTTGTAATTAACTTAATCCATCCGTGGGAATATACATAAATCCTTGTGTCACCCACTTAATTGTATACTTTATTGTATGTATTTATGAAATAAACAAATTGAAATTCAAAGAATGACCTTGGGTTGGTTATTGGTTATATAATGCAGTGCAGTTATATGAAATACTGTGTTCGGATTGGCTGGAATGGGACACACCTTGCCTAGCTGTGTGTGAATGTTAGATAAGCGTACATTAATGCAACAAGTGCATGGTCCAACATATTCATCCTATCACAATATGCATAATAATTATTTTCACACTTTGCAAAGGATTTTCATTAATGATTTTAAAAAAGCAACACAATTCAACTTGAACTTGTAAAATTTCTTAGGGCACAGTATGTTTTGACATTAAGCCATCTAGAAATGTACAAAAAATCAAATAATCATGCATTAAACTTTCGTTTTGAAGTGTCAAACCTGATATAAGATTAACTTGTCATAGCACTATTCATGGGAAGATGTAAATGCATGTTTACTATAATTGGCAATGCATCCTGAACATTCAGCATACACTCCATTCTGTCATTCTGTGGAACTGTTTTGATTGGCAGAATAACATAGATGTACAGTAAAACCTGTGTAAGTTGAACACTTGTAACTTCTGAAGTGTTTCACTTGGGAGGCGATCCACTAACACAGGTTTGACTGTATATACCTGGTATACTGCATGTTACTTTTTGCTATATAACTGTTATGCATTTTTGTTAATGGGAATATTTCTAGTGATCAAGGTAAAAAAAATCATGTCACAATGTACATGTACTCAGTTCAAGATTACATTCTTAGGTCAGGGTCAATTTGCTGTGTTATATATTATATTTTTAGAAAAATGACCAACAAATATTTTTCATCAACCATCTCTCAAAAAGACACAAATATCAATATGTATAAATTATGATAAGATAACATATATATTTCATTTGTGTTGTTATAATATAATTTTCATTGCACTATATAATATATTTTATCAACAAGACTCTGAATACAAGTACTGTACAATATCTTAAGGACATAAGTTCCAGAACTGAATTATAATACAAACATAAAATCATATGTACCTTCTTACACACAGATAAATACATATAGCTAGAGATATAACATAGACAATATAAACTTTATACAAAACTGCACTTTAAAGAACTCTTTTTCCATTATGTAGGTTTATACATTGTGTTTTGACTAACAGTATCTCATGGCACTGAGGAGGTTCCTCAGAATTCCCATTAAATAGGACTTTATTCTTACAATATCAAACAATTTTCATGTTCATTATATGTTCTAATCTTAGCTCTTACATGGTCGTGGCTAGAATCCAAAAAAGGCGAGGCAAATCTAAATTGGCGAGGCAATTTTGGGTTGAAGAGGAAATAACACAATACTATAAGTCTTCATTTCCACATTTTCATTAGAAAACATGTATTCAGTTAATGCATTTCTGCTAAATTTTGGAAAGGCAGTTGCCTTGTCTGGCTCCTCATGCCTGGCTATGCCATTACTTAATCCATTAATGTCCTTCAGGACTCTCAATAGTTGGCAGAAATATGGTGGTTGTGTTATGCACATAAACATGTAAATATCACGTAAAACGTATCACTTAATTTAAATATTCTACACTGAAAATACCAAATAACATTTAAATCTTCTTTCATCTAAAAACATAATTATGTTCATTCTTGTAATTAATTTAGTGTGTTTGTTGTATTACTTCTGCAATATTTACATGTTATCAAATGCAAGTTGTGAACTATACTTGTCAATAGACAGAAAGTCCAGCCTACAGTAAAACCTGTGTAAGAAGAACACATTTTCTTACTTCTAAAAGTGTTCCATTTGGGAGGTGTTCCATTTGATATTAAGGCCATTGGTCATAGAGCTATAAAAGTGTTCCACTCATGAATTAGTTCCACTAACAGAGGTGTTCAATTTAAAAAGTTTTACTGTACTTGGCAACATTATGTCACCTTCAACAGTAGGCCTTTTACAATGTCCACTGTTCAGTAGCATGTCACACAAGTTTCTCAATCCTGACCTCAGAACCTAACCTCCATGGGAACATTGTAGAAAAGTATATATGCAGCTGAAGTCTGAAAAAAATAATTAAATAGATTATTGTTGGAGGGTAACTCATACTTATAAGGAAACTAATGGAATAAAAGTAACATTATAAATGTATATTCCAAATTCTGAAATACGCTAAAATCCAGTTTGTGCGAAATGACTGGAACCATAACAATCATTGAATGGGGATATGAAGTTGGTAGGTAATTTATTATGATTTTCTATCCATTCCAATTAAATTAATTATGATCAACTCCTGTGGCAAAAATAGGTTTGCCCAATATTCAATAAATAGGGCATAAACATGCGAAATGCCACCACCAGCCATTTGTTATAGATGCCAAATGTCAAACACTAAACACCATCCACAAAAAAGCTGGATACTATAATAATACCACTTCACCACTCATGGTGGTGAAGTAAAAATTAAGTCACACGTCATGCATGTCATGTGTACTATTAAACTGTTTATAGCCTAATGCACTATCAGGACGTACCTTAACTTCTCTCTCAGACATATCTGAAACCATGTGATCATCAAACCTATGCCAGCGTTCTGTCAAGCTATTCCTGCTAAAGGCAGTATCTGAAAATATGAATTTTATAAATAGACATATTCTAACAGACAAGGGCTATATACTGATTTTACACCCAAAATGTAATTATCTATGTTTGTGGATGGGCTGCGGGAAATACATACTGCAAAAATCATTGAAAGATGATTGCCCCCATAGAATGAAATATTTACTTAATATTTTTGGGGAGAGGGAATAGCACTGATATTAGGATCTAGTCCCTCAGCTGCACATAATAAGTGGTACTTTATTTCTAATTCAGTGGTGGAGGACCCCCCCCCCACCCTCCACTTACATGAGAAATATCAACAGGTATTTTGCAGAAATATTCAAAACCAATTGTCAAAAATAACATCATGACAGACAAAATAGATTTAAATGTGTTTTTAGAAACAAATCCAGTCAAAAATGCAACATTAAACCTCTATTTTACATTGATGTGTTTGAAGAAAAAACTACATGCATTTTGTATAAATCAAGAGTAATATATTTTTTGTACTTACAATGACCTCCTTCCATTGTGCCATAGTGGTTCTGCAAATAAAAATTGTGAAGGAGAATTGAATTCATTTGATATTCTGAATAAATGAGAAAGTAATATTACTAGAGTATCATTTATTATATTAAATGGTGTTCAAAAATAATAAATTTTATGTAAGTCTCAGTCAAGAATGTGACTTTTCCATGAGAAAGGCCAAACAGGCACCATAAAATACATATTGCAAAAAATAGTACATCCATATCTAATCCAGTATTAACCAGAAGTCTCATATTCACTTTTGGATCTAATTATTAGATAAGTAAGAAACTTAAAACAGGAAAATACTAGTCTTATTTCAAGACTGTGGACCCTTATCTACTTCTCCAACACATGATGAAAAGAAGATAGGGAGGGGGGGGGGGGGGTCCAGGGTCCCGAAGCAAGACTAGGAAAATACAATAAATTGAAGATATCTTTTTCGTAAAAAATGAGAGAAGTAATATGTATTTTCACCATAATATAAAATTGACCTTACAATGAGATTGATTAAGCCTTAAATCAATGGTATTATGATATTTTCTTTGAGAATATTATATTACTCCTCCTTTCCTCTTAATAAATAACATCTATTTGTAAAATAACTTACTGAAACTGCGTATAAGTTGTAAGGCTTTGTCCTCTTAGGGCCCTGTATGATACCGTTCAATGACATATCCCTCAGTGGAAAGTCAACTGTTGTAGTTATCTTCTGCCTAAATTGATGACTATCAAACCAGAACCTGAAAAATTTAATCAATTTTACCCTGGTCATATTTGTAAATTTTCTGCCCTCTAGGGCTAGGACTAGAACTGATGATTTAACACTTTGGGTGAACCAGTCTGAGAGTACATTTAACTAAGATCCACAACACAAATATTTTTTACATAGATAGAGAACTGTCATTGGGGGATAAGTCACTCTGCTTGGCAAGGTGAGACAGAGGCATATTGAGAGTGTGAGACAAACCCCCAACTCTTGAAAAGGGTAAGTACATTTCAGATGTCATGAGAGTCTTGGGATTTTGATTTTAATTAATATTATTGTGAACTATAATGAATCTAAATTCTTAAGGAGTACATGCTTAGATCAAGAAAATCTATTTTCAACCGCATTATAAAGCCATCCCCTATGTGGGAATTTCATCCAATCCTCCTAAACAAATTGTCTTGCCAAAGTACACCATTTATAAAGTATTTTCAGGAACCAAAAGTTCTGTTTACCCCCTCTATGTTTTCTTCACCAACTTACCTTTTGAGACAAATAATCAAAACTGGTGGAGTTTTCCAGATATCTATTTTCTTGATCGCATCTCTCTTACATTTGCATCTTGGGCAGTTCCATCGACTATCACCTGTCATTTTTTCCTCTTTAAGGAATAGCTTGAAACAATCCTGAAAGAATTTTTCAACATTGGAGGCACTGAGCAGACAAAAACACTGGTGTTAAAATATAGTATTCTTAGACTATTCTAGTACCGTTTTATGAATAGAAAACATTTAAATCACTGTCAGATTAATCACAAAGGGGACATGCCATTAAGAGGCCATTCTCTGACTTAGTCATTTTTTCAAAAGTGTCAAAATAAAAAAATTCATGAAAAGTTCTTAAAATATTCTGAATAACAAGTTGAATATATATATTTAATGATGGCACAAGCAAAAGTCTGAAAATTAACATGAAATGAAGGGTTTTGACAGATGCAAAAGATGGTAGATTTGTGATGAAGAAATAAAGGTTTTTGCAGTAACAACACAATTACCTCGAAGTTATCCGTTATGAGAGGCTGAGGACTAAACTTGACATAATTTTCAATCTCAGATTATCAGTTGTATCTAACTTCTGAACTTAAGCCGGACAGCCACTCAGAATGTATATGGAGCCCATAAGATTCATTTTTCTCAATTGAAGTCACTTTTTCTGTTTTTAGCTTCAGAGGATAGGAGGTACATGAACATGCTAAGTTTACCTAGATCACAAGCCTTACCACAAATATAAAGTATATAGGAATAGAGTTGATATGTATGAAAACTTTAAACTTCACATTTTATTGGGGATGGAACTTGTGGACCATGTGTATTTCTAACTTCTTCACATGTACATGGATCTAAAATTGTGGCAGCCATCTTGGATTTGTCATATTATGTGGACATGGTTTTGGTTGTGCTGAATTTGTTTCAAAATAACATTTCTTGTATACCTAAGTGAGATAGGCATTTGAAATTAAATACAGATAGTATACTTGACATTTAATGCAGTAAACAGTAATACAATTCATTCTTACATAATAAGTGAGTCCAGACAAAAAGTTGTTATTGTGTTAGTTTAACTGGGCATAAATTAAACTCATTGGCATTGGTTTTCTTAATTGGCTTGGATAAATGTTGTTCTGCTTATTCAGAAAAGGAGTATAGTTCAATATGCAAGTTCACATTCGTTCCATCCTCTTGTAGAAATGAATCTCATATTATTTCATCTCAAATATAGAACACAAAAATATAATAAAAAACAAGTTTCTATTAATTGCAAAAGTTAGCTTCTATGTCATGACTGAGTTTGGGTTCCGCTTCTAGGGAAAAAATATCCATCTGGAAATATCGTATTGATGATTGCTATATACGAGGGTTGTCCCAGAAGTAATGCACTATATGCTCTAACTTTATCAATAATTGATATTTTTCCATTAAATTTTCAGTAAATGTTCCTTAGAGACATTTTGATTATTCTAAAAAGATTCATGTTGACTGATAAAACTATATTGATGTTATAATAAAATCAAGTTGGTGTGTTTAAGTAGGGCGGGGCAGGTTATACAGTCACGTCAAAAGGAATAAAAAATTGAAAATATGAAATAATTAATCAACAAATGCCATTTGGGGAAGCTATAAGAAGTATGCTCAAAAACACGTTTTAAGATAATAAACTACTATGAGCACATCCTAGATTTAATGAATGTATATTATGCACAGTGTTCCATTTCACATTTTCTCAAAATATTGACCTTTGCATGTTATGTACTTTTGATGCCTGTCAAGTCAAACACTCTCGGCAATTTCTTCAACTTTGACTTGTTGAGTTTTTGCCTCTTATGTTTGGAGTTGTCATCCAGGGTCAAATCGTCTCTTTTAAAACTCTTCTGCCACCCCATAATTGTAGTTCTATCTGGTATATACTCCTTATATACTTTCTTCAAGGTAGCATTGTTTTGCGTGGCTGTGAGTCCAAGTGAAGTATGAAATTAGGCCACCAAACGCAATGCCTTCTGTTATCAGGTGAAAATTGCAGCCATTTTTGCAATTTCTTGCCTGTGACTGTATTTGAATTCGTGACAATTGAAATGTGGTATTATGACACCACAGTGGTAAATGTCATTATTTGTACTTGGTTAACATCATGCTGAATAAATTTAACAATTTCCCAAACATTTTGACCATTTAAAGGAAAGAAATATTAATAAAATAACACTTTCGATATTTTCATAATTAGAAAAATTGGTACCTGCCCCGCCCACCCCTACCCCCATGTTGTTATAGCAACCATATTGAGACTTAATATTAATGTTGGATGCTGAAACTTCAGGATATAATAGATGAAACTTCAATTGTTATATACACAAAATTTCAGCTGAATTGAAGAATATTAAAGAAAGTTAGAGCATATAGTGCATTACTTCTGGGACAACCCTCGTACACTCCATATTTAATCCTCCCAGTAAATAACATTGATATACAGTATACATAGAGGATATCCTATGATTTAAGAGTGATATGATTTTTATCCACGAATGGATATGATATCTGCACGAGCGAGCGTAGCGAGAGAGTGCAGATTTCAATAACCATGAGTGGATTAAAATCATATCACGAGTAAATCATAGGATGTTCTTTTTATTCCATAGTTAAAGTCATCATCAGAATCTTCAGAAATTAAGTCATTTAATTCGAATTTTCCAAACGATCCGGCGATGTTGACACTTAGCCTCGTTTTGAGTCTGAAGTAGCAAAAATCCATAAACCATCGCATACGACGTCGTATGTCATGGCTAAAAAACCGTATGCTATGGTTAAGTGAAAATTTGTCAAAAATATCATATTTTACCACTGATTACAAAAATACCGTTTTTATTTTCACATGTTATCCTATGAATATCATGCTAACTATGGAATAAAAGTATATATGACATCAAGGATCTGGGGTTTGGGTAATGTGAGACATGAGGCCACTTGTCTTTTTGAATCTCATATTCAATATTCTTTCTTTAAACCCTCATATTTAATATTTTTGGAGTGGTAATTCAATTATGTACCTATTTTTTATTCGTTATCCCATAGTTGAACTCTGTTCCACTCTGTTAGGTAACATGAAAACATATTTATGATATTTTGTAAATGCGTGGAAAAAGTGATATCTGTGGAATACGGAAAATATTTCACAGATATTACCTTTTGGCAGGGATTTGAAAACTACCACCAATATGATGTGTTTTGTTACATAGTGATTTCATGACATCACGGGGATGAATGAATGAATGGATGTTGTTTTGATATGCTTTGTTTAGTTTTAGAGGTGAACTATGGGAAAAATAGAACATCCTATGAATTTTCGTGATATTGTGTTAATCCAACTCATTGATATCAATATCTGCGCTAATTCGCTATGCTAACTTGGCAAGATATTGATATCAACTCGGAGATAAAGATAAAATCATTTAAAATCATATGATATCCTATACATATCCTTTACTGTGCTACAACTTTCTCATATGTTATATATGTTATATATATATATTGCCCTATGTGCTTTTCCATGAAAATAATTTAATCGTATCTTTTCTTCAGTATTTCATATATTACATTTTAATATATTTAAATTGGTTAATATTTATATACTATTTACTTAGACAACAATAAATAAAGATTTTTTTGTAAAAACACCAAAAATGGTATATGATCTTTAAATGACTGTTGCATGAACATCAAAGCTCAAAATTCGCTGAAATTGTAATTTTATAAAGCACAAATGATTTTTCTTCAATATGATATGCATTATTATCAGATATCTTTGTGGGCTAAAAAGGGCCCTTAATGACACCCGTCCTTTACCTGTAAAGAACAGCTTCTTGAAGTTGGAACAGGGAGAGTGATGTACATGAATACATCAAACTTCACTGATGTTTTACCACAGGTTAGACAAGTAAGTGTGGATTTCAACTGCCCCTGAAAAATACAGTCAATTTTAAATGAATTTCAATATTCACTATACAATACAGAATACATTTTGTATTATCAATTTATTCAGATATCTAAAAAGGGCCCAGTCTTAATATACCCCTTAAAATCAAACAGTCTGCAATTTTCACTAACAATTTATTTACAATGTAGATACAATCTTCCTTCTGTATTTAGGCCTGATAAATCCCTTTCGTGAGTGGACTGGCAAGTGCAATAATTATAAGAGACAAATGCACACCTTAGTGATTTATTCACACACTAGTTATAAAGCAAACAATTTAAACTGCAATATTTACAGAAAATAAGGTTTCTACCAATTTGCACCATTGAAAGACTGAAAATCCTTCATTGATGCAAGTTTATGTATATTCTTTATGAGCTTTGATTTAATTTTGTACCCTGTTTCATTTACATGCATAAAATGCCTCAGAAATATGTTGTATGTGAAATATGTATTTTTACCTGGAATAGTTCTACCATGATTGACTGATTGAATTGTTTGTGGACCTGCCACGCCTTCTCTGCTGCTGTATGATCAGGTTGACCACTAAAGTCATCTTCCTTTGCTTGAGGCCTATTTTTCACCTGGAAAAACCAAATTCCTGGTTATAGGACTGAGGGGTTTTTTGACATTACTTCTTTAGGCATAATATCAGAGTTTGGGATAGAGGGATTTTTTTCCTGAAAGCTGATTTTATAAACAATACAGTAAAACCCCTACATATATGTATATCTGAACACCTTTCTAAAGCCTCTCAATGTGAACATTTTTTCAGTCCCATTTTTAATCTACCATAGATTTCCATGTTAAAAAACCTTGAAATATTGAAACCCGCTGAACCATACACTTTTGGCTAGTCTCTTTGACATTCAGATTAGACAGGTTTCTGTATATATTTTTTGACAGATGAATTTAAAGGTTTGATGATAGGATCTCAATGGCCTCAAATGAAGCTTTCATCAAATTCATAATATATTACGAGAATTCGAACATGAATATGTTAGCTTATCATCTACCTATAAAAGCAGAAAATTTAGCGACAAAATGTTCAAACGACAAATTCTGGTTGATCAAAGAATCAAATTCATTACACTCAGATATCACAGTTGAAGTATTTATTAATTGAACAAAACATAATCATGTATTGACTATTCGTGTAGCTTACTTACTCTATTGCAATCTTCATGTATTCCATCTAACAGAAATACAAGAAGTTCCTGGGAGTCTTGTTGACTAAACCCTCCAAACAGGGGTTGAAAGTACTTATCCACTGTACACTGAAAATAGTAAAGGCATATACTATTTAACTCTCCTTGCAGTGGTCCAAATATTTATCCACTGAACACTGAAAACATTAAAAGGCATACAATATTTTAACTCTCCTAGCAGAGATTGAATATATTTATCCTCTGTACACTGAAAATATCAAATGGCATACAACCAGAACAACGGCAACGCCAAAGCGTAGCGAATCCCATCGAACAGCCATGGATGGCATTTTTACAAACAAAGTATTTAGCAAAAATGGCAGGCATTTTTCAAAATGGCCGCCTTCTACCAAAAGTGTCATTAGACCATTTGCCATACTTATAGTATTCACATACCAAATATGAACAAAATCGCTCCACTACTTTTCGAGTTATAGTAAAATACGTTAAAATGGTGGCCATTTTGAAAAATGGCCGCCTTCTACCAAAAGTGTCATTAGACAGTGTGCCATGCTTATAGTATTCACATACCAAATATGAACAAAATCGCTTCACTACTTTTCGAATTATTATAAAATACGTTAAAATGGCGGCCATTTTTCAAATTTTTTTTCAAAATGGCCACCTTCTACTAAAAGTGTCATAGGACAGTGTGTCATGCTTTTAGTATTCACATACCAAATATGACCAAAATCGCTCCACTACTTTTCGAGTTATAGTAAAATACGTTAAAATGGCGGCCATTTTGAAAAATGGCCGCCTTCTACCAAAAGTGTCATTAGACAGTGTGCCATGCTTATAGTATTCACATACCAAATATGAACAAAATCGCTTCACTACTTTTCGAGTTATAGTAAAATAGGTTAAAATGGCGGCCATTTTTCAAAATGGCGGCCATTTTTTAAAATGGCCACCTTCTACCAAAAGTGTCTTTAGACAGTGTGCAATGTTTATAGTATTCACATACCAAATATGAACAAAATCGCTCCACTACTTTTCGAGTTACAGCAAAAATCGTAAAATAACGACAGGGTTCGTACACCTTTTTCAAATGAATTTCCCTGACAATTCCCTGACATTTCCAGGCAAAAAAGGAAATTTCCAGATCTAATTTTCCTCGCGCTAAAAAGTCTCAAACAACTGTATTATTCAAGACAAAAAGACTTATTATGAAACATTTGGGGTTTCTCCTTCGGTACCATTTCTCATGACTTAACTACTTGTACAGGCAGTCTTATTCACCAATTTATTCCTGATACATTTTATTTTTAATATTACATATTCTACATTGCATAAGGCCAAAGGTAAACATACATGTACAGGGGCATAGCCAACAAGTATCAAGGAGGTGCATCTTTTGGGGTTTGCATCATTGTGAGCGAAGGAAAACCAGAAGGGGGGTACGGGGGTTCACCCCCGAAAATATTTCAAAATTGGCAATTGTATCTGGTGCATTCTAAGCATTTCAAACTATAATTTGTTAATGTTTTGTAATGAATCCAAATGACAACTGAAACTTTAAAACTTTGATCTAAATCCTACTAGAAAAATAGCAACTCACTTGAGGGGCAATTCCCACCTAATGAAACATGTTTCTATTGAATACTATCATTGTGAACATTATATGATAGCAATAATGATGGCATTACTATTGTCTTCTCCCTTTTGGGAAAATTACACCAAAACAATTGACACCATATTAGAAATTCCTTCTTAAGTAGCATCACCAGATCACGAAAAGGCTCAGGCCTATGATACCAAATCAAATAATCAGTATTTTGTGTTATCAGGAATCAAATTTCTTTAAATTATCAAAAATTTCATAAAAAATGGTGGCAATTTTGAATTCAGAGACCATCTTGAATATTTCTTCTTGAGCAGGTCCTTTGTCCCTAAGGCTACATCATACAAAATTTGAGCCAAAGTAAAATGCTGGGTTCATCTTTACAAGAAGAAAAATTTGGACCAAATTCAAAAACTGTTAATAGTACCCCACACACATTTTGGTTGCCTACACGTACTTCCATGTGCTAAGGTTTTCAAAATTGGCAAAGCCCCTGAAAGTTAAAAAGACTGACGTACGATCGGACTGTCGAACAGACAGCTTCTTAATATAAATACAATTTTACATTGTAAAGAGCGCCCAGAATTTTTTTTGTTTTTCACCTCCCCCCCTCAGATTAACCCCTCATCAAACCATGAATTATATACCAGTAATTAACTTTGAATGGCCTAAGACTAAGCTTACTACATAAAAAAGCATAATTGTATTAAATCATCTATACATTATTTTTATTGTTCGGTTTCAGTGTAATGTTCACACTGTTCTTACAAATAGACAATACCAGATCTCATGTCATTCAACCAACCCTAATGAAACGATTTGGAATTTGTGGAAACAACTAGATGATTTTGGATTTCACTTATATCCTGTCATAGCCCTAAAATGTATTTTGCTGGAACATTATTCTTTCAACATTGATACAAAATTCCCTGACATTTCCCTGACACATCTACTGTTTCAAAATTCCCTGACATTTTTGGCCCTTTTTGACCCAATTTTAAAATTCCCTGACATTTCCAGCACCTGGAAAAATAAATCAATTTCCCTGACATTTCCAGGTGTGTACGAACCCTGAACGAGTAAAGGCCGCCATTTTTCAAGATGGCTGCCACGTGCTTCTTTAATATCTACATTTCTAGCTTTATTAATGTCCTATATAATTTTTTTACATCTAAAACATATTGCTATTACAGTTTTACATATTGCACCTAAATTACTGTAAATCCGGCACTAAAATGGCCGCCATTTTGTAATGAGCGGCCATTTTGAAAATCGGCTTTCGAGCAGAACTTCTACCCCCATAGGGTATATGTGTACAAAATATGAACAAAATCGGGTGAACGGTATTTGAGTTATTGCCCGGACGGACGGACGGACGGACGGACAGACGGACGGACGGACGGACATCATTTGTTGTTGCTGCATTGGTTTCTTCATTCATTTTCTTCTTTCTTTGTCTTGATTTGATTGCGATGTTACTTATCTTTCTTCAGGGTCCACAGACTTGAGACTGCGCATAGGTGGGTTAAACGTTTTGATCCGGCCGGAAAACTCTCCCCTTCCCCTTACTGTTGGTCTTATGCTGATTTGTCATCTTAGTTTACCCTCTTTGCGGAGAAGATACTGTTTCATATTCATTTGTTAATGTTCTCTTCTCTCATTAATTTTCCAGTCCTTCATGATGATATTCTCCTGCATATTGTATTTAGTACATATCCATTTATTTCTTGTTATAGCTTTCTTAGTATACGAATTTAGTATGTTGCTCCTGTAGCCTTGACATTGTAGTTTATTTCCCAGGCTGGTAACTCTGTTTGTTGCATCTTCCAGTTGACTGCAGATTCTTGAAATCCTTATTATTTGTGATATAAATATTCCATAAGATTGGTTTCTAGGAATATTTCCAGATAGATCAGGATATGAGACTATTTGGAAATTGAAGTTTTCCCTTTTGTCGTATAGTTTTGTAGTGATTTGTTTATTTACTATTTTCATTTGTATGTCCAGAAAAGTTGTTTCTGTATCCTTCTCATTTTCCTTGTTTAACACTAGTTCTTCAGGATAGATGTTCTTCATATCAGTCTCCATTTCTCCGTCGTTGTTTATAGTACATAAATCATCGATGAATCTTGTAGTTTTAGCATATTTTAGTACTTTGGAGTAGTCTTCCCTATACATTTTCTCAATGGCTTGAAATTCATAACTGTATAAGTATAGGTTTGCCATATATGGCGCCGGATCGATTCCCATCGGTATTCCAATTTTCTGTCTTAGAATTGATTTCCCTGCTTTAAAGTAGGCTGTATCCACGATGAACGGACAGACGGACGGAGGCGTTCCATATATCCCTCCGAACTTCGTTCGATGGGATAATAATCAAACTCTTAGTATACTGAAATATTTTATGTCATATATATATAATAGTTGGAGACTTCATCTCAATTATAGGCCATCTTGAATTTCTCTTACGGACTAACAGTCCAATGTACTTTCACGCATCTAAGTATTGGGTTATTTTGGACCACAATCCTATAATTTCCTACTTGTTTATCAATATTCATACCTTAAAATCAATGGGAGTAATAGATCTGTATTGTCCCTGCCATAGTGCTTTACATAGAACGCCATACTCCTCCGCAAGCTCACCATTCTTGCTCAGTTTGTTCTCCCTAAGATATAAAATAACATATTATCATTTTCACTGTCAAGTTATGATTGGTGGAAACTTAAAGAACAGATATTGATGTAACAAAAAGTTTCTTAGACAATTTCTTATTTCTGTAAATTAATTCATTAAAAATGTTATTTCTAAAAAACATGGATGAGCCAAGACCAAACATTTCAGAACAGAGGGCATCTTAATTATAAATCAAGACCAGAAAATCATGTATTTCTGTATCCCAATTTACATGTGAAAATTGCTGGAAATACTGGATTTTAGTATATTACTATAGAATTCTCTCACATCATTTCTAATACAATATGCAATCTATTTCCAACTGTCTACTGTTGCTCACCTGTTGATGTCTTCTTTGTAATAATCTGCCAGGAAGTAAGCTGTCAAGGCAGGGGTGTTACTGAGGCATTGTATACATGTGCTCATGTAGCATGTGTTTCCCATGTTCCTCAGACCAGTCAGTCCTCTGCCCTGGAGAAATAAACACAAAGTACTCATCAAGGTGAGCCACATAATCAGAAGTCTTCTATCATATTTGTTGGGCTTAATGCATTGGACTTTCTCTCAAAGCCCACGCTCCTATTATATCTAACTTTTAGTTAACTTAGTTTATTTAAACTTTTAATGGTAGGACCCTTGAAGAGATGATTGGCCTCCATCTGGATCTCAAAGTTTAAGAAACATGTACATGTTGCAGTATTTTCAATTTTTCATTACATACATGTCACATGGATATAGGCTACAACACCCAAGGGTTGTAAAGAAAAATTATTGATCAGTGTAATTTTCCAAATGCATATTGGATCTTTCATAAACTATACTTCCTCCCTCCCCTAATTTAAAGATACTCGGGAGAGGGAACCAGTCAACTGAGAATCTCCATTCATCATTTTGGTCTTACCGTGCTTCCATAAGTTGGTTGAAGGTTTCGCACCCTTGCAGAGTTGAGGCTCACAATGGGTTGCTGTCTGGTCATCTTAGGTCTGAAATATCAATACATGAGGCTCAGTATAGGGGCTTTATACAACCCGACAATGGAGTACCCAACCAAGATGCTATGTGTATGCCATTAGTCAAAGTATGTTAATGAGACACTCCCTCGCCCCATGTAAAAGGAGCTGGGCATTACATCCAGCCGAGAGTATGAAAATGAGCCTACACCCAGATGAAAATTTTGCAAGAATACTGTTATTCATGAATTACTATTAAACAAAATGAAAACACATTTGATTATCAATAGGCCATATATCAATATGAGGATTTGAAAATGGTTAAAATATACATCAAAAATGATATGAAGAATATAATATAAACACATACTTTTCTTCAGTTGGCTTGCTGAATCTCTCAAACTTTGGAATAGGTTTATGAAGCGCTTCATCCTCTAACATTTGTGCTATGTTTGGTGATGAATGGGATCTTGCAAGATTTGAACCTTTCCTCGGTGTATCATTCTCATCTCGTAATCGTGTTTTTGTAATAGAGGGGACAGGTTTGTTTACTGAAACAATTTAAGGAAATGAGACACATGCTGACAAGAATTATGGATCAACCTCCCCTCTTAGTAGGAATTATGGGTCTACCTCCCCTTCCTGCAGAAATGATGGATCTACCTCCCATCTCCGCAGGAAATAAGGGTCCGCACATTCAAGAAAGAGAAAACTTGAGGAAAGGAGCAGCCCAGTCAGACTAATTCCTGAAAGATGTAGAGACTCTCAACATCGCAAGGGATGGGATGGTGATGATGACTGTATTTACTCTTTATTTCATCCTGTTGAAGTTGATGACTGTATTAAATACCTGTTGTAGAAATGCTTGGAGGCTCCCATTGGGTTGTCCCCTTGGTGTGATTGACAAAGAAATATTTCTGTGATTTTTCATCCCATTTTCTCTCCCATCCAGTTGGCAATTTTATCTCAGGTTCAACTAGAAACAAAGCAAATATTTGAATACACTGTTTACAAGGCAACTTTTTTGGAGTCCTATACTATTCTAAAATGTGTTCCCTCCTAACAGATATTAACACATTTTGACAACAACCTTGATAAAAACATGAAAGCACATTGCACTTCAATTGTCATAAAAACTTCTTGACACATCTTGAAAGTCCCAGTAGTTATAATAAATAGGTTTTGAGATGAATGTAAGTCAACTGATTATCAGATTAAATGGATGAAGTCATAGATATTGTGGAAAAAAATAAATAAAAAGCAGAAGGGTGAGAAAGGCAACTTGAGGCACACCCTTGATAATTAAAATAAATACTTGCAAAATCTTGTAAAATAGCAATATTATTATGATTGACACTTGCACTTAATATTACTGTACTCGGTGTACTGCTGAATTCTCAAATGTACCTTTTCTTAATCTGTCTTGTTTTTCTTTATCACTCTTTTCTTTGGCAATTCTCTTGTCTTCCTCTTCACGTCTCTTTCGTTCATTAGCTTCTTTCTCTGCTTTAAGTTTTTCTTGTAGGCGAATGCTTTCATCTATAAGTTTCTGCTGTTGTATTTTTCTCTCCTGTAACATTTCAGTAATGGTGCATTTCATTGAAAAGGTATGTGAGTGATAACACTGACAAATGTGTGTTGTTTTATTCTTACGTTACATGACTAACTTAATTTGAAGTATGAAGCATTTGACTGACTTGATATTTCAAAAAATTAAAGCTTCTAATTACATAAAAATGAAAACAAAGACCTATCTCCTTCCCAACAGTTAAGGGGATAAGGGGAGCAGTTCGAGTGGAAATGGTGGGACTTGCATGCTTGGACGCATACAAACACAAAAATAAATAAAATGGGATTGTTCACCTGTTCCAGTTTCAGTTGTGTCTTGAGATCTTCTTCCATCTTCTGTCTTTCAGCCTCTTTTGCCTTCTCAGATGCAGCCTTAAATATTCAACAACAAACAGGTTTTGATTGCACTTATAAGAATCAACATACTCACTGGGATTATTCAAGTTCAACACACAACTCCTAAATGATTAATTATTACCAATTACCTCTTGTGCTGCAATTAACTTTGCCTGGTCTAATTCTTCTTGTTTCTTCCTCCCTTCATTTTCTTTCCTCTTTCTCTCTATTCTCAGTTGATCTACCTCAGTTTGTGCCTCTCGCTTCTCTTCCTCTAGTTTCCTCAGTCGCTCAATTTCAGCCAGTCTAAATGGAAGAGAATAACATAGCCATGGTGATATTATTATCTCGAAGCCCACAGTCAAACATAAGACAATTTGAACAAAAACATGGAACTTGTGGTGTTATAATAAAACACAAAGAATACAAAAGAAAAAAATTATGTAAAAACTCACCTTTTAGCTTCCTCTTCTTGTCTCTTTTGTTTCTCGGTCTCCCACTTTTCTTTCTCTACTTTTATTTCTTCCTCTATTTGACGCTTTTTGCGGAGCAGGTCAGCATAGTTCTTTGCCTCTTCCTTTGATCTTCGTTGCATTTCATCAGCCTAATGAATATGAATAAGATTTAATATGTAAATAAATAAAATAGGTAATATTGTAAAAATTGCTTTAAAACGTTAACTTTTAAGTGTTATTCAAACAAAAGAGAAACTTATCCACAAATTATACATTCGTGGAGTAGATTATTTTCTTTGGTGTAACAAACATCTGAGTAAATAAATAGATAGTTTTAAAGAAAAATAGCTTCATCCCCAAATCAGAGTACATATAATGCAACTTTAAATGGTTTTACACCTACCCTTTTCTGGTCTTCTTGGAGTCGACTTAGGGTCATTTGATGTGTTGTATCTGCAATATTCCCAGCAGTTTTATAATCCAAGAGTTCCTCTTCCTTTGTCTTTCTGGTCTCTTGAGCCTCAATAAGTTCTCTTGTGACCTCTGTATTAAGCACCTATGGCAACATTAAATGGCTTTAAACATGCACTGATTTTATATCAGCCATTAATTTAAATATGGATGAAAATGCACTTCTATTAAACCTATTAGTGATCTCCTCAGAACTGAAGCATATGGGCACTGCACCTACTTTAGAATTTAAAATTGGCCTTATTATACCCAAATAAAATCTATTCACAACTAACATTAAATTGATAAAATCATGAACATTGTAATGTTTGGACCCATTTGTAGAAAATGTCGCCTTACCTTTTTACTCGATAGGTCATTTATAATGTCCTTAGGAACATCAGAAGGCTTACTAGATCTGTCAGGCATGTTAGGCCGCGCTTTCACTTGTGTCTTCATTTCACTTTCATTTCCCTCCATGATATTCTTATCATCAGTTCGTAGTTCTTTACGCAATGATTCAAGATCTGATGTTCTTGTTGAATTGTTCGTGGGCTGTGCGTTCATTGGTTTAGAAGCTTGGGCCTCTTGAGGCTTTAATGATCGATTAACAGTAGGAATATGCTTCACAGTTACTTGTGCTGTAGTGTTCGAGATGACATTGTTAGGCTTTGAATTGTTTAGTGCAGTATTGTTTAAAATCAAATTGCTAGGTGTAGTGATGTTCTCTATAGTAGCTGGTTTGGTGGGTTGAGGGGGAGGTTTCACTTCTGGTTTAGGGGTCTCCATAAAAGCTGTGTCAAAGTCTGGATAATCAAAGTCCACTGAAAATAATTGAAACGTCATTTTAACCCAGTCCGAGAAATGATGCAATTAAGGTGTTATTTGTTCACAGAAAATACAATTTTTCAGCTGTAACAATATAACAGCTCAATCGAGGCACCAAAAAGAAAGCTCAAACATGACATCTAGAACAGAACAGTTCAATCATGACATCAACATAACAGCTCCATCAAGACACCAACATAAAGGCTCAAACATGACATTAACAACATGACAGTTCAATCAAGACACCATCAAGAAAGCTCAAACATGACATCGACAACAGAACAGTTCAAACATGACATCAACAAAATCAGCTTCATCATAAGATCAACACTAGAACAGCTCATTTATGGCACTCAATCACTTACATGATGGGATAGGAGAGACTGCATCGCTGTATGAAGGGGGTCTAGGAATATTAGCATTTGTAGTCATAGTGGGATAGTACAGGAGCCAATTATCATAGCCTCCATCTAGAACACATGGCTCTACCTTGATACATTTACTTGCATCAAACTGAAATCAACAACAACACAATGTAGGCAATAACAAGAGTGGGTGAATGAGATTATATTGTAATGGAATTTGTGCAAAATCATGGGCCAAATGCTCAAAAAGTGATTCATGCTGTGGAGATACTGGGAAGTCAAAAAATGTATATCATAATCAATCTACTAATACGTCTCATAATGATGAGATATAATACACCAACAATTCAAAAAGTAGCACTACTTCTACAGTACCTTATAAAGAGCATCCTTAAGTGTTTTAAGCACTGATCCAGTACTGAGTCCTTTAGCTGCACTCTTCCAGTCCATGAGCACAATCTGATCCACCTGGTCACGAAGGTCCCATAAAACCTTTGAGGCTGTTGGTAGAGCCTTTTCTATGTAAGTAACAGTAGTCCTGGAAATATAGATATATCAATGTAGTGTAATAGCTCTTCTAGAATAATCATTCCATTTTATGAAATAAATCTGGTGTATTACATAAAAACAAGATGACAAAAACTCTTTTTTAAGTTATATCCAGTTTATTTCGTTAAACCACACTTGCTACTATAACCAAAAAAAGATGTTACTAATGAAATAGCCTAAATACATTCAGTTCACTTACCCAGATGGAATGATGTCACTGGGTATACTGATACACTGTTCTATATTGAGATGTGACTCTTGAAATTCTTTCTCTGATCGGGTGTCTATAACAAGCAGACTAGTGGTGCCATCAGTCAGTAAAGTGTACAACTGTTGAGGGGTAATCACGCCAGCTTCAGCTGTTACTTTATCTACAATTAGAGGGAAAATCACTAATATACACACCATAAATTATTTTTGATGAATTTTTGTATAAACTGTATAAACACCTATTTAAACCATCATAAATTGGAAATAATTTTTGCTTCTTAACTTATTATATAGAATAACAAATTTAACAATTATTTACTATAGTATTGTACCTTGAATAATTATTTCAGCAGCCTTAATCTTCTCTGCCTCAATTGCATCTTGTTCTTGTTGTTTCTTGGAATTTTCTTCCTGTTGCATGTCTAGAGCATCCAGTTTCTTTACTATCTCTTCAGCCTCACGTTCCTCATACCTAAACATAAAAACAGACTTTTACATACAACAAACACACTTTCATATTGTGCCCTCCTTACAACTAAACAAAGCAAACACAGTATTGTATTGTGTTCATTTCATCAATAGTACCATGGGTACTTGACTCACATGGCATTGTGATACTAGCTTTCAGGACAAAATTCCACAATTGCCACCTTAATATTTACCCCAAATGTCCAAAGACTAAACATTTGTAGACTTTTATATGGTTTTTAAATGCTTTTGAACTTGGACTCATACTATCGTTTGGTTTTCTGGATTGTTGATGAACAAGAACAATTTAAAACGGAAATACTATCAACAGAGGTTTTAAAATGTGCTGCTTATTGTTGACAGATAGACGGATGGACAGATGGATCGATGAGTGATTGCAATAGCTCATATCTAATAAAATCAATGGACCGATGTTACTTTTTTAATATTTAATCATTTATAAAACTTTCTGAATCATTTCAAACCCTGTAAGAATATTTATGAAAGGAGATCCAAAAATTGAAAGAATGACGTATCTCCTCACCTCTTTTTGAGAGACTCTTGTAACCTCTCAGCCTCATCCATTGCTTTCAGAAGGTTTTTTGTCCCCATTAAATCCCTATAGTATTGCTAGGACAGACAAAGAACATTTTGTTAAACATAAGATATCATATACTGTACACATACATTTTTACTTGTTTGATTTCAACCATCAGCTTATAGGAAAAACATATGGAGAAACTCAAAAAATATAAATGTTTCTGAAAGAAGTTTCTTCTGGTTATATGTCATATGAGACACCAGAATGTTGCGTATTGAATAAAACATCCCATAGTTTTACATCAATACAACCCCTTATAAACTAAGACACACAAACTAATATTTGTATATTTATATATTTCTTTACTGACTTCATTCTTCTTGTAGTCTGCTGTCTTTTTGATGTTCTGGATGCAGTCAAAGTAGCGCATAAACAATACATATGCCCTCTCCTCATCTCCCAGCATGTCACTCTCTTGCCCATTCTTGAACAGTTTATCTGCAGATTTCACGCCAAGTCTTGCACTTGTTATTTTTTGGCTCCCCACCTCACAGTATTTATTGAGGCTTGTTATATCTTTTGCCAGATAAAGATCTTTTTTCTTCACCCCTGGCATTTTAAAACTGAAACATAAGAAATAATTTGGATTGATCAGTTTAGCAGTATTCAGCAATTAGCAGTATTTTAAGCTACTGTAAAAACATGGTGAATCAAGGTAATAAAAACAATTTAAAGGGAAGTACTTCAGCGCTCCAATACTTGCACGGAAGGATAATAATGATGTATGACATAGTTAGAGAACAAAAATAAGCCGCTGATCAACTTAATTCATGTTTTAAAGGTCACTATTATTCAGCGGTCCATTTCCCCGTAAGTTTCAAAATCTAACATGGCTCTCGAAGTGAGTAAAATCAGTTATCATTTACAATTTTGTTAAGCAACCAATGAATCAGGGCCTGGGCTAGGCGACAGCGAGAAATTTGAAGCATTATGTTGTTATGAAAAAGTTGTGTGACAAATCCTCCATCAAAACATGGACTTTCATTTCTGCAGAAAATAATTTGTGTTTTTTATGAAAATTGGCAGTATTCAAAAATAAAACTCGCAATCGGGTAGACTTAAATAAATTGAATATTTACCTGATTGTGTAAAGAATCAATGAAATGATTCGTACAGCATGATGTTTAGAAAATCAGTTCATTTTGTACCAGGAAACATTTTATTTATTTTTTACCCAAAATTTACCGAGAGCTAAACGTTTGTTTCGTATTCGCTCAAAGTAAATGATTTACCTCATATTTTTGTTTTTAATACATTGAATAGAAATTATAAACTATTTTATTTGATTTCTTCATTATTTTGAATTCAAGTAGTTGCTAAAATAGATTCTTTGACGTAAGATTGTGATACGAAGTGGAGGCGAATCAGCACTTTCATACAAAGCTAGGAAATTTACATTTACAAAATGAGAAAAGTTTCATCTCTGTATTTTGTTGGTTTACTCCTGATTTGTGCCCAATGTGGTCAGTCTAAAGACAATGATGTAAATGAGAAGAACGAAGCATCAGAAAAATGGAAGAAAAAGGACATCCGGGATTATAGTGAAGCAGATTTAGAACGTCTTTATGACCAGTGGGAGGTACCAATTTTATTATTTTGGGCAGGAGTAGCCTAGACTATATCCTATTTAGTCTGAATTATATTCAGACTATAAGGCACATATGTTAAAGTTTGGTAATTTGTTTACATAGGAAGTGCTATTCAAAATGGCCGATTGGGTAAAATTGATTTGCACATTTGTTTCTTCAACTAGCTTTATTTCCACTTGAAAATATGCTGTGTTACTTTTTATTGCATTTAATTGTACCTTACTATTTATTGAAATTTTGTAATGTTTATTTTATTGAAGAAATGGTTCCTCTAATTGATAATTTTGTGCAAAAAATTTCACTGCAATTTCCACAGGAAAGTAGTACATCATAACAGACTGACTTCTAGTCAGTCTGTTGGATACATACTAAGGAGTAGCCGGGAGGAGTAGTAAGCTCCCGGACCCCCCTCTAATATTCTCTGCATGTATAATATTGATATAGAAAATGAAAGATGGAGGGTGGGTTTACTTACTTCCCAATGTTTTTAGGTTAGGTTACTGTCAACCCTTGCGCATTAGGTGTGATTGTCACACATTTGTAGGAAAAAATTAAATCACGCATCAATTTTGCTTGTATGATAAAATGTCACGCAAATCACGCATTATGTTGATATTTTAAAAAATATACTTTTCATAAAATGCTGATTCGGTAAAAAAACGAACGTCCCCATTTACAGACTTTTCAAACGCAAGCATTAGCGAGGGGGAAAAAATTTGAGGTGTCGGAGTATATTTTGACCTAGGTGTTTAGTTTTGAAACCACAGTTTGAAGGAGTTCATCATTTGTAGATGGCTGAAAAGGCTATTTCAGCGGTCATTTTGACCATGATCCTGGCTATATAAATGATATATGGGAGTAGTACAACTGACTGAAGATCAAAGCAGAACTCTGTTATCCTAGTTCAAAAAATTCTAAAATCCACATGTTTTTTTCATTTCCTGTAAATTTTTGATGACTACCCCGAGAACTAAGCTTTATTATTCATTCAGTAGAACGATTGGGTTCAAGGTTCCAAGCCAAATCGCAATCCGGGGAAACACATCATAATTTGTAGAGATCATGTGACCACAATACTTGTGAAAGCTGAGAATGCAAGGAACGCACAAATGATCTGCTATAATGAGAATGGCCGATTCTCTAGCATAGTTTGTTTGGGTTCAGGTTTTGTGTAAAAAACTGAGTGTCGACTAGGTAGCCGGGTGACCAATTAGAGTAACCCCCTGATATTTTGTGTTATTTGATGTAAAACAAGTTTGTTTATCAACTTATCAATTATGAGGCTTAAATTGATTCGTTAACAGCATCAATTCGATGAATGTTCCTAGCCATGAATTTCCACTTACATCAATATAAATTAAAATTTAAAAAGTCCGCTCAAATTTGTTCCAGTCTGATTGGCTTTTTCCTTCAGATTATTTTGGCTTAGAGAAGCCATATTTATTACTTCTAAGGGGTTGCAATATAGATAAATCTCCAAAAAACATTGAATTCTGTTTTCGACTTATTGCGTTCAATTCTGACAGTTGGTTTTTCTTTTGGTTGTCCTGTTGATATCCTCAATATATTGTCAATATCGTGCTTATGATTTGGTCTCAAGATATATCTATGGTATATATGATGTTTTATGAGCAATTATATTGGACAATTCCTGATTGTCCAGAATAGAAATCTGGACGACTCGATCTCTTTAAAATACACATATGCATTACCCATCCCTAAAAGTCACTCATTTCATATTTCAGGAAGCAGACGAAGATGAACTTGAAGAGGATGAATTACCAGAGTGGAAGAAACCGAAACCCAAGATTGATCTATCTAATGTAGATATGGGTGACCCTGAGAGCCTGATGAAAGCTAGCAAGAAGGGACAGACCCTTATGATGTTTGTTAGTGTCACTGGTCAGTACTTTGATTTGTAATATAATATTTATTCTTGGTAGCTCTATCTGTGCATATTATATAGTCTGATGTCTGTAAAGACAGTAAACAATTTAAATCTGCTAGACAATACAGGGTGTTCATAAAGTCTCTTTATAATTACAATGCAATGTCTGTGTAAAGTGTAAAGAGACTTATGGACACCCTGTTGATTTATTTAGTAGACTATTGATTGAACTACATGTATGTGTGAGTATGACTATATTCAATTACATGTAGTTGTTCTAAAAATATGTTGATTTTTGATGAACGTTAATACCTTGAAGAAATAGTTGATGCCCTAACTCATTGGAGCCCTATACATAGTAACTTGATATTTTATATTCACAGGAACTCCCACTGAGAGAGAAAGTGAAGAAATAACCAAACTCTGGCAGTCCAGTCTCTTCAATGCAAATTATGAAATACAAAGGTAATCATTGGTTAATCAAATCAAAGCATTAGTATTTTATATAACTTTTGGATAAATTAGACCTCAAATGATCCAACAGATAAAACAGATCTTTATGAAGAAAATAATATTCCAATAAGAATAGCCTATATTTTTGCCAAGTGAGATTTTTTATACAGACTTCCAGAGGTCCCTTTATAACACACGTTAAATCATTTATACAATAGCAGTTGTTCTAGGCTTTCAGAGGCCCTTTGATTTTTTCAGGAATTTGGTTCATTGAGGTCTACCTACATCAAAACTGTAGAGTTGTCTATCTCATTCTGAGTATATCTGAGTAATTTCCTTTACCCATTATTACTAAGTCATTGATATTCAGTGTATGCATTCTATTGCATTGTATTATGGTAATTTACATATGATTACTGTAAATTCATCATATATAGCTCCAGAACATACTAACACTGCATAACTTTTCAGTAGTGTGTTTAATTATTTCTAATTATTGTAGATACATGGTTGGAAATGACCGTGCAATCTTCATGGTAAAAGATGGCTCAAAGGCCTGGGAGATTAAAGATTACCTTGTAAAACAAGACAGATGCAAGGATGTTACGATAGAGGGCCAGGTGTTCCCAGGATTAGCTGCTGGATCTCAGGTAGGGAAAGGTCTTGGATCATAGCGTGTAATTTTGGAACATTTAATCCAATTTTGACACATACCTGCACACATATTATCACAATATCAGTTTTGTTCACTGTACCTTCCCTTATTCATTGGTTGGGACACAGCATATTATAACATCCAAAATAATTGTAATTGTCCTATGTAATGTTGTGAATAAAAAGGTGACAGAGTCAAATTTTTAGTTTATACATATAGAGAAATGTTGATTTCAGGATTCGGGATCTGCACCAGGGGGAGTTGATAATAAACCTAAACCACAGGATGCAAGAGCCAAGAAATCTCAGAAAGACTCTAAGGACCAAGATAAAAACAAAACAAAGAAAAAGTCCAACAGTAAGGAGGCAACTGCCACTCATGAGAAACTACGCACTAATGACAGTAATAAAAAGAAGAGAAATGAAATCGATGATGAGTTATGATGACGATCATTGCATTCCACTGTTAAACAGTCCAGCTCAAACAAACATTTATGACGTAATTATCCCAACGAACGATTCGTTAGGGATATAGTGAAGCCCTCCGTCCGTCTGTCAGTCAGTCAGTCCGTCCGTCTGTCCGGAAAATAACTCAAATACTAGTTGACAGATTTTCTTCATATTTAGTGGAAAGATGTATATTGGTGAATAGTTTTACGCAAAAAAAATGTTTCAAGATGGCCACCGCTTTAAAAATTACGGGACTTTTTCGCAAAAATCATAAAGTTTTCATTCTAAACCAAAGTAATTAATATTATTGTTTGAAATTTTGGTAGTGTATTCACAACATTTATCTATTTCACATATATTCCGTGTTTTTCATCCTGACCCCCAGGGGCCATGTATGGGGAGACAGGAAAACAGAAATTTTCGCTAATTTTTAGATCTTTCTGAAGTATAGCTTTATTATATTCAAATGAAAGGCAATTAAGAGTAGATTGCAAATATTGTATCTTTTTTCTGATTCGAGCCTCGTAAAATTCAAAATGGCCGTTTAATGTAATGTACGATTTCGCAATAATTTTTCGATCCTTCAAAGTATGGCTATATTATACTCAAATTGAAGGAATTTTGGAGTAGATCACTATTATGGTATTATTTTTCAGATTTGTACCTCAGAAAATTCAAAATGGCTGCTTTGCAGGATTTCGCAATTCTAAAATCTAATTTTTTCATTTTCAACCAAAGTAATGAGTATAATTGATTGGAATTCGGTAATTGATATTTTGTTCGTTGGGATTTGCTACTCCGCGGAGTTGCCGTTATCTAGTTAGATATTTGAAAGCTGTACAATGTGCTCTTGAATATCAGGCTGCTTTTTAACATAAGATCTGGTCTACTGGTCGATGTTCCCAGAATGTAACCACAGATCTGCTGTTAACTTTTTTAACCTGTAATATTTCTCCATCATATCACGTTTTGTATCATATTGTGCCATGGTTGTATTGGTATAAGTAAAGGTGTCGTCTCATGTATCATTCCGTTCGATTCTGCTAAGTTGTGAAAAATGCCATAAGGGCTTGCAAAGTCATTTAGATAACATTGAAAGTGCTCTTCCAAATGTCAATTTTTTAGTAAGTCAGTGTTTTAGCAGTTCACTATTATATAGAATCTAGTGTGAAACATTTTGAAATGAACCCTAAATAGACTTTATGGAGTAAGAACATAATTACTGGGGCAATATCTGTTGTACATGTTATTCTTAGTCAGATGTACAGGCCTGGGAAACTCATCCATTTCATTCATCAACATAGGCAAAATACCATGTAAGACCATGTTTTCTTGGAGCAGTGCAGTTTATTTTAGCTGCTGTCAAGCATAAAAAACATGCAATAATAATTACAAAAAATGCCAAGTTGTGACATTTTATGTCACCACCACAAGTATTGCATGTTATTGTCTTGTATAAAAATGTTTTGAAATGCAATTCATTCTTAGAATTGTAAAATCAGTTTTTTGAGTGTGTGAAATTTAGTGTTGTTTGGTAATGACAGACATTATTAATATAATGACCCAAACTTTGTTTTAAAAAATGTCACTATAGTTAGTATATGTGAAACATTAATTAATGCATGTTCATGTTAATTGTTTTATATTTAAGATATTTCTTTATAGGAAGGGATAGAAACCAGTTGAGAGTGAGTTTCGAAAAAACAGTTGTTAGCAATATTTTTGGTATCATCATTCCATCTCATTTTAATCAGGTCTGACTTTATTTCATTTTGCAATGTTTCAGATGTAATGAATTAAGACATTTCTGCCTTTTAGATCTTCAAAAATTTGATCAGATATCTCAAAATTCTTTTCTCAGAAAAAAAACATTGTCACGCAATTTTGAAGTCTGCTTCCAACATTGACGCTTTCTATCCCTTCAACTTCCTTTAGTGCCTTGTTACTATTGTTCTCTAGCCCTGTCTTTTTGATAAAGACAACTGTATATATGAATTGTTTCATATCATTGACATATAATATAAGCATGTTACACTTTATCATTTCGACTATCGTTGTGGTGTACTATGTGTTATTGCATGCCTCAAATAAATAAAAATGTAGTGTTCGATTTTCTACTGTTTGTGTACTAGGACACCTTAAACTGATGGTTATAAATGTAGGAATCACATATAATATGCCTTATACAGTATTTCAGAATTGAAATATATAGCTAGGTTATTCATGAAATGAGCAAATGGTGCTACATTTGTATATTGAAAGTCATAGATACATAGATTTCATACACCATTGGAAAGAAATATCAGGAATGTAGATCTGCTGAATTTATTAGTACAATGATAGTTGTAAACAAAACAGGCATTGTGGCAGCTTAGACTCTGCCTCCGTTTGTCATATTAGTTCAGTTGTTAAACTGCTGACGTCAGTATTAGATGATATTTAAATGATGTATACAGTAAAACCTGTAAAGTGGAATACCTTTGGTACCTCAAATTAATGTTCAACTTAAGAGGTGTTGCACATTCAAAGGTTCATTTTACGTTCCACATACAAATGAGAATGAGGACTTTGAAGGTGTTCCACTTTACAGGTTATACTGTATATACTTATTCATAAGAAAGTTCTTTCATTCTACTGCATGTAAGTATTGTGTTATTAAACCATGGATACTTTAATTAAAACACTTTTGTTTGTTATTTTATTGTTTCAATAGTGTACTGGAAAGTCAAATTTTCATGGTCATTAAACTAGGTCACAGTTTCTTAAAGTTCGAGACTCCAAATCAATAATTTTGGTTGAGTCAGGATATTCAGGGTGTCACATAAGTATGTTCTCCCCCTTAATTTCAATAGAATGAACTTTTGTGCATGAACGTGCATCTCGTTGAGCTAGTCATCTGAAACTTCTTATTGATTTGCTCCGTGAAGCATAGTTTTGATGTGCCTAAAGACCAGCTCAGTTATGAAGACAAAAAAAGTTATGCAACATCTGAATGTTAAAGCTAAGGAGGGGAGAACATATTTATTTGACACCCTGAACACAGGTTCTACACTGAGTAAGAAGGGCCGTCCGTTCTTCATTTTAGCATTGATGAGTTCATATGAACAGTTGACATAAATTGAAATTGACCGATTTAGTAGGAAATATTTGCTGCAAGGTATAACAAATTCTTTGATATCTTGAAATTATTATTATTCAATCAGAAGTCAAACCTAAAAGGAAAGTCAGTTGTCCTTTGAAATGAAAACTTCATCTTAGACCCCATCTTGATCCTACGACATAACAAAAGTAAAAGTACTATACATGTATCTAGTATTGTATTTATATATTTTATTGATATCTGTTCGGTATACAATTATTGATAATTTTCTAAAGTCAGCATTGAATGTGATATTTGTATTTTATCTATAACCATTTGTCCAATTACAGTCACCCCTTATCAGGAATATGTGATCATGATTTCTTAAAGAAGTTCATAAGAGAAGTCTGTTTCGTATTTGCCTTGCTTTGTTTTTTAGCGGGGGCTTTCGTCTTTGTCTCCTGAAAATAAATGCAGATAATGTTGATTAAGATGCTCTCAGCTGATTAAATACAATGAACGCAGCTTTTAAAGGCTCACCTGAAGTACAGCTATTTTAAAATACATCAACAAAACAAAACAAAAAACAAAAACATATATACATGGACATAGTTTTCATTTTTTTATCCAATTTCACACAGAGCAATACCTTTTTTGTTCCACTTTCCTCTGTAGACCTCTTCTGTGAAGGAGGATTGGGACTCTTCTGTACTAGAGGTGGAGGAGGTTCTACATCTGAGGCATCAGTGGAATCACTCTCCCAAACCTTTTCTGTCACTAGAAACATATAAATACATTTTAGTTACCTGAAGGCCATTACTCCTGTCTTGCCGATCACCAATTTTTTGTACAGAGAGCTTAGCAGATATACTTGGGCCAGGTTTTGAATTTTGAAATGGCAAGGGACCCTCTTTTACTACAATTTTTGCAAATGAGTATAACAATGGTTCTCGTATTTTCTAACTGGATTTTTACTTTAATTTTTTTTCATTGGTATGCCATTACATAATGATTAGAGTCGCAGGTATGAGAAATACCTATGCAATCCTTTATTTGAATGGTCAAAAGAGGTATTTACCCATAAATCCATCTTCATCTATGGAAGTTTTTGGAACTAATTTCCTTTTTCTCTTTCTCCTATGTCCTTTTTGAGTGGCATCTGACACATCAGAATTCTGTGAAAGAAACAAATACTTTATACATGTTTATACTTAGTATTTAGATTTGTTCACAGTTCTATCCAAAGAAAAATTCACACTAAATCTATTTTTCTTTGCTTTAAATTGAGAGAATCAATGCAAAAATAAGTACACCTATCAGTTCAAAGATGATTAAACTTTTTAAGCCTCGTAGTCCTACAATGAGGGGAGGCTTAAAAAGTTTGATGTATGATAGAAAACTAAATAAATCTAGTTTTATCCTTGATCATCTTTCAGAAAAGATATTTAGAATATGTCTCCTGTTTGGCTGTTTGACAATTTTCTCCTGTAATATGCTGATAAAGAGGAAAACATTCCAGCATGGAATATGTGAACGTATTGTACTCAGGGGTATCCACTAATTTTAATTGATGTTTCTGAATGTTATTCTTTATTTATGGTGAAAGTTGAAAATGTCAGAGAGTAAACTAAACCGTGGACTCCAACATCCCTAAACTAGATTTATTTAGTTTTTGAACTGACATTGATCTTTTGAAGCCTCTCCTTACAAGGTAAAACACTGCTTCAGTTCTATAGCATATGTTTTGCAAAGTAGCTGAACTGTATTCTGTTTGAGTTTGTGATGTCATAACATTCTTTGTTGCGATATCACTGTTTGTTGTGATATCACTAGGGTGGTCTCTATGTGTCCTTGGTGACCTTTGAACTGCTACTTTGGAATCATGGTTATCAACATATTTCAACAATACAGAGGTACCAGTTTTAGCTCCATGTATTTCGTATCCATCAAATACATGTCCTTGGTTTTCTAAGTCACTCAACATATTCACCAACACTTTGGGTAGCATTATATCTCAAATTTGAAAATCACTCGGTATGGTATTCTTTTTTTGTAAGACTAGGAGCTCATGTCACAGTGTTGTTTGTTATTCTTCCTCAGTATACTAATTGCAACATGGTAAACATGTAAAGATAAAATTTGTTAAGCTAATATTTACTACTAGATGTATGTTAATGCAGCTATGTTTTATCTAGCTGGGTGAAGGTTAAGAGTAAATTATTTAGTATCAAAATCTGAAGTGCTCCCAGCACTCAAGTGTAGCTTTAGTACTGAATTAAAAGGTCATCTACTGTACCTTATTATTGGTTTTCTCAGCATTAGTTTTGGGTATTGGGCTCTCTGGTTCTTCTGGGGTTGGGGTAAGCTCCTGGGGTGGGGGTGTTGCCTCTCTGGGTGGGGTAGGGGGCATTGGTTCTTCCTCCATCACTAAAACAAAAAAGACAAGGGATGAAAATGGCCTTATTATTTACTCAGAATGCCCAAAAAGTAACAAGTTATAGACTTTCATAACAAGAATTTCAGATCAAACAGTTTGGCTTGATACATGAGAAAGATAATAGCATGGAAAATCCAAAATGAACACTGCAACATTAACTTAAACTAATCAGTTCTATATTTTCATACAAAGGAACACTGCTGAAAATTTGAAATCAATCTGTTATACACTTTGCCTGAAAACGCATAGACAATAGTTCACAGACAAGATTAAAGGATGGAAAATCCAAAACGAAAACCGTAACATATACTATAACTAATCAGTTCTACATTTTCATACGAAAGGAACACCGCTGAAAATTTGAAATCAATCTGACCAACAGTTTGTTTTATAAAATTTTAGAATCGTATACATTTAGCTCAAAATATGATCTGACATGTTAAATAAGGTGAATGGTGAAATTAAACTAACTCGGGTCCCTCGACACAGTTCAGATAATTTAAATTAAAATTTTTCACTATAAAGTATTACTTTCTTCTTCACTTTCGCTTTCACTACTGCTTTCAATGACACGTCTCTTCTTTGGCTTCTTAACATCCTCATCACTGTCATCATCCCGCTTCTTCTTACTAAAAATTGTATTATGCATATCTAAGAAGCTGATCAGTTACAATGAAGTTAAGTATTAAAATAGTTTAATCCATAATAGTTTTTCAGTGGTCATGCCTTCATTATGCCTTTACTATCCTTGCTGATTTTTGTTTTCTATTTTGATGTAAATGAATAAATCATAAAATATTTTGAATATGTTCACATACCTTTTTACTGGAGATTCCTTTTTAGTTGCTTTTCCTGCAGGTTTACTTGCTGAAAAATATACAAACAATCATAATTTGGATTTTTCCTAAATCATTTCATGTATCTAGTATATTCCATATCTATTAAATATTATGATGCAGATTTATATATCTACATGTATATTTTCGGGTCTGACAAATTAAGAAGTCACAAAAAGTATTCGAGGGATCGGATAGAGGGGGGATTTATATATCTTTACGATGGAACAAATTCACAAGAACTCGTGTATTTGAAAAAACTAAACTCAGTACCCCAGTAAGAAACTGGATATTATATCTTTGGAGAATGAAAAATGGGAAAATTTGGAGTCATAAGAATAAATTCAAGTAGCATGTCTTATCATGTCTTATATACACGTGATGCTTCCTAGTCAACTCGTACCCAAGACAACTCGTACCCAAGACAACTTGTACCCAAGACAACTCGTACCCAAGTCAACTGGTACCCAAGACAACTCGTACCCACGTTTATTTTTCTGTATTATGAGTGCATATAAGAAAACAAATTGAGTCTGTGTCAAAATGTTTAATGTTATAATGTGCCTCAATATTTTTTCTGAATTTAGAAGACATTTTTCTCAATGGATTAAGCGAAGCATTTTTTTTAATTTGGATTACCTTTGAAGTGCTTTGAAGGGCTTGTTCTCAACTTTTTTTGTAATACATATATATAAATGAATATAATTACAACAGTAACTTTTCAACAAATGAATCAAACAATTAAAATAATTAAGCTTAGTGCATTCAGAGAAAATTAATAAGGGAACTTTAATCTGTTAATTTCTTTTCCATTTTGAACTTAATTGGATTATATTTGAACACATGCATGCAAAGTGTATTATATCATGTATGAATAAGTGTCAAAATAATATTTGATATTCATATTATTTAGAATATTTTTTATTGCTTAATTTTATGAAGGTGACTTCTTAGAATTATCATTCTTTAATCTGATAATATGAAATCCTAAATAGATTATCTGTTTAATAAGAAATAGGCGCAAGTTTTGAAAATCTTTATATTTTTGATAATACCATATTTCAAGATGAATTAGATCTGATACTTGTTCCAAACACTCATTAACATACAAAAATACCACTAATATTGTGAACAATGATTATGAATATGTGGAATAAACATAAATCTCTTCCCTCAAACATCTGAATCTGTGACCAATATATTTGGTCACAAATTTCAATCGATTTCTTCCAAAAACTCTTCTACATACTTCAAACTATTCTGAACTGTATGTAACCATTATAATATGTATATCTATACCCATTCCCAGCCCAACACTTGATTCAAAACAAAACATATACTTGGGTACAAGTTGTCTTGGGTACGAGTTGTCTTGGGTACGAGTTGTCTTGGGTACGACTTGACTTGGGTACGAGTTGACCAGTTACCCACGTGATCCCCCCTCCATCCGATCCCCCCTCCATCCCAAATTAATTTATTTCGATTATTTTTTGTATAAGGCATGGAAACTAACTTTAAAAATTAGTACCGTGGGTACTGGGCTCACATGGTCACATCTTTTGCTGATTTTTTGTTACAAAATTATTGTGAGCCATCTGTCTCTCAGTCAATTAAAATGGCTGAAAAAAAAACGGATATAATTTTTTGCCAATAATTTGTAACAAAATTATTTCACACAACTACTCTTTACAGTGACATGGCTTTTTGCAATGCAAGACACCTGAAATTATTTGTAAAGCTAGAAAATGGGCCAAAATTGAATTTCGCGAGACAAAAATGGCGACCATTTTGAAATCAGGCAAGCTTTTGAACCAGGAGTCATAGGGGAGTTTTTTGTATTGATGTTGAACAAAAATAACTTGAAACTGGAATCCTATCGACAGAGGTTTTAAGCAAATGGTCCAAAAGAGGATTTCGCGAAACAGATGGACAAATCAATGTTAACTAAAATGGCTGAAAATAAAAAAAACGGATATAATATTTTGCCGATTTTTTGTAACAAAATTATTTCATACAACTACCTTTTACAGTGACATGGCTTTTTACAATGCAGGACACCTGAAATTATTTGTAAAGCTAGGAAATGGGCAAAAAGTGAATTTCGCGAAACAAGAATGGCAACCATTTTGAAAATAGGCGAGCTTTTGAACCGAGAGTCATAGGGGAGTTTTTTGTATTGATGTTGAACAAAATTAACTTAAAATGGGAATCCAATCGACAGAGGGTTTAAGGTAAATGGTCCAAAAGTGGATTTTGCGAGACAGATGGACAAATCAATGTTAACTAAAATGGCTGAAAATAAATAAATGGATATAATTTTTCGCTGATTTTTCGAAACAAAATTATTTCATACATCTACTCTTTACTTTGCAATGGATTTCTACAATGTAGGACACTTGAAATTATTTGTAAAGCTAGAGAATGGGTCAAAAGTGAATTTCGCGAGACAAAAATGGCGGCCATTTTGAAAATAGGCGAGCTTTTGAACCAGGAGTCATAGGGGAGTTTTCTGAATTCATGTTGAACAGAAATAACTTTAAACAGGAATCCTATCGACAGAGGTTTTAAAACGTGCCACAGAAAGTGGATTTCGCGAGTCAGATAGACAAATCAATGTTAACTAAAATGGCTGAAAATAAAAAAATGGATACAATTTTTCGCTGATTTTTTGTAACAAAACTAGATAATGGCAACTCTGTGGAGTAGCAAATCCCAACGAACAAAATATCAATTACCGAATTCCAATCAATTATACTCATTACTTTGGTTAAAATTGAAAAAATTAGATTTTAGAATTGCGAATTCCTGCTAAGCAGCCATTTTGAAGTTTCTGAGGTACAAATCTGAAAAATAATACCATAATTGTGATCTACTCCAAAAATCCTTCAATTTGAGTATAATATAGCCATACTTTGAAGGGATCGAAAAATTATTGCGAAATCGTACATTAGACGGCCATTTTGAATTTTACGAGGCTCGAATCAGAAAAAAGATACAATATTTGCAATCTACTCTTAATTGCCTTTCATTTGAGTATAATAAAGCTATACTTCAGAAAGATCTAAAAATTAGCGAAAATTTCTGTTTTCCTGACCCCCCATACACGGCCCCTGGGGGTCAGGATGAAAAACACAGAATACATTTGAAATAGATAAATGTTGTGAATATACTACCAAAATTTCAAACAATAATATTAATTACTTTGGTTTAGAATGAAAAATTTATGATTTTTGCGAAAAAGTCCCGTCATTTTTAAAGCGGCGGCCATCTTGAAAATTTTTTTTTTTGCGTAAAACTATTCACCAATATACATCTTTCCACTAAATATGAAGAAAATCCGTCTACTAGTATTTGAGTTATCTTCCAAACGGACGGACGGACGGACGGACGGACTGACTGAAAGTGGATTTCGCGAGTCAGATAGACAAATCAATGTTAACTAAAATGGCTGAAAATAAAAAAAAATGGATACAATTTTTCGCTGATTTTTTGTAACAAAATTATTTCATATATCTAATCTTTACATAGACATGGATTTTTACAATGTAGGACAACTGAAATTATTTGTAAAGCTAGGAAATGAGCCAAAAGTGAATTTCGCGAGACAAAAGTGACGGCCATTTTGAAAATAGGCGAGCTTTTGAACCATGAGTCATAGGGGGGTTTTCTGTATTGATGTTGAACAGAAATAACTTAAAACAGGAATCCTATCGACAGAGGTTTTAAAACGTGCCACTATTGTTGACGGACAGACGGACAGACAGATGGACGGACGGACGGACAGACAGACGGACAAGTGAGTGATTGCAAAAGCTCAACATGTGAGCTAAAAAGTGAGCGATGTCATAAGTATTGTGATAATAATGTCCCTTATACCTATTTATTACAGGTCGTGTAGACCATTGTTGCCTGATTTATAGCAAAAACATTGACTTTTGCACGTTGGTGCTGATGCGCCTTTTTTAATAGATCTCTTAGAAGGGTATCAGTTCAAAAATATACGAGATGACCTAACATATTTTGCAATGCACTGCGCCTATTCATTTGGCAATTCAGTTGTAAATTTTCTCCAAATTTGTTGAGTTTTCTTGCAGAAATCACCTAATCCCCCCTCCATCATTTTTGTACGATCACCGGGCGTGATTCTATTACAAGGGGGAACATCAATAAAGAATAACTCACACTGTTTATTAAAGAAAGACATCACTCCTGCCTGCTTAGGTTTCCCCTTAGCTGCAGACTTCACACTCTTCTGTAATATATAGAGGAGTGCTGGTGAAAAAGGAAATAAATGTGATTTTCATCCATAGCAATTTGAATGTAATTAAAGAGGGTAAGAACTTTTCAGAAATCAACACAAAAAATAAAAATACAATTCAAAGTAAAAGTTTGCCTTTAACAATCTTGGAGGGTTCAATTATTTAAAATATTTGCAAAAGTCTTGTCCTGGCTGATCCCTATTGCTTTTGAATATGTGTATTCCTGTATATAGTACTGTATATGAAGTCAAGTAACACATTCAACCGCCTACCTCTGATTCAGGGGCAGATTTCTTCTCTGCTTTGGTAAACATACTAGCTATCCCTTGCTTCCCTTGGGGAGATGACTTCTTTCCAGGTCCACCCTTTTTAGAGACATCACTCTCAGTCTGTAACAATAAGATATTCATACTATTTACTTTTTCACCATGTAATTGCCTTGGTTATTAGACTATTTCATTATTAATCAATATAATGTGAATGGTGAATGCATTGTCACAGTAGTTGTTTTCATATCATAGGACATTTTTGAATTGAGGATTCAAAGGATGGTATATTGTCTGTTTATGTTGCATTCATTAAGATCTATGAGGAATGTACTGCGTAATGCTAGATTGTTAAATAGAGACTAGTTCCCCTCCAACTAATTCTTTGTCACTCTCTGTGTGAGAAACAGAATGGGAGGATGAGAAACAGAATGGGAGGATGAGAGAAACAGAATGGGAGAATGAAAGAAGCAGAATGGGAGGATGAGAGAAACAGAATGGGAGAATGAGAGAAACAGAATGGGAGGATGAAAGAAGCAGAATGGGAGGATGAGAGAAATAAAATGGGAGAATGAGAGAAACAGAATGGGAGAATGAGAGAAATAGAATGGGAAGATGAGAGAAACAGAATGGGAGGATGAGAGAAACAGAATGGGAGAATGAGAGAAACAGAATGGGAGAATGAGAGAAACAGAATGGGAGGATGAAAGAAGCAGAATGGGAGGATGAGAGAAATAAAATGGGAGAATGAGAGAAACAGAATGGGAGAATGAGAGAAATAGAATGGGAAGATGAGAGAAACAGAATGGGAGGATGAGAGAAACAGAATGGGAGAATGAGAGAAACAGAATGGGAGAATGAGAGAAACAGAATGGGAGGATGAGAGAAACAGAATGGGAGGATGAAAGAAGCAGAATGGGAGGATGAGAGAAACAGAATGGGATGATGAGAAACAATATGGGAAACCCTTCACCTGACCAAAAGCATATTCTGCTAACACAGCATTGATGCTAGATTGATGCTAGATTGCGTAATGCTAGATTGTTAAATAAAGACTAGTTCCCCTCCCACTAATTCTTTGTCACTCTGTGTGTGAGAAACAGAATGGGAGGATGAGAAACAGAATGAGAGGATGAGAGAAACAGAATGGGAGGATGAGAGAAACAGAATGGGAGGATGAAAGAAGCAGAATGGGAGGATGAGAGAAATAAAATGGGAGAATGAGAGAAACAGAATGGGAGAATGAGAGAAATAGAATGGGAAGATGAGAGAAACAGAATGGGATGATGAGAAACAATATGGGAAACCCTTCACCTGACCAAAAGCATATTCTGCTAACACGGCATTGATGTGTGAAAGCAATTGACATACCTTCTTTGGTTTAGTATCGGCTGTTGAGCTTTTATTGTTCTTGACTGCAGATTTCTCTGTAGATGACTCGTTGATCTTCAAGGCAGATATTTTCAGCTCATCAGCAGACCTCAACTTTGCGAGGGTGCATTTGATTGCACTATATCTAAATCAACAAACCAAATCAATCATATATTTCTTTATAAATGGGACAAATAGGTATAGAGCCTGATCATTTTGTTGTTATTCAATATTCTTTGCTAAAAGGGAAATCTGGGATTAGTATACGAAGTATATGAATATCAAATTGTAGGTAACTTGTTTTTTGATATTTCTACTCTTCAATTATCAAAAGAGTCTATGTTTAATTCTAAAATAATATGGCAAAATAAAAATAAAATCTGGAAGTTGCAATAAATAGCCTTAATAAAAACTTAACTATGCATTGGAATTACTTATTGATCAAAACGTTTAAAGCTTACTTATTTGAAGTAAATATCTGTTCTTTCAGGAGGTCATAGTCAGCAGTGTACAGAGCATTAGAGTCCTAAAATATAACAGTATTTTAAAATGTTTTAAACCAATTTCATGATGCCTTAGTCTCCCTTCCCCTGTTCATTAAACATTACTGAACATTGAAGTTATATAATAATTCTATCAATATAACAAAGCTTTTTGTTTTTTCCCAACTAAATTGCACATAATTAGCAAATAAGTTGTAAATAAGAGTGTTCACATTGAGACATGTTCAGATTAAAGAGGTGTTTGGATATACAGGTTTTATTGTAACATTTTATTGTGATTTACCTTCAACTTTGCTTGTTGTACACTGTAGACATGGCAACTAGTTACTGGGTCAAGTTGAGCCTTTGTAGCTTCCAGTTGCTCCTCTTGTATGACACAGATTCTGTGTACCTACAATACAAAACAAAGCTTAGATATTGTTTGTTGTACACTGTAGACATGGCTACTAGTAACTGGGTCAAGTTGAGCCCTTGTAGCTTCCAGTTGCTCCTCTTGTATGACACAGATTCTGTGTACCTACAATACAAAACAAAGCTTAGTTGTTGTTTGTTGTGCACTGTAGACATGGCTACTAGTCACTGGGTCAAGTTGAAGTTCGTAATTTATGGAATTTTTATTACTGGAACCAAGAATTTTGAATCTAGTCTGTTTTATGAATGGGATGCATCGCAATAGGCTGCTTCCAAGGGCAAAGTCTCAATGGATGAATCTAATCTTACAATCATGTTTGTTTATTGTGGGTGTGTCTTACCAACGTACATTGTAAAGGAGTTCCCTTGATTTTCTCGGAATAAACAAACAAAAGTTATCCTTATCCCCCCATAATCTTTACTTATATTGTATTTTTATTGATATATTGCTGATGCATACCATGATTTTCAGTACATGTATGTTGTTGTCAGTACAATATAGCAGATCTCAGAAGTGGTTAACACATTATCATTAAAACAGTTTATAATTTCATAAGGGACCACAATTCACGATGAGTACCAGTGAAAGACTTTTTAATACCCTGGCCTTAAAATATGAAATTGTTGTAAGGTTTTGGCCAAAACTGATTGACATTTACCTTATCAGTCTTTGACACACCTGACACCATATACACCACAGAAATTTTGTCATTGTCTTTCTCATTTCTTTCTTTTTCTACAAAACTGTGTAGCATTCTGGAAAAAGTTGGATAATTTACATTTCAATAACATAAAGTCTCAATTCATTATAAATATCGAGTGAATTAGCAACAAACTATTTAGGTTATGTTATTATAGTTTTTACTTCATGTTTCAAGGATGAAAAATAGAAACTGCAAAAATATTTTAGTTGAATAAAATTATGACTTACTGCTTTGCTTCATTGACATGAACTCCAAGTGTCCGACTCAGCCATTTGTATGAAACCTAAAGAAACAAGGAATATTCATATTAAATATCAAATTTGAAAATAGATTGATATGAGCAGTGATCAGGGCTTACTTCCAATCATCAGGGTATACTTTTCAGTCTTAAAACTGACACTGTCCAATGCAGACAAAACCAAAAGTTGACAACTCATGAGTTCTTAGATCACAAGAGGGGAATTTTTTGCTTATCCTGTACACAACTCATATACTCAAATCAAATTGTCATACTGTACATGAAGTTCTCTATTGTAAATGGTGTTGCAAACAGAAACTTCTAACAACAGATACACAAATAGATTATACACCTACAGGGTGGTCAAAAAATGGAAATCCTTGCGCTATTTTAGTCATATCTTTGTCATCTTTGGAAATAAAACCCTGATATTTTACACACTTGTACATCATTCAATTTCCTACCAACCTACATGTACTATATTTCATGACCATCATTAGTCACAATGTTGTAGCACTTTAAAGGGGCAACAAGGACTGTAGAGAGAAAAAAATTCTGAGCTATCAGATCAATATTTGGCTTAACATCTTATTTGACATACCTATTTTCTTAAAATGTATGGATAAACTATCAATTTCAGCATTAAGAAGTGTAAATTCAGTTCAAAGCTTCTATAAAGGGAGTCCCATTTATAGATTTTTAAGATTCACCATGTTTCAAGAGGAATATCTTTTGAAATAATGTTCATCCATGGGGTTTCTTTGTAGATAATAAAAATATATATTAGTCTTGATGAAATATCCAAACTTAAATATATTTTGACACTGGTCAATCATCGTTGAATGGCCCCCTGCACTAATTGTTGCACCTTAAAAGAACATGCTCTAGTGGCCACTATTGTGCTGTAGGCAAACCTGCGATGGGCTTTCAACAGATCTCTTGAAAGCCCATGCTCTGACCAGAGACATATAAAACATATGTCTCTGATCTGACCAATAAAGTTTGAGAAGAGAAAAATCATATTTTTCCTCAAAGTGTTTTCTACATTTTTATGGCATCCCAGAACATAACCAGGTACGATAACAACGCAAAAAAATCTTAATGAAATCTTACTTTTCATTTCATGCAACTCATGTTAAACACAAACTCCCACTGAACGAAAAAATGGCACACGTGCGCATGCGGGATTATGCGCTTGCAGGATAACCATTCAGATTATTTTATATAATTCGCTCAAGCGATTTATTCACTCCTGAGGACTTATCATAAAAATTGAACCACAATTGACAGAGAACAGAAAGAGACCTAAGGATATTCATGTCTCAGTAATCAAAATTTGAACTCAAATTCATGAGAAATGAATCATTCATACTCTGAAATAAAGCTATGCATACAAGGAAATACAGGTGAATATATATTACGGCATATCTTTCTAGACATTGGAGAGTATGGGATTTCAAATCACTGATGTCAAGGAGTATTGACAATATACGACTTCAGGCCTGTCAACTTGGGAACACCTAGCATACATACAAGATATTTCAAGAAAAATGTGTGACATTTTCGGTATCCACATGAAAAGTCCGAACGAAATGCGTTCGTTTTTTTTTGGTGTTCGGTTTTGTGCTGTATCAGCATGGGCTTTCAACTAGAAATTGAAAACCCATGGTATCAGCGATCACTTTTTTGACACTTTTCTACAGGAATATTTTTGCTTGACAATAATCAGGTAAAATGCGTATTTGCAAAGATAACTGGCGTGACTTCAAATTTTCCAGCAAATGCGTGACAAATAGATGACAAATATTCTGTCACACAAAGATAACTGGCGTGACTTCAAATTTTCCAGCAAATGCGTGACAAATACGCAAATTGCGGGACAGTTGGACGGCCTGCGACTTATCAATTATTTTTCGTCCACTGTAAGTAATTTCAAATCACCGAAGTCTAGGAGTATTGACAAAAAGTCAACATTTATTTTATTTTCTACAGTACTTGATGTATTTATTTCATGATTTGGGATAGGTTTGAAATGTTATATAGTTAGAGAACAGTTTCAGTTTCATTTCATCATTCAGCATTGACTTTCTGCTGTTTGCCTTTTTCAGAAGTCAATCAAATCATATATGAGTGAGGCCATTGATCGTACAGTGGTCAATAAGGTCCACAATAGTAACTTTACGACAAAGATGTTGTTTCAATTGTATACTTACTATTTTGTTGGCGTCATTGACATACTCCTCAAGGTTTTCCATAAAAATTTGGTCAGCCATTTTGGGAAATTCCCGCGAATTTACGAAGTAGGTCACATGCGAGACTTCAAATCAAAATGTCAAGTACATAATTTTCACACCATTAGAACCGAAATGATTTTAGACATCGATTGATCATATACCATAGATATACTCAGGAATGTAAGTACGAATGATATGACCTAATAAAAATGAAATTAGACAACATAGACATGACCTATATATGGCGAGAGCTGACATTCTCGCGAGATCAAACATGGTGGTCACCGGTAACAAATTTTCTAAATCTCTGAAGTTTTTAGCGAATTTACACCTCTAGTTAGTTCAGATATAAAGGACAATGGCTAGCGACGATGCCATTAGAGCTACAAATGATGAGGCGTCGATGTGTAAACGCTTTGCAGTTCAGCAAGGCTACTGGAATGATCCTTATATAAAATACTTCATTCGCAGTTCTGACAGAAAACCACCAGATATCAATCGGGGATATTTCGCGAGAGTGAAAGGTGTCCATTGCCTATTGAATCAATTTCTACAGGTATGTTTCTTTTGTATAGTAACGGCATCAAATGCAGAAATTCAAAATAAACCTATATAAGCATGCCATCAGTGTCACAATATAGGGTAGCCATTTTTGGGTTTTTATTTTGTGCTACTTTTGGACTTAAAATAAAATTTAAAATGACCAGGCATTTAAAAAACATACAGTTCAGTTCAGCCTATCTATAGATTTTCATACCTTTTTTGAAAACCAACACAAAAGGCCAAAAGTAACACTTTTCCAGAAAATAAACAGAGTTCAGCCTATCGATAGATTTTTATACCTTTTTTTCAAAACCATACAAATGTCATTCGTGTGCAATATGAATATATTTTCTATATATTATGGCACAATGGTCTATAGATTTCTTAATTTTCAGGTTCAGCTGCTTGCCTTTGAAGCAGTGTAACAGACTCTAGGCATTGTTGGGCATCTATCGTCAATAATCATATTTGGCTGGGTTGTACCTCCACATGCTAATATAGGTTTATTTTGAATTTCTCTCGTCATATATTTTGTTGTTGTGCAGGCTATCCCAGTGGTTGATAAATCATCATGTAAAGAATCCTGTAATGGTGCTTCACTAATTTCGGACTATGACCTTTCTGTGTCATTTTCTTTAGTTAGAAGTCTCTTCAGGAATGTTGCATGTTTATCATTAGTTAGTATGTCATATTCTCATGTTGTTATATGAATGCAAATATTGTAATTTTCAATTTCTTTAATATCATGTTATTCAAGTTTATTGAACTCTGGTACAGTACATGTATGTTCCTTAATCCCAAGGCCAATGGCACTCCTTTGGATGTTTCTAGGGCATCAGAGTATCAACTTACATGTGAAAATATCACAATTTTGTTATTTCTTTCAGGCTACCAAATGTAAATGCCAAGTTGTCAGTCTTGGGGCTGGATATGATACAACCTATTGGAATCTTCAGGAATCTAATATGCAACCAGAAAGATACATTGAAATGGACTTTGAGAACGTGACATCACACAAATGTCATTTTATAAAGTCAAGAAAGCCACTCTTGGAGAAAATAGCAACAAAAGGTAATATGGAGCTTATTATTAGAAACTACGAAAAAATATGTAGGATGAGTTCCTTAAATTGTTGATTTAGATTCATAATTTTGAATTCAATCATTAAAACAGATTGCAATAGTCTTTGTTTCAGTTATTTTAATGACATGACATAGTTGGATACATGCAGTTTTCATTTTAGTAATTTTTGATATTCAATTTTGAGCAATAAAATACATTTTTCTGTATTTCATTTCATTTTTTACCAGAAATCATACTTTCACTGCATACTTCTTTCTATTAATTCAGATGGTGAGATCAGATTCAGCAAGACAGATCTTCATGCTGACAATTACCATATTGTTGCTGTTGACTTAAGGAACCTAATTGAAGTTGAAACAAAGCTTAAAGAGTCTGGCTTTGATAATGACATACCTACAATATTCATAGCAGAGTGTGTCCTGGTTTATATGGAGAGTGAAAAATCGAATGCAATCATAAAATGGATCGCTGACAATGTTAAGACTGCTTACTTTGTAAATTATGAACAGGTAAGAACATGTATCATTTATTTATTGTTTTGATTGATTATGGACTTCAGTTTTATCTCATTCAACATATGCCATGCAACTTGATGATCATTCATAATGCTCTGTGGGAGTATTTTATCTCAGTTCAGAATGTCAGTTTGATAAGTCGAAGATGATTTCTTGGCTATATTTTGCTAATTTCAAGCTTCTTTGAAATTTTGCGGCTATTAATTTTAGTGGATTTGCAAATTTGTCCTGCTTCTCTTTAAGTTGGTGATTCCTTAAGAATGCAAAAGAACCCATTTCCATTTCAATATCAGCCATGCTTTTCCCTTCACCCAAAGATTTTGGCTTTTGGTCTTGAGCCATTTTGTGAATGTTCTCATTTTAATTATGATCTTTCATAATGCGAAATGTAAGAATACAGTAACCTCACCTTTTATTGCCAGCACAGGGCAGAAAATATTGTCAAAATTGAGTGATATTAATTTCCGGGAATTTTGCGACTTTTAAATTTCGCGAATTAGAACTATTGGAATTTCGCGGCTATTATATTCCATGAATTTTCAAAAACTCACGAAATATAGTAGCTCGCGAAAATAACCTGGAGTACAGTACTGTATACAATACAGTATATCAGCAATATCTAAGGTGCATTGTGTATATTACTGTGTTATAGGTAAACATGGGGGACAGGTTTGGTCACGTTATGTTGGATAATCTCAGATCAAGGCAATGTGGGCTTCCAGGCACTGATGTATGTCAAACTATTGATACTCAACAGAACAGGTAACTTTGTTGAAACTACAGTAAAACCTAATCCGAACACCCATGGGACCAGCCAAAAGCGTTCAAATTGGCAGGTGTTCAAATTTCGAGGATTTTGTTGGTCGGGGGGGGGGGGATTTTCATTGTTCAGTCCACTATATTGAACACTTAATACTAAGTCAGAAAACAATACATGTTGTTGATGAGTTAATTCTACAATTGGCCTATAGCCTATATGCTATGTTTTATTATCCCATCGAACGAAGTTCGGAGGGATATAGGGAACGCCTCCGTCCGTCCGTCCGTCCGTCCGTACGTCTGTCCGTATGTCCGTCTGTTCGTCTGTCCGTCTGTCCGGGGCAATAACTCAAATACCGTTAGCCTGATTTTGTTCATATTTTGTACACATATACCCAATGGGGGTAGAAGTTCTGCTCGAAAACCGATTTTCAAAATGGCCGCTCATTTAAAAATGGCGGCCATTTTAGTGCCGATTTTACAGTAATTTAGGTACTGCACATAAAAATGTAATAGCAATATGTTTTAAATGTAAAAAAAGTTATATAGGACATTGATTAAAGAGAGAATCAGAGATAGCGAGCAGGCTAAACAAAAAAATGTTTCAATTTTAGAATATTTTTGGCTCATGTCATTCCTTGTCATGTCTATTTTCTAAAGATCACAAAAGTGCATACTTTATTCAAGAAAAACGAAAGATTTTAACAATAATGTACAATTTTTCTATAAGAATGGTTACCATTCTTATTATTTGGGAGAATTTAAACATTTTTCACCCATTTTTACACTTTGAATCATTAATAACTTCACCAATTTATAACATATTGTGAATCTTTTGGGAGATATTGTATTTGATATTGTAAGGAATAGATTGGTAGGTCAATTATGCATGTTGCTTATAATTTTATCACCCCCTATAGATCTGATTCTGCCTTTAAGCTAGAAATGTAAATACAGAAGAAATACCTGGCAGCCATCTTGAAAAATGGCTGCCTTTGCACGTCTTTTTACGATTTTTGCTGTAACTTGAAAAGTAGTGGAGCGATTTTGTTCATATTTGGTATGTGAATACTTTAAGCATGGCACAATGTCTGATGACATTTTTGGTAGTAGGCGGCCATTTTGAAAAATGGCCACCATTTTTACGTGTGTTATTTAACATTTTTTACTGTAAGTCAAAAAGTAGTGGAGCGATTTTGTTCATATTTGGTATGTGAATACTTTAAGCATGGCCCAATGTCTAATGACATTATGGGTAGTAGGCGGCCATATTGAAAAATGGCCGCCATTTTTACGTGTTATTTTACCTTTTTTACTATAACTCAAAAAGTAGTAGAGCGATTTTGCTCATATTTTATATGTGAATACTATAAGCATGGCACACTGTCTAATGACACTTTGGGTAGTAGACGGCCATTTTGAAAAAATGGCCACCATTTTTTACGTTTTTTACTATAACTTGAAAAGTAGTAGAGCGATTTTGTTCATATTTGATATGTGAATACTTATGAGCCTTGCAAACTGTCTCATGACACTTCGCACAGTAGGTGGCCATTTTAAAAAATGGCTGTCATTTTTACATTTTTTACTATAACTCAAAAAGTATTGGAGCGATTTTGTTCATAATTGATATGTGAATACTTAAGCATGGCACATTGTCAAATAAAACTTTAGGGAGTAGTCGGCCATTTTGAAAAATGGCCACCATTTTTATGTGTGTTATTTTACATTTTTTATTATAATTCAAATAGTAATAGAGCGATTTTGTTCATATTTGATATGTGAATACTGGTAAGGATTGCATACTGTCTTATGACATTTTGGGTAGTAGGCGGCCATTTTATAAAATGGCCAGCATTTACATGTATGCGTGGGCGATTTTTTTAAAATTTTATATGTGGCTACTTAAAAGCATATTACTTCTGCTGATGACAACTTGTCTAGTGAGCAACCATTTTGAAAATGGTGGCCTTTCTTATGGGTTTTATTTTACGATATTTGCTATATATTTTGTTTGTAAAATGCCAGCCATTTCTGTTCGATGGGATTCGCTACGCTTTGGCGTTGCCGTTGTTCTGGTTTATGTTTTGAACAATTTCATCATTTTAGTAAAAATAACTCTTATATTTTGGCAAAAACTTTGTAATACACAGTAAAAGTATATGATAGTCTCGTACGAAATCTTATGCTTATCAAATGGCTTATCCCATATTATGGTTATTTAGCACTGCTTTACTTTTCCTTGAAAAAGTCCTTCATTGTTGTTTGTTTCTTGGCACTTTTAGCATTAGCAATATTTGAGTAGATATCCTCTTCCAGTAAAAATAATTTTTCACGAGTGTTCATTTCGAGATGATGTATACACCCTATGCAGACAGAACCTGTGGGAAATATTGGGTGCGGAGCAAATGAGCGGAGGGTGCGGAGCTAACGGTTATTTTTGAATTTAAATTTGGGATATTTCTGAAACTAAGCCGTTTTGGGACTTCAAATATACCAAGGTATGTGTATTTGACACCAAATATCAATACAATTGTGAAAATAGTAGCGCAATTCATTCTATAGCGACGCAGTGTGCCTTAAACCTTTCCCAGACCTATATATTTTGAAATTATCCTTTTAATACTGAGTCCCCAGCATTCATAAAAAATGGTGTTCAAGGTGCACTATCTATACAAATTATCTTTGCATCTTGGAAGCCAGGCAGTATCTGTGTGATTTTATAAAAATTCGGAAATTTTTTCAGATATGAGCCCCCTCTAAATATTGGGTGCGGAGCAGCTCCATAAACGTAGCTCCGCACCCAATATTTAGAGGGGCTCATATCTGAAGAACATTTCTGAATTTTTATAAAATCACACAGATACTGCCTGGCTTCCAAGATGCAAAAATAATTTGCATGGGTAGTGTATCTTGAACACCATTTTTTATGAATGCTGGGGACGCAGTATTAAAATGATAGTCTCAAAATATATAGGTCTGGGAAATGTTTAAGGCATACTGCGTCGCTATAAAATGAATTGCACTACTATTTTCACAATTTTATTAATATTTGGTGTCAAATACACATATCTTGGTATATTTGAAGTCCCAAAACGGCTTAGTTTCAGAAATATCCCAATTTTAAATTCAAAAATGACCGTTAGCTCCGCACCCTCCGCTCATTTGCGCCGCACCCAATATTTCCCACAGGCTCTGTCTGCATAGGGTGGTATAATCCTTCAAAATATCAAGGGCATTCAGGATGTCAGATGTATGCTTTTTTAGGAGACATTTTAGTGATAGGATATTACAAAGTTGAATTTTTTCTCTTTCTCGTGATATAATCTTGTCTGCAAATGTCGTCTGTGTTGTCTTTGTGATTATAAAACATTTACTGATTGAATCTTAGCTATCATAACAGACCCATGGGATATTTAAATAGTTAAGACCTGTTCATAATCCAAATCAAAAACATCCAGTTAATTTACAATAAGGATAAACCAATTATCTCCCAGATTCTCACCTTTCTCTTAATCCAAATCAAAAACATCCAGGTAATTTTCTAATAGGATAAACCAATTTACTCCTGTATTCACACCTTTCCAAAACATCCTGTTGTTTTCCACAAATAAAGGATGTCACTGAGACTAAATAAGTTAATAAAGACAATATTGGTTCTTTGATTACATTGTATATGAAAAGATAAATAACAACTATAACATTGACTCAATATGTGGCTTTAATTGAAATGTCCAGACAGTTGATTTCTGATAAAAATGTTCAGATTAGACAGGTCACTTTTTCAAATCTGGTTGTTTACTGTTCAAATTAGGAGGTGTTCAGATTTCAAGTTTTTTTTAACATGGAAGTCAATGGGAGGAAAAAATGGGACCGAAAAAAAGTGTTCAAATTGGAATGTGTTCAGATTAGCCAAGTGTTCAGATATACAGGTTCTACTGTATAGATTTCTGCTCAATAAAATAAATTATTTAATTCTTAATGACAATGCAATATTGTGCATAAAATGCAATTTTGGGACATAAAATAATATAAAATTAAGTACATTGTATAGGGAAGTTTAGGGAACTGGTAAAATGAAACAGTTATGCAAATGTAACGACCCTCACTCTGCGTGGTAAGCGCGAAAGGTAGTGGTAGCGTTAAAGGGTTTATGAGTGAGTGGAAGAATCGTCACATTATTACCGGGTCCGTGTTGTGATTGTATATGCTCTCAAGGGTTTTACAGACATGATTGGTTGAATGGCAAAATGGCTGAATATGTCGCACTGCGACATAAAACATACACCTAACTGACAAAACAGACGATTTAGTTTAAATATAAATGATAACATAATTATGGGTTTATTTACAATATGATTACAAAGTGAGTATAGTAATTATGACAATAACACACATAGTGTGGAAATATATATATATATGAATTAAAGTTCTGATATTGTGACACATGGATGATATATGGTGCAGCGTTACTCAATGGCAACGGGTACCCATATTCAAGGATTATGCACAAAGGTGGATCGTTATGCAACTAAGATCCCTGAAATGTGGTTACGATAATATACATAGTATTTCCTATCAAGTACAATACATACTCAAGTAAGATTACATAATTACCAAGAAGCTGATACTGCAATTACACATTATTGAGCTCATATTCATAAATCCTACATTAACTACACATATAACATACAATACTTTCATCTGGGAGAGTGTGTGACACAACTGGTGACCAAATAAACATACATAGTAATATGTATTACCATGACTTTGTAACAACCTTTGACAATGAGAACAACAACAACTGGCACCTTGGAGTGTACGACATGACGCAAAGAACCGAATTACAACCACTGACAAAATGTAAGACCGACTAAAAATATCAACGTAACATTACGTATTCACAAGCTTGGGTGAAACATACCAAATAATGACTATAACAATAACTTGGACAACATTTGATTCAACATACCAATTAGTGATAACAATGTTTACATGACTGC